GGAAACAGTGCGGGAAGTACAATCTCCACAGGCCCGTCCTCCACCTCAGTTTCTCCAGCTGGGAGCAGCTCACAGTCCTGCAACGATCAGCCAACAGCAACTCACCCCAAAGCCCAAGCTTGTCCTGGGACCACTCTTGGGGGCACCTTCCCGGGTTTGGAGAAAAGTTTGGGGACTGCACCCCTCACCGTGTGGAGGAGTCGCTGCTCTGGCCAAGCCCCGCTCCAGGCTGTGCAGGGCGAGCAGCTCCCAGCCCCACTCAGGCCTCCTGCCCAACCTGGCCCCCGTTCTCATGCGCAGTGCCTGCCACCACATCCTATCAGACCAGCCTGGACACCTGTCCAGCTGCCTCTCCCCTCCGGGCGGCTGCACCTCCTGTGATGCCCTGTGCTCTGGGGGGGCCCTTGGGGACGGGGGCGTTGGCAGGCACTGGGCTGTGTGGGCTACCCAGTCTCTGCCCTCAGGGTCTGGGCCTGTGACTCCCGGGGGCCTTCCTGAGGGGGCCAGGCCAGGGCCCAGGCCCACGGTCCCACTGGCCAACATCAAATATCCAGAAACCCCACATGCCTGTGCACACCCCAAATTTGACAGCCCAGGGGGAAGTTTCCTCCCAGCCTGAAAGACAACTGGACCTCAACTTTCCCTCCTGCAGCTCTGCCATTGCAGCCCAGTTACTCAGGGGCCGGAGGGGCAGATGGCCACTGGCTTCCCTCAGCAACACATTCTGGTCAGATCACGGAGGCCACACACGCTTCTGCCCCGTGAGCAGGTGGCCAGCACCCTGTCCATGGCACAGGCCCCCTCTGCCAGCGGCGTCCACGCAGGTCAGCATGGGGGGCCGACCTTCTACTCCAGGCACAGGGAACTTGGAAGCAGGGCCTGCAGCTCCAAGAGGGCAGCTTCCCCAGACGAGGGGTCATCACGAACCATCGCAGGGGCCTGGGTTCACAAGACGCAGGCCAGGGTGCAGGTAGACCTGGCACTGCCCGCTACCAGCTCTGTGCAGGGAAAGGAGGTCTGGCATGGGTGGGGGCGCAGCTGCCAAGGGAGCCCACAGAGCAGGGGCACTGGTCAGGAGTGAGACCAGGACCCGCTGGGGGACCCTCAGTGGCCTGGGCAGTCCCAACTCTGGACTCCTGCAGCCCACCCCTTCCCCCAGCTCAGCCCCGCTTCCCCAGCCTTGCCCCCCCACCCACCTCTAATATGCGTTCCATCTCTATGGATTCGCCTGTTCTGGGCAGTTCGCATTGATGCACTCACACACCGGTGCACTTTGTCCTGTGTTGCTGTGATATGTGACTATTAATTTGGGGATGATAAATTAACCTTTTTTAATTGCTAACTCTTTTTCTATTCTGTTTTCTGATTTGCCGATATATTATTGAGAATTTTTGCATCTATATTTGTAAGGAATATTGTTTTGTCCTTGTCATGTCATGTTTGTTTTGTTGAGTAATAGTAGCCCCAACGAAATGTTCCTGCTCTTCCAACTTTTACTTTTTATTTTTTTTTAAAGAGTTATCTATGCATACAAGAACTGGGGTATAAGCCAGAGGTATGGGGGATGAGAGGATTCACCAGTGACAGAGTGGGGAGCAGAACAGGCAGATGTACTGAAATACACTGCTGAGGGGAGCAGCAGGCGAGACAGGAGAATTCTGCTGCGCCATGTGGGTAACTCCCTGGCCGGGATCAAACTTGTGCTACAATGGCTGCAGATAGTTTGCTAATGCTGTCTTTAACCCCTGCACCACTAAGGAGGCTCTGCTCTTCTAACTTTAAAAAGTTAATATTTAAGGGCCTCCCCTGGTGGCGCAGTGGTTGAGCACTGGGCTGCGAAGCTGCCCGCAGCCTCTGCAGCACCGTTTCGATCCCCAGCCGCCGGCGAGGGTTCCACATGCCACGCAGACCTCTCCTGCCGCGCCCACTGCTCCCCTCAGCAGTGTACTTCAGTACTTCTGCCTGTTCTGCTCCCCACTCTGGTGAATTCTCTCACCCTCCCGTGCTTCTGACTGTACCCAGTGCTTGTATAAATAAATTTTTAAAAATCAATCTTTTTAAAAAAAAGTTAATATTTAAAGAATTGCTGGGGCCTCCCTGGTGGTGCAAGAGGTTAGGTCTCAGCACTGTAAAGCTGTCCACAGCCTCTGCAGCAGGAGTGTGATCCCTGGCCAGGGAGGTGACCCACAGGATGCAACAGATCTCTCCTGTCTTCCTGCTGATCCCCTCAGCAGTAGATTTCAGTCCATCCACCAGTTCTGCTCCCTACTCTGTCTCTGGTGAATCCTCTCAACACCCCCCCCTCCACCTCTGGCCTGCACCCAAGCTCTTGTATGCATAAATAAATAAATAAATAAAGAGGAATCGTCAACAATTATTCTCAAACTCTTTCAAAGAAATTGAGGAGAAAGAAGCATGCTCTAGGGGCCTCCCCGGTGGCGCGGCGGTTGAGCGCTGGGTTGCGAAGCTGCCGGCGACCTCTGCGGCGCAGCGGTTCGATCCCCGGCTGCTCCCCGGCCACCGGAGGAGGGTCCCGCATGGCGCGCAGACCTCTCCTGCCGCCCGCTGCTCCCCTCAGCAGTGTACCTCGGTCCCTCTGCCTGCTCTGCTCCCCGCTCTGGCTCTGGTGAATTCTCTCGCCCTCCCGCGCTTCTGACTGTACCCAGTGCATGTATAAACAAAACAAACAAATAAATAAATAAATAAAAACATGCCTCTATAAATAAAAAAAAAAAGTGTTAAAATAAAAAAAAAAAAGAAGCATGCTCTAAATCAGTGTATCCCTGATAGAAAAACAAGATAAAACCCAACAAGAAAACCAACAGCCTTGATAAACATTGATGGTGTCCACCCCCCCCAACATTGTCAAACTAAACCCTACAAATATTTTTTAAAGGTTTATTTATGCATACAAGAACTAGGGTACAGGGCCTCCCTGGTGGCTCAGGCGGTTGAGCACAGCGCTGTAAGGTTGTCCGCAGCCTCTGCAGTGCTGGTTCGATCCCCACCGGCCTCAGAGCAACCCACAGGGTGCAGCAGACCTCTCCGGTCTCCCTGCTGCTCCCCTCAGCAGCGTGTTTCAGTCAGTCATTCTGTTCTGTTCCCCGCTCTGTCTCTGGTGAATCCTTTTACCCCCACAACTCTGGCCTGTACCCCAGCTTTCGTATGCATAAATAAATCTTTTAAAAAAAAGAAAGAAAATGAGAAGACATCCCACAATGCGAGAGAACATCCACGGGCGTGTATCTAATAAGGAGCTAGCGCAGAACACATAGGGAGCACTTACCACTGAGCAGCAAAAAGACAAATAGCCCAACTTACAAGTGGGGGACTTGGGCGGACATTTTCCCAAAGAAATGACACTGTTTCGCTCACTGGAATAGCAACAACCACTTGAACAGAAAATAAGTGTGGGCAGGAATGTGTATAAGACAGAACCCGGCACAGTCCTGATTTAGTGGCTTGGTGGTTCCTCAGAGTAAGGCAGGACTCTGAGGCCTTCCCACAAGTTAGAGGCGGCCACCTGGGACCCAGACTCCACCCCAAGCACTGCCGGAAGAACTGAAGACAGCTGTCCAGGGGCCCCTCCACAGACGCTCACAGCAGCAGCGCTCACCAGGGAAGGCACCACCCAAACCTCCAGCAATGGATGAATCACCTGTGGAAATCCACACGCTGGACTATTATTCTGCTGAGAAAATGATGGGAAGCCTGGTGGCTGCTGAAACACACTGAGAGGAAGAGCCAGACACCAAAGGATGAACAGGGTGTGCTCCGCTCTGCAGGATGCCAGGGCAAATCCCTGGATCGCAGCCGATGGTGGGTGTCAGCGCCTTGGGGGGAGGGGACCCAGCACCCACTTATGGACTTTAGGGGTTCCTCCCTGGGGCATGAAATGCTTCCAAAGTAGACGATGGTGGTGATGGCACTACATTGTGAACTTACTCAATCTCACTGAATTGCTCACGAAAGAATGGCTGTTAAAATGGTCCACTAGGTGCCATGTGAATTTCACCTCAAAAAATGTAAACTTGGGGTCGTGCAGTGAAAAGCCAGGGTGTCAGGATTCTACCCAAAACAGTGAGGCGAGGGCCTCCCCTGGTGGCGCGGCGGCTGAGCGCTGGGTTGTGAAGCTGCCCGCGGCCTCTGCGGCGCCGGTTCGATCCCCGGCTGCTCCCCGGCCCCCCGAGGAGGGTCCCGCATGGCGCGCAGACCTCTCCTGCCGCCCGCTGCTCCCCTCAGCAGTGTCCTTCGGTCCTTCCGCCTGCTCTGCTCCCCGCTCTGGCTCTGGTGAATTCTCTCACCCTCCCGCGCTTCTGACTGTACCCAGTGCTTGGATAAATAAATTAATTAATTAAAAAAAAAAACAAACAAACAACGAGGCGAGGGCGGTGGCGGGAAACGCAAAGCCGGGACAAGCCAAGCGACGGAAACGCGGCCCGGAGCGGCGGGGGCGAGGAGGGGCGCCGGCGGGTGCAGACAGCGCGCGCGAGGCGGGGGCCGGGGCCGGGGGTCCCCCGGGAAGGGCGTCGGGTTTTGTCCAGCTCGGGGCGGGCGCGCGCGGGCAGGGCTGACCTGCCTTGGGAGCCCCCTCCCCGCCCCGAGACGGCGGCGCCCCGGGGTGCCCGTCCGCGCCGGCGGAGCGCGTCCCCTGGGCGCGGGGCTCGGCGGCGCCGCGGGGGCTGCCGGCGGGGGAGACGCCCAGGAGGCGGCCGGTGCTTTTCCGCTCCTCTCTCCAGGCTCGGCTCCCTCCCGGCCGCCCGGCCCGGCTCCAGAGCTCTGACCCCACGACGGGGGGGGGGGGGGCGGGCCAGGCCACGCCCCGGAGGCGCGGCGCCGCGGAGCTGCCCAGCCCGGCCAGCCCGCGCCCAGCCCGCGCCCAGCCCGCGCCCAGCCCGGCCCAGCCCGGCCCAGCCCGGCCCGCGCCCAGCCCGCGCCCAGCCCGCGCCCAGCCCGGCCCAGCCCGGCCCAGCCCGCACTCGCGGCCCGGGAGGCGGAGCATGGCGGCCGCGGGGACCGGCGCGGCGCGGCGCCTGGCCCGGGGCTGCTGGTCCGCGCTCTGGGACTACGAGACGCCGAAGGTGGTCGTGGTGCGGAGCCGGCGCCTGGGCGTCGTGTACCGCGCGGTGCAGCTGCTCATCCTGCTCTACTTCGCGTGGTGCGCGGGGCGCGGGGCGCGGGGCGCGGGCGCGGGCGGGCGGGGCGGGCGGGCCGGGGCCGGGGCCGGCGGGGACGCAGCGGCGCCGCCTGCGCGCAGGTACGTGTTCCTCGTGCAGAAGAGCTACCAGGACAGCGAGACGGGCCCCGAGAGCTCCGTCATCACCAAGGTCAAGGGCGTCACCGCGTCGGAACACAGGGTGTGGGACGTGGAGGAGTACGTGACGCCCCCCGAGGTGCGCCCGCCCGCCCGCGCCCCCCGCGCGCCCGGGACCCGGGTGGGCGCACGTCCTGCCCCGACGGACCCCTCTCTCCGCGCCAGGGGGGCAGCGTCTTCAGCATCATCACCAGGATGGAGGTCACCGCCTCGCAGACCCAGGGAGCCTGCCCCGAGGTGAGGCGGGGCTGGGGCCCGCGGGGCGGCGGGGGCGCGGCCGGCGGCCCCTGACCCTGCCTCCCCCCAGAGCGCGAGGGTCCAAAACGCCACCTGCGACTCGGACGAGGACTGCGTGGCCGGGCAGCTGGACGTGCTGGGAAGCGGTCAGTGCGCGCCCGCGGCGGGGGGGGGGCCGGCGCGGCCCCCCGCGGCTGAGCGCGCTCCCCCGCAGGCCTGCGCACCGGGCGCTGCGTGCCCTACTACCGCGGGGCCTCCAGGACCTGCGAGGTGTCCGGCTGGTGCCCGGTGGAGGACGGGGCCGCCGTCAGGTGCGCTGCGCCCCGCGCCCCGGCCCCGCCCCAGCGCGCCCCCACTCCCGCGAGGGGCGGGGCGCTCGGCAGGGAGACTGGGGCGCGGGGCCTCACACCCGGTCTGCGCCTCCGCAGCCAGTTTCTTGGCAAGATGGCCCCGAACTTCACCATCCTCATCAAGAACAGCATCCACTACCCCAAATTCCGCTTCTCCAAGTAAGGGTCCTGCGGCGGGCAGGGCTGGGGGGCTGCCTCGGGGGTGTGGGCTCTGCCTGCCCGAAGCCCCGCGTCCTTAGGGGCAACATCCAGACCCGCGAGGACGGCTACCTGAAACGCTGCAGCTTCCACGCCGTCTCCGACCTCTACTGCCCCATCTTCAGGCTGGGCTTCATCGTGGAGCAGGCGGGGGAGAACTTCACGGAGCTGGCGCACACGGTGGGCTGCCCCCCGGCCCCAGACCCCCCAGACCCCCAGCCGCGGCCCTGGCCGCCCTGCAGGGAAGGGAAACCCAATGCCCCAGCTGGGCGTCTGCGCCCTGCTAAATGATTGAGGTGGCCCCACGGCTGGCCGCGGGCAGCTCCTCTCTAGGCGCCTTGGCCCTGGGGCCCCGGCTGCTCCCTGCCAGCCCCATGCCCCCTCAACTGCCTCAGGTTGGGCACCCACTTTGGGGGGGCCCCCTGGTCCTGCTGACGCCCTTCTCTGCCCACCGGGGCCAGCAGGGCGGCGTCATCGGGGTCATCATCAACTGGGACTGTGACCTGGACCTGCCGGCCTCCAAGTGCAACCCCCGCTACTCCTTCCGGAGGCTGGACCCCAAGCACGTCCCCGCCTCCTCTGGCTACAACTTCAGGTATCTCTGCAGCCGGGCCGGGCCGAGACCCAGGCTGGGCTGGCCCTGGGAGCAAACAGGGCAGAGGCCGGGAGCGCGGTGGGCGAGGCCACTGCGCCCCCAGCAAGCGCCAGCCTCGTGCCCCAGGTTTGCCAGGTACTACAGGACCCACAGCGGCAGCACGGCCCGCACGCTCATCAAGGCCTACGGCATCCGCATCGACGTCATCGTGCACGGGCAGGTATGGCCCAGCCCCCACCCGCGCCCCCGCCCCCAGACCAGCTGCCTAGGCGCCCCTTCCTCCCCAGGCCGGCAAGTTCAGCCTGATCCCCACCATCATCAACCTGGCCACCGCGCTGACCTCCATCGGGGTGGTAAGGAGCTGGCTGGTGGGGGCGGGGTGGGCCCAGCCGGCAGGCCCTTACTCTCTGGCCCCGTGGCCCAGGGCTCCTTCCTGTGCGACTGGATCCTGCTGACGTTCATGAACAAAAACAAGGTCTACAGCCGCAAGAAATTTGACAAGGTGTGTGCGCCGAGGCCCTCCCCAGGCAGCTGGCCTGTGACCCTGGCCCTTGTTCTGGGCCAGGGCCCTCCCCCACCCGTGGACCAGGGCCAGCGCCAGGCCCCAGCCAGCCCGCCTCCAGGGCCTTGCCCCACCTCCGCCCTGTCCGAGCAGATGGAGGACGCTCCTGAGCTGGGCGTGGGGCCAGGGCTTCCTGCCTTGGCCCCTCCCCACCTGGACTCCCAGCTCTCGGACCCTCGGGGTTTGGCCCAGCTCTGAGCACCACCTGCCTCCCAGTACCCAGCACCTCAGCCCCACCCACAGGGGTCCCACCCACACCCCTTACCCACCAGGTGGAGGTGAAGGACCCCAAGGGACCAGGTAGGGGGCTGTGCCCCTGCTCTCAGCGCCCCCAGACAGTAGGCAGGCTGCTCCTGCCACCCCCCAAGGAATCACGTCTGGTGTCCAATAAACCTGTAACCAGAACCCCTGGCCTGGTTCTTCAGGGGAAGCAGCTCAGTACCGCCTTTGGCCGGGCTTCCCCTCCAGCCAGCCTGGCTACAAGCAGGAAGAAGCCGAGCGGCAGGCCTTTGAGCAGGTGTGGCTGCCACAGGATCACCAGGCCCAGCATGGTGGCGGCGCCTGGAGGGCTGGCGGGTTGAGGCCCAGGGCTCTGCTCAGCACACACACTCGTGCTGGCAGTGGGGGTGCACAGCCCAGTAATCTGGTTACCGCTCCCTCGGAAGCTGATGCGGCCACTGCATCAGCGGCTGCCCGGCGCCTGCTGGCCAGGCCAAGGGAGACGGCGGCTGGCAGGGCGGCGCTTCTCTAGTAGTGCAGCCTGGCGCGGGCCTGGGGCGCTGCAAGCCCCTGTCTCACCTGTGATCCTGTCTCCAGAGCCCACCAGGGAGGGCTGACCTGGGCTCCTGCCCCCTGATAGTGGGTGAAGAATGCCAGCCCCACCCGCCTGTCCCAGCTCCCAGCCAGCTGCCCACTGCCTCCACACTGTCCACGCTGGGCTCAGGCCCCCAGAGGGCCCAGACAGCAAGATCTGGCCCGAGGCCCCTGTTTCTGAGAAACTGGTTTTTCCAGTTGGGGCCTGGCTGCAGCTGCAACAGGCTAAGCCCTGCAACAGGCCTCAGGTTTCTGTGGGCAAGTATGAAGGCCCAGGGCGTCCCCTCCCCAAATGCCACAGCCCAACTGGCCTGCAAGCAGCGGACAGGGGTCAGTGTCCAGGGAGTGGCCACCCTTCCCCCACACACTCCCCCCAGAGAGTGCCAGCTGCTTCCAGGAAGCCGGCTGCCCCTCCCCATCGGCTGCCTCTCCCCATCGGCCTAATCAGATCAGGCCCCCACTGGGCAGCAGCCTCCCACCTCCCTCCAGGCTCAGGTTTCTCGGCCAGTCCAGTTGCTAACACCTATGCCGAGACATCAAATCAAAGCTGTAAGGGGAATCAGTCACAGAGGAGCCTCTGGGGCCCACTGCCTGCTGGGGTCCCCAGCCGAGCTCACACTCTGCTGCCCAGCCGATCGATCGGCCACTTGCTTTCCTTTCCTGCTTCCATCTTGTCTGATCAAAAATGAGGTGTGGTGTCTTCTACTTGGAGGTAAACTCAGCAGAGGGCCCCCTGGCCACCGGACAGCAGGCCCTGGCCAGGCGTCCGTCCAGCCCCACGCCAGGGATAGCGGTTCCTCGGGTAGAGGAGGGCTGGGGCGGGGGGCCCAGCAGACCCTGTGCCTGGGCACTTGGCTGGGTCACGGGTGCCCCGGTGGGCTGGAGGACGTGGCCCAGCCCCGAGCAGGCAGGACCCAGCTCAGACTCCTCTTCCCAACCCAGCCCCAGCCCAGCCCCAGCCCCAGCCCCAGCCCAGCCCAGCCCAGTCCAGCACCGCCCCAAGCCAAATGAAAGAACCCGGAGTCCAGCATGTGAGGAAGCCATTTCCTGAGGTCCAGGTGCTGATGTACAAAAACCCGTGACTGGCTGCGGCCCACACCCCAGCCCCACAGGCCAGGCTCACGGGGGCACCTGGGGTGGCCCATCCGCCCAGGGCTCCCAGCCACCATGTCCCAGACCACAGACGCTGCCCCCCACCCCAGGCTCGGGCAGGGCTTGCTGCAGGACAGACGCCTGGGCTCCTAAGGAGCCTGGGCCTGCATTACCAGACATGGGCCCCATCCTGCCGGCATGACACGTGCTTCTCCGTGGGGCCTGCACCCCAACACAGGGACCAGTCTGGCCTGCGCCCACCCTTGGGGTTGGGCTCCACGGCCCGGGCGCCTGAGGCTGATGGAGGAGAGGGCGAGGGGCACAGCCCAGAGACTTTCACAGGCATCCCAAGAGGCTGGAGTCTTGCCTGCACCCCTGGGCACAACTGCCCTGGAGCTCCTGAGTCCGCATCCGGGCAGACCACCCCTGCCGATCGGGGGCCGGGCAGGAAGGGCCCCCGGCTGCTAACAGCCTTGCTGGGGGTGCGTGTGCAGCAGCCAGCCCAGGGTCTCCTGGAGATACGACATGCCGAAGTGCTGGGCTATGTTCCGGAAGGTTCCCACCTGCTCCATGAAGACCTGCAGGGCAGAGCAGTGGCAATGAGGCCAGTTCGGGCTGCTGCCGGCTGGGTGGGCAGGCGGGCAGGCAGGCGCAACCCACCTGGGTTTGGACGGTGAGGTTGAAGTCCCCGGCGCAGCTGCAGTGCAGCGGCATGTTGGCCTCCTTCACGCCGCGGCACTTCCGGCAGGCCTGAGGAGAGCAGCGGCGGTTCTGGGCCTGCACCTCGCCACCCCCCCTCCCACCTCCACTGGAGGAGCAACCACGGGGACCTCATGCAGGAACCACTCAAGGGTGTCAGCTGCCCCAGCGCCCGCCCAGGGCCACCCTGACTGCCCGCCTCAGCCACAGGGGGAGCCACCCACCAGGTCCTGCAGGGCGAAAGCCATCAGCTTCTTCTGTAGGGCCTCCACCAGGGCTGCCTCAATGACCGCCGAGTCGTAGGCCACTTGGCAGTTGAAGCAGAGCCACCGGGGCGGGCCGGCGCCATCCTAGGCAGACAGCAAGCAGGGCCAGGTCACCAGCTGGGTGACCTGCCAGGCTGGGCGGGGTGACCCAGACGACCCTGGTGCTAGGCAGGGCCAGGCAGGCGCTGTGGGTGTGCACGCACGGCCACCTCACGTGTGGGGACCAGTGGCCCCTTGGGGGGCCTGGCAGGTGTGACCCAGAAAGATAGAGCTGCGGCGGCCCTGCCCAAGGCAGTGCCCGCCCACCTGGCAGGAGGAGGGGTGTGTGCACAGGTCCAGGTCGCGGCAGAAGTTGCAGCTGGGACAGATGACCTCGGGGAGCACGCAGGAGCGGCAGGGGTCTCGGAACTGGGCCTCTGGCGAGAACTCGCCCACGCCCACCAGGCGGAGCAGGTCCCGCTTCAGTTTGTTGACCTGGTTTGTGATGTTTGTGTCCAGAGACAGGACCTGCGAGAGGCAGACTGGTCAGGGACCCAGCCCCCTGCAGCCACCCAGCCAGCTGCACAGCACCCGTCCCACCACGCAGCCTTCCAGGGCGGAGCCTGCCTTGCACCCGCGGCCCCCAGGCTCACACCAGCATCAGGCAGGACCCTGGAGGCCAGGCTCTCCACCTGTTGCTCAGGGCTCCTTCTGCACACACCAGGGCCCATGGAGCTGCCTGCCAAGCGACAGTGCCAGGCATGGGAGCCACCCTGGCAGGCATGCTGGGCTTGGATGGGGCGGGCAGGAGGGACAGCGCCGTCTCCAAGAGACTGCCCGCCCCCACAGCCTCCCACCACGCCAGCGGTGGCCCCATAGAACCAAATCACTCAGAAGGCATTGTCGGGAGAAAGTGCCTTTTTTTTTTTTTTTGTATAGAACTGGGGTGCAGGTCAGAGTTGCCAGGGATGGGGGAGTGAGATTCACCAGAGGCAGAGTGGGCAACAGCGGGGAGACAGGAGAGGTCTGCTGCGCACTGTGGGTCAGCTCCCCAGCCCAGATGGACCTCAGGCCGCAGTGGTGATAGCCCCCACCCCGCCCCGAGCCCCACGCCAGGGAAAGCAGTTCCTCAGGCAGAGGAGGACTCTGCGGGGGGCAGCACACCCTGTGCCTGGGCGCCTAGCTGGGCCACGGGCACCCCGGGAGGCCCGGGGGCCAGAGGACTTGCTCCCGAGGGGAGCAGGACCCGGCTCAGAGTCCTCTTCCCGCCCCAACCCAGCCCCCCCAGACCCAAAGGAAAGAACCCAGAGCCCGCTTGGGGCAATTATGTGCAATATTTACACGTTGGAAAGCCAAAGCCCCAACGAGGAACTGGAGGCCTGAACAACTAGAGCCATAGCAGCCTGAGGGCCAGGAGCCTCAGAGCTCGGCCTGCAGAAGCTCAGCCGCGGCCCAGGCTTGTTTGGGAAAGAAGCTGATGCGGCAATTCAGAGCTTCACATGGAAGGCACCAGAACAGAGAGGCTGGGCGCAGCACCACACCAGCGGGGCTCACGACTCAGAACGCCGCAGAGACCGGACAGCAGGAACCAGACCGGCGGACGCTCGAGTGCCGTGTCCTGCCAGACATGCTGTGGGGACGTGTGCCCCGTGCCTCACCTTGCACACGTATTTGACGAATTCCAGCGCGGGGTTGCTGAGCACGAGGTGCGAGCCGGGCAGGACAGGGAACATCTCCGAGAGCTCAGTGGAGCTCCGCGAGCCCGTGACTTTCTTCTGGATCTTCTGGGTGATGGTGAAGAAGCTCTGAGTGAGCTCGTTCGCCACGTATTCTTGGGAGAAGGTGATCATACCTGCAGGAAGGAACATGGCACTTGCTCCCCCTTGGAACGGTGACAAGGACATGGAGGGAACTTGGGGGCACAGGAGGCTGGAGGCACCCCATGGGGAGGGATGCTCACCAGGCAGGGCTCCGGCCGCCTCCTGGGCCTCCTGGGAGAGCTGACTGGCACCCCTCCTCCTCACGGGGGTGCTCCCCGGGGCACTGCGCCGCAGCTCCTCCTTCATGCTGTGGTAAACGGCCACCACGTAGGCTGCGAACAAGGGCAGGACAGGCCCAGGGCAGGAGTCACTGACCCAGCACGCCTGGGGCCGGGGTGTGGCCGTCAGACCCGCCAGCCAGACGGGGCTGAAGTGACATCAGTAATGGTCATTTCACCTGCCGCCTCTCGATGGGCCCGAGTCACCCAGAGAAGGAGGGCGCCAGGGACGCCCAAGGCCCTTAGAGAGCCATCGCCTCTGCACTGACAAGCTTGGCCCCAAGGGCACCTGGCTCTGAGGACACCCCCTGCCCCCAGAGAACTGAGAGTAGGAGACTCAAGCAGAGACAAAAGAGTGGGGCGCAGGAAGGCAGATGTCTGCCTCTGTGTGCACCCTGACTCACCGCCCCCACCCCGCGCCCGTGCCATGACACACATGCCTGCTGCTAGACTGACAGCGCCCCCAGGGGGCTCACATCCACTCATCAATCAACCTATGTCCATTCATAAACACTAAACGAGGTTTCTTACACCAGCCAGCAGGCAGGACAGCCGCTCTGATCCCCAGCTCTCTTCGTGACTTAAGCCCTGGGCAAAGCCACCTGGCCCCCTGCTGGGCTCTGAGGCCACGGCCTGGGCAGAGGACGGGTCTCCTCTACACGCAGGGTGGGTGTGGCCAGGGTGCCCCCACCTCAGCCCCCCGGCGGTGGCCTGCTCACCTGAAACGATCATGAGGAAGTAGCTCTGGCAGGAGGCCGCCTGGGGCAGGAACTGCAGGATGTTCCAGTTGTTCTCCAGCAGGTCCTCCACATCCGGCTCGGGTGCGTCCTCCTCCTCCTCCTGGGGCTGCTGCTGCTCCTCCTCCTCCTCCACGCTGCCCCCTTTTGGGGACTCTTGCTGCAACAGAGACGTGCCAAGCATGGCCCCACATCGACACCTGTGCCCACACCACGTGCTCCAGCCTGCACCTCATTCAATCTCTGCGTTCCCACTGCCCCACCCCAACCCAAGCCCTGTCCCAACACACTGCAGGCCCCACCAGCTCGGGCTAATCTGAGTCCTCGCCATGGCAGGAGTTACATTCGCATCGACCTGCTTGCTCCAACCTCAGGCTGTGCAGCAGGGACTCACTGGGCCGAGAACCACACGGGCACCCATCCAAGACCAGAAGCAGGCACGGGCCCCACAGTTGTGTTCGCATCCAAGCTCAGCTTTGTAAGACTGGCTACCCCTTACCTGTCCACAGTGGACACTGGAGGAAACGTTTCCTTTGATTCCACCGTAGTTACAGGGGTCCATCCAGAGAAGAAACTCCCAGCATCGTGAGAAAGAAATTGTCAAGGAATGGAAGATCTCTTTAGAGTGGATGCTACAAAGACGCAAAACAGAGACTGCTCACCGGAAGTCAATAGTTTCATTTTCCCTACTTTGCTCTCCTTGTATTTTTTTTTTTTAATCTATCTGCTTACCCTTCTCTTACTTAAAAACGAACTTAAAGTGAATTCAGACTATCAGCCTTCACACTTTCCAGGGGAAAAAGATAAACTGAACGCCAGGATGCTTTTGCTCTGCCAGGAGGTCGAGGCAGAGGCCAGAGTGGAGGCGAAGGTGCAGGTACCCAAGGCTGCAGAGTAGGCACCTCGCCCGAGCACAGCCGCCCACGTCCCTACCCACATCCCACAGCCCCGGGCACCTGCTGGTGATGTAGTCCACATAGGCCAGGGCGTCATCGATCCGCCGCTTCTTGGTGCAGAGGATGATGCGGTGGAAGTTGGCATAAACGACTGATGAGCCCAGGCGCTTGAACTCGGCAATGAGCCTACGGCCGAGGCCAGAAGCAAGAGTCAAGAGGCGACAGAGATTGCAAGCAAAGGGGCTGAGGATCCTGAGGGGGGAGCAGCCAGATGCACTGAAGATCCCGAAACCTCTGGGAATGAAGGTTTCTGCACAGGGAAAACCCACCACAGACAAAGCCAAATGGTCCAAGACGGGCTGGGTACAGGCATGTACAATGATGCCACAGACATGGCTGTTAAGCAGGAAGGACGGCTCCATATCAATCAATCAACACAACTATGGGGACTCCCTGGGGGCACAGGGGTTAGTCTCAGCAATGTGGAGCTACCCACAGCCACTGCAGCATGAGTTCAATCTCCAGCCAGGGAGCTTCCCACAGGGCACAGCAGACCTCTCCTCTCTCTCCCCGCTGCTACCCTCAGTAGTGGATTTCAGTGGATCTACCCAACAGGTAGATCCTGCCTACTCTGCAGCCTCTGTCTCTTGGGAGTTCTCTCACCCCCACACCTCTGGTCTGAGTCCCAGCTCTTGTAGCATAAACAAATGAAATAAATCTTGAAAAAAAAAAAAAAAAAAACCACAGAGGCGTGGGCAAAGGGAGCAGGAAGCTGGACTTGGCCCCACGCTGGGCTGGCAGGGCAGAGCTCTCCCCACGCGGAGCTCAGACCCACACTGCCGAGCCAAGCAGGCGCACAGCATTCAGCTCCAGGCTGCCTGCAGTGGCCACGGCACCAGCTGGGAGGGCTCTGTGCGGGGCGCCATCCAGGGTGAGGGCTGGGCAGGTGGCGGCACTCACTGCAGGAAGAGCTTCTTCATCAGGCCATGAAGCGTGCGGTGCAGGGCAGGGTCGTGCAGCAGGGAGCCAGGGGAGCGCAGCCAGCGGTAAAAGTGCATCACCTGGTTGTCCGCGTAGATGTTGTGGTGCTGTGTGATCTCCCTCACCCAGCCCACCACCATGCTCTTCAGGACCCTGCAGGGGCAGGGCCAGTCACAGGGGCAGCCCCCACCAGCCCCTCCCTGCCCAAGACCTGCGACCTGGAGTCTCCTCCGTGCCCTCCAGGTCTGTGGGCTGCCCCCCACCCTTTCAGATCGCAGGCCTGGTCTCTCTGACCACTGGCCCAGAGCGGTCTCCCACCCAGCCCACACCTGCACAGTCCTGTGAGGCGGCAAGAGGACCGCCGCCTGCGGCCCCAAAACAGCTCACCCTCTGCGCAGCCCAGGCTGCCACAGCAGGTCAGCGCTGCCGTCCGCAACCCACGGAGGTTGAGCGGGGCTGGGGGATACCTGGCTGCCAAGCACAGTGCCCCGCCCACAGCAACCCCTGACACCCATGCCCACCAGCCTCCCTGCCGGGCTCGCCCTGCGCGTGACCTGGACCCCACAGCGCATGCGCTGGCCCCATGACCTGGAGGGCACCTACGGGGTGATGAGGGCTACTGAGCCTGGAGGGTCCAGGGCACGAGGGCCACACCAGGCAGGTGGGCACCTGCCCTGGCCAGGCAGGAAGACAAAAGTGTCCCTCACATGCCGTCCACCCCAAACCCAGCCGTCCTGCCTTAGGAGAGGCTAGGCACCCACCGGAAGGTGCCAGAGCAGAGTGCCGTCTCGTCGTAGCTGGCCAGGGTGCTGGCAGCCTGCACGCCTGAGATCATGTCCTCCAGGGAGGCCTGGGGGACCACGCTGAAGCTGACGCCCACGCTGCCGGCGCCCTCCATGTCATGGACGTGGTGTGACTGCAGGATGGTGTTCACCGCCAGGTTCTGGATGTCCAGCTCCACGCACACTGCACCGGAGACACCACCCAGGTCCAGGCCTGACCCCACTCGTCTCAGGAAATCCACCGCCGCCGGGGCTTCAAACTCGGGCACCCCAGAGCCCGCCCCAGAGGCCCTGCAGCCTCCACCCTGCACTGGCGGCTGCCCCCCCAGGACAGAACAGGCAGGCCCACCCGTGGAGTAGCAGCCAGGACTGTTGATCTCCATGGGGACCTGGTCCTCCAGCTCCATGAGCAGCCGGTTGTCGTCCGCCTCCTTCCCCCCCAGGTCGGGGCGTGACGTGGGGGACAGCCAGAGCAGGTGGTTGTGGCGCTGGAGGTGGCGAGCAAAGAAGAGGTCGGAGCCAAAGGTGGAGATGTCCTCGGGCAGGTTCCCAACGGGGATGTGGAAGTACCTGCACAGGTAAGGCAGCCAGCCCAGTCAGCCCTGGGCCAGAAAGGGTATACCACCCGCCCCGGAGAGCAGAGTCAGGCCAGCAGCATGGCCCCCGCTGTCAGGCGCCAGGAGCTGCCTCGGGGACACTACCTGCTCATCTCGAAGGCCTGCGACAGGCAGGTGTCCAGGTTGAGGTAGTGGCGTATCATGCGCCGAGCCCCGTGGCGCTGCCAGTCCAAGACTCCGTAGCTGATCTTGTCGGCCACGCGCAGGGGCACCAGCGGGAACTCCTCCAGGATGGGCACCTCCCCGGTCAGCCGCCTCAGCACCCAGCTGGACTGCACGGCCACCAGCGTGGGACCGCGGCGCTCCTCCTGGGCAGGGAGAGTGGGCTGGGTGGGCCAGCGGGGTGGGGGGCCAGCGGTGTGGGGTGGGGGGCCAGTGGTGCGGCGGGTGGCCAACTCACCTTGTAGGCCAGCAGGAAGCGTTGGATGGCCCTGCAGATGGTCTTCAAGTCGGTCTCAGCGCGGACCTCGAAGGTGTGCCGAGGCGGGGGCAGGAGCTCGGGGCCCACCTTCTCCAGTAGGAGGCCATGCTCGGCTGCATACAGGGCGCCCAGGCCAGGCATCTGGTTGCTCCGCACCTGGGAGAGGCGGCTGAGTCACACCCCAGGGCAGCCAGCACCCGGGCTCCCCTCCTAGCCCAGTGGCTGGCCCTTGTGCCCCGAGGGCCACTCCCCACGTCCGCCCAGGAACTCACGGTGTCCAGCACAAACACGGACGCCCTGCGCTGTGAGGGCACGAAGACCCCGAACAATGCCCGGGGGCCCTGGGCGTGGTGGTACAGGTAGATATGGCGGATGCTCCCTGAGGAGGACATGCGTCAGCACTCGTGCGGTGAGGCCCACCAGTCCACCCGCCCGCCCAGTACCTGGCTCCAGGTAGCTGAACTGGGCCAGTGAGCGCATCTCCAGGTGCTCCAGGGAGAAGGTCTCTGCCTCCCGGTCTGAGAGCTGTCGCACCAGCTGCTTGTTGACCACACACACGCAGCCCAGCTGCACCAGAGCCCGAAACAGCAGGGGGACCTGGGAGGACACGCCACAGGCTCTCCGCTGCCCCTGCCAGGCCTGACCCTCAGCCCACACCTGCCTGCTCCACCCCGCCTGCCCCCCCCCGACCTGTGTCTCATACACGCCCTCCACATCGGGGGCCGCCAGCTCAGCGCTGATCTCATTGACGTGCTCCTGGTACAAGTCCTCGGGTACCGAGTACTCGTAGAGGTGGTGGGCCAGGCCGGCACGGGGCAGGACTCGGTTCACCTGGGGGGACATGGGCGCTGTCACCCCTGGGCACCGCCCTGACTGTTGCCCCTGCTCAGGCCCGGGCGCCCAGCAGCTGACCCTACCTTGCGATAGGACGCGCCCTCCTCAGCCTTCGCCACCCGCTGGTTCACGTAGAACAGGCGGGGGATAGTAAGGCGGATGCAGTGCAGGTCACTGCCGATGATGGCCCACAGCCTGAAGAGGCCGGCCTGGCTGGTCTCGCTGATCTGAAGGGCGCAGACCCGGGGATCAGGCTGCTGGGGGAGTCCCCACCCCACACAAAGGCACGGGGGCTGAGCCCCTTGGCAGCCTGGGCGCCCACCCTCCACACCTGAACTATCTGCCAGGGCAGGTCCAGGATGCTGCGAGCCGTCCGTTGCAAGAAGCCCCCCAGCCCAGTGGCAGGCCCGCTGCGCACGGGCCGCGGAGTGCCCTCCACCACCTCCAGACGCCGCCTCTTCTTGCGCGCCAGGCGCTGCCGGGCCTGCAGCTGCCACTTCTTCTTGTGGAAGCGCAGCCACACCAGCCACTCCTCCTGGCACAGGGGATGGGGCCGGTCAGGAGGCCTTCCTGGGACCACAGCAGGGAGGACAGTGCCCCCCGGGCTCCCATTCTCCCCAGGCCGCTCCAGACTCCTGAGGTTTCTTACCTGGGTCGTCCCGAGGGCAGGGGGCTGCCCCAAGATCTCCTGCCAGGGCACAGTCAGCTCCAGGTCCTGCGAGTCCTCCTGGCTCTCCCAGAGCACGCGCTTCCTCTTAGTAGCCACAGGGACTGTGGGGCGGGGCGGCTTCGCAAGGCCCAGGTCCTCTAAGTCGGGGGTGTCCAGACTTGGGGTGCCTTCTGGAGGCCGGGCCACACCCACCTGGAAACCCGAGGAGATTAAGCCACCAGGGCCCGGCAGGGGCGTCTCACGGCGGGTGAGTTGCCGGGACACGATACACGGGCACCCTCAGCTGACAGTGAACAGCGAAGCCGACACAGGCCAGCGTTTATGCCATTCTGTGTGTGCTCTGGAACACCCACCTCCTCATTCAGAATAAAGCAGGACAAAGACATGCACAGCCCCTCCCAGTGCAGGCTGCACCTCTCAGAGCTCCTGCCCACACCGCCCCTGCAACCCTCCTTCATCAACCACACGCCTTTGAAATCGGCTCTGAAAGCACATGCAGAGTGGCCCCTGCCCCCTACCTGTTCCACTACTCAAAGGCCTGCTGCCACCAGTGGGGGCTGAGCAAGGGTGCGCTGGCCGCTCCCGGAAACACAGTACCCAGGGCCGACCGTGCCTCCACCACGCGCCACCCCGAGGCCCCATGGCCCCTGCTACTGGCGGAACCTGAGTCTAAATGTGTCACTGGGGTTCCCTGTGCAGCCCCCTGAAGCCACCCTGGGGGCCCTCCCACCACAGTTGGCCCACCGACTCCTCTCTAAAGACAGGCTGCGGCCTGTAATTACCAAGATTTCTGAGATTAGGTCACACCCTGGCACTAGTCTGCCAGGGGCCAGTGCTGCTCTGGGGAAGAGGCTGCCGTGCCACAGACTGCCCTGGGGGAACCCCAGCCTACCTCCCAGGCTGCCACCAGCACCCATGCTGGCCTGGCACAGCTGCCAGAGGAGACTGTGTGCACTGGGCCTGAGGGCCTCCTGCGGGGAGGCCCGGCTCGGAGACCCAGCTGAACCAGATTCCTGCCGGGGCTGCAAATGGGAGTTTTGTTCCTCCAGTCTAATTTCCCCCACTGTGTCTGTTAATGTTGTCACTGCAACCTTATGTATTTTTACTATTTTCCTGGTTTGCTTGATCAAATGAGAGAGATGTGTTAAAATCCCCAAGCCTGGTGTATTTAGTCAACTCCTTACTAGACTAAGCTTTCACGGTCACCTGCACCGTCAGAACCACCGGAGATGTGACGTCACCCACTGTCAGTATTGCTCAACCGTCACCCTTCGACAAAGATTTCTGGCACAGGTCCTCCCTGGTGGCGCAAGGAGTTAAGACACAACCTATGAAGCTGTCCGCAGCCACTGCAGCATGAGTTCGATCCCCAGTCGGCCAAGGACCAACCCACATGGGGCAGCAGACCTCTCCTTTCTCCCCGCTGCTCCCCTCAGCAGTGTACTTCGGTCAATCCACCTGTTCTGTTTCCCACACTGTCTCTGGTGAATCCTTTCCCCCACACACACCTCTGGCCTGCACCCCAGTTCTTGTATGCATAAATAAATAAATTTTAAAAAAAAAGATTTCTGGCAGAAAGATTTTCTCTGGCATCAGTTTGGCTATGCCAGCTCTGTGTGAGAAACACTTATGGGGCCCGTTTCTTCACTACCTGTGAGGGGCAGCTCTGACAAGGATGCCAGGGTTCTGTCTGGAAATGCAACCCGGGAGTCAGACCTTTAGCAGGTGAGCTGGCGCACAGCCTGGCTGGAGGCCCTTCCCCAGTCAGCACCTGGGAGCTGCTTGCACACCTGGCCCCAGCCTGTCCGACGGCCTCCGGTGCTGCGGGGAAGCTAAAGTCTGGGCACAGGCCCCTCGCCCATGACACACGGCCTCTCCCACCCAGACCAGGGTCAAGGCTCATGTCCGCAGAAGGCAAGGACTCCTGGGTCTGGCTGCAGCCAAGCCGAGCACAGCGGCCCCGTCCGACACAGCCCAGCCCTCACCTGTCTCCTGCCCTCAAGAACAAAGAGTTCACTGATCTTCTTCTGTTTGCAGATGTCGTTCTTCTCCAGCAGCTTTTTGTGCAGCCAGTCAGGGTGCTTAACACGCGGCACAGGGTTCTTCACCTGCAGAGAGCGCACAGGTGAGCGAGCGGGGGGGTGGGGTCTGCGGGCTGCCAGGTGTCCCCACTGCGCAACCCACCTGCTGCAGCGCAGCAGGGATGGTGATGATCTTCTGGATGGCGCTCCCCAGCCGCTCAATGTAGTAGTCCCAGTCCAGGATCTGCAGGACGGCAGCCACACGTCAGAAGGGCGGCCCCAGCACCCGCCCAGGGCCCCTGCTCACTGGGCATCTGCTGCAGCGGCCTGCCTGTGCCCTAGAAACCCGGTGTTGAGAGGCACCTGCCCAGGGAGGAGCTGGAATGGCCCCGGTCCCCAGAGAGGTGGTGGCTGGGCCAGACTGGCCAAGAGGAGGGGTGCAGCACCAGCGTCAGCTTCCCAGTTCTGCTGCAGAGAGACCATCTCCTGTCACCAGGGCCCAGGACGGAGAAGGGAGCACTGCAGACAGAGGGGCACTTCCGAGTCAGGGAAAGCTCACTCACGTTCCGGATATCAAAGTCCTGGAGGGAAGAACTCTTGAGCCACTTCCGGAGAAAATGCTTCCTCACTGTGGGCTCTGCCTGGAAAATGGCAAGGGGGACGGCCCTGGGGACGGGGGCACAGCTCAGAAGGCCGTCCCACCACACCCCACCCCGCACCGCTGCTCTGGGGCAGCCCCAGCTCCTGGGGGGCAGTCCTGGGGCTCGCCCCGAGCCTAAGCCAGACCAGGTCTCCTGGCGGCCTGGGTAACTGGCCCTGTGAGCCAGCCCACACCCCTTGGCCGGCCACACAGCCCACAGTAAGGACCTGTCCCTGACCCACAGGCCCCAGCCAGAGCCGCCTCTTCCAATGGGCCGTCCCCAGACATCTCACCGCTCAGTGACAGGAGAGCCCTCTGGCTTCCGGGAGATGATGTAGCGGCAGCTCAGCCCAGCGTCCTTCACCATCTGGTCCCCCAGGAACTCGGCCAGCCGCTTGGCGGTGCTGATAGATGTGGACTTCTGTTCCCCATAGTCTTCCAGCCGCCGGGACATGGAGCGGTTCTCGGAGATCAGCTCGAACAGCTCAGAATCAGGCATGTTGGCCGCCTGGGGGCAAGGGCAGAGGTTATGTGGGGATGGGCACCCACCTCCCTCAGGCTGCTGCCACCTGCAGGACCCTGCAGCCCTCCGCCCGGTGCACTGAAGGCAGCAGTGTGACCGCAAAGGCTGCCTGCTCAGCCCAGCACACAGCAGCACCTAAAGCCCAACCAAACCTCACTTTCACCTTGTGAACTGTGCAGAGCACGGAGACGCAGCCCCCCGCGACCGGCAAAGATCGCAGAGAACAGAAGCACTGGCGATTTCTCCTAACAGGAAGGGACCCAGGCAAGGAGGGCCGAGGAAGGGCGGGAAGAGACAGGGACAGCCACACCCTGCAGGCGGCGGCGGCGGCTCCCGAGGGGCGTGGGGGGGCCCCCGCCAGCCCCAGGCCTCGGCGGCTCTAGCGCCGACTCTCGCGGGGCCCGCGCGTGCCGCACAGGATGACGTGCCAAAAATCAGGCCCACAGGGGCCTCCCTGGTGCTGCAAGGGGTTAAGTCTCAGCGCTGTGTAGCTACCTGCAGCCTCCGCAGCACGAGTCCGATCCCCGGCCAGGGAGCCAACTCGCGGGGCACGGCAGACCCTCCTGTCTCCCCGCAGCAGTGTGTCTCAGTAGATCCACCTGTTCCACTCCCCACTCTGTCTCTGGTGAGTCCTCTCACCCCCCCACATCGCTGCCCTGTACCCCAGTTCTTGTATGCATAAATAAATGAATCTTAAAAAAGAAAAGATTGGCTCAGCCCCTGAAGGTAAGTCCCCCTTGGGGCCTTCTGGAACTGAGTCTGTCCCCAGTCATTGCACCTGGCGCTGTCAGGCCAGAATTAAAGTGGTTTTTTGAGGGCCTCCCCGGTGGCGCAGCGGTAGAGCGCTGGGTTGCGAAGCTGCCCGCGGCCTCTGCGGCGCTGGTTCAATCCCCGTCTGCTCCCCGGCCACCGGAGGAGGGTCCCACATGGCGCGCAGACCTCTCCTGCCGCCCGCTGCTCCCCTCAGCAGTGTCCTTCGGTCCTTCTGCCTGCTCTGCTCCCCGCTCTGGCTCTGGTGAATTCTCTCACCCTCCCGCGCTTCTGACTGTACCCAGTGCTTGTATAAACAAAACAAACAAACAAACAAACAAATAAATAAATAAACATGCCTCTATTAAAAAAAAAAAAAGTGGTTTTTTGAGGTTTGATTTTCACCCAAAAAAAAAAAGAAAAGAAACAGGACTGCAGAGCAAAGGAAATGCCCCAGACACCTAGCTCCTCCCAGGCAGCATGCTCGCGCACCGCACGGAAGAGGCAAGGCCTGTGTCCAGACGCCTGACGCACACACCGGCCACTCGACCGCCAAGGGCTCTGGCACTAGCGGTGAGGCTAGCTCCCCAGGCCCCAGACTGACTGGAATGTTCTGAGTCTGAGGAGCACAACATGCTGCAGCAGCTCCGAGAGAAGACTCGCTGGCAGACTGCAGGAGCTATGTGCACTCCACGCCTGCAGAGAGCTTAGGACTCGGAGTTGATGTGACTTTCAACTGTCTCCTTCAGCTCCTTCACCATCAAACCATTTGTTTGCTTCCCAGAATTCTGCCCTGGACAGATTCCCGGGAGCCGAGAGGCCCTGCCCGGAAGTTCTGGTCTGAGAACCAGCGAGCTCTCCTACCGCCTGCTCGCGGGTGGGGCACTCACCTTACTGTACAGCACGTCCAGCCAGTAGTCGGCCACCTTGGCCACAGCGCCGTACACCTCCTCCAGCGTACTGCCCTTGAGGAAGGCCTCGAACACAGAGGACTGGAAGATCTTAATCAGCTGCAGCTCCCCACGGCGCTTGACCTCGAAGCCCTTGAGCTCGGCCAGGGAGCCGTCTTCGTTGAACACAGCGTACCTGGCGTGGCGGCAATGCAGTGACCGACAGCCCAGGGCTGGCCACTCCCAGCCCTCTGCCCCCAGCCCAAGCTCCGTGCTTTCCCAGCTGGGGACCGGGGAGGGCCACAGCTGCAGGGGCACAGCAGTTCTGGCCTCTCTGATGACGGCAGCTTTTGAAGTGGAAGAGGCCAAGGAAGAGCCAAAGCCGCTTCCACCCCGGCTCCCTAGACCCCGCAGGCTATTGGCCTTGCCCACCCTGCCCTGCCCCAGCACTAAGGCTGTGGGACTCTCACCTCTTCTTCAGTTTCTTGCCTTCCTCCTTGGAGGCCGGAAGGATCATGGCAAGGTAAGGTCCATCTACCTCAAAAAAGATGCTGTTCTCCGAGCGGGTGACATAGGTGAGCGAGGAAGGCTCGGCCAGCTCCTGGTACTGATGGTTGGTGAAGCCTTCCTGCAAAGCAGGGGTAAAGGGCACGGGCCTTGTCCATGGGTTCCCCCACGGTGGACAGGGCAGACACAGGGCTCCTCTGTCTGGACACAACTAGGCAAAAGAAGAGGATGGAGCCCCCACAGGCACCCGACAAGACACAGAAAGACGCACTGCTGCGCGTCTGAGACACCCAGGAGCTCACTGGGGCTGGCAGGCTTGGGTGGGAGAGGAGCCGATGACAAAGGGCAAGGGGAGACTCGGATGGGAGAGGCAGGGGCAGGTGTGCAAACCAGACGGCAGCCCTGCCGGGCCCAGGCTCACCTTGACCATGATGTTCAGCATGGCCCCGGGGTACGAGATGGTCACCTTGGGCTTTTTTGCATTGGTCGTCTTAATGACAAAGTTCTCAGGGAAGCTGTTGGGCAGGACGCACCAAATCCCATCTGTGTCCAGCTCCAGGGGCCTCCTTCAGAGACAGGGACAAAGCAGCAGTGAGACCTGGTGCTGTGCAGAGCGGGACGAGGCGCTTGCTCCTGGGAGCCCAACACACCTCCAGCCTGCAGCCCATCTCAGCGATCTGCTCACCCACCAGCAAGGCCCAGCCCTCACAGTGCTCACCCAATCTGCTCAATCAGCTCCCGCGCCTGGGTGATGATGTTGGCCCCCGTAAAGCAGACGATGCCGGCCATCTCCATGGAGTACCAGCGGGCCCTGGAGGGTGGTCACAGCCTGGGGTGAGTGGGCACAGTCTCCCCAGAGGGGTTGGGAGGGGTGAGAGAGGCCACCAAGGGGAGGTCTTTCGCTGGGCAGAGCTAAGGTTAGCTGTGCTGAGGACACTTCTATCCCTATTCCAGGCTTCAGCTCAGGGAGGTCCTGGAAGGATGCAGCATGGTGCCACGGCAACAGGTCAGCCAGCCCTCACCCGGACTCCCGGAACTGGCCCAGAGGGTCTCATTTCCCCAGCACCATCTCAAGCCTTCAGAATCTCCACCTCCGTCCCTCATCTTCTCAGAGGAAACAGCCCTCCCTCAAGCCTCACCCCAACTTTCTCCTTCTTGGAGCTGTGCAGCCTCTCGCCACGGCCCCCAGGGGCCCACGCCCACTCAAGCCCGACCCTGGTCCTTGTGTCCAATGAACACAGCTCAGGCCACCTGGACTCTAAGAATCCCCACCCCTTTCCGGCCAGCTCTGCGCTGGCCTGTCAGCCCGGGCAGCAGGGACACCCACTGAGTGACTGACGGCGTCAGGCCCAACCAAGTGCCGTGTCTAGCCCTGACTCTAGCTCCGCTAAGTAGCAGAGCAGGCCCAGGGCCTGTCCCCAGGTAGAGTGAGGCGCCCACCGCCCACCCGCAGCCCACCCCGGCTCGGGCCTGCCCGCACCCCTTGCGCATGACGTAGCCGTAGAAGGAGTTGAGGATGCACTTGTGCGCCAGCTGCAGGGAATCGTACAGCACCTCCATGTTTCGACAGCGCCTCGCCGCCGCCGCGTCCCCCGCCTCCACCGCTGCAGACAGCTTCTTCTTCCACACCTGGGAGCCACAGCAGATCCACTCAGACGCCAAGGTCGTAACGCACCGGAAATGCTCGCGTCTATAGGGAACTTGAAAAAGCTGTTCAAGATGACGTGTGGCTTCTGGGGGCCCCTGGGGCCTGGGGCTTTGTTCCTTGGGCCCAGCTGCCCTCAGCGGGCATGGCCAAGCCACCGGCAGACAGTCCGCTCTGAGCAAAGCACCTGTCCTTTCCCTATACTAGGCAAGGCGCAAACCTACATGAACAGCAAAAAAATCCCGCAGTGATAAAGTGCTTCTACTCACCCCCTCCAGAACACAGATGGCCCCTATGGAGCCCTAGCCTGGCCACCCCACCAGGGCCACACCCACCGCCCTGCCCAGGCGCCCTCCAGAGCATCCATCAGGCAGCCCAGTGGGGGGTGCCCAGACAGCCTTCCCTCTCAAGAGCACCACCCAAGAGAGTATCACAGCAGGTGGGGCCAACAGGCCTCTCCTGTCAATGGAGTTAGGAGAACAGGAGCCACTTAGGAGGTCCCTGGCAACAGCAACTAATGAAGAAATGCAGAGAACACTGAAAGTGTTACAGCAAACGCCCCATCCTGGGCACAGAAACTGTTTTCAAGCTTTGGTGTTTAAAAAAAAGAATAAAACCAAGTCGTCTGCTGTGCGCCGCATGTGCACACCATGCCCTCAAAGCATGCCAGGCACCCTGGCCCAGCCCACGTCCTCGCCGCGAAGGCGAAAGCCAGAATAGCAAGAGGCCTCAGGCCCACAACGCTTCAGAGTGGTCTGACCCCAGGCACACAGGTGGTGGAGGGCGGAGCAGCACAGCCGGCACCCACCTTGTGCAAGCCTTTGAACTCGTAGCGCCGGTCCCGGAAGGCACGCACGGTGTCCACGTAGAAGGAGTTCTCACGTTGGCAGATGGTGGTGAGGCGCGGCTCCACCTTGGTCACATGCACCTTCTTGTAGGCTTTGCGGCAGTAATCTGGGCACAGCAGAGGGGCGTGGGACCTTGCTCGGGAGACGGCCGCCACCCACCCAGGAGCAGCGCGCAGGGGCCAGCGCCTCGGAGCAAGGCAGCCCCAGCCAAGTTACTGAGCCCACCAGCCGTCCCAACTGGGAAGAGCCACAGGGCTGCTCACCTGCCAGCCGCCTCTTCTCATATTTGGCCTGCTCCTCACGGGACAGCTCGTGAAAGGCCCGAGCCGGGCCCTCTGGGGTCAAGGGCGGGAACTTCTCTGACTCTAGCTGGTGCTGGATCCGATGGTACTCGCTGCGACTGGCAGGCACTGGGAGGGTGACCAGGGGAGAGTCCATGACAGGCCTGCCCCCCACTCCCTGCTGACCTTCCCACTCTGCCCCGCCACTCACTGAACTCGCCCCTCCACTGCCAGGCCATCTTGCGCTGGCAGCTGGCTCCAGGTCTGTTGAAGTCGCAGGCAGCACAGGTGGCCTCGTCCACCATGGCGGAGGGCTGCGAGGGAGGAACAGGTCAGCATTCTGAAGGAAGAGCCGGACCCCGCGTCCCGACGCGGCTCACCTGCAGGCGGTTCGTTAGGATGATGTTGGGGTACATGGCCCCCACGTCCAGGTGGTAGATGAGGGGACATTCAATTCGGTTGGGAACCTCTTTCAGGGAGATGAGCTTCGACTTAATCTGATCACACACCTGTGGAGAAAGAGGGCCGCGGCAGGCACCAGGGCTAAGCTCCTCGAAGGAAGGGTAGGGCCGCGAGCACCGCACTGGGAGAACCGCCTCCACCAAGATCTCCGGCTGGAGCCCAGGAGCCTAGGGGCGGCTTGCACACACACCAGTCATGTCCATATGCGTGGCCACGAAGTGTGGTCCGCCGGGAGGTGTGGACCCTGGTTGGCACGACAGCCACCCTCTCGGGGCTGCCCCTGCCCTTAGTGGGGCACTCAGAAAGGCCCAGAGGGTGGCAGTGCTTTCCCAGCATCACGGATAGGCCTGTGAACCAACTTCCGAGTCTAGGCAGGGTCTCCGCCATCAGCGCAAACCTCCTGAGCCCTCCAAGAACCAAAACCTGCCCCAGTAAAGGCAGCCCTGGCTCTGCTTATGCCCACAGGGCACAGGAGCACCAGGCGTGAGCTGCCCATGAGGCGGTGAACAGAAGCCGGCATGCCAGGACCCCAGCCTGGCAACACAGCACACGGCCAACAAAGGAAAACGTGCAGGGGCAAATGGATGGGCCAGCGGGGAGGGGCTAGCCCCATGTAACCCCAGCACAGCAGGCCCACCGGCAACACGCACACCCCACCAACAGCGCTTCCAAGCACCATGGACAACGTCACGCAGCCAAAGTCTTAGCAAAAACAAACCTGAAACCTCTGGCAGCTCCTCAGCCCGTGATAGACGGTGCGGACATGCAGGGCCCAAAGGCCTCCTGCCTCTCTCCACACCCGTCACTGTACCCACGCCCTGTGAGGCCCCTCCTCGGCAGGTGGGCTGTGCACCTAACCATGGCCCCGTCCTCCCCAGCCAGCACCAACGGGAACACACTGACGTGCTGCCCAGGGAGGCCGCAAGGAGGAACGAGGCGCGTCCCCCCCCCCACCCCAGCGCTACCTCTTGGAAGTTGGTGACCTCCTGCATGGGCACCTTCTCCTCCTCCTCCACGGCGTGATGCAACGTCTTCTCCACCCGCTGCAGCAGGAACTCAAAGGCGGCAGGATTCTGGTACAAGTGACCGGGGGACACGGTAGTGAGCCAGGGGAACGCCCTTGCCCAGCCACCCCAGGCAGACGCAGCTGGGGGCACTCTGTGACCCAGCCACCCTGAGGAGGGAGACCAGGTGGGATGGGTGGGGGCCCTCAGGGCGGGGGCGGGGCCCTGGGAAGAGGTGGGCAGGATCTGAGGCCCAGAGCCCGCAGGGCGCACCATCCTGAAGCGACAGGGGATGTCGCTGCGGAAAACGCCGGACTCCAGGGCCTCCACGTGGCCCCCCACGTAGGTCTCAGCGTCCAGCACGTGGCCGTCATCCGTCAGCTTATTGAACTCCTGCTCCTGCTTGTTCGGGAAGATGATGTTGGCGTGGAATGCCTGCACCATCAGCAGAGCCTCACACAGCGTCCCAGAGCCCTTCCGCAGCACCTGCAGGGAGGCCAGGCTGGAGCAGATGCCACACCTGCGGCTGCACCAATGTGCAGTGTGGCAGAGCTGGGTGGGGGAGGGGCAGCATGGGGTCAGGCTGACCTCGTCAGGCTCCATGGGGATGATGGTGCACAGGGCGAAGATGAAGGGGTGCACGTACTTCATGTATAGGTAGTACGTGGCCACAGCGTCCGACACCGAGTACGTGGCCAGAGTCTGAGGAGAGAAGGTGAGCGTGTGGGGCCGAGCCGTGCGGGCAGCCAGAGATGCGGCAAGCGCAGACAGCGGCCCCTACCTGGGGCTGCTCGGTGGCCATCCGGCACATGTCCTCGGGGTCCAGCTCCACGGGGTCGTAGCCCAGCTTGGCTTTGGCGGCCGCCTTGAGGTTGTGGCTGCCCACGGGGAGGTAGCTATCTCTCTTCACCCACCTGGGAGCAAGAACGAGTGCAGAGGCCGGAGGCAACTGAGACAAAGCCTGGGCCCACGACAGCCGAAAGCAGCTCGAGCACAGGAGATGCCGAGTCCAGACGGGCCCAAGACCCCCACTGGGACCCCAGCTGGGGCAGGTTGCTGAAGGCAATTCATTTCAGGTGTGCCAGAGCCCACCCTTGGGCCTGCCTCCTCATCCCCATGGAGAAATTAGAAGGCACTCGGGGCCCCAGATCCCCAGCACGCCGCTTCCCACCATGCTGCGGGTCTGCTCTCCCCACCCCCAGGCCCTCCTGCCACTTCCCTGCTCTGTTCATACAGCCGGAAGCAGAGAGGCGCTCCAGGATACCCCTTCCCTCAGGTCCCCCCCCCACCGTCCCCCCTCCCAGACCCTCCCCAGCTGCCCTGCCATGGCCTCTGCGGACTGGGGCTTCCCTGGGCTCCTGCGCCCTTTACTTCTCATCTCAAAGGCCCGTCGTCACAGCCTGGACCAGATAAGCCTGCAGTGGCAACTCTACACCACAGTGCCCTGGGTCCCGGCCTCCTCCTGGACAGTCTCTCCAGATGGGTCGTCAACCCGAGCTCTGCCTGCCCCCCACAACTGCCCCAGAAATACACCCCTACCCCGAAGTCTGCAGGCCCCCAAATCCTCACCTCTCAAATATGTCAACCCGCCCCTCTCCACTCCCACAGGGGCGCCCTGTACCCCTGTGTGGGGCCTACCTGAGACAGTCCATGTGGATGCACTGGGGTGACTTGTACTCGCCCTGGCTGTCCTTCTGGAAGCCTATCTCCTGGCGCATACTCAGACCGTGGGCCGCCGCCCTGGCCTCCACGAATGGCCTAGGAGGGGTGGAGAGCGCACAGGCTGGAGTCCCTCACAGGAAACACTGCCCTGAGTGCACCCACTGCCCTGAGTGCACCCAGGAGCCCAGGCCTCTCCTCAAAGGGGATGAGGGGCCCTGTGGTGCCTCCAAGGGTTGCTCCTCTGACTCCTCTTCTTGCCTTTCCTGCCATAACCACTCCCATGTACTCGTACATGCTCAAAGCTCATGTTAACTAGCAGACACGGGATCAGGCCGGATCTTTCTCAAACACTTTTTACTCATAGACAAGACAGACTCACCAGTCAAAGAAGTCCCCATTGTAAGTGACCATGATGGTGGGCTTGGTCTCCTGGACATGCTCAAACCACCTCTGGAGTAGACGGACCTAAGGTCCCAGAGCCACGGGTCAGAGCTGGCCCCTCCTCCAATCAACAGCTGCCTCTCGGCCCTGCCCGCCACCCCACCCCACAAGCGCGAGACCACAGCACTGGTGAGCGAGGCTGTGGACCGTCACCCTGACACCACAAATCGGGGCTCAGAAGAGCCACCATGTCCACCTCCTGCTTCAGCCCAAATACCAGGAGGTGCCGAGGGTGCCCTGTACCTCGTCGGGCTCATTAAAGACACAAAAAGGCCCTTCATATTCCGGCTTGGGGGTGAACTCAAAATCTTCAATGTCTTCTGACACGATCTCCCTGTTAGTGATCAGGTAGCCCTGTGGGAACCATGAGCAGTCGGCGTGAGGGAGGGCACAGTAGCTCATCCCTGACGTGTGGCCCTTACTGGAAGTCTCTGCAGCAAGGGCCTGCCTGGTGGTGCAGGGGTTAAATCTTAGCACTATCAAGCTATTGCCAGCCCCTGGGGCCTAAGTCCGATCCCCAGCCAGGGAGCTACCCACAAGGTGCAACAGACCTCTCCTGTCTCCCCCCTGTTCCCTTCAGCAGTGGATTTCAGTAGATCCACCTGTTCTGCTCCCCACTTTCTATCTGGTGAGTCCTCTCACCCCCACGCCTCTGGCCTGCACCCCAGCTCTTGTAGCATAAATAAATCTTTTTAAAAAAGTCTCTGCTTAGGCTTGAATTCATCCTAGCTCCCCCAGAAGGGATGTGCACCCCACACCCCGTGTGTCAGATGTCTAATGAATGCTGGGAGCACAGAGCATGCTGTAACAGCCTGCCTGGCCACATTCTTGGGCTCCACTGACTGTCACCCTAAAAATACCACGGGGCAGATGCTATTCTGATTTGGGGACCGGATGTGCCACTCACCTGGCCGTCTATCATGTAGGAAATCATCATGATCTGGTCTGTCTCGGGATCAGGGAATTTGAGGGGCAGCTTGGTCGTCTCAATGTCAAATGCCAAAACCACAGGGTCCTGGAGGGACAATGCAGCACTGAGTCAGTCACAAACCAAGCTGGCTCCCGAGACCCAGGGGTCCTCTCAACACCACACCACCAGCCCCAGGGGCTGAAGGTGAAGTCAGCTGTTGCCAGGCAACGTTCTGGAAGCAGCAGGACAGGCATCTCAGTTGCCTGGCCTACATCCAGGATGCCTCAGTTCAGCAATGGTGTGAAACTCTAAACACAAGAGAAAAAGCGAGAGCTGCTGGTCACAGCAAAAGCCTAGAATTATAGAACACTGAATCAGAGCTGCTGAAATGCCTAAGCTCGCCTGGTCTTTATGGCAACCCTGACAGGAGACTGGCACAGACCTGACATCTTCATTAGAAAACTGAGCAGAATTCCCCAAGCTCAGAAAGCTGTCCCCAAGCCACCACCTTCTCATTAGGCGTCCCTTCTCACGTGCTCCACACCTGGGGTGGAGGTCAGAGCTTTCCCTCTAAGCTTCAGACCAGCCTCCCTAACAATGAGGCCAGGCACATGTACAGTCACATCCTCCCTTGTGAAGGGCTCCTCCACCCGACAGGGATGCTGGGGGCACTGTCCGCCCAATCAGGTTCCCATAGACACGTCCCATTTCAAGTCACTACTACAACTGGACCAGGCTCACAGCTTCTTAACTACGAGCGCAAGATGCCCTTCGCAACAGCTGTCAGGAAACTTTGAAAAATAAAAAATAGAGGTTTGGGCCTACCTGGTGGTGCAAGGGGTTATGACGCAACCTATGAAGCTATCCGCAGCCACTGAAGCACAAGTTCAATGCCGGTTGGCCAGGGAGCAACTCACATGGCACAGCAGACCTCTCCTGACTCACCCACTACTCCCCTCAGCAGTATATTTCAGTCATTCTGGCTGTTCTGCTCCCCACTCTGTCTCTGGTGAATCCTCTCACCCCTCCACACCTCTGGCCTATACCCCAGCTCTCGTATGCATAAATAAATAAATCTTAAAAAAAAAAAAATGCTTATTATTTACTGAGTCTGGGAATTACACAGCACACCTGGGGTCACCTAATATGGGGGAGGACCTCGAGCACAGGCAGAAGGTCCTGCCCTTACCAAGGCTCAGAATGGGGAGCCACAGGTTTCACGGGCTCAACATTGGTGAGTCCAAATTGTAAGGCTGGAAACTGAAAGCACGGAAGAGACAAAAGATGAAGGGCAGGAGGAAAAAACAATCCTGTCCATACCAACTAACGGCTATATCCACCAAGATCTCTAGGTCAAAGCAGAGAGGGTGTGGGTAGAGGGGTGCACAGAGAAGGGGGAGCAGCCTGCCCTTCAGGCCCATAAAAGGACGCCTAGGTCAAGCTTGAGTCAGGGACTTGCAAGAAAGAGCAAAGTAGACAGACTGCATGTGTTTGTACCACATGCTTCTCAAGTCAGAAACTGGTGAAAAAAGGATAACTCAGAAATTCTTTCAAGGAGATATTTGAGGTAAAAGAAACAAATATTTGAATAAAATCACCTTTCAGCACTGAATTAGATCTCTCCAGACACAGGTGGAAAATTTAGGATGGGGAAATGCAAGCAGCACTTACAGGTCGTTCTACGAGGTCATCTCGACGGGAAATTTCCACAGGCAAGGCGCTTCCTCGATATCTGACGTTGTACCAATGAGCCTGTTGGCAAGTGATGTGTTGAGTGCCAGAGCCCATTTCTCCAGGCCGGGCCCATTGCCCCGCCGCCCAGCTGCAGACACTCACCACGTGGATCTCCAGGTCAATGGAGAGGCGGATGTGGTAAGGCACGTCGTACTCACGCATGTCTACAACGTTGTCCAGCTGGTCAGCCATCCTCCTCGAGGTTTCCTCCTCATCAAGAGCCACACTGCCCCCTTGCAGAACACTGCAAGACAGGGCGAGCCGCTCACCCGAGTCTGCCGGGAGCAGGGGAGCGGGGCAGTAGGGGGCAGTCATCGTGCTGAGTAAGCACAGGGTAGATGGAGGGGCTGAGCTGACAGGACGTGTCCTTCTTCCGGAAGGAATGACCGCATGATGCCCCCACCAGGCAGTCACAGACACAAGGAGACTCTGCTCGTGGGCATTTTAGAGGCTGCACATCACACCCCCACTGAAAGGACACGCTGTCACTTGGGGGCCCTAAGACATGACCCGCCCTCCTGACAAACAGGTGGCTGACAGGACAGGTCTGCATGAGCCCCCGGGTCACAGTCACACAGCTCTCAGCACTGTGAGGGCACGGGAACGATTCCTATCATAGTTATTCCTACACTAAGAGGAAGCCACTGTCACTAAAACACTCCTCCAACACTAGCCCCCTAGACTAGACTGCCGGATACTGGATGGACTGTTAGGAGGGAAAAAGACCAAAGATAGTTGTAAAGGTGGCTCAGGTCTCTCAGGGACTCAGCATTCAGGGACACCCTGAAACATTCTGGAGGTTTGTGGTCCACTGGAGCACGTGGGGTGGGAAGCGGGTGGCTTTTCTGAAGTCACCCCAACTTTCAAGCAGTCAAGGTTTCCTCTTCTGCACCGCTGATCCTGCTTCCTGCACATTGATGTCCATACATCCGACGAACGGTGTCTGGTATCCTGTACTTAAGTGGCACTGAAGAGCCCCAGGCTCTCCAGAGAAGGGTGTTGCGTGAGTCCAGGCTCTCGACAAGCTGGCTGCCAGCTCAGCACTCACCACACCCACGGAAACAAACTACTGGGGTGGTGGGATCAGGAGCGCAAAAGGCGTCCACCTTTACAGCAACTCCACGCAGGACAAGAAGCGCTGCTGAGGCCCATTGTGAGAAGCATGTGGGGTTGCCACAATGCCGACACAAACACCTCAGGTAGCAAAGCCACCAAAGGGCCCAAGAGTCTCCAGAAAGACGGGTGCTGAACCCTGAGGGGACTGCACTGCTGGACTTTGCCACCTCCGTCCACCTGGACAACTTAGTTAAAATGGAAACACGGTCCTCACGGGCTGGCGCTGTCTGCCCGAGGCAGCTCACCTGGAAAGCATGGCCGTGTAGGAGTCACTACTGTGGCTCTGCTCCCGGTTCTTCCTCACAGCAGGGGAGATCTCCTTCCTCACTCTGACAAGGTCCTCCACGGTGTGGAAGGACAGCTTAATGTAATTTCGCTTCAAACCCACCAAGTGGTTTGGCTGCAGAGTGAAGAGATTTGCTCATGAGTTCAAAAGAAAAAGGAGTTTACTGGGGAGAGACAGTGGGTTAGAACTCAAAGGCAGATAGATACATGAGTTGAAGAGCTGAAAACTCCAAACTCCTTATCAAACTCCGCTCAGGGCACCGACAGCACCACAGCGCCCTCTGGAGAGGACTTGTGCAGTCACCAGACAGCCCAGGCCCCAGCACGGAGACTGCCCAATCCCTCCTTCACCCAAGGTGCACCCTAAAGGTCTGAGTGACACTTACCAAGTCCAAATCTTCTTTGGGGACAGTCTCTACTTTAGCAATTTTCCCCTGAAACTTCTTGGAAAGAAAAGATGAAACTTCTCGCTCACAGCCCTAAATCAGGATGAGAATGATTTCCATTAGCCAATCTATTTCCCTTCCCAGCCTGTTTCCTTCGAGGCCTCTTTATTTCCATTTCTGAACCACCCCCCACCCAGAGCAAGTTAGGGAAGAGAATCACCTGACCTGATTCCATGACCCACATTTACCCTTTTTTTGACCTTTGAAAAGGACAGGTTTATGGGGGCCTCCCTGGTGACGCAGGGGTTAGACAGCGCTATCAAGCTATTGCCAGCCACCGCAGCACGAGTTCGATTCCCAGCCAGCCAGGTAGCAACCCACATGGTGCAGCAGTCCTCTCCTGACTCGCCCGCTGCTCCCCTCAGCAGTGTGTTTCAGTCAATACGCCTGTTCTGTTCCCCACTCTGTCTCTGGTGAGTCCTCTCACCGCCCCAACCTGTGGCCTGTACCCCAATTCTTGTAGGCATAAATATGTTTAATAAATAAATAAACCTTTAAAAAAAAAAAAAAAGAAAAGGACAGGCTTATTAGGACAAGGAGGGAGGAAAGAGAGGCCCGGGCACAGCTGAAGGAGTAGGAGCTGCACACACTTACCTTTTTGGTTGCAATGTAGAAATATGGCTTGTAGGGTAAGGCCACCTGCAAGAGTTACCAACCCATTCGGGGTGACGGGAAAGAAAGAAAAAGAGATCATATGAGAGGCTGATGCAATGCATCCTGGACCTCGACACCTCCGGAGAGCAAAGGTGCAACGAGAAATAGGCCTGCCCATGTGGCGGGGGTGAGAGCCTAAGAGACACGACCCGGCTCCTCGGACCATGTTCCCATCAGGCTTTAGGCTACACACTGCCAAGACCCAGTCCCTCCTCTCCTAAGAGTCAGGGAGCTAAAGAAACTTTCGTCGTTGGGGGCCCAGCTCTACCCCATCGCTGACCAGCTTTTCACTCATGGGGCTGAGGGGCTTACCTTAAATCTGCCCCCATCGTCTTGGATAAAGTAGTAGTCCACGGCACTGACCAGACGCTTATCCTCATCTAAAACCTCAGTCTAGGGGAGAATTGGTCAATACACCCGTGGTTACCCTCCACGTGTAGAGGAGCACCCCGAGTGGGAGGGCAGGGAAGCCCGGGGCTTACAGGGTGCATGTTGATGAGCCAGCCAGTCTTCTCCCCAGGTTCCTTGAGCCTCTCAAAGCCAAACCGCAGATCCATCTTATCTGTCCACTGACTGCGCTCCAGGCGCTTGAGTGCAGAGACGGAGGAGGGGGCGCCATCGTCCCTGGAGGGGGCACCACCGTCCCTGGAGGGAGGGAGCATACCCGCCTTACTGGCAAGCACCCGCCTTACTGGCAAGCACCCGCTCGCACAGCATTCCACCACGCTGTGCATGTGTTAAGTGTGACAAGGTCGGTGCATGCCTGAAAAACCTCACTCATGGCAAAACAGCTCATGAAAAGGACAAGACTCCTGGGGGAACCAGGACAGGGCCAGGTCCATGGAAACCAGTTCCTCTACAACCAGAACACTAATGAAAGCAACGGCCAGAGCGGGTCACAAAACCCAGCATGTACCCTGGGCATTTACCCCAGGGAAATGAAAATGTGTTCATACAAAAACTAGTGGCTGGGGCCTCCCCTGGTGGCTCAGCAGTTGAGCGCTGGGCTGAGAAGCTGCCTGCAGCCTTTGCAGCGCTGGTTCGATCCCCGACCGCCGGCGAGGGCCCCACATGGCCCGCAGACCTCTCCTGCTGCGCCCGCTGCTCCCCTCAGCGTCTGCCTGTTCTGTTCCCCGCTCTGGTGAATTCTCTCACCCTCCCGCGCTTCTGACTGTACCCAGTGCTTGTATGAAATGAATAAATAAATCTTTAAGAGGTAAAGGACCTGTACAAAAAAAACTATAAAACACTGTTAAAAAAAAATAGAAGACACAAAGAAATGGAAAGACATCCCCTGCTCACGGATTGGAAGAATTAACATTATTAAAATGGCCATCCTACCAAAAGCATTATACAGATTCAATGCTATTCCAATAAAAATTTCAATGACATTCTTCAAAGAAATAGAACAATTATTGATGAAATTCATCAATAATTCACCAAAAACCCCGAATAGCCAAAGCTCTCCTGAAAAAAAAAGAAGGGAATGGAGGCATCACTCTCCCAGACTTCAAACTATATTACATAATCATGGAAAATGCATGGTATTGGAACAAGAACAGACACACGGACCAATGGAACCAAACAGAAAATCCAGAAATAAACCCACAGATTTATGGTCAAATAACCTTTGACAAAGGAGCAAAGACTATGCACTGGAGCAAAGAAAGTTTGTTCAATAAATGGTGCTGGGAAAACTGGGTCGCTACATGCAAAAGAACGAAGCTTGACTATTACCTCACACCATACACAAAAACCAACTCAAAATGGATTAAAGAACTAGACATAAGACCTGAAACCATAAAATACATAGAAGGAAATATAGGCGAAACACTAAATGACATGCACCTCAAAGACATTTTTTTTTAAAGATTTATTTATTTATTTATACAAGCGCTGGGTACAGTCAGAAGTGCGGGAGGGTGAGAGAATTCACCAGAGCCAGAGCGGGGAACAGAACAGGCAGAGTGATGATACACTGCTGAGGGGAGCAGCAGGCGGCAGGAGAGGTCTGTGCACCATGTGGGAACCTCGCCCAGCGGCCGGGGATCGAACCGGTGCTGCAGAGGCTGCGGCAGCCTCGCAACCCAGCGCTCAACCGCTACGTCACCAGGGAGGCCCACCTCACAGACATCTTTACAGACACATCACCCAAAGCAGTGATAGTGAAGGCAAAGATAAACAGCTGGGACTACATCAAATTAAAGAGCTTCTGCACAGCAAAAGAGACAATAACCAAAACAAAGAGAAACCCCACTGACTGGGAGAACATTTTTGCACACAACACTAATGATAAAGGACTGATCACAAACAAGAGCTAAAAAGAAACTTCTCCAAAGAGGAAATGCAAATGGCCAACAGGCAATGGAATATTACTCAGCAATCAAAGAAGATAAACACATGCAGTTTGCAGCAACATGGATGGAGCTAGAAGGGATCATGCTCAGCGAAATAAGCCAGAAAGAAAAAGAAAAATACCGGATGGTCTCACTCATAGCAGGAATTTAGAAAACCTAAATAAGGAACCTATTTAGAAAACCTAAATAAGGAGTGCAAACTGGTCCAACCACTGTGGAAAGCTGTCTGGAGGTTCCTCAATCTACTAAAAATGGAGCTACCATATGACCCAGCAATTCCACTCCTAGGGATCTACCCAAAGGACACAAAAACAGTGATTCAAAAGAGCACCTGTACACCTATGTTTATTGTAGCACTATTCGCAATAGGTAAAACCTGGAAACAACCCAAATGCCCAAAAATAGATGACTGGGTCAAGAAGATGTGGTGTGTGTATATATATATATATATATATTGGAATATTGTAGAACGGAATATTATTCAGCAATCAAAAAGATAAACTCATGCCATTCGCAGCAATGTGGATGGAGCTAGAAGGAATTATGCTCAGTGAAATAAGCCAGAAGGAAAAAGAAAAATATCCCATGGTTTCACTTATAACAGGAATATAGGAGAACCAAGTAAGACATCAGTGTAAAAAAAAAAAGTAACAGTACAAATCACAACAAAGCAAAACAAAAAATAATAAACCAGAGACATCCTGCAGGGGAGGAGGAGGGAGACAGGTGAGAGGAAGGGAGTGAGGCACACAGGGGACTGTGGCGATGGTGCATGGATGCCCTGGGGAAGGAAATTCAATCTGAGGGGGTGGGGAAGCAAAGATTGTCTAAAAAATTGTAAAAAAAAAATGATAAATGTTAAAATTTAAAAAAAAAAATGTTCCCACTGAGAAAAGGGTAAACGGGACCTTTCTCTGTAACTACAACTGCATGAGATTCCACAATGATCTCAAAATAAATTTTTATGTATTTATTTTAATTTTTTTAAATGTTAGTTGCTACATTTATGAGTTTACTGGTAAAACGGAACAATTCCTACCCGTGCAAAATTTTTATGCATGTTATAAGAGATAATGAGCATAAAAGTACTTTGGAGACAGCAAAGTTGTCAAAACAGAGCAATGTAGAAAAACCAAAAACCTGATGAGCAGATTTTGTCAAAAATGACCAGTGAAGATTAAATCACACAACAGAGGTGACAGTGGACGGGGTTCTCTGTACATAGTGGGTGCTCGAGATACAGTGTTTGTGATATTTATTAAAGATCAATGTAAGGGCCTCCCCGGTGGCACAGCGGTTGAGCGCTGGGTTGCGAGGCTGCCCACGGCCTCTGCAGCGCCAGTTCGATCCCCGGCTGCTCCCCGGCCACCGGAGGAGGGTCCCACATGGTGCGCAGACCTCTCCTGCCGCCCGCTGCTCCCCTCAGCAGTGTCCTTCGGTCCTTCTGCCTGCTCTGCTCCCCGCTCTGGCTCTGGTGAATTCTCTCGCCCTCCCGCGCTTCTGACTGTACCCAGTGCTTGTGTGTATAAACAAACAAACAAATAAATAAATCTAAAAAAAAAAAAAAAAAGATCAATGTAAATATAAGTTTTCAGTCATGAAATCTGAGTTGAAAATATTGACTGAGGGCCTCCCCGGTGGTGCAGCGGTTGAGCGCTGGGTTGCGAGGCTGCCTACGGCCTCTGCGGTGTCGGTTCGATCCCCGGCTGCTCCCGGGCCACCTGAGGAGGGTCCCGCATGGCGCGCAGACCTCTTCTGCCGCCCGCTGCTCCCCTCAGCAGTGTACTTCGGTCCTTCTGCCTGCTCTGCTCCCCGCTCTGGCTCTGGTGGGTTCTCTCACCCTCCCGCGCTTCTGACTGTACCCAGTGCTTGTATAAACAAACAAATAAATAAATAAATAAAACTTTAAAAAAAAAAAGAAAATATTGACTGAGCATCTACAGGTGCCACCCTGAGACCAGCACAGGTGGGTAACAAGCAACACCGGTGCCACAGCACACCTGGGAGGCATGCTTCACACAAGACAGCAGGAACGTGAGGGCCACACTGCCCTGGGCTGCAGGGTCAGCTCAGTGTATGCGCCTTTGGAGATGGCAGAGGCCAAGCTAAGCCACTTTCTTCGCGACCTACCACTGAAAGATGGCTTTATTTTCTACTCGGCAGAGTCGTTACCATGGTTTTACAGCATGTTTGTTCTAAATGCACAACAGCAAGAGAGCAGAAGAGCTGACTGGAGAGTGCTGAGCACAGGGCAAGTGCACTTGCCCCAGGCCAGGTGGACGCTGCCCTGTGCCGGGTGCTGGTGTCCACGCGACATTCTCGTAAACAGCTGGGAACGCCCGCTGGCGCAGAGCGACCCTTACAGGTTCGCCCTGGCCAGCCCGACCCTGACGTCAAAGCCACCAAGACACAGCAAAGCGGACACCACACTCTGTGCCCAGCAACACTCTCGGCTGCTAGGAAGCTCCGCTCTCAGCTCCCGGGCACCAGCTCCTGGGCCGGAGCTCCCGGGACCCTCGGGCCAGGATCTGTGGCCACTGTCCCCGGGCCGACCACGGGAGGGGCCCGGTGCACACGACCGCGCCTGGCTCCGCGCCTGGCCACTCGGACCCCGCAGTTCCGTCCAGCGGCGGTTAAAGGGCGAATCTGCCTGGGTGAGGCCAGAGCAGGGTGGCCGGCTCCGGCAGCGGCCTCCCGCCTGCTGCCAGGGCGCCAGAACCGGGACTCCCGGCGCGGGCCCAAGTCCAACGCCGGGGTACGTGGCCCCGACCGCCGAGCCGGAGAGGACGACGCTCGGGTGCTCCACGACGGCTGCGGGAGGGACGGCGGGGCCCGCAAGACGCCGCAGCCGCCGGGCCGGACCCGCTGCCCAGTTTCCAGCTTGGGAGCGAGCGACCGACCCTCCGCGCGGGTCGCCGGTGCCAGGGCACGGCCCCGCGCCCGCTCAGGGCCTGGGCGCCGCCCCCCCGCCGCCCCCTCCCCGGCCGGCCACCCACCAACACCCCGCCCGGCCCCGCCCCCCGGCCGCCCCCACCCCCCCCCCCCGCCCGGCCCGGCCCGGCCGCCCCCCCCCCGGCCGCCCCCACCCACCCCCCCCCCCCGCCCGGCCGCACCCCCCGGCCGCCCCCACCCACCCCCCCCCGGCCCGGCCGCACCCCCGGCCCCCGCCCGGCCGCCCCCCGAGGGGCCGGGTCTGGGTCTGGCGACCCGCCCTGCCCGCGGCGCCGCCGCAGACCCACTCGCGCACGCGGCCCCGCGCAGGGCTGTCCGGACGGCCGAGCTCCGGGCGGCGAGCCAGGCCCGCCCGCCCCCTCACCGGCTGGGCTCCCCGTCCGCGCCCGGCTCCGCGCGCCGCCGCCCGCTGTTCCTCAGAACCATCCCGCCGCGCCGCCGCCGCCGCCCGCGCAAGTTTGGCGCGCTCCCCAAGTCTCGCGAGAGCCGGCGCGCCCCGCCCAATCAGAGGCCCCGCGCCGCGCCGCGCCCCGCCCCCGCCCCCGCCCCTCTCCAATCGCCGCCCGCGCCCGGGGGAGGCGGCCCGTGAGGGACTCGGGGAAAAGTGCGCGGAGGCGCGCGCGGCGCTCGGCGGCGTCCCGTCGGGGGGGCGCTGCGGGCCGCGACGGGGCGGGCACCGTCAGGCCGGCCGGCCCCGCCCCGGCTCCCGCCCCCGCCCCCGCCCCCCCCGCCCCCGCCCCCCCCCCCCCGCCCCGCCCCCGGCTCCCGCCCCCCCGCCCCCGCCCCCGCCCCCGCCCCGCCCCGCCCCCGCCCCGCCCCCGCCCCCCGCCCCGCCCCGCCCCCGCCCCCCGCCCCCCCCCGCCCCCGGCTCCCGCCCCCGGGGGCGGCAGGTGCGGAGCCGGGCGGGAGGCGATGGCGCCGGCGGCGTCGCGGCTGGGGCCGCGGCCGGGCTCGGGGCGCTCCCGCGGCGCGCGCTCGCCCAGTACCTGCGGCTCCTGCGGCTGCACCCCGTGCGCACCAAGGCGGCCACCAGGTCGGCGGGGGGACGGCGGCCGGGCGGGAGGCGCCGACGCCGGAGCCCGCGCCCAGGGACAGCGCCTGGCGGGCCCCCGCGGGCGCTCGGGAGCGCGGGGCGCCCGGGTCGCCGTGACCCTCCCGCGCGGGGAAACGCGCCAGAAAGCTCGGCTCACGGGGCTTGAGCGTGGGGTTCTGGAAAGCAAGGGCTGGCTGATCACGGATTTGCTCATCCACGCACGCAAGAGCCGGGGTGCCGGCCGGAGGGGCGGGGGCTGTCAGAGGAGTCCCCAGGACAGGGCGGGGAGCCGATCCACGGAGACCCACGGCTGAGGGGCAGCGGGGAGACAGGAGAGTCTGCCGCGCCCTGGGGGTCGCTCCCTGGCCCGGGGTCAAACTCGTGCTGCCCAGGCTGGAACCTCTTACGCCCCCAGGGGGACCCAGAGAAGTAGGGTTCGGAGACTAGAACGGGAACACCAGGGAGCCAGACGAGGGGAACACACCAGATCGGAGACCTTCCTGCGCCGTAGGGCCGCTGCCATCCGCCCCAGGAGACGGTGCGGGCGGAGGGTCAGCACCTTGCAGCCTGCTCCTCGGCACCTGTGAGGTGGGTGCCCCGAGGCGCAGCTGATCAGGTTTGGGAGAAACTGAAGAGCTCCTGGATGTGAGGTGCCGGCTTTGCTACTTGGGATCACTAACTACCAGTGAGGACTGGCAGAAGCAGAGAGGCAGCGCACAGCAACGGTCAGAAGGTGACCCTCCATGGCGCTAGGGCAGCGGGTCAGCAGGACAAAGTCCCAAATGCAGAGCAAGCTGGTTATGGCGGCGAGGTCAGGACAGCGGGCTGTGTCCCCGGAAAAAGGAACAGTGAGAAAGGAGCAGCCGAGGACCAGAGCAAGAGATCGCTTCTCAGGAGGCAGGGGTTGGCCTAGTCTTGGGACACCTGGGCCTGACTCCACTTTTTTTTCTTTTAAGATTTGTCTTATTTATGCAAACAAGAACCGGGGTACAGGCCACAGGTGGGGGCCAGAGCAGGGAGGATTCACCAGAGACAGAGCAGGGAGCAGAACAGACAGAGTGATCGAAATACGCTGCTGAGGGCCTCCCCTGGTGGCGCAGCGATTGAGCGCTGGGCTGCGAAGCTGCCCGCAGCCTCTGCAGTGCCTGTTCGATCCCCGGCCACTGGCGAGGGTCCCACATGGCGCACAGACCTCTCCTGCCGCCCGCTGCTCCCCTCAGCAGTGTATTTCGGTCAGTCTGCCTGTTCTGTTCCCCGCTCTGTCTCTGGTGAGTTCTCTCACCCTCCCATGCTTCTGACTGTACCCAGTCTTGTATAAATAAATGAATCTTTAAAAAAAAAAGAAGAAGAAGAGGGCCTCCCCGGTGGTGCAGCGGTTGAGCACTGGGTTGCGAAGCTGCCCGCAGCCTCTGCAGCGCCGGTTGGCTCCCCTGCTGCTGGCGAGGGCCCCACATGGCGCGCAGACCTCTCCTGCAGCCTGCTGTTCCCCTCAGCAGTGTATTCCGTCAGTCGGTCTGTTCTGCTCCCCACTCTGGCTCTGGTGAATTCTCTCACCCTCCTGCTCTTTTGACTGTACCCAGTGCTTGTATAAATAAATAAATAAATCTTTAAAAAAGAAAGAAAGAAATACACCGCTGAGGGGAGCAGCGGACGAGTCAGGAGAGGTCTGCGCGCCATGTGGGCTTCTCCCTGACCAGCAGGGGGATAGAACTGGTGCTGCAGTGGCTGCGGATTGCTTCATACTTAATTAAAATTATTATATTACAATAAATGAAAGATACTGGGCCTCCCCGGTGGTGCAGCAGTTTGAGCGCAGCACTGTGACACTGCAGCCTCTGCAATACTGGTTCAATTCCCAGCAGGCCAGGGAGCTACCCACATGGCGCAGCAGACCTCTCCTGTCGCGCCCACTGCCCACCTCAGCAGTGTACTTCGGTCCCAGGTGGCACACGGGATTAAGCGTCAGTACTGTGAAGCTGTCTGCAACTATGCAGCATGAGTTCAATCCCCGGCCAGGGAGCTGACCCACATGGCGCAACAGACCTCTACTGTCTCCCCGCTGCTCCCCTCAGCAGTGTGTTTCAGTCAGTCTGCCTGTTCTGTTCCCCGCTCAATCTCTGGTGAATCCTCTCACTTGCCGCACTTCTGGCCTGTACCCCAGTTCTTGTATGCATAAATAAATCTTTTAAAAAATTACTGAAAAAGGAAATTTTTTAAATTTTTATTTATACAAGAGCTGGGGTACAGGCCAGAGTCGCGGGAGGGTGAGAGGATTCACCAGAGACAGAGCGGGGAGCAGAACAGGCAGACAGACCGAAAGCACTGCTGAGGGGAGCAGCGGGCGAGACAGGAGAGGTCTGCCGCACAATGTGGGATTCTCCCCGGCCGGCCAGGAATCAAACCGGCGCTGCGGAAGCTGCGGACAGCCTCACAGCACTGCGCCCAACCTGCTGCACCACCAGGGAGGCCCTGAAAAAGGAAATTTGTATTGCAGTGACAGCAGATCCCTGTGCAGTTGTAAGCAATCATCTGCCCGGTTTCCCCAGTGATAACGTGTCAAACCAGGACTCAGTCAATTCGGTTTCCCCAGCTTTTCTCACGTGTGCCTCTGTGTCTGGTTGTCTGTTGTCTCATCACATGCATAGGTGATGTGTCCACCCACAGTCAGAGTACGGGGAAGTCCCCAAGAGACGCCTTTTAATAAACACATCTTTCCCCCCTCCCATACATGGCGGCCTTTTTCAGAATCACAGCAAAACCAGGATCCTGACATCAACAACCTGAACATGGGAAATATGACCCCGGCAGGTGTGCACCTAGGATGTGGGTGCTTAAGTTGCAGCTGCTTCCTGAAGACTCATCAGTCACCCCCAAATGGCCTCTGATTAGCCATTTTCAGTCTGTGTGGAGCAAACAGCCTCCTGCTTCTGCGCCCACTTCTGATGCCCTCTCTGTCCACAGTGGCATTCTGTCAGCTCTCGGGAACGTCCTGGCCCAGATAATTGGGAAGAAACGGAAAAAAGAAAACTCCTCTCAAAAGCTAGCCATCAGTGGACCTCTCAGATACGCCATCTATGGGTGAGTTCCACAAAGGGGCTCCTCGACAAGTCGGCAGGTTGAGTGCGGCCAGGCTGGGGTGCCACAGCCGAGTTTCTGGAATAATCTGATCTGGAAAAGTAATTTTCACACACCAGTGAAGGAATCATGGGGGGAATCAGGGTGTGGTGTTACCTCATTTAGGACTCTGGGTGCATGTCCCATCCTGATGGGGCCGAGGGGCCCGAGAGGAGGTGACCTCCGGAGCCTGTCAGACCCAAGGCTCAAAGGGCCTGAAAGAGAACAGCTCGATGGCCAGCTGGTTTCTGTTGTTTTCATAGAACATTAACATCAAGAAGAGAAAAACTTAGATACCTTGAAAAGTGTGCTGTTTGGGGGCCACTTTTTTGCATGGTAAAAGCACAAAATTGCAGAAGTTTTACCACAAGGCCCCGGCTCCTGCCCTCACCCTTGGGTTTCTGATGGAAAACTAGCTCTGGGGTGCCACAGAGGTCATGGTGTTAGCTCCTTGGGCTACTGGTGAGGTCTGAGCTCCAGTGACAAAAGCTGGGGAAAGGAGGCAGCGCCTGGAACAGAGCGGCTGGGACAGATGGGTCATCACCCAGAACACACTCTGGGGGTGCAATGCTGCTGAGGATCCCCCGTGAAGAGCTGGGTAGGGGCACTGGGCAGACAGGCCGAGGCAGGCTTTGCAGTAGGGCGTGGGAGGTGGCGGCACCAGGCCAAGTGCCCTGCCCCGAGCGGGGATGTCAGAGACCAGTGCAGGGCAGAGGGCCCGGGAAGCAGCTGCAGCACCTGCAAGAAAAGCACAACGGCCTTGAAAATAAATGTGAGGATTCCATTGGGAAATGCAGAGGGAAAAGGAAGACTTGGCAGAGGCTCCCCTGCAGCAGCTGTGGCCCCGGCCCAGAGGTAGGGCTGAGGACCTGGGCTTGGGGTGTCAGAAGGCGGTCGTTCACCCCGCGGCCTCAGGTGCTTCTTTACAGGGCCACTGAGCCACTACTTCTACCTGCTCCTGGAGCTCTGGGTCCCGCCCGGGATGCCCGGGGCCCCGCTCAAGCGTCTGCTGCTGGACCGCCTGCTCTTCGCGCCCACCTTCCTGCTGCTGTTCTTCCTGGTCATGGGCCTCCTGGAGGTTGGTCCTGCTGCTCCTTGCCCGCGGCTGGGGTGAGGGTCAGAGGCTGCACTTCCTGCTGCACTTCTGTGCAGCCCCACCTTTCCCTCTGTGAGGACTGGGAGTGACCAGGGGGCAGCTGCAGCGTCTCGGACGCACACACGCAGCATAGCTCTCACGGAGGACGGCCCTGCGCCCCTCTGTGCCCCCCATGGCCGGTCAGGAGCCTCGGACACTGACAGTGACCGTGCCTTGTCCCGCACATTTGGTGGTGGTGTGGCCACCGCAGAATCTGTTCCTTGCAGTCCTGGATATTTTCCATGTCACGAACGTGACTTGGAGAAACGGCATGGCCGTCCCCCTGCTGCAGCGCCAGCTCTCAGCCCCGGCCCGTGGCGAAGGCCTGTGCCGCTCTGGGCAGATCCATGAGTGGTCTGTGGCCACTGCGCCACGCCCTGACCTCCTGGCCGCACGTGCAGCAGTGTCCACGGCTGCCTCATGGTCTCTGCGACCGCCTGTCCCTGCCCTGCTGACCAGCTGCTTGCCCCACCCTGGGGAGAGGTGTCCTGTTCTCCCCTGAAAGTCACCAGCTGCAGCAGGTGAGTGGCTGCTCCCTGGGCCTCATCCTGAGGAGCGACTGGCCCAGGGCCCTGGGTAGCAGGCGAGACTCGCCTCCCTGGGACACTGACAGGTCCCTGGTGGTGAGCAGCTCGGGAGGGCCCATCCCGGGGCATGTGTTTCCATTAAAGAGCAGAAAGTGTGTCCCAGCTGTCCCCAAGGCACCAGCCGCCCTGGCCGGAGGCGTGGCCAGTTCAGGGCGCAGATGCGGCCCTGTTTTGTTGGTGTCCAAGCTCAGATGAAGTAAGAACATTTGCATAATATTAAAAATTCAAAGTTACGTAAATAAAGTTGTGGCGGTGTCACAGGAGTTTAAAATTTTCACATTTTCAGACCTGTCATTCCTTTGTGGGTTTCCTTAAAGGGAAATTTTGAAAACACTCCCCTAGACCGTCTATTATTTTATTTTGTTTGCTTTGAAAAACCCAAAAGTTAGAGATATATTCTCACACTTTCCTCTAGTGTTATGATTTTTTTTTTAAGATTTATTTATTTATTTATGCTGCAAGAGCTGGGGTACAGGCCAGATTTGTGGGGGGGAGGTGAGATGACTCAGCAGAGACAGAGCGGGGAACAGAACAGGCAGACTGACTGAAACACACTGCTGAGGGGAGCAGCAGGGAGACAGGAGAGGTCTGCTGCGCCATGTGGGCAGCTCCCTGACTGGGGATCAAACTCGTGCTGCAGAGACTGCAGATTGCTTCATAGGTTGCTTCTTAACCCCTTGCCACCAGAGAGGCCCTAATGTTAGGATTTTTTTTTTTTAAAGATTTATTTATTTTTATGCAAGAAGTGGAGTACAGGCCAGATGCGCGGGAGGGTGAGAGGATTCACCGGAGACAGAGCGGGGAACAGAACAGGCAGACTGACGAAATACACTGCTGAGGGGAGCAGCAGGGAGACAGAAGAGGTCTGTTGTGCCATGTGGGATTCTCGCCGGCTGGCATGGATCGAACCTGCACTGCAGAGGCTGTGGACAGCTTCACAGTGCGGCGCTCAACTGCCTGCGCCACCAGGGAGGCCCCCCACTAGTGTTATGATTTTTAATGGCACATGTTTGTTTCCTTCTACTTAGAATAACAGGTTGTCCTATTACCACTCACCGAGCCATCCCCAGTGTCCTGAAATGTCAGTGTCGTCTTGCCACAGGCACAGGCACGGTGCTCTTGCTGGAGTCTGTTCGTTTCCATTCTGTGTCTTTTTGGGGGCTGGGGGGGTTGTTGCTCCCAGGTTATTTTAATAATTTTGTAGTATAGTATTTTTTTAAAGATTTATTTATTTATGCATACGAGAGCTGGGGTTCAGGCCAGAGAGGATTCACCAGAGACAGAGCGGGGAACAGAACAGGCAGACTGACCGAAGTACACTGCTGAGGGGAGCAGCGGGGAGACAGGAGAGGTCTGCTGCGCCATGTGGGCTTCTCCCTGGCTGGCCGGGGATCGAACTCGTGCTGCAGAGTGTGCAGATTGCTTCATGGTGTGGTGCTTAACCCCTTGCGCCACCAGGGAGGCCCCAATTTTACAGTATTTTTAAAACCAGGAATAAGGTAGGCCTTCCCTCTTTATTCTTTTCGAAGATGGAGATCCTCATGCATTCACTCTTCCAGGTAAAACTTAGAATCCGTGTGCCCGGCCCACCAGGAAAACCCCTGACAAGCTCCAAAAGGCCTGCGCTCTGGAGAGTGCTGGAAAGCCCCGAGGGCTGAGCCCAGCCGGCTGGCCCGGCCAGCACACAGATGGGCCTCACGGTCCCGGGCCCACAAGCTCTCTCCCCGCAGGGCAAGGACGCGGCCGCCTGCGTGGCCCAGGCGAGGACGGGCTTCTGGCCCGCGCTGCTGATGAACTGGCGAGTGTGGACCCCCGCGCAGTTCATCAACCTCAACTACGTGCCTTTGCAGGTGAGCTTCGCCCCTCCCGACGCCCCGTGTCTCTCCGCGCAGCCGACCCCCTCACCCCACGGGCACCCCGCGCAGGAGTGGGGCGGAGGGGCTCCCGCTGGGGGTGGGACGGCGGGCAGGACTCCTTGCGGGCGCCCAGCGACGTCCCCGGAAGCCCAGCCCGTGCCGCGGCCAGCGCTGGCCCCGCGGCGGAGCCCACAGAGCCGCCTTCCAGGCCAGGCCTCCGCAGGTGCGCGCAGGACGGCGCCCCAGGGGTCCGCACAGATTCGAGACAGGGCAGGCCATCTCCTTTCAAAACCCCCACGTGCCTGCCCACTCAGAGGCCTTGGAGTAGGGAGGCTGCAATCTGGGGGTGTCCCCCAAAGGCGGTGGGAGGAGAGGGGAAGCCCATGGGGTTTTGGGGCCTTGTGGAGGGAGCTGGCCTAGGCCCGTGTATGGCCTGATGCCTGGGCAGCCAGAGGCAGGAAGCACAGCTCCCTCCACAACTGCCAGGAGGGGCCGGAGGCCGGTACCGAAGGTGGTTGGGGTCTTTGGGAGTGGGGGTTCGGGCAGGGAGATGGAAGCCACCTAAGGTGGACACTGCCCACCAGGTCCTTTGCCGCCCTGGTGATTGCAGGTGGGGGCAGAGGAGTTTGTTCAGCTGTTTTTTATTATTTTTTAAAGATTTAATTTATGCATATAAGAGTTGGGGTACAGGCCAGAGGTGCGGAGGTGAGAGGATTCACCAGTGGGGAGCAGAACAGGCAGACTGACCTAAGTACATTGCTGAGGGGAGCAGCAGGGAGACAGGAGGGGTCTGCTGCGCCTTGTGGGTTGCTCCCTGGCCGGCTGGGGATCTAACTCGTGCTGCAGAGGCTGTGGATTGCTTCATAGTGCGGTGCTTAACCCCCTGCGCCACCAGGGGGGCCCTCAGCTGTTGTTTTTTATGCGCCTTCTGTATGCTCTACACTCAGGGTTCAAGTTGGAGAACAGCCGGCTGCTCCCATGGTGCACAGACCAGGGGAAAACCACAGAGGGTGGCTCTGGTGGGGGTAGAGGCAGGGTAAAGGGACAGAGGCCCTGGGGAGCAGTGATGGGCTGTGGGCAGGCCAGGGCGACGGCAGGGGTTACAGCGATCCAGGAGGGAGGCTGCAGGATGCTGCCTTCTCCCTTCTGGCCTGTGGCGCTGTCAGGCAGGGCTGTCCTCGCCCCGTCCCTTGAGCCAAGTACAGGCGGGAGCGGCTTGCGCTGGCTTAGAGACTGGCCCCAGCAGGGCCTGCGGCCTCTCTTCTCCATGCAGTTCCGTGTGCTCTTCGCCAACCTGGTGGCCCTGATCTGGTACACCTACCTGGCCTCTCTGGGGAAGTGAAGATGGCCACAGGAGAAGCTGGCACTGTGGAGGGACCGAGGGATGCCCACCTGGCAAGGACCAGCGGCAGGAGCAGCCTGACTCTGTATCACCTGGTTCCGGGTGCCCTAAGATGGCGGCTGGGAAAGCAGCAGCCCAAGTCAGGGGCCTGAGCAGCCCTAGAAACTGGGACTACACCGGAGTGATTCTGTGTGCCCTTAGATCCGACTAGATCACAGTAAACTCTGATGCCGCCTCTATGGGTGACTTTAATTTCCCAGAAAAGTGCTATCACTTTGGCAGAAATGTGGGGCCAGAGAGCTGCCCTCAGGTTTTAAGCTCTTTTAACAGGTAAAATACTGCTCAGCCGGGTTGCTCAGCCAGCTGCTGCGGGGCTCTGCCAGGTAATGGGTGCACCCCAGCCTTCAGCTCCTGGGCAGTGTCCCTTCCTGGACACGCAACCCTGGGCTTGACTGTGTTCTCTGGGCCCCTTTTGTGCTGGTGCCACTTCTGCTTTCTCAGATTTTTCCACTTTGGCCTCTGTGGTCCCCCTCAAGGACCCCCCCTCCCCCAGTGTCAGCTGCCCCTTGGCTGGCCTCACGACTCAGCTCCAGCCAGTGCAGCCTCCCCAGGCGCCCACGCAGGCTGGGCCCTGCACCCCCCTTTCCAGCCCGGAGGCCCTTCCTCTTGTGCCCCCGGCTGCTCCCAGGGGAGGGTTTGTGGGGGCACATTCCGAGCCCAGTGGCCGGGACCGCGTCCCAGTCTCTGCCTCGGGGCCTGTGGGCTCGCATCTGCCATGAGGCAGGCGCAGCCCCCACCTGAGTGCACAGGTGACGGGGAGGCTGCCATCCCGCCCTTCAGGCCCGCGGCGCCACCGTTTTGGCCCCGGGGGGGCGGGGCCCTCCGGGAGGCGCGGCCTTCGTTCGGGCCCTGGATCTGTGGGGAGAGGCAGCCGCCCCTGGCCGAGAGACGCCTCGTCCCCGCGTGGGAAACGCGCCCGTGTTGCTGCTCCCCGAGCCGAGCGCCCGCCGTGACCCCGCCCGCCCGCCCGGCTCCGCGTCCCCTGCCCTCCCGAGGCCCCTCCGGCCGCGCCCTCGCGCTCGCCCCGACGCGGGCCACCGGCTGGGGCGCCAGGAGAGACCGAGCGCGGACGCCGCAGCCAGCGCGGAGAGGGCGGGAAGCCCGCGCGCCGCCTCGCGGCCAGGACGGCCCCGGAGGCCGGGCCCGGGGGCTCAGCCCTCTGCGCACGCGCCCCGCGCCCTCTGCGCACGCGCCCCGCGCCCTCTGCGCACGCGCCCCGCGCCCTCTGCGCACGCGCGCCCGCCCCGCACGCCCGCTCGCGCCCCTCCCGGAAGTCGCCGCGGGCGGCCCGCGGCCGGAAGGGGCCCGGGAAGCGTGTCCCTCGCGGCGCGCCGTCCGTCCGGCCTGCGAGCCTGCGCGGCGCGCGCACCCGAGCGGCATGGCGTTCCGGCAGGCGCTGCAGCTGGCGGCCTGCGGCCTTGCGGGAGGCTCGGCCGCCGTGCTCTTCTCGGCCGTGGCGGTGGGCAAGCCCCGCGCGGGCGGGGACGCGGAGCCGCGCGCGACCGAGCCGCCGGCGTGGGCGGGGGCCGCGCGCCCCGGGCCCAGCGTCTGGGACCCCAACTGGGACAGGTGCGCGCGGCGGGCGGCTCTCTCGGGCCGGCCGTGAGGCCGGCGGGGCGTCCCGGGCCCCCCTGCTCCCCGCGCGCCCCCAGCTCCCCCCGCCTCCGCAGCCCCCCTGCTCCCCGCGCGCCCCCAGCTCCCCCGCCTCCGCAGCCCCCAGCCTCCCGCGCATCCCCAGCCCCCCTGCTCCCCGCGCGCCCCCAGCTCCCCCGCCTCCGCAGCCCCCCTGCTCCCCGCGCGCCCCCAGCTCCCCCCGCCTCCGCAGCCCCCCTGCTCCCCGCGTGCCCCCAGCTCCCCCCGCCTTCCACCCCCCCAGCTCCCCGCGCGCGCCCCTAGACCCCCGGCCCTCCAGCCCCCCTGTGCTTCCCGCGCACCCCCTAGCCTCCTGTGCGCTCCCAACCACCCCTGCTTCCGGAGCGCCCCTTCCGCCAGCCAGTTTCTTCTGGCTGTCGAGACCTGGATGAGGAGGGGCCGGTTGGCCTCTGCAGGAGGCTCCTGGGTCAGCTCCTCGCCGCCAGCCACATGTCATGACAGCACTTGAAACAGTTTTTACTTTTCTTAAAGATTTTTATCTTTAGTTGTGCATACAAGAGCTGGGGTGCAGGCCAGAGGTGCAGGGATTCACCAGTGACAGAGTGAGGAGAGAACAGGCGGATCCACTGAAACCCACTGCTGAGGGGAGCAGCGGGGAGCCAGGAGAGGTCTGCTGCGCCATGTGGGTAGCTCCCTGGCCGGGAATGGACAGAGTGGTCCACTCAGTGGCCATGGAAAGCTTCATAGTGTTGCAACTTATCCCCCGCGCCACCAGGGAGGCCCCTAACTTCAGTAGTCTTCTGAATTTCTTGGGCCTTTTTAAGGAAACACACCAGTTAACAGGCTTGCTTGAGGGAGAACTGCTGACATGCTGTGTCTGCGCCCCAGGCCTGGCTTTGTGGGGGTCACTGTCCAGGCTGGGCAGCCTCCCTACGCCACCTAACTGCTTCTGCTTGTAGTTCTGCGGTCTCAGGCCTGGCTGATCAGGGCACCCAGGTTGGTTGCCGGAGGGACGCTGCGTCACCAGGGCGCCCCTCGGAACCAGCTCTCCCCACGCTATGTCCCCTGAGCTAGATCCCCCATGGTGCTGGTGTCATAGATGTTCTCCGCCCTGTGAGCGCAGCCCTGCCTGTTCGCACACGACAGGACTGTCCCTTGCCTCTGCTGCACCCCTGCAGGCCTGGTGCTAGGCACTCTTGCGGCCGGGGCCCCTGTGCTGGTACCCGAGAACGTGGGTTTTCATCTCCCTGAGGTGACTTCTTTGGAGTCTCAGCGTCGTCGTGCGCTGGTGGCCAGCGGCTCCTGGACAGCACAGCTCCGCCTGCCTCCCCGCCCTCCCTCCGGCTCCAGCCCCTTCTCCCTGCCGCTGGCCTTCCTCACAGGACCTGAGCGTGAGAGGGCTGATCCCGTCTGTTTTGTCCCCGCGTGTTCCCAGGGCAGGCCTGACTCAGCTCTGAGCGGGGAAAGGTGTGTGTCCCGGCCTGGCCAGCCCGGCCTGGCCTCTCAGGCTGGCGTGGAGGTGGCGCGGGGTTCAGCTTCTCTGCCCCTCCATGCTTCCCCAGCCCAGAAGCCCTTCTGACCCGAAATCCCCAAGGTCCTCCTGGGGCCTGGAGTAGCCCACTTTTGTCCCTCAACACCAGGCGAGAGCCGCTGTCGCTGGTCAACCTGCGGAAGAGGAACCTGGAGTCCGGAGAAGAGGAGCTGGCCTCCAGGCTGGACCACTGCAAAGCCAAGGCCACGAGGCACATCTTCCTCATCAGGCACTCGCAGTACCACGTGGATGCCTGCCTGGAGAAGGACCGCACCCTGACGGCCCTGGGTATGTGGCTGCCGCTCAGGCCGGCCCCTATGAGCCCCGGGCTTTGCCTCCCTCAGGACCCAGCCCTGCTTGGGTGTGGCCAGAGCCGCCTCCTCCAGCCAGGTGTGCGCTGCGGCCCTGTGACCCTTAGACTAAGATGGGAGCCACCCTGCCGCCTTTCGCCTGGGCTTGGGCAGCCCCCACCATCCCCGGTAGAGGGCTCTTGGTGAGGCTCCCAGACAGGATCCCTGTTCCCCACCCTCCAGGGCGAGAGCAGGCTGAACTGACCGGGCTCCGGCTGGCGAGTTTGGGGCTGAAGTTCAATAAGATAGTGCATTCCTCCATGACCCGCGCTGTGGAGACCACCAACATCATCAGCAAGCATCTGCCGGGTGGGTGTGGGGGCGGGTGGGGGCGGCCCCGTGGGATCCTGGCGTGGCGCATACAGGTGGCTGACAGGCGGCTCCTCCAGGTGTCTGCAGAGTCAGCACTGACCTGCTGCGGGAAGGCGCCCCCATCGAGCCCGATCCGCCGGTGTCTCACTGGAAGCCCGAGGCTGTGGTAAGGCCCCGCGCCCCTGCCCCGAGCGCCCGCGCCGGCACTGCCCAGGCTCACCAGTGCCGCCTCCCCAGCAGTATTACGAAGACGGAGCCCGGATCGAGGCCGCCTTCCGCAACTATATCCACCGGGCGGACGCCAAGCAGCAGGAGGACAGCTACGAGATCTTCATCTGCCACGCCAACGTCATCCGTTACATCGTGTGCCGGTGAGTGCGTGCCCCCGGGGCCTGGACCCCACCTGGGCCCCACGGCCGACCCAGCGTGTCCTCCCCTCTCTCCCCAGGGCGCTGCAGTTCCCGCCAGAAGGCTGGCTGCGCCTCTCCCTCAACAACGGCAGCATCACCCACCTGGTGGTGCGGCCCGACGGCCGTGTGGCGCTCAGGGCCCTCGGGGACACGGGCTTCATGCCTCCGGACAAGATCTCCCGCTCCTGAGGGCCGGGGTGCTCCCTGCCCCCTCGCCTGGCAGGGACACTCCCCTCTCCCCGTGGACACACCTGGCTGCACCCAGGATGGCTGGCGTCCAAGCTGGAGGCTGGTGCTCCCTCGGGGCCGTCTCCCTGCCCTCGTGGACCAGCACCGCCTGTGGGGTGCAGGGGGGCCCTCTGGGACTGGACGAGTCTGACAGACACCTGGGACCGGCCCATAGCTCTCCTGGGTGCACCAGGGCTCCCGAGCAGCTTGTCCCCCCACCCCAAAACAGATTCTGCTTCAGACGTTCACCGGCACCCTTTGTCACTTAGACACTTGTCCCAACTGTCCCCCTCTGGGTTCTTGCTTGGAAGGCCAGGGGCCCTGTCGTGGCTGGGGGTGGCCCAGCTGGGAGGCTGGGCTTTTCCCGGCCCCAAGCACACCGGGCAGGTGATGGAGGAGACCCGGCAGGGCCGCTGTACAAAATGCCTAGCTCAGCTGCCTTTGCTCTATAAGCAGCAGGTGTGGCGTGTCCATCCCAAACATTACGTTGATTTAGGAAAAACTGTCATTTCTATCAAGTGTGTCAACGTTTTCTGCAGTCAGTACAGTAACGTGGTCCATTATCTCTGTCAACTTTGGAAGTAACCATGAATTAAAGTTTTATTTTACTGGTTCACAGTTTCCATTGTTAATGACCAAAGGAAACAAGGTGAGGCCGTAGCCTTGGGCCCGATAGAGCCCCCCAGCATCGGAGCCCAGAAACATCCTGACAAATCAAGCAGGGCTGGGCCAGTTCCTGGACTGCAGCGACGGGCGGCCCTGGCCCGCAAGGCCTGACGGCTCCCTCGTGGCCACCTGCTGACCAGCCTCGTCTGGCCATTCCGTCCTGTGTGCCGGACCCCGGGGAGCAGGCAGGCACCCACAGTGTGGGCCGCCCTCTGGACTAGTCAGAGACAGACCCGAGAGGTCAGCGAAGACATGACTTGGCCCAAACAGCCACAGAATGGGGCATGCGGCACCACCTGGTGGCTGGTACCTGCTGTGGAGGTCATGGTGTGTGTTCATTTTTTTTTTTTTTTTTTTAAGATTTATTTATACAAGCGCTGGGCACAGTCAGAAGTGCGGGAGGGTGAGAGAATTCACCAAAACCAGAGCGGGGAGCAGAACAGGCAGACCGACTAAGTACACTGCTGAGGGGAGCAGCGGGTGGCAGGAGAGGTCTGCGCGCCATGTGGGACCCTTGCCTGGCGGCCGGGGATCAAACTGGCACTGCAGAGGCTGCGGGCAGCTTCACAGCCCAGTGCTCAACCGCTGCGCCACCGGGGAGGCCCCGTAGGCCAGAGGTACCGGGGTGTGTGTGTGAGAGAACTCCCCAGAGAACAGGTGGATCCACTGAGACCCACTGCTGAGGGGCAGCGGGGAGACAGGAGAGGTCTGCGCGCCCTGTGGGTCACTCCCTGGCCGGAGATCAAACTCAGGCCACTGGAGAGGCCCCACCGACCTATTTTCTTCCAGGACAGGCCAGAAAGGAGCTTGCATGGGCGTGTGCACTACACGCACAGTGCTGGTGCTCGACCCCCTGCCCCCAGGGGTGGCCAACCCTAGGCCGTCATGCTCTGTGAGCTGCAGAGTTCTCGGAGCATCCAAGAATCATTCCGGCGGAGCCGCCTACTGCCGCCAGCCCAGGGGGAGCCCCTCTGGGCCCTGGGGCTTCCCAGCCACCTGGTTGAGCAGGGGCCGAGCCCACGGGTTCTGTAGGCCCATCCCAGCACCACTTGTGCATCACCAATGGCCACTGCCCTGGCTTGGGGAAAAGAGCTTTTCCAAAAGCTTAGAATTACTACCACGTGGTTTTAAAAATAATTTATTAAGTATCTTTAAAAAGAACAAAACCTCCAAAGGTGCAACGAAGCAGTTGCTGGGGGCTGGGCCCGCTGACAGGCCGCGGCCAGACACCCACGGCATCCCCTGAGGACGGGCCCCGGGGTCTGTGAGGCACTGGCCTTGCCCTCGGCCATCGGCTGCACGCACGCAAGCACTGGGTGGCCCCTGAGGCTGGACCCGGCTTGGCCTCCGGGACTGCTGGCCGGTCTCCTGTCACCAGGTGGAAGGAGTAAGGCGTCTTATACAAGTTTCAGAATTTTTACAAAGAAATTCACCCTACTTAGCATCACTGGGTAGTCCCAAAAAGCGAGGTCGGGGAAAAGCGATGTACAAAAGGCACTGAGGCTCCCGGGGACACTGGGGCCCTCTGGTGCAGAGCGGGGCTCCCCCAAGCGGCCTGGAGCAGTCGCTTTGTGAGGAGGCCAGGAGCCGGGCGGTGCAGCCGTGTGGCCGCCCGCAGGACAACTGTCCAGGAGAAGCTGCTTCTGTGGTCACTGGCCCAGGCGTGTTTCCAGCCCAAATGGCAGATGTCACCGTGGCTCTCAAAGCCAAGGATCGTCATCCCTGGACTTGAGCAACTGGCCGAGCAGTAGAGCCAAGGCCCTCGCATCAGGAGCCGAGTGACAACAGCCCTCCCAGAACACGCCCCTTCCCAGGAGCTGAAGTGGCCCCTGGGAACGCCCTCCCGCTGCATGGGCACCAGCAGCCCAACCCCACGCACCCCGTGCACCCCTCGCTGGCCACAATGGCCGGCCCCAGAGCACACACATCCAAGCTGCTGCGCCAGCTGCTCCAGTTGTTTCTCCCCTTGCTCCTAGGGAGGAGCCGTCTGCAGGACCTTGACCACACCCCGGACACGTGCACGGCCACAGCTCGCCCACCCACCGTGAGGGTTAATAAATGAAGTGGAACGTGCTCTCGTGTGAAGCTTTAGTGCTAACGGTGTTCCCCTTCTTCCTGGGGGTGCCTACAGCCCAGCCGGTTGGGCCAGCAGCACCATCCTGCGGAGCTGGCCCCCAGGGGCAGGGCTGTAGCGGCCGGGGCTGCCCATGCCTGGGGAGCGCGGGGCCAGGCCGGGCCTTCCTGGGCTGTCCCTGGAGGACACGGCCCTCCTGGGGCTGCAGCTGCGAGGGCAACCGGGATTCACCAGCTGAGACTTCTGCCTCCCATGCAGGGCAGGGCTGGGCCAGCTGTAGAGAGGGGACGGCATCAGCAGGGACGTGGGGGCTGAGGGCAGGTGGGGCAGACGCCTGCACCCCAGCACACCGACCCCCAGACTGTGGGCCCACGGGGTGCTGCCCGCCTGCCCCCATTCTTCCTGGCGGACAGCTACAGCACGGTCACCCACTGCCCGCAGAGAGGCCGGCGCCAGGCCCGGGTACCTCTGTCTGTCCGCGGGAGAGAAGCACAGGACGGCGCTCTTCCACCTGTGCACGGCTGGGTACTGGCCGGGGTCCACATCCACGTGCTCCAGAGCCGCCAGGACATCCCTGTCCAGCTTGGACGGCTCCTCCCTAGGAGCAAGGAGAGAACTAGCTCAGTTCCGGGGCTGAAACCAACCCCCCACCCTGCCCCCTCCCTCGAGCCTGCACTGGCTGCGCAGGGGGCACCGGTCAAGGGGCTCAGGGTGACGGGCCCCTCAGTGGCTTCCACTGGGACAAACTCGCCCCAGGGACGGCTGGTCCCCGCTGGGGTGGACTCTGCAGGCCCCGCCCTACCTCCCCATTTGGGCCCCCCAGGTGCCTCTTCTCATTCACCCGGAAAGGAAGTGCCTCTGCGTGGGGGCCCCCAGAGGCGGTGAGGATGCGGGGGCAGCTCCCCCGCTCTCAGTCCGACCGAGGGCAAGGAGTCTGTCTGGTGCCGATGCATCCCCCGCCGCCTCAGCTCCCGACACCGGGGCCTCGTCCCCGCCGCATGTCCTAGGAAAGCCGCTTCCTACGCTCCGCAAGTTCAGCTTATCAAACTCCGCAGCCAAGCCGGAGACAGGTGGCGGGGAAGCCCCCTCCGCGCCAGGGCCCGGGCTGCTGCTGGGGGGGTGGCGGGGCCCATCCCCGCTGCCCTGGGGGCCGGTGCTGGCAGCTTCTGGGCTTGTCTTCGGCCCCAGGCGTGTGTCGTCCTCCTCGAGAAACGCCCTGACGGAGATGGAGCCACTGCTCCTCCTCACGGGCGAGGCTGGGGCAGAGAGCGAGAGAGCAGCACCTCAGGGCACGGCCCTGAGCCCGGCCCCCAGTGCCCCGGGGCGAGGGCAGCCCGAGGAAACCCAGCCTGGCCTAGCTCTGCCCCTCGGAGGCTGGGGTGGGTCCTCATGGGCGCCATGTCCTCACCCAAGGCAGCAGCTTTCTCCGGGGCACAGGCCTCGCCCCCCGGCGCGAGCCGGGCCCTCCTGGCCACGTCCTGCTGAGCAAGGTGCTCCTCCAGCCGCCGCAGGCCCTCCGCGGAGGAGAGGTCCACAAAACAGCCCAGGAAGTCCCAGTACTCGGCCCAGGGGTACTGCAGCTCGTGAGCCAGTTCCCTGGGGGACCAGCCCGGTGTCAGCACAAGCCCGCACAGGCCCCAGGGGTGCCGGGCCGGGCAGACAGGGAGCTCGCAGGGCTGCTCCGGGGTGAGCCGGTCACGGGAGGGAAGGAACCTGACCCCACCCCTTGCTGAGGGACACACGAGGTCAGAGGTCGCAGGTGAGCCCATGTGAGGCCCCAGGATGCCCCGCTGGCCGTCCCGCCACGGGGGAAGCTGGGGGCGCTGGGCGGGCCCCACACATGGAGGCGCAGGTGCCCTCCCCAACTCCAGGCTGTGAGCCCCGGACCCACAAGGACTCTGAGAAAAGCCCGAGCACCAGCGGGGTTGTGCCTGCCCCCACTCCGCCCCGCCCCGCCCCGCCCGTGCCCAGAGCACCTGCCCACTCGCTCGGCGCCTCGCTCGGGGTCCGACTTCCTGACACTGTGGAAGAGGCCGGCTTTCTCCCGCGGCGGAGTCTTCCAGAGCCTGCGGAAGTCCTCTGCCTGCGGGAGAGCTGGCTGAGCTGCAAGCGCACCCAGCACTGGGGCAGAGGGTTGCAGGGCAGGGGACAGTGCCCGTCCCATGGCCGGTCACCAGGGCTGTGCTCTGTGTGCCCAGGTTGGCCCAACACCCGCGGGCCAGGCAGAAGGAAGGGGCCGTGCTCCCCTAGCAGACACTGGCAACGCCCCAGCACCTAGCCCTGGGCTCCAGGAGTCCTGGCCTTGAGCACAGAGGCTGGACACCTGGCACTTCTGGGCAGTCAGGAGTGGGTTCTAGAAGCTTCCACCACTCACCTTGGATGGACTCAGGGGCCCCACAAAGGCTCGCAGGGTCAGCACAGGGTCTCTGGGGCCGCCTCCCCAGGGGCGGGCGTGAGAGGCCTGGGCTGTCTGGTCCGAGGACCACAGCTCCCCGATCACGGGCGACGACATGTCCTCCGCCCTCAGCAGCGGCACGTAGTAGTGGCCTGGGGAGACACGCTCGCTGAGCCCCGCTCCAGGGCCCCCAGCCTGCACCTAGCACCTCAAGGGCTCAGACACACAGAGGGGCCCCGCCCCCGCTGGGGAGCAGCTCAGCCAAGAGCTCGGTGGGTGACCCGTGTGGACGGTGCTGGCATCTGGAGGAACCAAGGTGGGGGGCCGGCGGGGCAGTGGGTAGAGGCAGACACACGCAGTGGTCTTGGAGTGGAGCCCGGGTGGCCTGGCTAGGCGGACACCCAGGCACGAGTGGGTCGGAGGCCCTCAGGCCCTGCCGCACGCTCTGAGGGCAGGGGCGCCAGCTCGGCCCCCAGGGCAAGCCCACACGATGGTGGGGCCTGGGTGAAGCCTCCATTCCTGGACAGGCTGGCCCCGAGGTCGGGCCGGGGTAGTGGGCCCCTGAGAACCCAAGCAAAGGGACTGCCCAGCCGGAGAAGGCGCCTCCAGCCCAGAGCCCCGCCCAGGGTGCCGAGCCGCAGGGGCGGGAGGGAGGGTGCCCGTCTTGGCCAGGGTGGGGCAGGGCAGCAGGGAGGCGGCCCCGAGGGCCAGGGGAAGCTCCTGACAGACCAACCCCTGCAGCAGGGACTCAGACTGGCTGCTCCTGCTCCTCGCTGTGCCGACGAGACGGCCCCGAGGGGTGGGAGACCCCGGCCCACTGGCAAGCACAGTCCCGACTCCCTGCTCTGGGAGGGCCCCGGCCGCAGGGCAGGGGCTCTGGGAGGACGGGGGCAGCCCGGAGGCAGGAGTGGCCGTGGGGAATGGAGGGCTCAGCGCCAGCCCACTTGACCTTACCCTTTAAATACTCTCTGATCCGCTCCTTCAGCTCCACAGATTTATTTTTGCTTCTTTCGCAAATAACCTATTTACAAAGCAAGCCATGTGAACACTCGGAATCCGACCACGTTTTTGTGTCACTAAAATCCAATAAAGACAAATTCTGGTCATCAAAACAAGGGTGTGACTGGAGACTATCTGGACAGCACATGCCTTCTTCTGGAATGTTCTGTAACACTAAGGGGCCAGGACCAGGTCCAGGGCCAGGAGGCGGCCTCTGCAGGCGCAGGGCAGGGGGACACCCTGGGGCCCGGGGCGCTCTGGCCGCCCGTGGGATGAGAGGGGACCCCGACCCAGCGCGGACACAAGTGCTGGGGCGTCACAGCTGTGGGAACTGACTCCTCGGCCCTCAGAGAACCGCAGCGACGAGACGTTCCGCGAGACGCGGTGAGAAGCCGGCTGGAAGGAAGGGAGCAGGAGCAGAATCCCCGTCTCACCAAGGTCACAACAGTGAAATTCGTCAGGAAGCGCCCTGACGGAGATGCGCCCTGCGCTGAGCCGGCTCCCAGGCCGTGCCTCACACTGCAGGCCTGCGTCGGAGCCAGAGCCACCCACACAGAGGCCACTCCCGGGTCCCGTGGCACCAGCACTCGGGCGGGCGGGGAAGGCCTCCCTCTACCCTCGCCAGGCCCACGCCCGCCCTCACAGCTGCTCCCTGCCCCACAGGGCGCCTTCTGCTCGGCCTGCACGGCCCCACTCGTCCTGCCCAGCCACACGCCCACCAAAGCAGACCCAGCCCAGCCCGGCGCCGGTCTGTCCTCTCTGCCCCAGATGGCCGAGGGCGCCTGAAGGACTCAGCTGCAGCAGAGAGCGCGGCCCCTGCCTCGGGGTGGCGGTGGGTACTCACATCTTCGGGGGTTTTGTCCTGTTTGTTTCTCGGGTTTGTCACGATTAAAGGGTGTGAGGACAGCACGTTGACGACGTCTGCGTGCCCAAATTTACAAGCAAAGTGCAGCGGCGTATCGTAGGCCTGAGGAACGGAGGAGACGCTGCTGACCCCACTTGGGTCCCCAGGGCCGCCCTCGGGCACAGCAGCATTCAGTGACACAGTCGAGAGCCAGGGCCCACGGAGGACGCTGCCTCTGTGAACAATCTGCCGGCAGCGGCTCCCTTTGGCCAGGCCTGTGGGCGCGTCTGCTGCCTGGGTCCAGTGGGCATCCCCACAGCTGCTCCGGGTAGGCCTGGCTCCCTTGGGGTGAGCGGCAGCCGCAGGGACCCACCTCCTCTCAAAGCAGCCTGGGCACTGCGGGGAAGGCATCCACACCCGCTCCTCAGGAGGGGTCCCTGCCCCGACTCCCCACGCGACCCCTTCGCCTGGGCCTATGGGAACTACACTGCATGGCGACCACAGCTCAGGCACAGCCTGTCCACCCCACGCACCCACCGGGGCCAGGACAGGCCTGAGCACCCCCAGGGCAGCAGGCTCCAGCCCCGCGTCCCTGGCAGGCCTGCCCGTTCCCTGTGCCACTCCCCTGAAAGCCCGGCTACCCGCACACCCCTGCCCAGCGCAGCCCACATCTTTGCGCCAGCCCTGCCTGCCCCAGCCCTGCCAGAGCGGAGAACCTCCCAGTCAAGGGCCGACGCCAGCATCAGGCACACAGGCCGCCCCATCTGCCCCGACTCACCTGCCTTGCCACTAGTGCGAGGTGTCCCACCTGTGATGATGTCTGCAGAGCGTCAGGCCCCCCTCGAGCTCCACGAACCTGACCCCAGGCCTGCCCTCACTCCACACCCTGCAGTGAGTGTATGTGTGGCCACCCCGCTGGCGGCTTTCGGCCACAGACACAGGAGCGCGCGGGGCATGGATTCCTGGGGGCTCAGGGCACAGCCAGACCCCATCCTCAGCCATGGCGCCCCGGACATCGGCGCAACTGGGAGTGCACGCAACTGGGAGCCCAGCAGCTGGGCCTCACGCCACCACACCCCCCGCATAGCTGCACGGATTCTGCTGCTCCAAATCCTCACTGAGGCCTCACGTACGGTGGAAACCATCCACTCGCACTGCTAACCCCACGTGGGCAGTTTCCAATGTGACGCTCAGTGGGAAGAAACCATGTGCACAGGACATGGGAAGGTGCCAGAGCTTTCTGATGTCCCTTCAGCCTGGGCACCACACCCAGCTCAGCCTGCCCAGCCCAGGCCTCCGGACAGCCAGGAGGGTGGGTGTGTGGAGCAGCAGGGCAGGCCCAGGGCAGGGATGCAGCTCACATCACAGCACAAGCCTCGCTCTGATGAGACCATCCCCGCCCCCCGCCGCTGGGCACACCTGTGTCCCGCCCCCCGACCCCCACCCTGCACACACCGCCTTGTCCGGGGTGTTCAGGTACAGGTCGACGACGTAGCAGATGCGCTTCTGTAGCATGTGGGGGTCGTCGTCTGGGTACATGAGCCGCATGAACTCGGGGTCTTCCAGGGTGTCCAGGGTCAGCTGGCATATGTGGGCCTGGCCCTCCTTGGCGGCCACGTGCAGGACGTTGTACCTGCACCCCTCCTGAGGAAAGCAGCAGACCTCAGCTCCCGCCGGGCGCCACCAACCGCTGCCGGGTCCGGGCACACGGGCAGGCTTACCTGCACAATGGTCGGGTTATCCCCGGAGCCGATCAGATACCGCGGGTTGCTCCAGACAAGGTCGGAAAAGGCCTCGCCCTCTCCCTGCTCCACCGCTCTCCGCAGCTTGGCAGTGAGGTCCTGCGTGCGGGGGTTTCTGTAGCTGTTTGCTCGCTCCCTGTTTGCAGCTTCTGGCTCGGACGGGCACAGACCATCTGACAGACAGGATTTAGGGATGCTGACTCCACCAGTGCCAGCCCCACCACCAGGCACCCTCTGGGCCAGGCACCTCCCTGAGGCTGCATCCAGCTGGGTCAGCGCACGCAGACCCTGACCCAGCACTCCATGGACGATGCCTGCTGTGCTGTGTAGGCGGCGACAGCAGCACAGCCTGGCTGCATCCTGCTGGGGCGGCTCAGGCTGCAGGCAGGGAGCCCAGCAGGACCCACAGCGACCCTGCTAGAGCCCCTGGTCTCAGCGCTTTAGTCGCACCTGAACCTGTGCGAGGCCACTCCAGTGGGGTTTTCAGACTGTGAGGATGGAGATCTGTGACCAACATCATTGGGACTCCACGTAGAAGACCTAAGGCTGAGCCGGGGCAACGGATAGGGGCAGCTGGGACTCTCCACGGAAGGAGAGGGTCTCCCCCAGAAAGCCCAGCAGCTGAGGGAGTGGGACCACCAAGAGCTATGGGGGACTCGAATGAAGTCAAAGGCACAGGCTGGGTTTCTGTGCCCAACAGGCAGTGGGAGGAGGTGGAGACAAAGGCGGCAGTGTGGAGGGCTTGCTGTCCAGCCCCAGGACAGACTGACCCGCTCTCCTCGGCTGTCCACAGCCAGGCCCAGGCATACTACTCACCGGTAAGCTGCAGAAAGCTGGTGCCGCAGGTGAGGAACGCGGCCACCAAGTGTCTGCAGGGGAGTTGGACACACGCACCAGAGGGAGTCACTGCGGGACTTACCTTTGAAGCCACCGTTGGCAGAGATGGGCGCTGCCTTCACGGGAGATGCTGGTGCAGAGGTTTTGTTTGGAGAAGGGAAATAATCAAAAATTCCCCTAGCAAACTTCTCAGCGTCTTCTCTACTTGAATAGGCTTTAAATCGGGACCCTTTCATCATTTTGACAGCTTGCAGTGCCTCCTTTTTATCTTCATAAACATGAATCTTTTCTGCAAGAGAAAAGCAATGAAGGAAAATTAAAGACATGTAACTGGGCCAGGTCATCTCCACCCAGAGTTTGACAAGACGCTGCGGCTCCCCAGGGCCTGACTGCTCTTCTGATGTTAATGTTTCAGAGCTTTACTCCTGAAGAAAAAAACTTAGCCAGGGTGGTGCAGAGGTTAAGTTGCAGCACTAGGAAGCCACCTGCAGCACGAGTTCGATCCCTGGCCAGGGAGCTGACCCACAGGACACAGCAGACCTCTCCTGTCTCCCCACTGCTCCCCTCAGCAGTGTGTTTCACTGGATCCGCCTGTTCTACCCCCCACTATGTCTCTGGGGAATCCTCTCACCCCCATACCTCTGGCCTGTACCCCAGTTCTTCCATGCATAAATAAACCTTAAAAAAAAAAAAAAAAAGGCAAGTGGGCCTCCCTGGTGGCGCAGCGGTTGGGCGCTGGGCTGCAAAGCTTCCCATAGCCTCTGCAGCAGTGGTTCGATCCCCGGCCGCCGGCGAGGTTCCCACATGGTGCGCAGACCTCTCCTGCCGCGCCCGCTGCTCCCCTCAGCAGTGAACTTCGTCACTCTGCCTGTTCTGTTCCCAGCTCTGGCTCTGGTGAATCCTCTCACCTTCCCGCACATCTGGCCCATACCCTGGTTCTTGTATAAAATAAATAAATCTTTTTTTTTTTTTTTAAAAAGGCAAGTTAAAAAACTGACAATAGGAAACAATGCCAGAGAATTTTAGACAAGATTTTGAGTTGGGAATGCCTTTCTGAGCACACCAAGAAACTTAAAATACTTAAAGGCAACAGTTCCCATTATGTAAAAAATCACAGTTCTATAAGGAACCACCATATCGAGTCCTGACTCAGCTCGCACACACATAAAACACAAACAACAGGGAACTTATAAGACCGTGTCCACGGCCCAGTAAAAATGGCCAATGGGTGTGACAAGGGCTTAGCGCGAGAGGGTGGCTGATGGCGCGAAGGCAGCCTGGCTGGTGAGGCAGAGGCCCCGCACTTGGCAGCTCAGCGGCAGTCGCTGTGACCACAGGGCAGAGGCGGCTCCTGTCCTCCTTTCTCAGCTAGGACGTGGGCTCAGTGCCAAACTGCAGAGACTGGGAAGTTCTCTCCCCCACAGTGGACTGTGGTGTGTTTGGAGGGCAGAAGCTTTCAGTTCTGCCTCACTTCCGAGCCTCACACACTTGGGCAGGAGTGTAAGCAGACGCAGCTGCTGCAGAGGCAAGTGTGCAGGGTCCTCAAAGAACAGAGACATCAAGCAGTCCAGCACACCCTTGTCTGGACACGCACCCGAAGCACGGGAAAGCTCTGGTCTGAGAGACACACACCCTACACCCAAGGCAGCACTGGTCACAGCACAAGCTGCGGAAACAGCCCAAGCACCAGGCATGAGTGAGTGAGTGAAGATATGGTCGGCACTCAATGGAGCACGACTCAGCTGTAAAAAGGTGTACTCCTACCATTTGCAAACACGTGGATGGAACTGGAGGGGATGAAAGACATCCCAGACAATTTTACTCATGTGGAACATACAAAGGAACAGACAAAGTTAAACCAAAGCAAACCCTAGAAATCTGACTGCAGAACGAGGCACTGGGGTTTTGGGGGTTGGGGCAGGACACGCTGAACTATGGAGGATTATTGGTGCTTTGGTGGTGGATGTAGTGTGACCACATACATCTGACCTGTTTCCCTGAGACACAGACTGTGTTATAAACCAACATTATAGCTCAATTAAAAAAAAAACAAAAAAACCTTATCTTTTCACCTGACACTTCTACTTACCACTTTTAAAAAATTAAAAGTAATGTACACCTAAAGGACCTATACAAAGAAAACTGTAAACACTGTTAAAAAAAATAGAAGACACAAAGAAATGGAAAGACATCCCCTGCTCATGGATTGGAAGAATAAACATTATTAAAATGGCCATCCTTCCAAAAGCAATATACAGATTCAATGCTATTCCAATAAAAATTTCAATGTCATTCTTCAAAGAAATAGAACAAATATTGATGAAATTCATATGGAATCACCAAAAACCCCAAATAGCCAAAGCTCTCCTGAAAAAAAAAAAAAAGGAAATGGAGGCCTCACACTCCCAGACTTCAAACTATACTACAAAGCCATAATCATCAAAACTGCATGGTATTGGAACAAGAACAGACATACAGACCAATGGAGAATAGAAAATCCAGAAATAAACCCACAGATTTAGGGTCAACTAATCTTTGACAAAGGAGCAAAGACTATGCATTGGAGCAAAGAAAGTTTGTTCAATAAATGGTGCTGGGAAAACTGGGCCGCTACATGCAAAAGAATGAAACTTGACCACTACCTCACACCATACACAAAAATCAACTCAAAATGGATTAAAGAACTAGACATAAGACCTGAAACCATAAAATACATAGAAGGAAATATAGGCGAAACACTACGTGATATGCACATCAAAGACATCTTACAGACACATCACCCAAAGCAGTGATAGTGAAGGCAAAGATCAACAGCTGGGACGACATCAAATTAAAGAGCTTCTGCACAGCAAAAGAGACAATAACAAAAACAAAGAGAAACCCCACCAACTGGGAGAACATTTTTGCACCCAACACTAATGATAAAGGACTGATCACAAAAATCTGCAAAGAGCTGATGAGACTCAACAACAACAAAGAAAATAATCCAGTCAAAAAATGGGCAGAAGAGCTAAAAAGAAACTTCTCTGAAGAGGAAATGCAAGTGGCCAACAGACATATGAAAAAATGTTCAACATCACTCGTCATCAGGGAAATGCAAATCAAAACTACCATGAGATACCATCTCACACCAGTGAGAATGGCACATATTAAAAAAACTAGCAACAACAAATGTTGGCGAGGGTGTGGAGAAAAAGGAACTCTCCTGCACTGCTGGTGGGAGTGCAAACTGGTCCAACCACTGTGGAGAGCTGTGTGGAGATTTCTGGACCTACTAAACATGGAGCTTCCATAGGATCCAGCAATTCCACTCCTAGGGATTTACCCAAAGGACACAGAAACATCCATTCCAAAGGGCACCTGCACCCCTATGTTTATAGCAGCACTGTTGACAATAGCTAAGCTTTGGAAACAACCCAAATGCCCAAAAATAGATGACTGGATCAAGAAGATGTGGTCCATACACACCATGGAATATTACTCAGCATTCAAAAAAGATAAACACATGCAAGTTGCAGCAACATGGATGGCGCTGGAAGGGATCATGCTCAGGAAATAAGCCAGAAAGAAAAAGAAAAATACCGGATGGTCTCACTCATAGCAGGAATCTAGAAAACTTAAATAAGGGACCAGGAAAACGAATAACTATAAGAAAGTGAAAATCAAAATCAACAAAAAACTATGAACCAGAGACACTCTATGGGGGGTTGGGAGCGGGGAGGGGAGGGATTAGGGTCAAAATAAGGGGGTTGCAATTGTATGGGGAATATAAAAATAAAATTTATTAAAAAAAAAAGTAATGTACACCTGAATATATATTTGTTATATTTAAATGAAAATGTTAAAGATAAGGGCCTCTCTGGTGGTGCAGCAGGTTGAGCACAGGACTGTGAAGCTGTCCGCAGCCTCTGTAGCATGAGTTTGATCCCCTGGTCAGCCAGGGAGCTACCCACCCGGCGCAGCAGATCTCTCCTGTCTCCCCACTTCTCCCCTCAGCAGCGTGTTTCAGTTGATCTGCCTGTTGTGCTCCCCACTCTGTCCCTGGTGAATCCTCTCACCCCCTGCACCTTTGGCCTAGACCCCAGTTATTGTACGCATAAATAAATAAATCTTTTTTTTTTTTTTTAATTTTTTTTTTTAATAGAGGCATGTTTTCTTTAATGTTTGTTTATACATGCACTGGGTACAGTCAGAAGATGAGAGAATTCACCAGAGCCAGCAGAGCAGGCAGAATACGAAGTACACTGCTGAGGGGAGCAGCGGGCGCAGGAGAGGTCTGCGCGCCATGTGGGACCCTCCTCTGAGCAGCCGGGGATCGAACTCAGAGGGCGGGCAGCTTCGCAACCAGCTCTACCGCTGCGCCACGGGGAGGAAATAATTCTTTTAAAGAAAGAAAATGTTAAAGAAAAACCATCTTAACTTATACACATGTGAAACAGGGTCTTGATACACAAGGTTACTAAGGGTGACATCCAGATTTGGGTGAGGGGAGGGAAAAGCCTCACTTTGTAAGTCATACATGTAATATAGTCATAAACTTTAAGGTTGAAAACAAACAGAAACTGCAACATGATCTCACTAAGTTTTCTTTAAAAAACGCTCATCAGCCCCAACACATGCCGTGTCCACCCGGTCTCCCCTCGGCGTCACCACCACGACATGACTCCTGGCTTCATAGCCTTGGGCTCTCACCAAGCCCTCCAGGGCTAGCTCAATTCTTTTCTTTTTTTAAAAGATTTATTTCTTCATGCATACAAGAACCAGGTTACAGGCCAGATGTGCAGAAGGGTGAGCGGGTTCACCAGAGACAGAGCGGGGAGCAGAACAGGCAGCCTGACCGAAATACACTGCTGAGGGGAGCAGCGGGCGAGACAGGAGAGGTCTGCCACGCCATGTGGGTATCTCCCTAGCTGGCCGGGATTAAACCAGCACTACAGAGGCTGCAGACAGCTTCACAGCGCTGCACTCAACCACCTGTGCCACCAGGGAGGCCCCAAAATTGCATTCTTTTTTTTTTAAGATTTATATATAAGCACTGGGTACAGTCAGAAGCGCGGGAGGTGAGAGAATTCACCAGAGCCAGAGCGGGAGCAGAGCAGGCAGAGGGACGAAGGACACTGCTGCACGGCAGGAGGTCTGCGCGCCATGTGGGCTCCTCCGTGGCGGGGAGCAGCTGGGATCGAACCGGCGCTGCAGAGGCTGCAGGCAGCTTCGCAACAGCGCTCAATGCGCCACTGGGGAGGCCCCAAAAATTGCAATTCTTGATGCTGAAAATGATTTCTGCTTTCATCAGCCACTTGCTGTAACAAACGGCGCTGAGATATACTGAACTGAAAAAGCAATGATTAACCGCCAAAAGGCAGCCGGCCAAAAAAATATTTAGAAGTAGAGTAAACCTCATAGAAGCCAATGCTCGGAAATAAATCACATAAAGGTTTATGACAAAATTCAGGAAGGTGCTCACAAAACGCTGACAGTGGCTACCCAGGGCCGAGGAGAGCGCGGTGGGAAATCCCCCAGCCCCTTGTAGCTCGTGATCTCCAGAATCGCCTCTCCCTGCTGGCTGCGCCCCTCTGGGAAGGAAGCCTCACCTGCTATGCTACTGCTTCTCAGGGGTGCGTCCTCGGGCGCCGGGCACACGCCATAGAACACAGGGGGCTCCACGGGGGTCCCCACACCGCTCCTGCAGCCGGCTGCACGGAAGGGTGCGGTGCTGGCCTCTGCAGTCACAGCATCCTCCTCCGGGGGGTTCAAGCCCACGCTGTAACCGAAGTCTCTGTCTTCAGCAAGGCCGGCCTGCTCAGCTGGGACCCCGACAGCAGGGTGAAGACCCCGCTGGGCGTCCGGGCTGAGAGAGGGGCCTCCTGCAGCCTCCTGCTCGGGGCTGGCGCCAGGCAGGGCGCTCCTGTGCTCCAGTAACGCCCGAGCCAGTTTCTTCTCAAAAATGAACCTGGTAGTTGACGTAATGGGGCCGCATCTCAACCCATTCTTGACAATTTCCTCTCTCAGGTCGTCCGGGTTCAAGAGCTTCAAGCGCGCCAAGATGGCGTCCATGGTCACCCCACCTAGGACGAGAGGGCACATGATGGCCGCGAGCGCCTCTCCTCTGCCAGAAAGCAGGCACAAGAAGCAAGCCTCGATGTCTGCCCCCACCCAGAGTCTCCCCGAATTCCCCGGAGCCCACGCGCGGACTGTGAGTCCCCACAGGTCCTGCCTGTTAACCTCTAGTGACCCAGGCGCTATCAAGGCCAGTGGCTTCGGTCACCGGGAGGCCCCATGGCCCCGCACTGGACGCTGCCCTGGCCCCCGAGGCAGCAGTGCTGGGGGTTGAGGACACTCAATGCTTCATGGTCTAACTTGGAGTGAAGCCCCGGAGGCAAGTTGACCTGTAACAGGACCGCAGGCCGGGAGTTGGAAGTGGGCCTGGCGACCCGGGCAGTGCGGCCACTGAGCTGCGACAAGGAGGCAGAAGACACAGAGGCACAGGAGGGCCCGCGCAACACCCAGGCCAGACCTGGAGAGGAAGAAGGGACACCGCAGAGCGGAGGGAGAAGATATGGCGCGCTGGCATACACATGGCGGGAGCCCAGGGTGAGGGGCTGAGGCCTGTATTTGTGGTGGGCAGACCCGAGGCCCACACAGAACCAGTGCCCGCTGCAGCTTGGCACCAGCAGGGGCCACTAAGGTGACCATCTTTGCTTTGTGCACTTCTTTAAAAATCTTAGGGTGCGATTTCTTGCCACCCAGCTGCTGGCTGTCACTACCTGCAAAGGGGCTATCAGTCTTTTACACAGTGAACGTCCCACACAGCCCCCTCTAGATGGGCCGGGTAACCTGAGGGGGTCTTCCTAACCTATTCCCCCACACCAGAGGCGGCTAGGTGGTGGCGCCAGGACCCAGGGAGGTGGAGGCCACGCAAGGCAAGGGAGGGCGTGGGGGAGGGCGCCGTCAGCCCGGGCCACTTGCCACACCAGACCGCGTCCTGAGGTGACGCCGCACTGACAGGAAGGGAGCTCTGTCCTTGCACAAGCAAGTCCTAAATGGAACCACACACTCCACGACCTTGGGCAAGTGATTTAAACTCTTCATCTATAAAACGGACGTACCAGGGCCTCCCCGTTGGCGCAGCGCTTGAGCGCTGGGTTGCAAAGCTGCCCGCAGCCTCTGCAGCGCCGGTTCCATCCCCAGCTGCCAGGCAAGGGTCCCGCCTGGCGCGCAGACCCCCCCTGCCGCCCGCTGCTCCCCTCAGCAGTGTCCTTCGGTCCCTCTGCCTGCTCTGCTCCCCGCTCTGGCTCTGGTGAATCCTCTCACCCTCCCGCGCTTCTCACTGTACCCAGTGCTTGTGTAAATAAATAAATAAATAAATAAATCTTTAAAAAAAAAAAACAAAAAAACAAAAAACGGACGTAACAACAGCTCCCTTCCCCGGCTGCAATGACAAGTGGATAAAATTGCACGTGTGGGCCTCCCTGGCGGCACAGCGGTTGAGCGCCGCACCGCGAAGCTGTCCGCAGCCTCTGCAGCACCAGTTTGATTCCCTGCCGGCCAGGGAGAACCCCACATGGCGCAGCAGACCTCTCATGCCTCTCCTGCTGCTCCCCTCAGCAGTGTCTTCAGTCTGTCTACCTGTCCTGCTCCCCGCTCTGGCTCTGGTGAATTCTCTCACCCTCCCGCGCTTCTGACCTGTACCCCAGTTCTTGTATAAAATAAATAAATCTTTTAAAAAAAATTTAAAACTTCGAAGCTGGGCCTCCCCTGGTGGCGCAGAGGTTGAGCGCTGGGCTGCGAAGCTGCCTGCAGCCTCTGCAGCGCTGGTTCAGTCCCCGGCCACCGGTGAGGGTCCCACATGGCGCGACAGACCTCTCCTGCCTCACCCGCTGCTCCCCTCAGCAGTGTGCTTCGTTAGTCTGCCTGTTCTGCTCCCCGCTCTGGCTCTGGTGAGTCCTCTCACCCTCCCGCGCTTCTGACTGTACCCAGTACTTATATGACTAAATAAATAAATCTTTAAAAAAAACAAAAAACAAAAAACTTCGAAGCTGTTGTACCGTAGAACCCCAGTTCTGCAGAATGGCACTGAACAAACACCTGTGCCCTCTGTTGCTAACATCCTCAGACCAGCGAGCACGCATCTGCCCGTGCGGGCGCAGAGGGAGGATGAAGCAGAGGCCGGCAGCCAGTCACCAGGGAGCGGGTGGGTGTGGACAGTGAACCTGACCCGAGAGTGACTTCTCCACCTGACTGTGCAGGCCTTGATTTTCAGAGATGCGTCTGGGATTCAGATGCTCAATAAAAAACGGGGAGAGACTCCCCAAGTGGACTACAAACCAAAACAGACGGGGTCAGCAGGCTGCAAGTCAGAGATTGGCGGGCATCCCCGGAATGACCTGTGCTCCAAAGCCCAAGAGGGCCTGGCTCATCTGAGGCTGAGAGCCCGCTCCCCGCTTGACAGGGAGGGCAGGGGAGGCCGGGGCGGGGCGGGGAGGGGCAGAGAAGTCCTGAGGCTCTGTGGGCAAGAGGTCTCTCAGCCACTCACGGACACCACAGGCAACGCATGTCCCTGAGAGACGACATCACTGACAGGTGGGTGTGGACAGGCTACTGGGCAGCCGGCCACACATGGGCTAGACGTGGACGCCAGCTGGACACCAAGAACGCGGCACAAACACCAGGCCCCTGGGAAGCGAGCTGGGCGGTGGGTGCATCTCACGCCCTGATTTCCTGATGCGCAGGGGAGCCTGAGCATAGGCTTGGGGAAGTGCTCAAAGGCCGGGCCCAAGTCCTGCGGCCATTCCCTACTTGTGCATCACGCGTGTGGCCCACGGGCACCTCGCGCACAGGCACTCCCGGTCACTCGCACAATCACCCACCACCGCCGAGGTCCCTGCTGCTGCCCTCCGCAGCCACGTCCAAGCTCCTCAGTCCCGGCCTCTGCAGCCACTGCCCGTCCCGCAGCTGCACCGCACGCACGTGAGCAGGGGAGCGCGAGGGCGGGAGCACCGCCCAGGCGCCCCAGTGCAGCTCATGCTCCTGACCCACGTGCCTTCAGGCTGCTTCCAGTTTTGGCAATTCCAGACCAACTATTAATAATCGTATATGGATTTTGTCTAAACAGCCCGTTTCTCTAGGCCAAAGGACCAGACATTCAGAGCGAGTTTAAGCTCCGAGGAACCCCAGGGTGGTAGTGTCGGGACTTGCTCTCCGCCCCCTCCGGAGTGCTGGTCATGGATCCTTGTGGGTCTGGCTTGTCCTTCACTACTGGCCAGTGACGCTGGTCATCTCCTCACATGTCCATTTCTTTGTGCCACTTTCGTTAGTTTTTACAAATACAAAATTATTCCAAAATTAAAAGCCAAAAATTAGAAATTTTTAGAGAAAACAGATTGACCCAAACTGCCCCTCAGCCTGTTCCCTAAAGCCATACACGCTGCCCACTCTGAGTTGGGCATTTTCAGTGCGTCCTGCCTGAGGCCTCAGCAACACGGCCTGAGCAGCTGGACGCCAGCTGCTCGCTACAGGCGAGGGGCTCAAACAGTCTGCAGCCCCCAGCACAGGGGGGCTGGGCCCAGGCCTCAGGCCTATCCAGCCGGCCTCTGCCTCCTGCTTGTGCAACTTCCCAGGGCCATGGTACAGATGCAAGGCCAAGCCTTGGGATGTCAGTCACCCCAAGGCCCCCATTAGCCCTAAGGTTTGGGGTGAGGGGGAGATCAATATGCTTTCTGCTAATAAAGTTCCACCTCCGATCAGGGCGCGTGAAGAACTCGTTTACCCTCCTGACTCAGGCAAGGAACCAGAGCTGCCACCTTAGCAAGGGGTTGGGGCACACAGGTGTAGGACCTAGGGTGTGACTGTCACGTGCCAGACGCACACCCAGCATATAACACTCTTTCCTATCTGTGTGACGGTGCCTGAGTTCCCCCAGGTCTCACCCAGAACACCAGATTCAGGCAGGGAGGGGAGATGCGGGCCACAGAGGGGGCCCAGGCCCAAGGAGGGAAACCAACCCAGCCTGGGGAGGGGGTCCAGGACAGGCAGAGGTCCAGGTCAGGGGGGCATGGGGGTCCAGGCTGCAGAGGGACCAGGATTGAGGCGTGTGGGGGTGGCCCAGGCCGGGAGGGGGTCCAGGCAGGGAGGGGGCGGGGTGTTCCAGGCTGGGAAGGGGGTCCAGGCAGGGCGGGGGCGGGGTGTTCCAGGCTGGGAAGGGGGTCCAGGCAGGGCGGGGGCGGGGTGGTCCAGGCCGGGAGGGGGTCCAGGCAGGGGGAGCAGGTGGTCCAGGCCGGGAGGGGGTCCAGGCAGGGCGGGGGCGGGGTGGCCCAGGCCGGGAGGGGGTCCAGGCAGGGGAGCGGGTGGCCCAGGCCGGGAGGGGGTCCAGGCAGGAAGGGGCGGGGTGTTCCAGGCTGGGAAGGGGGTCCAGGCAGGGCGGGGGCGGGGTGGTCCAGGCTGGGAAGGGGGTCCAGGCAGGGCGGGGCGGGGTGGCCCAGGCCGGGAGGGGGTCCAGGCAGGGGGAGCGGGTGGTCCAGGCCGGGAGGGGGTCCAGGCAGGAAGGGAGCGGATGGTCCAGGCCGGGAGGGGGTCCAGGCAGGAAGGGAGCGGGTGGCCCAGGCCGGGAGGGGGTCCGGGCAGGAAGGGAGCGGGTGGCCCAGGCCGGGATGGGGTCCGGGCAGGAAGGGGCGGGGTGGCCCAGGCCGGGAGGGGGTCCAGGCAGGAAGGGAGCGGATGGTCCAGGCCGGGAGGGGGTCCAGGCAGGAAGGGAGCGGGTGGCCCAGGCCGGGAGGGGGTCCAGGCAGGAAGGGAGCGGGTGGCCAGGCCGGGATGGGGTCCGGGCAGGAAGGGGCGGGGTGGCCCAGGCCGGGATGGGGTCCGGGCAGGAAGGGGCGGGGTGGCCCAGGCCGGGAGGGGGTCCAGGCAGGGGGAGCGGGTGGTCCAGGCCGGGAGGGGGTCCAGGCAGGAAGGGAGCGGATGGTCCAGGCGGGAGGGGTCCAGGCAGGAAGGGAGCGGGTGGTCCAGGCCGGGAGGGGGTCCAGGCAGGAAGGGAGCGGGTGGTCCAGGCCGGGAGGGGGTCCAGGCAGGAAGGGAGCGGGTGGTCCAGGCCGGGAGGGGTCCAGGCAGGAAGGGAGCGGGTGGCCCAGGCCGGGATGGGGTCCGGGCAGGAAGGGGCGGGGTGGCCCAGGCCGGGATGGGGTCCGGGCAGGAAGGGGCGGGGTGGCCCAGGCCGGGAGGGGGTCCGGGCAGGAGGGGGCGGGGTGGCCCAGGCCGCGACGGGGTCCAGGCCCGGGCGGCGGGGCCCGCGAGGCGCGGACGGAGGCGCAGGCCCGGCCCGGAGGCGGCCGGGAGGCGGCGGGCGGCGCGGACCCGCCGGCCGAGCGGCCTTACCTGGGCCTGGGCCTGGGCCCGGGGCGGCGGGCGCGCGGGGCGGCGGGCTGGGGCTCCCGGGGCGGCCCCGGCCCCGCGGCCGCTTCTCCAGCCGCCGCACCAGCCAGCGCACGGCGATCAGCAGCACCGAGGCGCCCAGCAGCTCCCAGGCCAGCGCCGTCCACTCGGCCGCCGCCACCCGCGGCCACAGCATCGCCGCCGCGAGGAGCCGCGCAGGCCCGGCCGCCGCTCTGTCCGCCCGCGGGGTCCTGCAGGCGGCGCGCGGGCAGCCCGGCCGGGTCCTGCAGGCGGCGCGCGGGCAGCCCCGGGCCTCGCCCTGGTTTCGGGGCGGGGCTCCTGGGGCGGGGGCGGGGGCGGGGCCTGCTCGGGGCGGGCCCAATAGGGGGCGGAGTCTCGGGCGAGGGCGGATCCCGGCGGGCGGGATCCAGGTTGGGCAGGGACCGGGGCCCGTGGCCAGCGGGCCATGGGCAGAGGTCTGGGCGGGCAGGGGCCAGGGGCAGAGGGCCGTGGGCAGGGACCGTGGGCAGGGGCGGGGGGCAGGGGACCGGGGGCAGGGGGGCAGGGGACCGTGGGCGGGGGACTGTGGGCAGCAGTCTGGGCGGGCATGGGCCAGGCGGGCAGGGGGCCGGGTGGGCAGGCAGGGCCCGGGCAGGCAGGGGGCTGTGGGCAGGGGGCCGGGTGGGCAGGCAGGGGCCGGGCAGGCAGGGGGCTGTGGGCAGGGGCCGGGTGGGCAGGCAGGGCCCGGGCAGGCAGGGGGCTGTGGGCAGGGGGCCAGGGCGGACAGGGGCTGGGCAGGCAGAGGGCCACGGACAGGGCGTTCTAGCACTGGCTGGTTCCCGGACTCGCCGCCGGATCCCCCATGGCTTTGCTCCAGCACCAGCATTGAGCTGGCAGCTCCCTCTCGCCCAGTGCCCTCCGCCTGCAGGGCAGCTCCCGGCCAGAGTGGGGATAGCCTGGGCCCGCGCATCCCTGGCTGTGGCTGACCGGCAGGGGCAGTGGTAGGGCTTGACCCCTAGGATGGAGGGGAGGGAGGAGGCAGAGACCCTGGGAAGCCTCCTGCCCTCCTGCTGTGTAGCGGGAGGCACAGATGGAGACTCTCGCTAAACCAACGCTGGCAAGTGGGTCCCACCCAGGGAGCGGGAACCGGCTGGAGCAGCCCCCACCATAGCCGCCACCCCCAGGCCCTCGCGGGAGCAGGTGCGACCCCTGCGGTCCCCACACGTCCCCCGCGTGGAGGCACCGGGCGGTGCACCCTGCCAGGAGCTGGAAATCTGCCTCCGGATGAGCCAGGGAGGCGGCACACAGCCACTTCTTACAGCTCTAGGGCAAAGGACGCCGCCATACCTGGTGTGCAGACGCCCCTCTGGACAAGCCGCCGTTTATACTCCAAGTGAGCAGGGGAGGAAGCCAGGTCCAGGATTTTCTGTGTGTCTTTTTGAGGCCCCCGATGTAGGCTGGTCGAGGCCCCTGTGCCGAGTAGATCAGTGCACCGGCTCCCAGACCCTGTCCCCGAGGATGCAGGAGAAATGGGGGCTCCCCAGAGAAAACCATGGCAAAGGGATGGCGCAGCGTGGCAGTGTCAGGGTGGGCCAGGGAGGTTTGATTGAGGAGAGGGCCATCAACTCTTTCCTGCGGCCAGCGCGTCCCGTCTGCGGCTGGCCACGCACAGCCCACACGCTGCCTGGCCAGCGGCAGGAGGGAACATGCAGCTGGGACGTTTGCTGCAGCCAGTGTCGTCCAGAGCTGGTTTCTGAGCAGCCCTGGGTACAGCACCTGACAGCCCGACGCCCAGCTCTGCTGTGCAGGAGCCCGGCGGGGGGGGGGATGGGTCGGCAGGCAGGGGTTGTGGGCGTGCCTGCCCACCTTGGTGTGCTGAGCAGACCCCACCGCGCCAGCGCAGGAACCCCAGGCAGGTCGACGAGTCAGGCTGACGTGGGCCTTCTGTGAGCAGGAGCCTCCTTAGGAGGCTGTGGGGCCCGGTGGGGTCCTGGGACATGAGCACCCTCACTGGTTCCAGCTGGAGAGAGCAGAGCTTCCTGGTGGGCTGGCCCAGGAGGGAAGGGGCAGGCCCTGCGGTGGGGAACCCTGACCACCACGGAGCCCCAAGACCCTGCAAGAAGCAAGCAGTAGGCCTCCCTGGTGGTGCAAGGGGTTAAGCACATCACTATGAAACTACCCAGCCTTTGCAGCACGAGTTCCGTCCCCGGCCAGGGAATGACCAGACCCCTCCTGTCTCCCCGCTGCTCCCCTCAGCTGTGTATCTCATTGGATCCGGCTGTTCTGCTCCCCACTCTGTCTCTGGTGAATCCTCTCACCACCCCCACACTTCTGGCCTGTACCCCAGTTCTTGTATGCACAAATAAATTAATCTTAAAAAAAAAAAAAGCTGGGCCCATGTGGAGGGCTTGGAAGTCACGCCATGGGTGGCATGGATCCTATGGCCAGTGGGCAGGGGGTGGGGGTGTCCCTGTCTGACGCGGGGGCCTGTGGGGTCCTGATCAGGTCGCTGTAGAGGGCCACAGACCATTGGGTCCAGCAGTCCCCACACAGCTCCAGAGGGGCGCAGGCGACCCCTGGGCAGAGTTGCCTCCGCCCCTCCGAGAGCTGGGCTTGGGGGCCGCCGGGGAGCAAGGCCCACTGACCCATGCCAGGCCCGCATGGAGACTCCTCCGCAAACAGGAATCTGGACAGAGTTTATGTCGAGATGAAAGTCACTCCAAAATGTTAAAATGGACTTCCCCCAAAGAAAAATGAAGATCTTTACCAAAAAATAGTTTATTGCACAAAATTTAAGGACTTCCCAAGCACGCTTAAGTTTGTAAAAACCAACATGCTGTTTCAGTCACAAGTCGTCATCATGGCGACCTTGCCCTGCACAGCCAACCGGGCCCTCCGCAGGGCAAGCTCAAGGAGCCCTGCAGCCACCCTCCCAGCCCTCTGGGCCCTGGACACCCGCAGGCCAGCAGCCGTCTGTCCACAGAGGCCCAGCACGCCCCCACTCCCACCCCCGGGGTGCTGCCGGGCCAGGACTCCATGGCGCCTCCTTCACACACGCCCCCTCACCTCCAGGCATCTTTACCTCCACCTGTGCGCCCAGGCCAGGGCAGCCGGGCTGAGCGGGCTGAGCGGGCTCGGCAAGGACCACCCGATGTCTGACCGTGGGCGCCACCCAGAGGCTCCTGGGAGCCAGTTCCCACCTGGCCCAGTGCCTGGTTCGCGCCTTCCCAACACAGGACAGACTCACGAGGCATGAGCGAGCTGGGTGCCCCGGGGTGCCCACCCAGGGCCCCGCAAGCCTGGCCACTCCCTGACCTCTCTGCGCACGGGCTCCCGCCGTCTGCAGCGTGCTCAGAGCTGTCCTCCAGGGGAAGCCGGCGGGCCCGCGCCAATAGGCACACAGGAAGCAGCAGCCCAGGTGACGGCAGCCCGGTGACGGCGGAAGGCACACGTGTGCACACGCACACCAGACACATGCCCCACGTGTGCACACAGGACATGGGCACACACCACATGGAGACACGCATGTACACACAGCCCCCCCTCCCGCGAGCGAGAGGGCGGCCTAAGTCCTGATGGGCGGGGCGGGGGCTGCGAGCAGACACAGCAGTGGGTTCCTGTCCCTCTGCTCTGACGGTACAAAAGCGCTGTCAAAAATACTTCCCAGCGCGAGGAGAAGCAGAGGAGCAGCAGGACATTTACAGACCGCCAAGAGTCGGCCCCGGAAAGCCTGCAGGGAAGCTCAGCCCAGAGCCTCGAGGGATGGCTTGAACAGCTTGCAGGCCCGTCTTCTCCCCAGTCTCGCCCATTGGGAGTCGCGCACCCCCGCCCTGCCAGGCCCTACCGGCGATGGCGTGTGGCTGCGGGATGCAGGGGTGTCCCGCACTCACCACAGAGAAGGCCGCAGGCACGAAGGGGAGCGAGGACAACACAGACACTGTCTAAGAACATTTGGTTTAAAGGTAAATAAAATAATCGTCTTTCTCAGAACATAACCCGGACAGCCCTGAGCCCACCTGACCTCACGTGCCGCAGCCAACGTTCAAAAGGCAACGGACAGGCGCCGCCGGCCAGTCCTGACCGCGTTCAGCGTTTAGGCTGCGTGTCAGTGTGTCTGCATGTTCTACGGGGATGGCCGTTTAAACAATAAAATAAAAACCAAAGGTGTGAATAGTGTCATTTCGGTGGGAAGTAAAGCTCTAACAACCAAAGCCAACGCCAGGCCAGGCCTGCTGGAGCCCCCTTGGCGGGAGCGCCCGGCATTCCACAGGGGATGCTGCTGTGACCTGCCAGTCATAGTTCCTCCAGCCCTGGCTCTCAACCCGTCAGTTCACTCCCTCCCTGTAAAGGCAAGTGCAAAACTTAAATGCCACCTCTTAGAGAAACACAGAGCATGTACTCCAATAAATAACATTGACAAGAGAACATTCCTTTGGGTGGTTACAAGGCGCGGAGGCCGCTGGTCACTGCGGCCAGGTGGGCTCGAGCGGCTCTGCCCGGCTGTGCTGCTCCGTGTCTCCCCTGGGGTGGGCGTGCTCTCCCCGGGTGGCGGGGCTGGCCCCTGGTTGCGGGCACAGGGCTTCGTGCACAGTCACCGTGTGGGCTTCCATCTGGCGCTGCAGGCTGTGCATCTCCTGCCTGAGGGAAGGAGCTGGGTCACAGTGCTGCCCTGCGGAGGCCCCAGCTCCCGGACGCAGGCCTTGGGACCCAGAGGGCCCTGCAGCTTCCCCACGCTGCCATGCCATGGGCGCCTGCTCAGGAGGGGCTGCCCTGCCCCCAAGTCCCCGCAGGAGCCCCAACACCTGCCCTCCACCCAGCCCAACAGGCGCCAACATCCAGCTCTGGGGCTCCCTGGAACTCAGATCTCAGGCACGTAGGGTCAGTGGGCACTAGACACCCCACCTCAACCACAGACACAGGCTGAGTGGCCCCGGGCCTTGTGGGCACCCAGGCTGCAGGACGGAGGCTCCCGGGTCAGACATGTGAGTCCCGCGGCCTCGGCAGAGCCCACACGTACTTCAGTTGCTGCAGACAGCTGTTGAGGTTCTTGAGGGGCTCTTTGCTCACGGCAGGGGGGGGCTTCAGCAGCTCCTCCAGCAGGGAGGCTGGGACGGGGCAGTCAGGGATCTTCACCGGTGTCACGGGGCCCGAAGAGTTGGCCTCGCCTTTCAGTTCCTTCCTCTGTTCAGAGACACGTGGTCAGCTGTGGCCCAGGAGGCCGTACCCTGCACTCGGCCTCCGTGTGGCCCCACCCCGGCCTGCCTGTGGTGGGTGAGCTGTGGGCGGGAGCAGCGGCTCAATGCACCGACCTCTTCCCGACACAGCACAGCAAGCTGTGCCAGCTGCGTGTGAGCCCGGGCCAGGGCCTTGAGGGCGTGTCCAATGGGACCTCCCTGCCTCTGGCGCTTCCTCCCCCATCATCCCCGCACCCCTTTTGCTAGGCCCAGTGTCTTCACACGCAGGTGCAGGCACGGAGCACAGCAGCTTCTGCGCACTCGGGAGGCCCTTCCAGCCCCCGCTGAGAACACTGCTGGGCAGGCACCGAGCGCAGCCCACGGGCTGGCAGGGCTCTTGCCCCCGTGCGCTTTATGTGCCATCGCCACGAAGTGGCCTCTGAGTTCACGAAAAGATGTCAATGTTCTAAGAGGCGCCAAGCTAAAGTGAGCCGGCCCTGCAGAGCACCCCCGCTGCCTATGCCCACACAGGATGCCAAAGGCCGGGCCGGGCAGTACCGTCTTTGTGCTGCGGCGTAGGCCCCGCTGGAGCTGCTGATTCTGCTGCAGCAGGGTCTTCATGCTGCTCTTCAGCTCCGACACCTTCGCCTGCAGTGCCAGCTTGTCCTTCTGCGTCACGGACAGATCTTCCCGCGCTACCTCCAGCTCAGACCGGACGTCCTGAGGAAAGCCGTACATTCGCAAAGGCCAAAGCCCCCAGTTTGCACGTGCTGGGCCCCTGGGGCTCCGTGAGGCCTGGGTTGTGTCTGAAGAGGGATCTGGGGCCCCGCCAGGCCCTGCCCCAGCGACACCCACGTCCCCATACCCAGCCCACAGCCAGGAGTCACCCGGTGAAGCCCCGGGCCCTATACCCCAAGAAGCCTCTACCCTCGCCCCACACCCCCTCCTAGGAGGGGTCTCAGTGGGGCCACCCAGGGCCTGACCCTTTGCCCGCAGCCCAGACTGCTGCCCCTCCCCCTGCAGTGACCCTCAGGGCTAATGGCTGTTGCCATGGTCCCTGAGGTCCGGCGTGGGCAAGGAACCATGCGCGCAGGGGGAGAACAGCAAACTCCCTAAGACATAAATAAACTGGATGCCTGTTAAGACATACGACCACTAAAAGCTGCCATAAACCTTATCTCGCTTTCTCAAGGCCCATAAACTTTATTCTGCTACAATTGTCTTTCTAAAATCTTTCCTTTTTCTGGTCATTGATGGCTAATTAAAAAACATACGTAATTTAATAAACAGGCTAATCCACATGAAACATTAATAATAGAATTGTTGGTTTAATAATCTTCTTTTATGTGCTTGACTTTAGTACCTATGACATTAACTGCATTATAAATTCACCCATGACAGTTTATTATGAGTAGAAACGAGTAAGTGATAGTTAGTGTAACTAAAATGTACTTATAAGAATTAATAGCCTGTCTACTTAGGAATGTGACTAGATCTAGATGTAGCTTCGGACATAGATCACTGCCCTGTCAATAATAAATCTATGAGCCATCTGGCCTAGTTCACTGATAACCGATCCTATGCCTTTAGACAAACGTATACATACTGACCACTGACTCAAATAAAGTTGCACTCAGATTTACACTCTCTTGAAGTGTGTGTGTTTGTCATTTCTTCAGCCGAATCCCTGACCACCCTGCGGGGTCTCTCAACCCTGAGACGGCCTCATCGTTCACTGCTGTGCTGGTCTGCGGCACCAGACCAGATGCTCTCTGGGCCAGAAGCTCATCTCAGACAGGCTGGCCCTGTGCTACCTCCTTGTGGGCCTAGCCCTGCACAGCTCGCATGGGGCAGCCGGTCTGGCCACCTGCGGGGCATGGGCCTCCGAGGGCCTGTCTCGCATGCACAGCGCGATGTGGGGCCCTCGCCCACTCCTTGCCCATGGGGTTGGCCCACCTCCGTCGGCCCGGCAGTACCTGCAGTAGCTGCTGCAGACCGCCCAACTCCTGGGCCGCGTGCTGCTCGCTCAGGCCCAGCTGCTGCCGCAGGGATTGGACCTCTCGCTCCTTCTGCTCTGCCTCCCATTTGAGATTTTCCATCTAGAGACGGGACAGTCACAAGGCAGGAGAATCTTAAAATGACATCCCTGCCCCTCCACCAACACCGCGTCCCTGCACTTGGCTCAGCGTCACACCAGGACAGAAAGGCCCTTCCCGCAGACAGGGCTGAGCGTGTCCACACCAGGCAGGCCCACGGTCACCTCTTGGTTTCCGGTAGGCTGTTTGTTCAGTTGCTCATCCAGCTGCTGCTGCAGGAGCAGGAGCTGGGCCCGGGCCTCCGCCAGCTCCGCCCGGAACTGCACGGCCTCCTGGGAGTGCTGTTCCTCCCGGCTTCTGGCAGAGAGAGGGGAGAGTGAGCCTCACCCAGCCTGTCCACCGCACGCCAGGTGACGGCTCTCTGTTCCGGGAAGACGGGTGAGGGCACGCCTGTGGGTGCTCACCCCAGGGAACAAAGGGATGCTAGCTGCGGTGGGAGGGGGCACGGGTCAATCTCACTGCACCCACAGCCAGGCCTGGTGCCTGCCCTGTGCTGCTCCCTTCACTGCAGGGCCCGAGGTGGGGGCATAGCTCAGGCTCCTTGCTCTCCTCGCGCCCCTGGCCCCCAAAGGACTCATGATCTGCTGAACTACAAGTGACTGTGACATGCAGACATGTCAAAGAGGGAGAGTCCTCACGTCCCCAGGCCCTGGAACCCCGCGGCCCCACCCCCACGCACTGGAGCTCCTCGGCAGCCTCCTGCAGCTTTTGCACCAGGTGCTCCTTGGCCTGCAGCTCCTTCTTCACCTCACCCAGCTCCAGGGAGGCGGCCTTGAAGTGGCGGCGGTTATGTCCAGCTTCCATCTTGGCAGCAGCCACCTATGGGCAGGAGGCCCCGTCAGCGAGGACAGGCGAGCTTAGCAAGGCAGGCTGGGGGGTGGCCAGCTCCCCATGGCCGTCCCAGAGGCCTGGGTGACGTGTGGTGGGTGGTGTCTGTTGGGGGGATGCCGGCTCGGAGGTCCTCTGCCTAGTCTAAATAGCTTTCACAGCCTTCCTCACGAGCAGACCCACGGTCCCTGGCCCGTGCACCCCTGCCAGCAAGTCCCGGCACCCACCCGCCCCTGGGCTGAGTGTCCCGCAGGGTACGGCCCACACCTGCTCCTTGAGGGTGTTTGCACTCAGCTTCTCTCTCTCCAGGGAAGCTTGCAGGGTGTCTATGAGCCGCTGGATCTGCTGGTCCTCTTCCTCCTTGCGCTGCAGAATCGCCTGCACCTGCAGGGAGGCGGACGTCACCCAGGCCTGGGGCGGCCGAGGGAACCAAGCAGGACACGACTGCAAGCCCCAGAGCTGGGCGGCAGAGGCAGGGCTGCCAAGTCCGAGGCACTGAGAAGTGTCCAGAGGAGCTCCCTGGGCTCCAGGTGCAGCCAGGCCCTTGCGCAGACCCTGCTTGGCGGGAGAAGGTGCGCCTGCAGCGCCAGCAGCTGCCCCCGAGGAAGCTCCCAGGCAGCTCCCACCCGGCATCACCATGGGGCTGGGAGCAGGTGTTGGGCACTCGCCGGGCCTGTGCTGGGCTGCAAAGGCCCCAGGGGTCCCCGCGCATGGGCTGGCACCTGGAGGTTCAGCTGCACCAGATCGGCCTCCCTCTTGGCCAGCGCTGTCTCCAGGACGCTGTTGTGCTCCCGCAGAGCTGCGTTGGACTGACCCAGGCCCGTCAGCTTTCCCCGCTCATGCTCCAGCTCCAGGGCCAACTTGTTATTCGACTCCTCGAGGCGTTTTATCTTCCTCCTGAAGCCTCGGGACTCCTGGAGCTGAAACATGTCAGGGTCAGCCATGCAATACATGTTGGCGTCCACAGAGCCCCAAGCGCCACAGAAACACAGCAGCCACATGAGGCCAGCTGCCCTCAGTGCCCTTGGTCATGGCCAGCAACTGCAGGGCCATGCCACTCCTGCCCAGCCCCTGGAGAGGCACGGACAAGCAGGCAGCCCCAGGTCTCGACCATTGCCCAGGAATGCTGTGTGCTCGGGGGCTGAGTCTCAGCAGCTCCCCTCAAAGGGTAGGGCCACCTGAGCCGGCTGGCCCTTCCAGGTGACTGCAGCACCCCAACTGGGCCCCCGGTAAGCAGGAGTGCGGGCCCTGCTGAGACTGCTGCCCCCTGGGCATGCAAGGGCTGGCAGCACAGGGACGCACAGCGGCCCGGGAAGGGGCCTGCTGTCCCCTGCAGCTGGGTTGGGCACCTACCTCATCCTCCAGCTCCAGCACTTTCTCCCGGTGCTCCTCCAGCTCCTGGCTGGTCAGCGTGATGACCTCCTGCAGCTCCTTCTCCAGCATCAGCTTGCTGCGGCTGACCGTCTGCAACTCCTCCTCTAGCGCCCGGACCTTTTCCTGTGGTCCGACGCGAGTGGGTTACCCGGGGTGGCCATGCAAGCGCTGGTCACTTCCCACCGCCTCTGGCCACTCCTCAGGCAGACCCCTTCCTCCCAGGGACATGTGCCCCACTTGGCTCACCACAGAGCGACCCCGGCCCCCAGGCTGGCATCATGGAGCTGAGGATGCTGCCCCCACGAGCTGCCTCCCTTCTGCTCGCCCCCGAAGGCTCAGAGATGTCAGCTCCGGCAGCAGCACCCGGGAACCCACCTGCAGGGCCAGGCTGTGGGCACCGCTGGCTGCCTGGGCGCTCAGCTGACTCAGCTCGGCCTCTGCGGCCTCCTGGGCAGCAAGGGCCTCCTGCAGACGGCGGCTGAGGATGCCCACTGCATTCTCGTAGGCCTTGTGTTTGCTCTTCGCCTCCTTCTGGGCGCTACTCAGGTCGGAGCCCAGCCGCTTCACCTTCTGCTTCTGTTCAGTGACGGCCCTGGAGGGGCAGCGAAGGCTGCAGGGGTGCAGGGGCTCCCAGGCCCAGAAGGCTGCCGTACTCTCCTGGCGCCACCTTGCAGCCCGGGACCCCTCCTGTGTTCTCTCCACCCAGCAGAAGCCCCTCTGGGGTTGCTGAAGAGCAGGTCAGAGTCACAGGAGCCTCCCCCCACTAAGCAGCATTGCCTGGGGAGCACCCGGGGTGGAGGCAGCCCAGCACACCACTGCCACACAGGGCCTGCGGCACACCTCAGCCACCAGGCCCGGCGACCCACTGCCCAGTGCCCCTGGGGCAGAGCCTGCCTGCTGGCACTCACTTCCGGGCCTCCTGCTGCAGCGCCTCCACCTGCTTCTGCAGCGCCTCGTTGGCCTCTGACAGAGCAGCCGCCTGTACTTTATCGAACTGCAAAGACTTCGGGGGTGGGGAGACAAGTGAGGACAGCCTGGCCTGGCCAGTGGACCCCTGCACCCCCCTAGCCCCGCAGCCCCTCCTGGACCCACCCCCGCCACAATCCCGGGCCCGGCTGCCCTGGCTCTCACGTTCGGCCTCCAGAGCCCAACCAATTGCTGCGTGCCAGCCGCCCACAACCCTCCCTGCAACTCCCAGTTCCCTGGGACTCCCTGGGACTTCCCTGGGAACTGAGCTCCAGGAGCCTGAGCTGGGCTCCCCTCTGAACACCTCCCACGCGGAGCCCCAGGCCACACCTGGAGCTGCAGCTCCGCCTCGTCCCGCTCCACCTGCGCAGCCTGCAGGTGCCCTTCGAGGTCTGCCACCTGCTGCCGGGCCTGCACCGCCTCCCGCTGCAGCCGCGCATGCTCCAGCTCCACCGACTTCTTCTCCCCCTGAAGCCTCAGTAACTCCTGCCTCAGCTCCTTCTGTGCCGAGTCCAGCCTCTTCTTCGTGGCCTTCAGCTCGCTGACAAGCTGGTCTTTGGAGGCAGCATCCCGCCGGTAGGCCTCCACCATTACCTGCGGGCGAGACACTGCAGCCAGCGTGGGCTGCCTCAGGGGTCCGCCCCCCAACGAGCCCGCCCTGATCCGGCCGCACGTCTGGGGCGCTAAAGAGCATGTTTCCTCAAATCCCAGACACCATCACCCAAACACCACCCACCATGCACCGGCAACTCCAGGGCACACCCACACCGGCCGTCCCGGCCCCACGCCCATCTCTCTTGGGCCACCTGGCTCCTGGGAAAAGCCCAGCCCGCACACAGGCTGGCCAGGGCCCTCTGCCCTGCAGGGCCCGTTGTGGGGCAGCCACGGACACCGCCTCACACAGCGCGGGCCCCAGGATGCAGACCACTGTGGAACACACCCTGGCCACAGGGAGCTCGCGGGTGGGGGCCTTGCTGTGCAGCAGTGGGTGAGGAGCGTCAGGACCACCAGAGGCCTCCAGGTGTCCCCACCCCGAACTGTCCCGTGACAGGACCAGACCACACAGGACCTGCCGACATCCTTGTTACATGGAGCAGCAACAGCAGCTGCACTTCTCTACCTTCTGTTGGAGAAACTGCTCCTTCACCTTCTGTGTCTGCTTCTTCAAGGCGACTGACTCCTGCTGGAGATGCTCCACCTGCAGGACGGGTGTGCATGTTTTTACCTGCTGCCGCAGACTTGGCTCCCACGTCTGCTCCCGGCCGGACCTCTCGCCACCTCCCCGCCTCACTGGCCGACATGCCAGCGGGCCCACCGGGAGGGGCCCGAGGCGCCACAGCTTTCCCAAGTCTGAGCTCCACGTCACCAGGGGACAGAAAGTGTTTCTCGGGATTTGACTTTCAAAAGGCCAAAGGTCATTGGTTTGAGTGTTCAGCACCTGCACAGCCACGGATAAGCAGGACCAACAGCAGAACGCCAGGGGTGGTGGCTACAGAGGCGCTCACAGGCGGCCACAGTAGCCATTCCTGGCATGCTGTCCACTCACGGCAGACCACAGCAGACTGCCTACCTGGCTGGACTTGATGGCTAGCTCTTGTCTCAGCTGCTCAAGAACGTCCGACGCTTCCTCCCTGCCTTCTTCCAAGCTCTTGGCTCCGCTGTCCAGCTCCTCCCTGCTGCTCTTGGCCGCCTGCAGCGCCACCTCCAGGACGATCTTCTCCTTCTGCAGGAAGTTGATGGTGTCGTCCCGGGCGGCGGCCTCCGCCTGCAGCTCCTCCAGTCGGGCCTGCAGCTCATCCTGGTGCCCCTGCAGGTCGCCCAGGCTCTGCTCGCGGGTCTGCAGTGCCTCCTGCGTCGAGGTGAGCTGCCTCAGCAGGTCTAGGTGCTCCTGCTGCAAGGCCTCGAACTGCTGGTCTCGCTGCTGCAAGGTCAGCTTCACCTGCAAGAGGACCGAGGCCCAGTGTGACTGCCCTGTGCTGTGCCGCACGGCCCTGCTCAGGTCAAGAGCTCTGTACAGGAGCGCAGGTGTCCTCCTTCCTGCACATAGGTCTGGAAGAATAACAGCGGCAGGGACACCACTGGGGCCTCAGCAGTGGGGCCTGTGATGTACAGGGGATGGCCTGCCCCAGCCTGGCTCACCTGTTCAAGCTGCTGCTCCAGGGCAGCTGCCGAGGCTACTGTCTTCTGCAGCTGCTCCTTCTCATCTTCAAACTCCTCCAGCCTCCTCTGCAAATCTTCCTCTACCATCGTCTTAGCCTCTTGAATCTGCACAAAGGCAGCTTCCTGGTCCAACATGTCAGCCTGCGCCAGGGAGACAGTGTACCTCAGAGCAGGAGCACCACCGCCCCGGCCCGCTCACGCAGCCTCTGCTGGCCTCCAGCTGACCAGGGGAGAGGCTAGCGACCACCTGGCGGGATAGCCAGGCCCCGCCGCGGCCGTCTGGGTGGGCTGCAGCAGGCCTGCTCCAGGCAGCAGCGGGAACGTCACCCTCACGCAGTCTCTCCACAGGCCCTGGTAAAACCAGACACCAGATATGGGACGTCTGGACCATGCAGCTAAAACTCAATGCCCAGGTATTTCTTAAGGGAAAATGTCAGCTGATGGCTCAGTGTTTCCAGCTGACAAGGCCACAGAGGCCTCGGTGTCAGGTCTGGCACAAGGGGATGGGACCCAAGGCCCCGCCTGCGCCTGTCACGTCCAGAGGCAAGAGCCTATGGGAGGCAGTCACACTCCCAGCACCTGCAGACGCCATGTACCTCCTCCCTGCCCGGACTCTCAACAAGCCTGTCACGTGGCATCACGTGATGCCCAGAGGGGATAGTCCCGGTGTCACAGGTAAGAAACGAGAACAGGTGTGGGGTCCCCACGAGAGCTGCAGCATCCCCACCACCCTGACACCAGCCATAAGGCAGCTGCACGTCCTCCGCCTGCTGGTGGCTGTAGACTGAGAGCTCACCAAGTCCGGGCTCCGCAGGCAGCTACGCAGGCCCCCTACCCTGGCTGCCAGGAGAGGCCACAAGTCAGCCTGCAGTTCGGACACGAATGGTAGCGAGCAGGCCAGGCACGGGGAAGGTGATTCCCACACCTATGGCCCCTGCAGGTCATCCAGCAGTCCTTCAAAAATGCACACGTGCCCACTGACTACGGACTCATGCTGATGCACGTGACCAGCCACAGGCCCAGACCTGCCCGCGCGGGGCCACTGACCTCGATGCCCTGGAGCTGGGCGGCGATGCGTTCCTTCTCCTTGACCGACCGGCGCTGGGTCTCAGTCAGCTGCTGGGACAGGGCCACATTCTCTAGCTTCAGGTGCTCCAGCAGGCCCGCCTGGGTCATCTGCCCAACCTGCACGGAGGACAACCAGCTGAGGAGCGGCCCTCCCGCTGCATGTACCCTACTATGCACCCAGGCAGGCTGCCGCTCAGGAGCCGGCAGTCACCACTCGAGGCTGCACCAGCCTCCCGGCTGTTCCCGGAGGTGGCACCAGCCATGCAGCCAGGCGGTCACTAGCAGCCATCCCTCTGGCCAACTGCCTCCTTGAGAAACGCCAGCCCCAGAGGCGGCACGAGCAGAGGGTCGAGGCACAGGCCTGCCCAGCCCTGCCGGCAAGCAGGAGGCACCTGCAGCCCATGCAGAGTGGAGGCACACCCTGCAGGCCTGCTCCTCAGCCCCTGGGGGAGCGGAAGCAGCGGCTGCTGGACAATCTCAGGGAGCGGGGCCCAGGGACCCGCAAACCACACTCGCTGTGCCTCCTCCCCTTTAACCTTCCAGGTCCCACTTGACGAGTCTGGGCGGACACAGCTGGCTCCCCTATTACCCCACGCCCCACACAGCCCAAGCCGCTGGGAGGAGCAGGGCGTCCATGGTAGGACCCCCAGGCCCACGCCATGCGAGCCGCACCACACAGGCAGGTAGAGCCCCGACTCGCACGTCTGCAGGCCTGGGACTCTAAAAGAAGCACTTGGGCGAGCTGGCATCTCACAATCTCAACTCGAGAAAGTTTCAGTTAACCTACGTACTTATTTTATCAGGAAGGAAACGGAGGGCAACAACGAAACTCCCGACTGAACTGAGAGCGACCAGGGCTGGCAAGGCCCACCCAGATCCTTCATGGTCAGCACAGCCAGCCTGAGTCCCGAGGGCCCAGGCCCTATGCTGTGGCCCACCAGCACCAGAGGACATGCCTGGGCCGGCCAGGGGAGCTGGGAGAAGGCGTCTGCTGGCACCATGGAAACAAGAACACCCACATGTGTGGGGACCTCACTAAGGCCATGGGAGCAGGGCCAGGGCATGGGGAGCAAGGCCTGGGTACAGGGGAGCAGGGCCGGATTTGGGGGGCAGGTGCTCTGTGGTCAGAGCATGGACATAAGAAGCCCGAGGGGGCCTCTCTGGTGGCGCAGCGGTTGAGCGCTGCACTGTAAAGCTGTCCGCAGCCTCTGCAGCGCGGGTTCGATCCTGGCCAGCCGGTGAGAATCCCACATGGCGCAGCAGACCTCTCCTGTCTCGCCCGCTGCTCCCCTCAGCAGTGTACTTCGTCAGTCTGCCTGTTCTGTTCCCCGCTCTGTCTCTGGTGAATCCTCTCACCCTCCCGCACATCTGGCCTGTACCCCGGTTCTTGTATAAATATAGGTAAATCTTTAAAAAAAAAAGAAGCCCAAGAAAGATGCTGAGCCCAGAAATGCTCGAGCTGTCAGACCATCCCCACAGTCGACCCAGAGCGCCGTCGCCAGGGCCGGGGTTGGGGGAAAGGGAGGGGGTAGTTAGGAATTAGCAGCTTCTTACAAGCACAGCTGAGAACCCCAAACACAGAAAAGTCTTTAGTTCAGGGTAAAGCAGCTGTTCTGCATGAGACAGCAGTGTCCACCCTCCCATGGCCAACCGGCCTACCTGGATATGGGCCATCTCGCCCTGCAGTCGGACGCGGGCCTCCTGGGCCAGGGCCAGCTGCTGCTGGTACCACTGCCGGACGCTCTGCAGGGATGAGATCTCAGCCTGCGAGGCCTTCAGCCTGCTGCTCAGGGCGCTGCGCTCCAGCTGTACCTGCTGCAGCTGGCCCTGCAGGGCGCCCATCTGCTGCCGCAGGTCCTGCACTGGGGGGGGAGCACAGGCTCAGACCACCTGCCTGGGTACCATGCCAGACAGCAGCGCCCTCCCAGGGCGCATGGGGGAGGCTGGACTGCGCCGCCTGTCCAGATGCCTGCACAACCCCGCCGCAGACCCCCAGCGCGTCACCACCCCCACGCTGCAGACAGCAGTGTCTGGACTCGATCTGAACACACAGGCGTTATCAAGGGTGGCGTGGCATTAGGGGAGCCAGAGACGTGCTTCGCAGGAGCTGAGGCAGCCGACGCTCAGGGGTCAGGCGACTGGGCCGCAGGCCACCTCCCTCACTGCCCCAGGAAGAGCCCAGGCTGTGCTGGGGCGGCCGAGGCACCGCATGTGAACCACAGGGGCCAGGATACAGCATCGTCCCACATTAGGCCCACTGGTCTGACCCGTCACCCCCCGACTGGAAGGAGACAGGAAGTCACGACCCAACTCAGCCTGAACACAACCACTCAGACGTCCTAAGAGTCAGAATCACACCCAGGCTGTCCCCCTCCCCAGGACAGCCTCTAAAATGCTGACAGGAAGCCGACAAGGAAGGCAGCTGCAGGAGGCCCGCGGCCCCAGCCCGAACCCCCTCCGTGCTCAGAGCCAACGGAAGCAGCACGGCACCCCAAGGCCGACTCCGGGCCTCATGCTCAATGCTGCCATTCAGCCAGCAGCTGAGGTCAGCTCAGGGCCTTGGGTCTTCCACGCCCCTTGGGGACGGGAGCCACACAGCACTCAAGGGCTGCAGACAACCCCAGGGAGGCCTGTGCGCTGGGCCAGGGTGGATCCTGAGATGATAGGTCACCTGTGTGCGGGCATTGGTCCGAGACCACGTGGCCCCGATGCCAGAGACACTGTCCTGGGGCAGATACACAGCTGCTCCCCACGCCAGGGCAAGGACCCTCACCCTCTTGGCTGGGCCGGGGGTCTGAAACCAGGCCACCCCCGCCGTCCCCTCCGTGGCGGGCAGCCACCACCTTGGCACCCTGGGGACAGAGCGTGCAGCCAGGACTGGACACTCAAGAGGGAACCACATGGGCTCCACTAGCATGGCCACCCCCGGGACCCTGACCTATCTCCTTCACTGCACAGGGTTCAGGTTGACCAGTGGGGACTGGCGCCGGGCTCACCTGCGTGGTCCTTACTACGCAGGCTGCCCTGCATCTCCTCCACTTTGGCCAGCAGCCTCTGGTACTGCCCCTCCGCCAGCTGCAGGTCACTGTTGGATGCGGCCAGGCTGGCATTCCTGGCCTCCAGCAGGCTCTGTAGGTCGGCCATGGCTCGCTCCAGGTCCCAGCAGGACCGCTTCAGTGTGTCCACCTCAGAGCTCAGTGAGTCCTGTCTCTGCTGGCTGCTCTGGCTCTGCTCTACCTGGGCCTGTAGCCGCGTGTCCAGGGCAGCCAGCTGCGCCTGCAGCTCTGCCTTTTCCTTCAGGGCCTAAGAGAATCCAAGCAGATACCATGACCATCAGGAAAACGAGTGGCTTCTGCCCCGTGGGCTGAGGGTATGGCTACAGGGCCCACGAGACTGACAAGGTGCCAGGTGTCCCCTGGCCTGGTCCCTCCAGTGGCACAGTGACCCCAGGAGAAGGCAGAGGCCCCACACAGGCCCAGGTGGAGGGGCGCCTCGCAGGGGCAGGGCAGGCCTGTGCCGGCCTGCTGTGAGATACCCTCGGGGCAGGAGCTGAGGTGTGCACCCCGGCTCTGAAGTCTGCCTACCAGGGCATTAGGGGAACCCCTGGCACTCAAAGACGAGCAGATGGTGGAAACCAACCCATACCCGCTGGGGAAACCAACACTCTCAGGGATGGCAGCCGGCAGGCCGGGACACCAGCGCAGTGTGCCAGAACCCAGGTGGCAACGCCATGCCGGGGGCAGGGGCAGAGGCCCAGCCTGGGGCCAAGGCGCAGCTGAAAAGGCCTTGTCCTGCAGCCACGTCTATGTGGGGCCACACCCTTGGGCAGCCCAGAGCCCTGGGCAGGGGCTGCCTGCATTGTCTGCAAGATGCCCCATTGCACATGGACGAGGACAGCCGGCCTGCTGCCTCTGGCTTCTGCAGACCATGCCTGAGCCCATCACATGGTTGGCCAAAGCCAACAGAACGGGGTTACTCTGTCGACGGGAAAGCTGGAATTGAAGGGAAAGCTCTTTTTGGGCAAATGCTAATGAAACAAGGCAAAATTCCTACCGGAAAAAGCAGAACCCACAGCAAAAACTATCCAAGGGCAAAAACAATTTTGTGTGTCAGGGAACAGAGATCCACACCGGGAGAAGTAACTGCCGCGGGCTGCCCGGCGTCCACGGCGGGGGCACCTGGGCATCCAGGTGGGAGGAGGGCCCGCGCCTCCCTCAGGGCCCAGTGGACACAGCTGCTGGCACAGGGAGGGCCAGGCGCTGCTGCCAATGGCGAGGCCAGAGCGCGAGTGACACTCCCGGCCAGCGGAGCTGCGCCTTCTCTCAGCACCCTCACCGCCCGCTGCCCGCGTTCACTACCTGGCTCGCCTCCAGCGACAGAGCCTCCAGCTGCCCCTCCAGTCTCCTTTTTTCCTTAAGAACCTGCAACATTTCATCCTGGGCCTCGGCCACAGAGCTCTCCAGGGACAGGCTGGGGACAAAGGCAGAGTCAGGGCTAGGTATGGGGCGCCGGTTCTCCGCCCCGCCAGGAGCTGACATTCCTCACACCCCAGCTACTCTCCTCCACGTTTATTAAGAAAATAAACACATCAAGGAGGGTCCCCCAGGGCCGCGGCCTCAGGAGCCCCACACAGGCGGGCAGGCGGCCCCCACGCTGCAGCGCCTGCCCAACAGGGCCCCAGAGCCGCTCACAGGGCAGTGCCAGGACCAGGGCTGCCCAGCAGTGGGCGGCGTCTCGGCCTAGCCTCCAGCCTCTCCCACCTGCTGCAGATGCTGTCTGTCCGGCTCCGTGTCTCCCCGTTGACCTCCTGCCCCTGGGCCTGGTGCTCCGCTGCTGCGGCCCGCAGTACATCTGAGATGGAGGGGAACTGGCCCAGTGCCCCAGGAGCTGCCTCTCTGCCACTGGGCGCACAGGAGACCCCAGGGGGGCCTGTAGTGTCCACCAGGCGGCCGGCCGGCCTGAGAGCGGAGACGCTGCCGTGGGAGGAGCCGTCGCTCTCATTCCCATCGGCCTCAGATGTGTCACCCCCCGCCAGGGACACGCTGTCCAGGTGGTCCTCGGCCACAGGACACGGGCTGATCTCAGCCACCACGGATGCGGCCGCACTGCGGTTCTGCCGCAGGGAGCCGCTTGCCGTCTCTGCCGCCGAGTCGTCCACTCTGTAGTCAGCCAGAGACCGGATCTTGCTTGATTTAGAGCTTTTCTTCTCTGTTGGCTGAGCCAGGAGCCCCAAGCTGCCCACCTTGGGCCCCCGAGGCACGCTGGTGCGCAGGAAGGAGTACTCTTTCGTCATGGCCACGGCACTGGCCCTTGGTAAGGCTTCTGGGTTCAACATGAGCTCAGGATCGAGTGTGCTAGATAGTCTTGTTTTAGGTGCAGGTTGATTAGACTGAGATAAAAAACAAAACACAAAATTTACGTTTAGGGTAGAGAAGCGGCGTCCCGAGCCACCACCTAGCAGGGCTGCAGAGGGTGGGGAGGCAGGGCCGCAGCACCTTCCGCGTGGACGTCCCCAATGCTCCGGGCTCTGCGCCCACATGCGTTCCCTTAGAAAGCGCTTAGCTCTCCAAGCTAAGGAAAGCACCCCACTGACTTGCGGCGGCCCAGGTGTCCGCTGCGGGGGGCGAAGCCCCCCACATGCCTGCGTGCCTCTCCATGCAAGAAGTCAGGTGGTCTCTCTCCTGGGACCCAAGCATCTATGCCGACATTTCCACTCTTCAATATTTTATTACTTTCCCATTTTAAGTATTATTTCCCACTATTTTATAGCTAGTAGGATAACCGCAAATTTTCATATTTGCATTTTTAAGCTATTTTTTGCAGGCTGTTTTAATAATTTTATAAGATCCTTATAAATTTATAGTTCTCTTCAGTTGGCTCTAGTTTTTTGAGGCTTCGCCAACATCTGCAAACAACAGCAATGTCTCTCCTTTCCAGTACCCCTGCCTCTTCACTTCTCCCTGGATTGTTAACTGGACAACCCAGGGGCGTCCAGTGAGACAGCAGGTGAAGGGGATACCCCCGGCCGCCACCCCACTGACCTCCTCCTGCAGAGGACACGTGCTCCCGTGTGACTGTGCAGCCTCAAGGGCTCACGGGCACAGTGGAGGAGGATGCTGGGGAGCAGCTCTGGGCACAGTGAGGAAGCCTAACTGGGAGGGGTGTGGCAGGTGACCCCGGGGCTCACACCCTGCGAAGAGGTCACAAGAGCAGCCGCAGCAGCCTATGGCTCAGACACTGGCCAGGAGGAGGCTGCGCACACAGCTCCGGCCTGCGGGGAAGCCCCGACCAGCCCACAGCCACCCTCCGAGGGGGCCCAGCACCAACACCACTGCCTGGCGGGCGCAGGCGGAGTCCATGCAAAAGGGGGTCTTTTTCTTTTTCTTTAAATATTTATTATTTATACAAGCACTGGGTATAGTCAGAAGCATGGGAGGGTGAGAGAATTCCCCAGAGCCAGAGCGGGGAGCAGAGCAGGCAGAAGGTCCGAAGGACACTGCTGAGGGGAGCAGCGGGCGGCAGGAGAGGTCTGCGCGCCATGCGGGACCCTCCTCAGGTGGCCGGGGAGCAGCTGGGGATCGAACTGGCGTTGCAGAGGCTGCAGGCAGCCTCGCAACCCAGCGCTCAACTGCTGCGCCCCCGGGGAGGCCCGAGTCTCTTAATTTTTACGTAAAAAGAGAAGTTGAATGTTATCGTATTATTGCAGTGGATGAATATTTTCGTATTATTCAAATGGGGAGAATCCTTAAAATGACATAAAATCCCTAAAGAAATAAAAAGAAAGTCAGGAAATTTTGACTAAATATGACAACTGCTGTGCAACAAAAATCGAGACAGAGGGCTCCCCTGGGGGTGCAGGGGTTGAGCACAGCACTGTGAAGCTGTCCACAGCCTCTGCAGCTTCAGCCCATCCCCGGCCAGGGAGCTGACCCACAGGGCGCGGCAGACCTCTCCTGTCTCCCCGCTGCTCCCCTCAGCAGTGTATTTCAGTCCGTCTGCCTGTTCTGTTCCCCACTGTCTCTGGTGACTCCTCTCACCCCCCACACTTCTGGCCTGCACCCCAGCTCTTGTATGCATAAATAAATAAATCTTTAAAAAAAAAATCTTGGGCCTCCCAGGTGGCGCAGCGGCTGAGCGCTGGGTTGCGAGGCTGCCCGCAGCCTCCGCAGCGCCAGTTTGATCCCCGGCCACCGGTGAGGGTCCCATTAAAAAAAAAAAAAAAAGATTCATTTATTAGGCCTCCCCAGTGGTGCAGCGGGTTGAGCACAGCGCTGTGGAGCTGTCCACAGCCTCTGCAGTGTGGGTTTGATTCCCGGCCGGCCAGGGAGCTGCCCACAGGGCGCGGCAGACCTCTCCTGTCTCGCCCGCTGCTCCCCTCAGCAGTGTATTTCGGTCAATCTGCCTGTTCTTCTGTTTCCCGCTCTGTCTCTGGTGAATCTTCTCACCCCCCGCACCTCTGGCCTGTGCCCCAGTTCTTATAAATAAATCTTCAATAAATATATTTATTTATACATATAAGAGCTGGGGTACAGGCCAGAGGTGCGGGGAGTAAGAGGACTCACTAGAGACAGAGCGGGGAACAGAACAGGCAGACTGACAAAAGTACACTGCTGAGGAGAGCAGCAGGGAGACAGGAGAGGTCTGCCGTGCCATGTGGGCCACTCCCTGGCTGGCCGGGGATGGAACTCACGCTGCAGAGGCTGCAGGCAGCGTCATAGGTTGCACCTTAACCCCTTGTGCCACCAGGAAGGCCCAGTCTGCGATGTCTCTGTGTGTGAAGCAGTTGGACAGAGCGAGACGAAAGTGCCCCCACTGCACAGCCACGAGCGGAAGCAGTTCCCGCAAGCCCACGGGCTCAGAGGGGCCTCCCACAGCCGACCTGCAGCAGCCCCAAATCCGCCCTCTCTGCTGTCAGGACCGAATGGGGACCAAGACGCGCCCACCTGGAGGCAGAGCCGGGCAGGCCGGGCCTCTTCTCGAAGTGCGGGGCTGCGAGCAATGGCCACACCTAGGATGGCGGCCCAGGAGAAGACTCACCCGCTCCTGCTGCCGCTTCACCCGGTACTGCTTCAGCTGCTCCTCCAGCCGCTTGCGTGCCTGCAGGCGGACATGCTCCTCCTTCTCCAGGGGCAGGGCCGCCGCATCCGTGGAGCCTGAGAGGAGAGGCCGTTTAGCAGCCAGCACCAGCGGTGCACAGCAGAGAGCGGCACGTGTCCAACAACGCCCAGGGGTCAGCCTCTCAGGGAACAGGGCTGCGCAGGTCCCCATAGCACCCCGCCGTGAAGAGGGTCCCCATGCCCGCCAGAGTGCGTGTGACAGTGGTGCTGGTCAGTGCCCGGCATCCAGGACCCAGCCCCGGGCACAGCCCAGCCTGCCAACGTCACAGGGGAAGCCCAGACAGACCCGCCAGGATGAGGGTCGTGACGTGCGGGCACAGCGGACCCCGGCTCCTCTCATCTCTGCCACGTCAGGCTGTGAGAAGCCAAAGTGGGCTCTGCAAGCTGACCACTGTGCAGACATGCCCAACAAGGCAGGGCCACGCTCAGGGCCGGCAGGGAGACCCACATATCCAGGACCAGAGCCTCTGCTTCGGGAGCCCAGGCTGGGCTGGCACGCAGGGCAGGATGGCCGGATGGCAGGCACGTGTGGACACCACAGACGTCCCGGTCCAAGCACCTTCAGTGCAGAATCTGAGCAGCAGCAGCTGTCGCTTTAAATAATCCCAAGACCCTGAGCGGGGCCAGGAAAGTCACAAAAAGCCTAAAAATGTCATCACCAACGTGGGGCTCTCACTACAGAGCCCCTCCAGGGCTCCCAGCGCAGAGGGTCTAGCGGCAAATAAATACCAGGGGCACAGCTTCGGGCAAGGAAGCCAGCTGCTCATGGGCCACGAGGCTGTGGGCCCTGGGCCAGGGCTCATGTGGCCTGCGGGCCTGAATCCCAACGGTCTCTGCCCCCACTGAGATGCTGGCAATTGGTTTTCAGAAATTCAAAAAACACACTGTGGCTCTAACAAAATAACGTCTGAAAATAAGGTAAACAGACGTAGAGAAAAAAAGGCCAAACGTATAAAAAGACAACCCACGGAGAAGAAAGGCTGACAAGTAGGGAAGGTGCCCAAGCCCCCAGCAGCAGCAAGGAAGTGACTGAGGCCCGAGCAGGATGTCTCCGCAGGCCGCGAGAGGCCCCGGGAGCCACAGAAACGGGGCTCCATCAGGCAGCGCACGCCCAGGGACGGCAGCCTCATGGGAGCCCCCAAGCAGTGGATGTGACCCCGTGCCAGGCCCCGCCGGCCAGTGTGAGAGAGAGGACGGTTCCAGGGGCCAAAGGGCACCTGCCAAAGGTACAGCTGGGCTGCGAACCACGCTGCAGAGGCTGAGAGGGGGCACCATGGGGTCCCAGCAGGCCATCGCATCTGAATCAGAAAGGGACCAGGGGATCCAGAGACAACAGGCTGCCAGTATGTGACCTCGCCTCCCGGATCAGAGCAAAATAACCCCTACTTTAAATAATCGTAAAGGAAAGGTGCCCCCAAGTCACAACCCCAGGTGATAGGCCACATACGCACAGCCCTTGAAGCCTAGACCCTCGTCGCAACACCAGAATTGGACCAGGAGGCCAGGCCATCAACACCCCAATGCACATCCTCCCTGAGACTGGGCTGTGGGTGCAAGGCACAGCCCCCCAAAGGGACCACAGAGGGGCAGGGCCTCCCAAGGGGCAGGGCGGGGCGGGGCGGGGCTGATGCTTACACAGTTGCGTTTCTTGCATGGGAAGACTGAGTCTGAGAGACTGCAAAGCTTCTTTTCTAACACTGCCCTCAGCACTAGTCCCCCAGGACTTCCTTAGGTTGTCATGGAAACCAGCCACACCTGGAGAGGCATCGGGACCCACTGGGCTTGTGGTGGGCTGGAGTGATGGTGACACGGGCCCGTTGGGACAGGCGCTCCCCTGGCCGGGCGTGTCCAGGCCTCCTCCCTCCGCGGTAGTTCCGTCTGCCCCAATGCTGGCACCTGGAAGAGAGAGTGGCTGGGCCGTCACGGCTCGACTGGCCTCTCCAACGCGCGACTCCCCGGCCCCGTGAGTGTGCACAGCTGTATGGCCGCCCTCAGTGCCCTCTGCTCCACACCGTGGGCGGGCAGCTAAGTGGCCCCAGGTATTCTCCCCCCCTCCAGCCAGACCAGCGCAGGACGATCGCTCAGGGCTGCCAACCGTCTGCAGCAGAGGCTGGTTCCAGCGACGCCCCAGGCTCAGGCTGATGACAGCCACCCCCGAAACCTCTCAAAGTGTGTCCCCCAAACAAGAAGCCCAAAGCGGCGAGATCAGCAGAGGTGAGGGCGACCACAGAGACAGCGCCCGAGAGCAGCTGCGAGTCAGAGGGCTGCACGGAGTGTCCCCACCGACACCCCCCACCTTCCCTCCTCACTGCAAGCAAGAGCAGAGGCTTCTTACAACTAAGGCTTCTCGTCTTCCCTGCCCTGGACCGGCGCGCAGCAGTCCGAGAGCCAGGCCAACGGGCAAGCCCAGGGCCCTGTTGCCCATGGCGCCCAGCGGGTCACACCGGGCCTCTCGGGACCGCCTCGCTGGACGCCACGACGGGCCCATCTAGGCCCAAGAAACCTGTTCTGCCCCAGCACAGCTGCAGTGGGCTTCCGGTGCCCTCCCACCTGGGCCTCCAACGCCTCTCTCCTCCTTTTCCCAACAAACCCCTTCTGAAATGGAAATAGAAAATAAAAAATGAGAAAATGGGTTCTGTCACCTGCAGGCAAGCGGGTGGGCCTGTGTGGATGCGAGGGTCAGGGGGGCGAGGGTAGCATCGGCCGGGGCCCGCAAGCACGGACGAGGCACCCAGGCTGGCAGCCCCCGCCGTTGGGCTTGTGGGTTGGGGGCCTCTCTGAGTTTCCCATTTTCACAACAAAGGGGTGTTTGGAGCAGAGCAGGGCACCCAAGCTATCTAATGGGAGGAAGAAGGCCCGGCAAGCAACAGCGGCCCTGTCCCCAGCACCGGCAGGTGTGGGCAAGCACCTGCACGCGCCGCCTCTTCCGCCTCAGCGCCGGGAAGCAGGGATGCAGACCCTCTCTGCTCGACATCGGGCCTGAGGCTGGCCAAAGCCAGGTTCTCCGCAAGGGCTCCTGCTGTCAGCATGGCTCCCAATCTGTCCACTATAGCGCCCTTGGCCCTGGCCCCTGCTGGCACCGGCCTCGCCTGGACTTAGGGAGTGTTTGCCAGCAAGGCACTGTCGGACCCGGTGTTGTCTTCACGAGCAGGCGGGACCGGTCACCCCTTGCACACCCCCAGGGGGGCCACCTCAGGCGGGAGACCTCACCCATAGACATGGGACCCTGGGACCCACACTGCAGTGCTGACCACACTGGAGCCGTCAGACTGATGCAATGCCCCGATCAGCCCAAAGGGCTCTGCGCACGCAGGACACACTCACTGTCAGCACCAACGAAGAGGCGACGCCCACCTGACTACTCGGATACACTTGAAAGGAAGGAAAAGCCCCCCGTGGCCTTAAACAAGTCTCCCCTGCCCCGCAACTCTGCTGAAGAACATCCTGGTCACGGACTGAAGCAGCAGCATCACAGACGACTTACACTGAGCTCCGTCCCTCAAGTCGGGGGGCACCAGGGATCCCAGAGGCTCCTCAGGGTGAGGCGAGGGGCCTCCATCGGTTTCATCTTCTGGGGGTTCCCCCTGCACGGCTGAGGCGCCATCCATGGTGAGGACAACACAGGCGGGGCTGTCACACAGGGGCTGCAGCTGGGCTGCCAGTGAATCTGGTTTCACCATCAGCAACAGCCACGGGCTCCCAGGAAGGGCCCGGCTACGTTTTCCATCTTTCAGTGAAGATTCGGGCTCATAAATGACTTGAAATCAAGCCAGACAACGTCATGACACCTAAGAGGAGGGAAAAGAGAGAGAATTATGGAATTCTGTCAGACGTGAAAGTATCAATTCCAGGATTGACACTTGATCCCTAATTTGCACCTGCACGATAAGCAAATACAGATTTATTCTTTCTGCATATTAATGCTTGGGCACCTAGGTTCTAAGGATAAAATGCTGACCCAGCCACAAAATGCTGGGCCCATGACTGAAGGTGCTGGCTCTGGGCCACCCAGCCAGGGCAGAGAAGCACCTGGCTAGCGTGGAGCTCAGGGCAGGGCTTGGTGTGCGTTTGCGTCCCCAGGCCACAGCTCAGAGCTTGAGGGGCACCAAGGAGCAGCTGCAGTCAGCACAGTCATCATGTCCTGCATGGGGGCGGAGGGCAGGACGCCCCCTGAGATGAAGGACCCCTGCCTTTCCCCTGCAGCAGGAACAGCAACCTGATAGCTCGTCCTACTAGTTGGGGTTTATTTTTTAAAAGATTTATTTATTTTTATACAAAAATTGGGGTACAGGCCAGAGATGTGGGGGTGAGAGGATTCACCAGAGACAGAGTGGGAAACAGAACAGGCAGACGGACCAAAGTACACTGCTGAGGGGAGCAGTGGGTAAGACAGGAGAGGTCTGTCCTGTCATGTGGGCTTCTCCCTGGCCAGACAGGAATAGAACTCATGCTGCAGTGGCTGTAGATTGCTTCACAGGTTGCGTCTTAACCCCCGCGCCACCAAGGAGGCCCTAGATGGGGTTTAATGGAGCAAAATCGTGCCCAAAGTCTGGCCATCGTCATAGCTTCAGACACGCCTTGGGATAGTGCCCCCACCAGCAGGCAGGGTGCACGCGCTGCCTACCCCCACGGTGACGTCAGCACCTACTACCCTTAGGATAAGCTTCACGTCATCCCGTTTCATGTGTCAGGACCAAGATCTACACAGCTTTCTGGCTTACAAACTGCACACAGATGTTTCAGATAAGAGCTGGGCCTCATGCTGGAACCCACTAGTGGAGCATGACCTGGTCTCCCACGCCAAGAGCCCTCGCCATGGACCAGGAGGGTTAGCTTGCAGCTTGGACAGTCACACACTCCTCTGTCGTCTGGCACCTCCAGGGCACAGGCACGAAGGGCTAGTGAAAGCGCCATCAAGGGCACCAGAGGCTGTGTCTACCGTTAAGTGTAAAGCTAGCATTAAGTGTCAGTGCCAGAGAGGACTTGCTGGGTGTGTGTGTGGAAACGTGGGGAATCAGCCCCATATGGCCAAGCAAGCAGCCAGGCTGGCTCGTGATGCCTGAGAGTGGAGACGACACCTGCAGCAGAGAGGCGGAGAGAGTTACGAGGGCGGGCCCAAGTGACCCTGCGTAGAATCAACGCTCACTGTGTTGCTGTCTATGCAGTCACTGTGACCTCAGGCAGAGAGACAAATGGGCCCCTGGAGAAGGTCCCCTGTGCCTGCCCTTCAGAAAGTCACCGCCTCACAGGATCCTGGCTCCACGGAAATTTACCACTCCCCCAGAAAGCCTCTCAGCTACCACCCAGACTCTCCCTGGGATGAAGGTGTCAAGCTGGGCAGGTCAGGATGGGTCCTGCAGAGAAGGCCCACCAAGCAGGCCTGGCACAAGGCAGAAGGGTAGCCCGGCTGTTCCCTTCACCACAGACAGGCCCCATCCAGGACAGGGGATCATATGACATGGGGAAAGAACATAAGAGAATGGACTGACGAGCACACAGTGAGCTGGCCGAGCTCCTGATGGGAGAGGACTTGTGCACTGGGCATCGAGTGCCTCTGCCTGCGGTGCGGCTGGGGACGAGGTCTGAGTCGCCGCTGGGCTCCCACGGGGGCCTGAGGGGTGGCCATGACAGGCGGTGCATCCCCTGCAAGAGCTGGTCCCTTGTCTGCCAAGCCCATCCCCACACATTCCCCCACAGCCAGCACCGGGCTCAGGTGAAGCACCTGGCCCACTCCCTTCTGCGCTCACCCTGTCTCCCCCATTCAGAACACACTGTGAGATCTTTGCAAGCAGAAACCATTCTGCATCTGCCCTCCCCCTGGGCCCCCCACCCCAAGCAGTTCAACACCGGCTGCAGACCCTAGCAAGCGAGCCAGCGGCCTGGGTGTGTGTGGGGGGAAATGACACAACAGGAGCACCTTGAGCAGCGACACTGCCTCCTCAGACGCAGAAAACTCAAACTCTTCCTACCCCAGGTGTTTGGAAGCTACAGTCCCAAGGGCAGAGGTTGCCACAGCTGTACACCAGGAGCAGGAGGGAACAGCCACAACCCTGGCGAGTGACCTTAGGATGAGAAGGAAGTGCACAGCAGTGGGGCAGGCACTGAAGGTGCAGCAGGGCACCCAGTGGCAGCAGCGCAGGGGGTGGGGACTGTCACGGAGCTGCAGAGGGGAGTGTGCCCTTGAGGCACGTGCCGACAAGGCCTCACCTGGTGCTGTCCAGGAAAGAGCCCGTGCATGTGCAGGCTCCTCAGGCAGTGCGCCCTCGTGGAGACAATGCTGAGCCTGAGCCCAGCACCACCGCATGCCCGACCCATTCAGCCCCCTGACAGGGAGCCTGCTAGTCCCCAAGCCGCTCTCCCCCTCCAGTGCCAGGACCCGGGAGTGCTCAGCCTGGTAACCCACAAAGCCAGCTCCTCCTGCAGCCACTGGAGACATTCCACCGACTGCCCAGGAAGCCTGTGGTGAGTGGTACCTCTTCCCGTGGCAAAGAGCTGTGTCCTGACTGCCCTCCGCCCCACGAGCACTCTCCTTAGCAAGACTAGTATTCAGGGCCTTGATCCCTCCAACTGCTGGGGGCATACCACAAGGAAGGTGCCACTGGTTACAGGCTCCACTCAGTAACCACGTTGCTTCACTAGAGACGCAGCGCCTCAGTGTCATTTCTGACCACCCACATTCTGCTGTGGTCAGAAGAGATGTGTTCATGGCTCCACTTGAATTGCTCCTCCTGGTGACCAGAAACCATGTGTGGCCAAATATGATGCATGATTTCCTTAAGAGACTGTGTCTGGCTGAGCCACGCGAGTGACCACGGGGACACAATGCAACGACCAGGTCCTCCAGCAGGGATGCGTGAAGGGCAGGCTGCGGCCCCAGTCCAGCTCCACCTTCACCCTGTGCTGGGAATTTCTGGGCAGGTTCTAAACGACATCAATTGCTCTCTCATCAGCAAGTCAAGGAGAAAAAGAATACAGAGTTCCTGCCAGGATTAAGGGCACGAAGGCCAGGGTCTGCCGCCCGCCCTCAATCAAGGATAGCAGAGATTACTCACGTTGTTGGCAAATGAAGCCAACCGCAGACATTCTCACGTGAAAAGAAGACACTACCGCTTAAGGAAACACGTGGGGCAAAAGCCCCTTCTTTCCCAATCTCACTTTTGTCAGGCGACTTAGTTTCCTTCTCTGGCCGCTCCAGGTGCGCCGCAGCCGGGAGAGCGCCCGCCCGGAGGTGTCCGCGCCCGCCGGCAGGCGCCCGGGACGCTCGCCCTGCTCTGGTCGCTGCGCGCGGCCGCAACGTCCCTGCGGTTTCCGACCGCGCTGACCACACGCCCAGGCCTTCCCGGCTGCGGGCGGCGCCGCGCCCGGGCCTCCGCGGCCCTCACGCTGCCCCTCCCGGCACCGGCGCCGCCCGCCCCGGCGCCCACCGCCTCCCCGGCCTCCCGCGTCGGGGCCGCCCCGCCTCCACCGCCGCCGTCAGGGCGCTCCCCGCCGGCCGGAGGGCGCGCCGCGCAGCCGCCCGCCCGCTGACGCCCCCGGGAAGCGCCCGCCGCAGGCGGCCCCGGCCCTCCCGCCCGCCGCCGGCACCTGTCAGGGCGGCTGCAAAAGGACGGCGGCCGGGCCCCGCCGGCCGGCCCGCGGATCCAACCGCAGCCGGAGCGCGGCCCCGCCGCCCGGCCCGAGGCGCCCCCGCGAGAGGACGCGCCGGGCCTCAGCCCGCCGCCCGCCCGCGCTCACCGGTTGCAGCCCGGCGGCCGCCGCTCGGCAGACGTGGCCGCGCGAGGGGCGGGGCGCGGCGCGCCGCGGGCTCGGCCCCCCCGGAAACTGCCGGGGAGCGCTGCCTCCGTTCCGGGGGAGAAAACGTCCTTTCCCCTCGCCAACGGTCTCCCTCGGGCAGAAGCCGCCCTGCCGCAGGGCGAGGATCGCGCCCACTCACAGATGGCCCCGCGCGTACTTCAGAAAATGCGCGTGGGGCTCATGTCTGTGGAGAAGAGCAACTTCCGGACTCGCGGGCCAGCCGGAACCACTCCGACTGGAAGCCAGGGAGTTCAGCTTCCGGCGGAAATGCCGTGGCAGGCCCCCGGTACGCCCCGCCCACCGCTTGGCCGCGCGGTGGGCGGGGCCTACCGCCCAGTCGGCGCCCGGGGACGTGGCCGTAGCCGACGGGCAGAGTCCGCGCGGGGCGAGGTCCCTGCCCGCGCCGCCCGTCCGCTCCCAGGTGCCGGTGCGGAAGCGCCCGCCCGCAGTCCGGACGGGGTTTGCCCTTAGCGCACAAAGCACTGTCGGCTTAACGCTGCGGCTGGGCCGCCTCCAGCTACGCGACCGAACAGAAGCGTCTGTGGGGAAAAGCCGCCCCCGCCCCGGGGCGTCCCCGTCGGCTCCCGCTGGTGGGCCACGGCCACACCCGTCACGCCCCCGCCACACCCGTCACGCCCCCGCCACACCCGTCACGCCCCGCCCCCGCCACGCCCCGCCACACCCGTCACGCCCCGCCCCCGCCACGCCCCGCCACACCCGTCACGCCCCGCCACACCCGTCACGCCACGCCCCCGCCACACCCGTCACGCCCCCGCCACACCCGCCCCGCCCCCGCCTCCCCGGGCCTCCGCCCCCGCAGACTCGCTCCGCCCCCGCCGCCCTGCCCATTCCCTCCGCCCCGCCCCGACTGTCCCCGCCCGCCCGTCCCCTCCGCCCCACCTCCCCGTGAGCTCCGACCCCCGCCCCTCAACCCCGCCCACCCCGCCTGCCCGTCCCCCTCAGCTCCGCCCCCCTCCCGTGCCCTAAGCTCCGCCCCCCGTCCCCTCAGAACCGACCCCCGCCCGTCCCCTCAGCTCCGCCCCCTTCCGTCCCCTCAGAACCGCCCCCGCCCGTCCTGGCGTGTCTGTAGGGGGCGCCCTGAATGACTGCTCAACTCGGGGAGAGGGGCGGGTGGAGTCGGCGCGGCGCGGTCTGCCGTGCCGGTGACCGCGGTGGCTCCCTAGTGTTGAGCCCGGTCCCAGCACGGAGCCTGCGCGCGTGGGTTCCTCGGCGCCTCCTTACTGGAGGCCTCCCGGGGCGCGGGCTTCGGCTTCTGGTCTCCGCGCCTTCGTCGCGTGTGGAGACTGGACTGTGGTGTGATCGTGCATCCTGAAGGCCTGCTGAACTCGCTCTTCCTTCCAGGAGCTTTTTTTGTCGTAAATTCTTTGGATTTTTCTACTTACACCATGTAGTCGTCTACAAATGCAAATTTTCACTCAAAATAATAATGGACTTAAGTTTGAATATGTAAAAACCTTAGGAGAGTTATCACCACACACCTACCAGAGCACCTAAAATAGTTGTGGCACCAAGGGCTGTGGAGAAACTCAATCTCATCCATTGTAGGGGCGCCGAGCACGGTGCCCCTGGAACAGCTCCGTGACTCCCCTAACAATCAGACACATCTAATTATACGCCCCAGTCACTGAAACTGCCGGTCAAGAGGCCTTTTCCTCAATCTGCTTATTTTGCAACTTCGCAGGGCAGACCTGCAAGAGTGAAACCAGACAAATGCATCCCTCCCCACTTTATTTTTTTTAAAGATTTATTTATACAAGAATCGGGGTGCAGGCCAGATGTGCAGGAGGATGAGAGGATTCATCAGAGACAGAGCAGGGAACAGACAGACTGACTGAAATACACTGCTGAGGGGAGAAGGGGGGAGACAGGAGAAGTCTGCCGTGCCGTGTGGGTATCTCCCTGGCTGGCCGGGATTGAACCTGCGCTGCAGAGGCTGTGGTCAACTTCACAGTGCGGCGTTCAACCGCCTGTGCCACCAGGGAAGCCCCCCTCCCCACTTTAAAAAGCAAACCCAGGGGCCTCCCTGGTGGCGCAGGCAGTTGAGCGCAGTGCTGTGGGGCTGTCCGCAGCCTCTGCAGTGCAGGTTCAATCCCCGCCAACCTGGGAGCAACCCACGTGGGGAGCAGACCTCTCCTGTCTCGCCCGCTGCTCCCCTCAGCAGTGTATTTCAGTCAATCTGCCTGTTCTGTTCCCCATTCTGTCTCCAGTGAATCCTCTCACCCTCCCGCGCACCTGGCCTGTACCACAGCTCTTGTATAAATAAATCTTTAAAATAAAAAATCAGGGTCACCCCAGTGACGCAGTGGTTGAGCGCTGGGTTGCGAAGCTGCCCGCAGCCTCTGCAGTGCCGGTTCGATCCCCGGTTGCTCCCCAGCCACCGGAGGAGGGTCCCACATGGCGTGCAGACCTCTCCTGCCACCTGCCACCTGCTGTTTCCCTCAGCAGTGAACTTCGGTCCTTCTGCCTGCTCTGCTCCCCGCTCTGGCTCTGGTGAATTCTCTCACCCTCCCGCGCTTCTGACTGTACCCAGTGCTTGTATAAATAATGAATAAATAAATCTTTAAAAAAAAAAACCCCGAAAAACAATAAAAACAGGCAAATCCAGATTTTTCCTAAGTTGACACCCAGAAGTGTCCCCTGCCCTACTGGTGACCTCACTGCCCAGGGAACTGGCCATGGGAGAGGGACCTGGACACCCGGTTCAGGACATCAGGGCCATGGCCTAGCTGCACTTTTGAACTCAGATCTGAGTCATATCGTGATTCAACAAAAAGCAAACGTTCATGCACCAGCAACTTGCATCTTCTCTGCTTCCTCTGTCCTTCTACCCCACTGAGAGCGCCCAGAGCCCCACCCTGGGGAGACTGACCTGAGAGCCCGGCTCCTGCCAGGGGCCCTTGTGACCAGCTGCTTCTTGACACGGCCGTGGGTGCCACCGGTGGCCCATTTTGTGTAAACTCAGTGATTTTTTTAAGCAAATTTAGTTACATTCACTAAACTTGCCTGGCTGTTTCAGAATGTCCCTGCAAGCTTTGCTTCAGCACCCCGGGGGTGAGGCTGCGGTTGCTCTCACAGCAGAGGGGCTCAGGGCGCCGTGGGAGCATGGAGACCCCACCCACAGGTGCTGGAGAACCTGAGCATCAACTCTGCAGGGCGGACTCAGGGCCTGGACCACCCTGCCCGTGTGGGGTGGAGGGGAGCGGCCGAGGCTGGGCTTTGGGTCCAGTCTCCTCCTGTGGGACATAAGGACCAAACGTCTAGAATGTAGACTGCTGGGCCCTGCCGGTGGACCCCATCCAGCAGGGCTAGTGTGGGCTCAGGGAGTCTTCACAGGTAGTAAAGGGCCTCCTGGGGGAAATACTGGGGTGGGTCAACCCTCGGTAAGCCCAGGCATTAACACAGATGCTCCAGCACAAGCCAGGACTCTTCGGCCAGGCTGTGCTGCCCCCGCAGGACCTGGGAACTGATACCTGGAATGAAAAGCTGCTCCTTCTCCTGGGCCCACTGTTCTCACATTATGGCGAGGGGAGGGGGCTCTGTCTCTGCGCTGAGAGCAACCCCCCGTTCAAGCCCAGGTCTTCATACCTACAGATCCACAGGCCCAGTGGCAGCCCCAAGGTGAGGAGGACAGGTGTCAGTCACTAGTGAGGCCTGCAGCTCCAACACCACCATACCCCCCCTCCCCGCCGCCAAAGGAGCGGTGGCGTCAACACAGCAAGGGCCACAGTGGGGGGACAGACACGGCTGTTTATTAGAGCAGGAAGGAGGCCTCTTCACAAACAGCCGCTACTCAGTCTGTATCAAGAGCAAGACAATAGTTGAAAAGTGGATTCCTGAGAAGAAGCAAAAAAGTTACAATTTTGCAAACAAATGTGACAGGTAATTTTAAGGAAAGATAAAAAACCATTTTTTTAAAAACAAAGAACAAAAATTCAAGTATTCTTCAGATCACAGGGCAGACCCAGCACGGGAGGGAACGGCAAGAACTAGCTGAAGGAAAGGCCCCAGGGGAGCCTTGTGGCTCCAGGCAAAGGAGGTGGAGGAAGGCTGTGGCCGGTTCCTGGGGGGGGGCGGGCAGGCAGGCAGCGGGCCCCACTTCAGCCCTGCTTGGGAGGGGCTGGCACTTGAAGTCGTGAGTCCAGAGCTAGCAGCTCTGGATAGCTGACTTTATTTTAATAAACAAAAGCGAGTTTGTCTCAATAACATAAGACCCAATTTTAGTCAATATGTAAATTATAAATTATATTATTTGTGCTACAGCTATATTTAAATCTTATTAAATCTTATTAGAAGAGAAGCACCAGACCTATCGAAATAAAATGGCGTTAAGACGTGGCGGCCTGCGAACGTTTGTCTGTTTTACTTAAACAGAACATTTCCGACGCTTTCCTCCGTGAAGCTTTTCTTGAAGAGACGTCCTTGAGCGGTTGTGGGAAAGCTGCAAAGGGCAAACTCTAGTGGTGCTGTGGGACAGGCGGGTGGGTGGGCGCCGTGGGATGACCCAGGGAAGTGCAGGCACTGGGGGCCCCAGAGCACGGTCGCGCCAGGCTGAGGCCTGCCCACATAGGCGCAGTCACACGGCCCGCTGACCGCAGAGACCTGCGGCCGAGGGCCTCCTGATGCCCTCACGTGTCCGCGTTGGGTGTTCTCTGAACCTCGCCCTTGACCTCCCGTGGGCCCAGGCCACGTCAAGGCCTCTCGGCACACTCAGTTCTTGAACCGGGTCTGTTCACAGATGTGATTGAACTTCCTGCGGGAGAGAAACAGCCAAATCACAGAAGAGGCGCTCACACAGCCAACTCCGGACCCCAGGCTGGGAGGAGTGTGAGACCGGAAGTGCCTGGCGCCCATGGAGGCACGTCACCACCACCAGCCGGAAACCTCCCCAGGCCGAGCGTTCTAAGCTGGGTGTGTTCGGTGACTCTCTTAAGTGAGAGAGTCGAGCGCGTCTGCTGGCGACCGCACGGCCCTCTGGAGCTGAGGGCAAGCAGCGGGGTCAGCAGGGCTGCCGGGTGACTCTCGAAGAGCAGCCCGTCCACAGGGCCAGACAGACACCCCCAGATGTCTCTGCTTCCTTGCCAGTATGTTCCGGGGACCAGTCACCCCCGAAGTCTTAGAGTGACTTGGCCTCTTACCATGCTGTGAATGCTCAAGTACAGGGGAGCCCCTGCAATGCCTCGTGCACGAGGGGGCTCTCCTGGTTACTGAAATTCGAGCCATAAATGACGATTTGGGGGAAATGGCCACTTCAAGCAGCACTGACCCAGGAAACTGAGTTATAGGACCCTCTGACAAGGCTGCTTATGCTCATGGATAACCTCATGTGGCAATGTGGGTGATGCCAGAGCAACCTCTAAAGCGGGTGTGGGAAATGCCTGAGGGACGCCACCTACAGCCCCACAGACGGGGACCAGGCTTGGGTGGTTCTGAGACTGCCGCCGTCAGGCAGGGGTCTAACCCTGGAGGGGCCCATGAGGCCCAGATGTGGAGACGGGGGTGGAGGAAGATGGTCACAGGCAAGCATGTCAGGAATGAGAACAGGACGTCTCATGGTGACTGTTGCACATCCCAGGGGATGCTGCAGAAGCTCAACGACTACTCAGTTCTTTTATAAGCAGATGACCCTCCCTGTAGCTGCGAGTTGGGCTTGGCAAAGACCCCCACAGAACACAGCTTTCCTCAGGAAGGGGGGCCACCCCCCTGCAGCCCGATCCACCCAGGACTGCCTCACTCACATGGCGTGGTGCGCCTTCACCTGCGTGCGGCAGTTGCGGCCCCAATAGCAGTCAGGACGGGAGGTAACGGCCGCTGAGAAAGAAAAGGGACACGCGTCACGACGTCGCACTGGGCCGAGGCATAGGCCCACGGCTACACTGAAGCTCCGTGGCTGGTCACGCCACAGCCAGCCTCCTTGGGCTGTCCCGGGGTTTCAGGAAAGGAAAGAAATGTGTCTCTGAAAACCCAACTCAGGAAGTGAGGGGGCCACACAGCCCGGGACCATGTCTGTGCCCACTGGGGAGCCACCAGTGTGCAGATCCAGAAATAGGCAGGCCTCCTGCCACCCTGCACCAAGGGGAGCCCCATAGCACAAGCAGTGCCCGGGCTGCTGGAGGGGCCTCACCTGGCAGCTCAGAAGCGGGGATGCTCTGCCGGTACTGGTAGGTCAGCTCCCGGAAGCTGCGCAGGCCGCAGCAGTAACACAACACGGTGCTCCCTGAGATCCTGTAATCTGGAGAACATGGCCAGGGCGGTCAGCCTCTGAGGCCTGGGTCCGGCCAGCAGTGGCGGGTCTGTGCCAACCCGGGGGACTAAGGCCAGTTGTAAGACAGAAAGGGATCTAGCCAACTGGCTAGGCGTCTGGTTTGCAAATAAGAACAAGGCCAATCTAACACCGATTTTAATTCCACTTGGATAAAATTCTAAGTATCTTTACTTAGGCAAGCCACGCTGGCCTCCGTTGGCCACTGCACAGCTGCCTCGGCCGACCCTGCACTCCTTCCAGGAGACAGGCGTCCCTGGGGGCTCCCAGCCAACCCCATCCCCCAAGGTCTTACATTTCAGGGGAAAAAACAGGTGCAGATTTTTCTACAGTTATCCTCAGTGACAAATTACTCCGCCCAGCAAAGGAATGAGGCTTCCCCAAGGGACCAGACCCCAGCAACAGCTTAGGAGGACCAAAGGGCTGGAATCCCCGCCCCAGGCCCCACACCAGTCAGCCTCCAGCCTCTGTGGGGAAACTCCCGCAATCAGCACGGGGACGCAGACACGACACCGAATGGGCCTGTGGGCATGGGGCCCTGCAGGTGGACAGAGTTACAGGAGGCGGCAGCGCCACCCCAAGGGGAGGGGGAGGCTCACCAGACAGCAGAAAAGCACCCCTGCGCAGTGCCGCCAGGCTCTCAGTGAGCACGTTCCTCCAGGTCAGACCTCTGGAGGCCAGGTAGCTCTGTGGGGAAATGACAGACGGCCTGGGGCACGTGGAGCAGCAGAGCACAGACATTGCCGAGGAGGATCCTGAAGGTGGGCGAGCCTAAAAGGCCAGCCTTGGGGACAGCGCCTGGAGAGCCCCGCCAGCAGCGGGGCTGCTGCCCATTCTGAGGCTCGTGGCGGCACGACCAGCCAGAGCGAGGGAGTCCCCTTGCCACACTTTCCGGAGCCCCCAGGGGAGGCGCCTGGGAAGCCCAAGCACTGAGCTCCTCCGGCACAGAGCGGCCACCGCGCCCCTGGTCCCACAGGCAGCCCCGTACAGAGCTGAGAGTCTGGCCCGCACACTGCCCTCCACCCGAGCCTCCCGGCCCCTGAGCAGGGAGACAGGCAAGAAGCAGCTGCCCATGTGGGATGCTTGGCGACACAGATTGAGGGCCAGGGGTGGGGTGGGGGGAGGCAGCCCACCAGCCCAGCTCGCAGGGCCATGGCCGCACCTTAAGGATGTCTGACTCGTAGTTGTTGTTGCTCAGCACCCCGTCCAGACACCGGTCGCCCAGGTTGAGTTCTGTCGGGCAGAGGGAAGCGACGTTAACTGCTTGATAAAGACGGTTTATGGAAGGGCTGTGCACCCACCTTTAAGAGTGCAACTGCCTTCACGCCAGTCTTGAAAGAATTAAACAGTCCTTAAAGCACAAATTTAAAAAGACGACGAGTAAACTGACTTCCCTGTTCCTTCCGAAAAGGCCCTGTCTGCTCAGCCACGGTCTGGAGGGAGTAGTCACTGGCAGGTGTGGTCAGTGCCAGTGGCCTTGCTTATTACAAGCGAGACCTCCCAACTGGGCGCTCTCCAGCAAACGTGGCTAACCCTTCTAAAGGCCACGCCATTTGGTCTGCCAGGAAATGGCTCCTTCATGGTCACAGCGGTGGCCCCGGAGCCGGCTGGGCCCCACCCACCCTTGCGGAGGCCAAGAGCAAAGGCTGAGGCAGCCTGGCGGGGAGCCGACTCACCACAGAACGGGGCCAGGCAGCCCAGGCAGCCGGCGCGGGCGCAGCCCCAGTACAGGTGGCAGAAGGGCTGTAGGCAGACGGTGCCTGTGAGCACAGAGACACACCGTGAGGTGCAGCCGTGACCGCTGCCGACCACATGGCCTCGGCACACGTCCCTGCTGGCATCAAGGGATGGGGACGTGGCCAGCAGGAAGGCCACACTCCTCGTGGACTGTCCACCTACCCCTCAGCGCCCCCACCGCCCAGCACCACCAGCTTCCTTCCAGCTCTAAACCGTGTGTCTCCGTCAGGCCACGCCTCCCACTGCCCCTTGTGGAGCCGGCGTGGCCTTTGGAGCTCCAGTCTCCAGAATGGAGTTTGGGGGGTGGGGGTGGGCGGGAGCCTAACTGCTGCCCTCAGAGTGGAAATGAAGCCCTCGGCTCTCGAAGGACTTCATCAACGTCCTCACATGCCAGTCTCTACGTGACGCCTGAGTCAGGCCCACCCATCACCCACACACACACCCCCACCCCAGCACCCACCAGCGCTCGGCACGGTGCCCGGGGGCAGGCCCTCCGGCAGGGCACCCTGCCCCCCAGGGGAACTTCTGCTGGTGTCTCTGGGCACCAAGGACGTGCTTGGTCGCCCTGAGAGGACCCCGGCGGTGACCTGCCCCACAGGCTCTGTGCCCATGCAGCGCTGATGGAGCCTCAGAGCCCCAGACAGCAGTAGGAGCTGGCAGGAAGGGCGGGGACAGCGACACGCACCCCCACTCACACTGCTGCGGGGCGATGCGGGGGTCCTGCTCGCGCTCCGCCCTGCGGTCGGGCATGGGCTGGAAGCAGCAGGTGCAGACGGCGTGGCTGCCCCGCAGGGTGCACACATACTCCTGAGCTGTGGGCAGAGAGGCCGGTCAGGGCAGGGGAGGCAGCCCATGAGAGAGCCCGAGATCCGGAGCCCTGCCCGAGGGCCGCCTCATGGCGACCATCCGGCCGCAAAGTGAGCAAATGAAACCGCTCAGCATCTCTTTCTAGTTCAGTGGCTGGAGCCAGATTTCAGAGGTCACCTGAGATTTCCCCCAAGTGGTGACCCCGGGAGGACCACAAACACCGCTCCGGGACCCGTGGGTCAGTCCTGGGCCTGCAGCCTGTACAGTTTCAGCGGCTGGAACTCTGAGGCCAGGGCAGGGCCCGGCAAGTCCAGAGCTGGGGTGCAGCGCCCCAGCCCCCTGGAGACTGCAGATGCCAACTGCGGGGCTGTGGGTGACAGTCACCCAGGCAAGCGCCCCAGTCATGCCTGAGCGCAGGCTGGGGGCAGAGCGCCAGACTCAGGACCGGCCTGGAAGCAGAGGCCTGGGGGGCCCAAGCCGGTCCCGAGAGGCGATGAGCAGAGGCCGCGGGAGGGGCGTGGGGTGGGAGCAGCGCAGGGCCAGGGGGCGGGGAGGAGGGGTGCGCGCCGGCTCACCTGCCGTGCTGTGGGTGGATGTGGATGGGGTGTCTGCCCCGGGGGCTGGCGGTGCCCCGGGCTCGCTGCCAGGCCCAGGGCAGGGAAGGGGCTGCCCCGCCTGCCTCCGGAACTCGGGGCACTGCCTGCACACGATGTACGGCTGGCTGCGAGGGAAGCACAGGCCGGGCGTGGGGAGGGGCCCCGGGGGGTGAGCCCGGGCCTTTGCCCCCCTTGGCGCCGGACCCACTCCCGGGAGCGAGGCGGGCAGAGCTGCCCCCCCCCCACGGCCGTCCTGGGGTCCCCACACCCTCAGGACCCACCCCACACCGGGCGGGCTCTGATGCCGGCGCCGAGCCCCGAGCCCGGAGGCCCACCGCGCTCAGCCGGCCCTGAGTGTAGGCGCCTCCACCCCGCTTGGGCCGGAGCAAAGGGGCCTCGCGGGCGCTATTGCCCTCAGGAGCTCCCAGGCAGCCTCAGGGGCCTGCACCGCCCAGGTCTTGCCCTTCAGCCGCGCTGGCAAAACCAGCACTTGGAGAAAAACCTGCCCGCGATGCGCGGCAGAGGGGCGCCGCCAGGAGGGGAACGCCACCCACGGGGTCCGATGAGGGTCCACTCAAGGGCAAGGGAGGCAGCACTGGACAGCCAAGGCACCACCACGGGGCTCCCAAAGTCAGGGGCGAGCCATGCGGGCTCACCTCACATCTGAGGACTCGCTGTCCACGTCCGAGAGCTCCAGCAGGTCCTCGGAGCTGCCCTCCTCGTCAGAGCAGGACCGCCGCACCTTGGGCTGCAGCATGTCCTGCGTGATCCTGTTCCGCGCAGCCATGCTCCGCACGTCGTCCTCGCTGCGGCTCTTGTCTGCAAACCAAGCGTGCAGCTGGTTGGCTGGGGCCTGGAGCAGTGGCGGGGGCCCGGGGTCGGGCGCCCACTTGCCTGGGTGCTGCAGCAGGTAGGCCTCCACCAAGTTGTTGAGGATGTGGTTCTTGCAGATCCGCTCCACTGGGCAGCGGCAGGTAGGGCACAGGGCAGAGCGCTCCATCCAGCCCGAGTAGCAGGCGGCACAGAAGGTGTGCATGCAGGGCTGCAGGCTGGGCACCAGCATGCTCTCAGGCCCTGCGAGTGCCTCCTCGCCCAGCCTCAGGCACAGATGGGCAGCACGACCGCAGCAGCCCAGACCCACCACCCCCCTGCCTGGGCCTGCCCCACTGACCCCCCGCAGCAGGCACCTCACACAGTCGTGCAGCAGGTCCTGGCAGATGATGCACGTGAGTGTCTCCTCCATCCTGTCTGGCTTCAGGGCTGTGGCCCTGATGGCCTCCAGGCTGGCGGGGGTAGTCGGACACTGGTCAGCAGCCAACAACGGCAGGGCCACATTGGAGTCCCCGTCTAGGAGAGAAACAGACACATTTTGACCCGCACAGCAAAGAAGGGACAGACACGTGGCCTTCCTGCCCTACAGACGTCTTAGCCCATGGAAGGAAGACACACCCCTCGCCTGCTTGTGTTCTGAAGAGCACTTTTAAGGTCCAAAATGAGGGCCTCCCCGGTGACGCAGGAGGTTAGGACGCAGCCTATGGGGCTATCCGCAGCCGCTGAGGCATGAGTTCGATCCCCAGCCAGCCAGGGAACATCCCGCGTGGCGCCGCAGACCTCCCCTGACTCACCCGCTGCTCCCCTCAGCAGTGTATTTCATTCAATCTGCCTGTTCTGCTCCCCGCTCTGTCTCTGGTGAATCCTCTCACCCTCCCACACCTCTGGCCTGTGCCCCAGTTCTTGTATGCATAAATAAATAGATCTTAAAAAAAAAAAAAAAGAGAAGGCCCAAAACAAGCATCATGTTCCAACACGCTTCCCTTTAGTTGTAGAAAAATCATTAAAGAGACAAAAAGGGACCTTCAGGCCCCATGGCTAAGAGACAAAGGCCAGTTCTCCAGCAGCATGGGTGTGACATTACTTCTGCTTAAACAAGAAAAGTGACTCGCGCATGCACAGGAAGTGCTAGAGAGCATGAACTTTCCATGGTGCCCAGGGGCTCCAAATGGCCACTTCAACCAACCCTCACACCCAGTTTGTGGTGCAGGACAGAGCTGCGCCTCAGATGCCTGGTGTCCAGGCAAAGTGTGTCGGGTGGCAATGGCCCCACCAGCTGATGACCCCCCCGCAGGACACAGGGCTGGCGCCAGCGTGCAGAACACACAGCCAAGACCTGACCTCCTCTTGTTCGCTTCTTCACAGGCTCCAAACCCTCCTGGTCCTGTGGTGTCGGCGGAGCGGAGGACATGCATGCCTGAGGTGGCGGGGCCGGCGGGGTGCTGGGAAGCATGTCTGTCCCAGGACCACAGCCTCCTGGGGATATGTCTGCACCCCCAGGGCCTGCGAGAGGGACAGGAGAGAAGCTGTGACTCAACCACCTGAGCAGGCGAGTGTGGGTACAAGGCTGCTCTAAACCAGGTGCAGGTCACCCCAGGCCGGGGCATCCAGGAGATGAGCCCAACAGAGACCCTGCCCCCACGAGGCGTGCTCTTCGGAGCCTGTGCCCGCCACTGCCCAGCTCGCGGGAGACACGCAGAAGGCCCCGCCGGCCTCGGTCAGACACGGGCACGCCATGTGGCAGTCCTCACGAGACAGCTGTGACCCGGGCATGCACAAGTGGGGCCTTCTATGAGGAGCAACAAACAGGACGGGCAGGAAATATGGACAGGGCGTGTGGACCCCTCCAAGAGTGACAGGGAGGAGGAAGAACGGCTTCCCGGGAAGTGAGATTCCATTAGCAGACGCCAGAGACGGATGTGAGCTGATGTGGCAGAGGTGTTGGGACAGCCGAGTGACCCCGACGTCCACGAGGTCCCACGGGAACCACACGGCACACAGCTGGGGTGGGCTGCAGCTCTGAAACTCCGGAGGTGGCACAGAGAAGACGACAGCAGCACACTTGAAGTGGGCGATTTGTGCGGCGTGACCACGTCCCAGGAAAACCGGAAGGTGCACAGCACAGCAGCACCCCAGGGACGGGCAAGACGGCTCTTGCACTACAGAAACCCCGGGACCAGAACACCATGCCTGTCGCACCTGAGTTTTGCCACCTCTGTAATAACACAGCTCAGGGCCAGGGAAGCAGGAGCACCCAGCACCACCCTGCGACACCCCCTCACCGGAGCCAGCAGGAGGCTCCCGCCCTGGGAGGGCAAGCTCCACAGCAGAGGTAGAGGCTGTGGGGAAGAGGTCGGACGTCGATGTTGATGGCTGTGGCTCCTCGAAGCACGCCTGAGTGGCGGGTGAGGGCGGTAGGGCCTGGTCACCTCCCCCTGCACCTGAGGTACCTTTGGTCATGTGGAGCACATTGTCCTCATCGGCGCCTGTGAGGAGCATCGAGACGTCAGGCAAGAGAGGCCCGCAGGTCCGAGAGCTTTGCGTGGACTCCCAAGCCCACACTTACCAGAGGGGGCCGGCGCTGCGTCGTGTTCTCCATGGAGAGACTCGTAGAGGTAAGCCACATCTGAAAGGAGGCGCCACATCAGCCGGGCCAGCTGGAGCTCCCGGCCTGTCCCCTCCTTGCTCCAGCCTTGTCTTCTAAACTATTTTGACTGATCAGCTAAATGACAACACTCACCAGCTTAAGGGATTTTAAAATAATTAATTGAAGCAAATAACGTGAAAAAGGCTAAGCCACGGGGGACGCCTGCAGTTAGGACAGCAGGAGGCAAAGCCACGACGTGCCCAACTATCAGCAGCAGGCACCGGGTCCTTCTGTGGGGACAGGGGCTGATCTGGGTCATGCTGAGACAACCTAGGGAATATTTGCCCCTTTCTTCCTGTTTTGGGGTGACATTCAAAACACTCCCTAACTCCCCTTGTCTAATGTCATTCTTCTACCCACGCAGACATGGGAACTCGGCAAGGGCTAACAAGGTCCAGTCTAACCTCTGCTGCCTCCTATAACGTGCCCGGCAGCAGATCCGCTGATGACTTCCAGTCCCCTCTTTTTGGGCCTTTGTCCCCATAACTCTGCTGTGTAGCCCACCCCTCCTTTCTCCTCAGAGCCATCGTGAGATCCGAGAGCACGACGGTATCTCGAGGGCCTTCCTTCACCAGCACCTCTCACGAGGGGAACTGATGCAGGGACTGAGGCTGACGGGAACACCCCGAGGGCAGCCACGTCCCCCACCTCCCACCTCCCTTCTTACTGTGCTCGGGCTCATTTTTCCTGTACACCACATAGATGATGTCGCCAGTCTGAAGAGGACACGTCTGCCTCTTCACCACCGTCAGCTTGTTGATCACTGTGCCATTGGTGCTGCAAAGACACAGCTAAACTAACTTGCCGGAACACGACGTTGCGCTCGACCATGCCAAGACAGCAGCTCGGCCTCACAGCAGAAGCTGACAGCACAGGAGAGGTGCGGCATAGGCCAGACCTTTGCCAGACCTCGCTCCATGCCCACAGTCTATGCAGCAGCATCTGTGCAGCTCCACCCCACTCTAATCAGCTCCTTGGCCTCCCGGGCCACAGCTCCAGCGCAGGCCCACCCTCCCCACCAGCTCACTTATTCAAGGAGCTCCGAGCCGAGGCGGTGGCATGAGGGCGGAGGTCTCTCCTCCAGTCAGGGCTCAGGGGTGGGGTGGGAGGCGGGGATCTCTGCATCCTCAGGACACATGAGGCCGCAGAGGTGAAGAGGCTCATTTACCCTGTGCATTCCAGAAGCTCTCCGCAGGGGGTTGGCCAGCAGCCAGCGCAGGCCACTTGCCCAGTCCAGCCTCTCCACTGACTGTCGAGGGAATCAGCGCAGACGCGGGCAGGGAAGGCAGCAGCCGCAAGCCAGTCACGCTCGGTGCACATAGCGGGGCTGCTGCCAGGACGTGGACACCGCGTCTCCCCCAAACCCCCCAATCCCCTGGTCTCACCCTCTGCTTAAACCCCACGGGTCACTTTCCTCTGCTCTCGGGCTAGTGAGACAGGGCAAGCTAGGGTTATTAGGCAGTTTTAGGGACAGTGCAGGAGGGGACCTCTGAAGAATTTAGGGAGGCTTCAGAGATAAGGACAACCAAGGGAAAGTAACCCATTCCACTAGGAAACACAAACATGCCAGGACCAAGGACAACATTGTTAATGCTGGTCCTGGTTTCCTTCAGGTGGTAAAGGGAGGCGGAGATTGGAGAAATGGAGAGTGGTTTCATTTATGGTCCCATTAGAAGGGCAGCTGTTTAACTTCAATGCAGGGATGCCCATCCAGAAGACTGGGCCATAAATTTAAAGATGCAACAAATGGAAAAAGAAAAAGCTGTTAGATAAGGAATGTGAAGATCCCCACTCAGTAGCAGATTAAGTGAGACAGCTGAGAACTAACCAATCACAGAGAGACTGGTAAAGCTTTAGAATAATGAGGGAAAAAAGGTCTATATTCCCTGAAACACAACTCCACTTGGGCTTCCTTGCCCCTCCCAGGCCTGGTTCCCTAAAATGGAAAAAATTGTAAGTAAATTCCAAACTAGCAGCCTCCACAGCCACTATTGGCTCTCCTAGCTGCTACTACTAAATATAAAATGGTATTGAAGTCCTAGGTCTCACTAATTCTGTCATTTTGGCTACAACACCTCCAGGTGTTTGGGGCACTAGCCCAACATTACTCCTTAAAATCCCTAGTCTTAGTGGTAATATAAAATCGCAGAACCCTAGACCTGCCGATGGCTAAAGTTAAAGGAGTTTGTGCCCTCTTAAATAAAACATGTTACTTTTAAATAAATACTTCTCATAAGTTAAAAGAAAATTTAAAAATACTGAAAACAAATATACGAATTGTGGATGATGTCAAAAAAACAGACAGGGCAAGGGCTTAGCTGAACACAAGCAATCTTTGCTTCTATAAAAGGACATCCTCTGTCCTGGCTACTGCCTTTTCTCGTTCCCTTACTAAATGATTCCCTTTATTGTTCTTTTGTTTGGGCCCTGCATCCTTAATACTCTCCTCGGAATCATCTCCGCTCGCCTGGAGGCCATCAAGCTCCAAATGGTCCTGCAAATAAAACCCAAAAAGACGTCTCCACGGTCCATCTTCCGGGGTCCCTTAAATCGTCATCCTACTGTGGAACCCTAACTGTATCCCCACGTCGCCCACTCTCAGCAGGAAGCAGTCATTGATCAGACCTACGTCCCTTTTCCCTAACTGCAGTTAGGGCTCCATTTGTAAAAGGGGGGAATGAGACAGGGCTAGCTAGGGTTATTAGGCAGTTTTAGGGACAGTGCAGGAGGGGACCTCTGAAGAATTTAGGGAGGCTTCAGAGATAAGGACAACCAAAGAAATATAACCAATTCCATTAGGAAAAACAAACATGCAAGGACCAAGGACAACATTGTTAATGCTGGTCCTGGTTTCCTTCAGGTGGTAAAGGGAGGCGGAGATTGGAGAAATGAAGAGTGGTTTAATTTACGGACAGCTTAGAAGGGCAGCTGTTTAACTTCAATGCAGGGATGCCCATCCAGAGGACTGGGCCATAAATTTAAAGATGCAACAAATGGAAAAAGAAAAAGCTGTTAGATAAGGAATGTAAAGATCCCCACTCAGTAGCAGATTAAATAAGACAGCTGAAAACTAACCAATCACAGAGAGACTGGTAAAGCTTTAGAATAATGAGGGAAAAAAGGTCTATATTCCCTGAAACACAACTCCACTTGGGCTTCCTTGCCCCTCCCAGGCCTGGTTCCCTGGCCTGGGAGTCCCACTTTATTTCTGCTCTTTTTCTCCTCAATAAACTTTTTCTTTCTATAAACGAACCTGCCTCTTCTCGCTTGCTTGCCTGAGCGTCTGCGAAGTTCCTGCTGCGGCTTCGTGAGACACCAACCCGTGGGGGTCTAGCGGCTGGGGCTCAGCACTGCCCTGCAGCCTGGAATCCGTTCCTGGCTGGGAGACTAGGCCTGACAATTCCGGTATCACTAGAACCCCAAATCCCCAGGGTGGGCATGAAGCTGGGCTCCACTGCAGCCCAGCATCACCCACACTCGTCTGGCCTCCAGAGCTCCTGGGCCTCCACACCCGTGGGTTCCTCTGGCCCAAACACCCTTCCCCTCCAGCCACCTCAGCGGCAGCCTCCGAAGCTGGGAAAGGCAGGAAGGAAGCCGCCAGCTCACACCTGGACATAGGTCAGCAAGACCCGGTGGGACTCTGGGCATCCAGAAGTCAGATAACAGCGTGTGTGACTGAGCCTTTACGTCTGTAGTAACTTGGCACAACAGCCACAGACATGCACGCCTCTCAGAGCCAGATGAGAAAACCAAGCCTGCGTTGGCCACTGGGCAGCCATGTTGCTGCGCACCTGACGGCGCCACCGGATGCCCAGTGGAGGAGGGAAGCAGAAGCCTCCTGATAAGACCCAGTTCTCAAGCTTCTATCCCTAAAATTGGTCCCAAGAATCTCAGAGCACCTGACCTTATAAGAAAACTCCATCTGGGGGCAAAGGCAGCCTGCACACGGCCGTTCCTCCCCGCGGCCCTTCCCATGAGCCCACCCGCACAGACAACCAGGCAGAAATGCAAAGTCACTACATACCATTTATAATAATAGTGAATTTTCACCTGAAGGAGCAGACAAGTTACCGTGTGATAACGTGAAGGGGACATGGCCCACACTTAAGGGGAAACACGCACGACAGCTCATGCAGCGCCAGCACCCCACGCAGGACACCGCACGGTGCTGCTGACGCACCAATGGGACTGGGGAGGCCTTTCATTTTCAGGTGCTACTTATGTTCTATTTGTGCGTGTTGCGGGGGGCGGGGGGGGAGTAGAAGTCTAAACTGAAAAGGTTTGAAAGAAACAAAAATGCATCACTGCCTTTTAGGTCTTATTTCTGAGATATTTTTGCTTCAATTTGAAGACATTCAAGGAGGGTCATAAATGCAAGCTGTCATGGAGCAGCCTCTCCTGGAAACCAGAGACACATTTTCTAAACTCTTAACGAGGTTCCTCAAGCCACACAAGGAAGCAGGAAAGAAGTTCAGAAGGTGCTCACCTGGTGTCTTCCAGCAACACCTGACCAGATTTCTCATCCACCGTGATTTTACAGTGATCTCCAGAGACCAGTTTATTGCCAGGGAATGAAAGGTCACAACCTAAAACAGACAGGGGACAAGCTGGGTGTGGCTGTGACTGTGCACGGGACCTCCACTTAACCAAGATGGTGAATGGAAATCTGAACCCACATTGTGTACGCCGAAGACCACCTTTCACCAAGCAAGGCCTAAAGGAAATAAATTTTATAGATATTTAAGTGTAATCCGAAGCAAAGGGATGGGACATTTTTTTTTAAAGATTTATTTTTTATTAATTTATACAAGCACTGGGTATAGTCAGAAGCGCGGGAGGGTGAGAGAATTCACCAGAGCCAGAGCGGGGAGCAGAGCAGGCAGAAGGACCAAAGGACACTGCTGAGGGGAGCAGCGGGCGGCAGGAGAGGTCTGCGCGCCATGTGGGACCCTCGCCGGTGGCCGGGGAGCAGCCGGGGATCGAACCGGCGCTGCAGAGTCCACGGGCAGCCCCGCAACCCAGCGCTCAACCGCTGCGCCACCGGGGAGGCCCAGGACATTCTTGAACTGTTCCGACTCCCCACTGCCAGCACCACGAGTTACAGTCAGGGTTACATGCACTCATTTGTTGCCTGCCTGATAAATATAACAGAACTTTGCTAAAACTAAAGGGCTTTAATTAGTAATCCTTCAGCATCATGACTTAGTTGTTAATTTCTTCTCTATGCTGTCTTAGATTTCACAAACCACCAACTGAAAAAAATGACAGTCACAGAAAAGACGGCTAAGCATAGACTCGTACATAGTCAAGAAAATTTAGACACAGAAAGGTTCTGCATCAGTACACGAATACCATCATCACAACCATGTTAAGTTCAAGGGGGATCCTCAGTTACCTTGTTTTCTTAAATCAAAATAATGTTTTCGCATTTTTTAAATTTTTTTTTTTTTTTTACATTTTAAACGGACAGCTTTATTAGGAAAAGGAGAAAGGAGACACCTGCATAGTCATAGGTGGACAGAGAATGGCCAGATTTTAGAACTCTAATCGCTGACTTGCCCAGGATATGTTTATACTATAGCTACTGTGGTTCATAGTTTGGTTTTTTAACAACCCAAAGTGGGAAGCAACACAAATATCCATCAGCTGGTGAACTTATAAACAAACTGCAATAGTCACCCCCTTCCTGAGACTCGCCTCCCCCCATGCCTAAACCTGCAGATAGTACCCACCCCAATGCACACTATAATTTTTCCTCTATAGGACTGATTGATTTCCCATATCAATGATAAAGTTTAATTTGTAAGTTAGGCAAGTTAGAAATTAACAGTAACATAGAGCATTTATAAGAATTATACCAAAGGTGGGCCTCCCTGGTGGCGCAGCGGTTGAGCACTGGGTTGCGAAGCTGCCTGCAGCCTCTGCAGCGCAGATTCGATCTCCAGCTGTTCCCCAGCCACCAGAGGAGGGTCCCACATGGCGCGCAGACCTCTCCTGCCGCCCGCTGCTCCCCTCAGCAGTGTACTTCGGTCCTTCTGCCTGCTCTGCTCCCCGCTCTGGCTCTGGTGAATCCTCTCACCCTCCCGCGCTTCTGACTGTACCCAGTGCTTGTATAAATAAATAAATAAATCTTTAAAAAATAAAAATAAAAAAATAAAGTAGTAGTCATCCTAATGGGGGTGATGCTTTAAAAAAAAAAAAAAAAAAGAATTATACCAAAGGGAAGAAACTACCTCAATGACACTCTGGGAAAGGCAGAACTATACTACAGAAATCAGACGCCTGGTCGTCAGGAGTTGGGCTAAGGGGAGAGGACTGATTCCAAAGGGCCACCAGGGACTGTCAGGGTGATGGACATGTCCCACATCCTGACAGTAGTGGTTTACATTTTTTTAAAGATTTATTTATTTATGCATACAAGAGCTAGGGTATAGGCCAAAGGTCCAGGGGGGTGAGAAGAGTCACCAGAGAGAACGGGGAGCAGAACAGACGGATCCATGAAATACACTGCTGAGGGGAGCAGCGGGCGAAACAGGAGAGGACTGCTGCACCATGTGGGTTTCTCTCTGGCCAGCCGGTGATCGAACTCATGCTACAGAAGCTGCGGATTGCTTCATAGTGCGGTGCTTAACCCCTTGCGCCACCAGGGAGGCCCAGTGATTTAGATTTCTAAGTGTCTGTGAAAGGAGTGAATCTTACCATACGTGAACTATAACTCTATAAGCCTGAAACACACGCAGTCTTATCTGCAAACACTCCACATGACTAGAAGTGCTTTGTTTCATCTACCCAAGGTCAACCTCACCTGTGCTCAAGCTCTTCCTTTTGCCCTCATCACAAGACTTCCCACACCATTTCAGTTTGTAACCAACATAACTCCTGCTGAAGTTCTATTCTTGGTATTTGTCCTGCTAGTCATTTAGCTGGTTAAATCTCCCAAAGAGTGGGGAGGCCCTTTGTGAAAGGTAACATTCGCATTTCCTTTTCCACTTTGTCAACTCAAGGCCCCCTTTCTTCCAAATAATGCCCTGCAAATATCAGCCATGTCATTGCTTTAAAATAAAGTTATTGGGGCTTCCATGCTGGCACAAGGGTTAAAGTCTCAGCGCTATCTAGCTGTCGCCAATCCCTGGCCAGGGAGCTGACCCACAGGGCATAGCAGATCTCTCCCGTCTCCCTGCAGCTCCCCTCAGCAGTAGATTTCAATCACTGCCTGTTTTCCTCCCCACTCAGTCTCCGGTGAGTCCTCTTGTAACAGGGTGGTCCCCAGGAAAGGGGGAGGTTCCCTGCCCCACCCAAGGGAGGGTGGAGCTGAGCAGGGAGAGGAGAAGCTGCAGAAGAGATTGAGGAAGAAGCGGGATGGAGCCTAGAGACACGTAAAGAAACTACGCTTGTCTTTTGGTCGTGGACTGGGTGACACAGATGTGGGTGAGAACCATGGGGAGGTGACCATGGCAGCCTTTATCTTGATGTTGATTTTGCTCTTTTCCTTCCGGGCTTGTCTGGTTGTTTCTGACCCTTTTCTGTGGGTCCCCACTGGAAGATGCTTTAGACTTGTGGCAGGCTTTGGGGCCTTGTTCTGGGCCAATCCCATATGGATGGACTTTTACCCACAAGGGGACGGGTCACTTTGGGTGCTTCATTTAGAAACTAGACTCTTTGCCTTTCCTGTATTGTTTCCTAGTTTTATTAAAGTTCCTTTCCATTAAAGTCTCATATGTTTTGTGTTGATGCGGCGGATGGCAGAACCCATTTAGAATAGGCAGGTTTGCGGGGTTTGGGCTGCCCCTCTCCCTGCCCTATAACACTCTCACCCCTGCACCTCTGGCCTGCACCCCAGCTGTTATATGCATATGAACAAAAATAAATCTTTAAAAAAATATGTTTGTGGCCCATGTGGAAGCCCCAGCCCCAACCCCCACAACAGGTAAGGACATAGTGACAAGGCAGCTGCCTGCAATCCAGGAAGAGTCTCCCCTGTAAAAAAAATCCACTGGCACTTCAATCTTGGACATTCCAGACTCCAGAACTTTGAGAAGTCAATGTTTTTAAGCATCCTGGTATATGGTATTTTGTTATGTCAGTCGGAGTAGACAAAACCACCTTTGTTATACTGGAAAAGTTAATATGCTCACCGAAGGAACTTTTATTAAGAAGCAGATTAATTTAGCACACTTTTTTCTCCCTGTATTAGCATGTAAATGATGTTATTATAATGCTATTTTAGAATAACAAAGGCTAACGGTAGGCTAACAGTAAGTGATAGCGCTCAGCCAGGCTCCTTCACTTGAATTAAGTCGCTATGCAAAAGCAACTTAGGCACTGGTGCCTGTCTCCACCAAACCTCCAACACCAGTTGAAGAAAAGAAATGCATTTTCTAAAGTTTCTAATGATATGCAAATTATTTCAAAGTTGTAAAGCAAAACAAAACAAAATCCTCGTGTTTTGGTTTTTAAAACTGCCAATGCCACCCTCTGTCACACCAAAAAAACAAACAAACAAACAAACAAAAAAAAAAAAACGGAGGCAGGGATATTTTAAAGAATAAATTAAAAAACATTTGCTTTTTTAACAGTAATCTTTCTCCTCTTTTCAAATGCATAAAGTCAGTGATAAACTTACTAGTTTTCAGACACACTAAATATTTTTTTTGGCTAATCTGTGCAATTCTCTTCCTGTAGGAAAGCTACAAGAGCAGTCAAAGGACTAGATGGTCACCTAGGAGCGCAAAGGCAGTAAGTTTGGGGGAGGGGAAGGTTACCGGCATTTTCTCTAACCAACAGTGAGATTTTGTTCCAGCCCTTAGCTTACCAGGTTCATTAAATCGACAGTAATTATTGAGTGGTTCTGTTCCAAAAGCTGAGACTTGAGATCTACAACTACAAATATCCCTCTGAGCATGCCTTTGGCTGCACCCCATACGTTCTGGTATATTTTCATTTTCAGTCCTCGCAAGGTATTTCCTTTATGACTCTTCATTGACCCCGGGGTTGTTTGAGGATGCTACTTAATTCACCACGTCTGGGAACTTGCCAGTCTTGCTTCTGCTCCTGACTTCCGATTTTACTCCACTGAGGTCCGGCCTGGGACCGCACCCACCCACGGCTTCTGCATTCCGGGAAACGCGAAGCGACTTCGCACAGCTGTAAGAGCCTGCGGTCCCCGCCCCAGGGACTGGGCAGGCCAGAAGGGCGTCGACGTCACCCTGGCAGGAAAGCCCCACGCCACGGGAAAGACGGGATCGCGCGGCGAGCCCCACCCGGGACGCCCCCGGCCCCACCCGCGGGCGCGGGGCCCCGGCGGCCCCCGGCCCGCCCCCCGGCCCGCCCCCCGGCCCGCTCCCCGGCCCTCCCGACGCCCCTCGGCGCGCGCCCGCCCCCGCCGCGGCCCCGCCCGCCGCGCCCCGCACGCACCTCTCCGGCGCCCGAAGGTCCACTCGCGCTTGCTCAGGAGGACGTGCGGCTCGCCCTCGCCGGCGCCCAGGCGGAGAAGCCGCCCCCACGGCTGCTCGCGCTCCCCCGGCCGCGCCATCGGCTTCCCGTCTGACGAGACCCGGAAGCGCCGGTGAGCGCGGCGGCCGCGGGCGGGGGCCGCGGCCCGCCCGCCCCCCGCGCCGCCCCCGCGCCGCCCCGCACCGCGGCGCCCCCGCCCCGCCGCGCGCCGGGCCGGAGCGGGCGGGCGCTCCTCGCGGGCCGCCCGCCCGGCCCGGGCCCCGCCGCCCGCGCCCGCCGCTCACCCCCAGCTCGCGCCGAACCCGGAACCGGCCGCGCCGCTGCCGCTGTCAACAGACATCGCGGATCCCTCAGCTGATCCGCGGGGCGGGGCCGGCCGGCTCCGCGCCCCGCGATTGGCTGGCGCTCGCGCCTAACGAAAGCGGCGGCTAGAACGGCACCCGGCGCGGCCAACGAGAGTGGGGCGTGGGGCTCACGGAGCGTGCGCAGACGGGAGGCGGCCAGCCTGGGCGCCATCTTTGATGCTGGCGGGGCGTCCTCGGCCACCACGCCGGCGCCTGCGGTCGGGGCCGCGCAGAGCCGACCGAGGGGCGGCGCGGCGTCGGGCGGGGCGGCGCGCGCTCCCCAGAGCCGACGGCGCGGGCCGCCTCTCCGCCCGGGGGCGCGGCCGGGGGTGGCGGAAGAGAAGGGGCGGGGGCGCCGCTGCTGCTGGGGAGGCGGGGCCGAGGGGGCGTCTGGAGCCGTTATCTGTCCAGTACTCCCCCTGAGACGACGGGCGCGTTCTTGGCCGAGACCGACGGCGGCGCCGCTCCGCGGGGACGTCTGGGCCGCCCGGTGACCTGGAGCCGGCTCAGCTTCGCGGCCGCGCGCTTCTCCTGCTGGTCTCAGACGTGGGACGTGGGAAAGGCCGGAGCTTTACTTTATTTGTTTATGCTGCAAGAGCTGGGCTGCAGGCCAGAGGCGGGGGGGGGGGGGGGGGGGGGTGAGAGAACTCCCCACAGACAGAGCGGGGCGCAGAGCAGGCGGATCCACTGGAACACACTGCCGAGGCGGGCAGTGAGACAGGAGGCCGGGGATGGACTGGAGCCGCAGGGCTGGGAAGAGCCCACAGTGAGACTATCCCCTGCGCCCCCAGGGAGGCCCCAGAGGCCGGGATTTTAAATTCCTCTGAGGAAACTTGGGTTTGACGCGGAAAAAGCAACCACGACATCATAACGGATTCTTTGGGAGTTGGAGACGCCCCTTGCCTGGCTGCTCAGGCTTTTGTGCAAATGCAAGTAGTGAGCTCAGAACACAGCTGGCCTCGCCCTGGGCGCATCTCAGCTTCACAGGCTTGAACCGTATTGCTCTGGTCCTCCACCTCCCCTGAAGCAAACCTGTGGGCTCAGTGGGACTCCTGAGTCAGTTCCCTGGGGTCTGGTCTGGTCAGGGCTTGGGGTTGCTGTCCCGCGTGCTGCAGTGACTGCTGTGCGGATGTGAACGCAGGTGCACGCCCCCACTCGCTGGACAGAACCGCAGGCCATTCTCAGTGCCCTGGCCCATACCTTGATTTCTCGACCCTGGAATTACAGCCAGTGGGCTAGCGTCTGGCCTGCCACGGTGAAGAGTGACTGAGAGATTACAAGACATTACGCTCTGGCTACAAATTCCAGGCTAGAATCGTGGCTGTCCCTCCAGCCGCCTACGTCAGTCGTGTAGCGCCCACGGCTCTTCGATGAACACAGTTCAGCTGTCCTGCCTCCTCCTAGATCGCTGGCTGCCACCACGGCAGTGGTGCTGGATCTCCAGCACACCCTCCAGCGCAGTGGCAGCAGTAAGGGTCCTGTGCGTCTGGTGTAGAAGCTTGTAGGTAGCTTGCCAGGTGGTGAGCCTCATACCTGTTCCACTGTAGGAGACTTATGACTATGGCTGAAAGGAGCCCTTTAGGGTTGTGTTAAAAGGACATTACTTGGGGCATTGACCTCCCTGCTCCTGGAAAATGGACTAAGACATCTCACCACCATTGATACGATTTCAGGATAGGGTGCTATTATTTGAACAGCCCACTTTGCACACATTAATTTGGCCCTGAAAGTACACTAAACTGCATTCTGTCATGTGTTTGATTGTCCAGACCATTTGCCATCTCACGGTCATGCCATCTTCTGTTACAAAATATACACAACAGTGGCTTGCAGTGAGGGCATTCAAGGCACTTCACCAAGTCCTATTCTATTCAGCTGCGTTCGGTTGTTCAGTTGTTGCATTCATTTCCCATTACTGCTGATACTACCACAAATTTAATGGCTTAACACAAATGTGTTGTCTAACAATTCTGCGGGTCAGAAGTCAGTCTAGGGCTCCCTGGGTTAAAATAGGCATTGGCAGAGTGTGTTTCTTCTGAAGGAAGGCAGACCTGTTTATCTTTTCCAGCTGATGGCAGCAGTGGCCAGTTGTGGCTCCATGCAATATTGCTGTTTCAAACTCTTTTTTTTTTTTTTTTAATTTTTAAAAAAGACTTATTTATTTACAGTCAGAAGCATGGGAGGGTGAGAGAACTCACCAGCGACAGAGCGGGGAACAGAACAGGCAGACTGACGAAATACACTGCTGAGGGGAGCAGCGGGCGGCAGGAGAGGTCTGTCGTGCCATGTGGGACTCTCGCCGGCAGCTGGGGATCGAACTGGCGCTGCAGATGCTGCGGGCAGCTTTGCAGCCCAGTGCTCAACCGCAGCGCCACTGGGGAGGCCCTGTTTCAGACTCTTGCCTCCATCTTCTACTTAAAAGTACACTTGGGGTTACATTATGCATTCCAGGGTAATCCCCCATCTAAAGATTACTGATTTAATCATATAAGAAAAGACACTTGACATATAAGGCAACATAACTCACAAGTTCCAGGCAATAGAAAGTGGGTGCATTTGGAGGCTGCTGTTCTGCCTGCCACCATTATTAAGCTCTGGTGTCCTTAATAGGGGTCATCTCCTCTTGGGTGCTTCCTGAGTGTGTTCAGGAAAAAGTGGTAGGGAGAGACAGGATAGGAAGTAGACATAGTTTAATCATCTAAGGTTCCAGCCTGACCATTCCTGGGCATGGTTTTTCTTTTCCACCTTAAGCAGCATCCGGCCAGATTAATACCAGATTAACTTCAAACATAAGAGCTGAAACCACAAAGCTCAAAGAGAGAAATGTAAGAGAAAAAGCTCCCTCAAAGATCTTGGCAACAATTTTTTTTTCATGTGACACCAAAAGCAGGAGCAAAAAGAGTAAAATCAACAAGTGGGGCCACATGAAGATTAAAAAAATTTCCATACAGGGCCTCCCTGGTGGCGCAGTGGTTGAGCGCTGGGTTGCGAAGCTGCCTGTGGCCTCTGAGGCACCGGTTCGATCCCCGGCTGCTCCCCGGCCACCGGAGGAGGGTCCCACATGGCGCGCAGACCTCTCCTGCTGCCCGCTGCTCCCCTCAGCAGTGTACTTCGGTCCTTCTGCCTGCTCTGCTCCCCGCTCTGGCTCTGGTGAATTCTCTCACCCTCCTGCGCTTCTGACTATACTCATGCTTGTATGAATGAATGAATAAATAAATAAATAAACAAATAAATCTTAAAAAAAAAATTTCCGTACAGCAAAAGAAATGCTTACAAAATGCAAGGACAACCTACAGGACTTGGGAAATTATTTCAAATTATTTCTAATATAGCTGATCTAGGGTTACTCTAAAAAAAAACTTTATAGAACTCAGTAACAACAGCAAAAATAATCCAACTGAAAAATAGGTAGAGGATCTGAATGGATATTTTTCCAAAAAGACATACAGACGGTCAACAAGTACAGGAAAAGATGCTCAACATCAGTGATCAGAGGAAGGTACAGCCAAGCACAAAGAGGTCACCTCACACCTACTAGGATATTTACTATAAAACAGGATTTTAAAAAGGTCCTCCCTGGTGGCACAGCAGTTGAGCGCTGGGTTGCGAAGTTGCCAGCAGCCTCTGCAGCGCATGTTTGATCCTTGGCACCCAGCCACCAGGCCAGGGTCCCACATGGTGTGCAGACCTCTCCTGCCGCCCGCTGCTCCCCTCAGCAGTGTACTTCGGTCCTTCTGCCTGCTCTGCTCCCCTCTCTGGCTCTGGCGAATTCTCTCACCCAACCGCGCTTCCGACTGTACCCAGTGCTTGTATAAATAAATAAATAAATAAATAAATATTTTTAAAAAAAGAAAAAAGAAAAAAATGGCAAGGGAATAGAGGAAAGGGAACCCTTCTACACTGTGGGGTGGAAATGTAAGTTGACACAGTCATTATACAAAACTGTGTGGTGGTTCCTGGAAGAACTAAAAAGAAACTTGCACTTGTACAGCAACCACACTTTGGGGTGTACATTTAAAGAAAATGAATTCACTGTCTCTCTTTACTGCGATCACAGCAACGTTGTTCAAAGTAGCCAAGCCAGGTCCGCAGTCCGCAAGAGAAAAGAACGGACACAGCAAACTGACCTGAGCCAGAGGGACAGGGGAGGTACAGCCACTTGAGCAGATGGTAAACACACACACACACACACACACACACACACACACACACATTTATGTCTTACATGTTACTGTGTATCCGCCGCATATAACCTTTTGAGAGATGTTTTTGTAGGAGTGTGTGTATGCACACGCAGACCCACATAATTGTATCATTTTTGTTATAAATCATTGAATACACCTTAGCAAATTAGAATTTGTGTGAAGTTGCTTCCAGTATATTCCCCTCAAATCGCTGTTATACCTTAAAATACCCCTTTCTGTGGCCATCTCTTAGGAAAACGCTTTTCAGTGAAAATGTCACCTGGGAAACTTCCCCACGTAAGCCACCCCTTTCCCCCGTTATTTCCCCGCTGCTGGACTCTGCGCCAGTCCCCACACCTCGTTTGTGCCCCGCGTCCCGACGGGCGCGCCGGGACCGCCGTCGGTGGCCCCGCAAGCCGCCCGCCCGTCCTAGCTGAATTCAGACTCCGGGCGTGGGTCTGGGCGCCTGCGTTACACAGCGCGCTAAGAACCCCATTCCAAGGGCTTCTGAAAAGGAAGTTCAAGCAGGAAAACCTCAAAAACTTGTCCTTCGAATGGATAAAGAAGGAAAACAGTGGACACAGTGGACGGGAGGGGCCCGGGGCGCGCGGGCGGGGACAGCGCCGCCCGCCCGGCCCTCCCGCCCCGGCCGCGGGCCGCGCCCCGCCGCACACGGCCCACGCCCGCGGGGCGCCCGGCTCCGAGGCCCGCGCGGGCCCGCGGGGACCCCCGCGCCGCCGCCCCGCCCTGGGCCGAGGGCGGCGAGCGCCGCGCGGCCCGGCGAGACGCGGTCCCCGGCGACGGGGAGGCGGGCGCCGGCGGACAGACCGGCGGCCTGGCCAATGGCTGCTTGCGCCGCGCGCCCCGCCAAGGGGACAGCCAATGGGACAGCGGCGCGCCTGTTGCCAGGCGGAAGGCGGGTCTCGGTCACGCCCGACGCTGGGAGGCGCCGCCGCGCGGCCGGAAGGAGCCGGAAGCTGCCTCCGTGGGGTTCCGGGTGGCTCGCCCTGCCGAGCGCCGCTGCCCAGGCACCCCATGCCCGTCGGGCCCGGGGCCCCCTCGCGATGGGGGCCCCGGGTCCAGGCGGGCGCGGAGGGCGCGGCTGCCCGAACCCCGCGGCCGGCGCGGCCCCGCCCCCGCGGCTGGTTCCCCTCGCTCCTGGGAGCAGCGCCGCGCCCCGCGGGGAGGAGGGGGCTGCCCGGGGCGGGCTCCGTCAGCCGCGACGGGTGTCAGCGCCGTCAGGGCCGCTGGGTGCCACCGCGCCCCAGGCCCGTGGCCGCGGCCCCCTTTGGTCTTCGCGGGGGCGGAGGGCGCGGTCTGGACGGGGGGCGGGGGGCGGGACCCCCCCTTGGAGCCGTCCCGAGATGCTCAGGAGCTGCCGCCTCGGCAGACAGACGTGGAGCCAGCGGAGTCCGCAGCGCCGGCGCGGCCGCAGCGCCCGAAGGGCCGGGCGGCCTCCACGTGCAGCGCGGGGCTGCGGGGACCGCCTTCCAGACGTGCAGGCGGCCAGCGCTGGCCCGCGAGCGGGGGCCGGCGCTGCCGCCTGCTGTGTCCACACGCCCGCACGCGCGCTTCCAAACACGGGTGTCCCCAGCCAGCCATGGGCTGGGGACCGAGTGACCGACAACACCGTCTGCGGTGTCTCCTGGGGTCACACAGGCTGGAAAACCTGCCAGAAAAGCTCCTTCAAATTGCAAGGCACAGGGGCCTCCCCGGGGGCGCAGCGGTTGGGCGCTGGGTTGCGAAGCTGCCCGCGGCCTCTGCGGCGCCGGTTCGATCCCCGGCTGCTCCCCGGCCACCGGAGGAGGGTCCCGCATGGCGCGCAGACCTCTCCTGCCGCCCGCTGCTCCCCTCAGCAGTGTCCTTCGGTCCTTCTGCCTGCTCTGCTCCCCGCTCTGCTCTGGTGAATTCTCTCACCCTCCCGCGCTTCTGACTGTGCCCAGTGCATGTATAAACAAAACAAACAAACAAATAAATAAATAAATAAAACATGCCTCTATTAAAAAAAAAGTTTAAAAAAAAAAAATTGCAAGGCACAGCTGAGCTCAGGCCACGGCGCCCAATGCGGCTGCGTGCAGTGCTGGCCGGCCAGGGTCCTGGACGGAGGGCAGGGGCAGGGGCAGGGACCCCGCCCACGCATGGCTGTTCCAACGTGACTCGCCCCACTTTTGGGGATGTGCGTGAAGCTACTCTGGCCCAGCTTCCTCGCGGCGGGTCTGCGGTGGGAGCAGAGTCTGTGGTGTGTGCTGCCAGGGGGGGCCGACCAGAGAGTGGGGGCTCGCCTGTGGTGGCAGGTGAGTGGCGCAGCATGTGGGGCTGCAGGACCAGGACCCCTAATCTGCACAACACAGCTCCTGCTGAGGGTTCTGGCCTTGTTCCCTCTCTAAGGAACTGCTCGTCGTTTTTCTTGTCCACTTACTTAACAGGTAACAGTGCTTTCTAGTAAGTTGCCTGTTGCAGGGGTAGCCACTGACATCACTGTTCTGCTGTCTAAGGTTAGTTTAGGGTTGGGGGACCACTGGCATATGTGGTGGGGTCCTGCTCCAGAGAAGTCCAAAAAGTTGTCACCTGTTACAATTTCTGCTCAACGCACAGGAAAGCCTGGTGGCAGTCCACACGCCTTGAGGCCTGTGTCCGGTGACGACACTCACCATTTGTTAAACGCTCACCATTCAACACAGGGCACAGAAAACCAAGCACACACCAGAGATTTTAACTCAAGAAATTTAATAAAGAGAATATTTACATAGTGAAGGAAGGTGGCCAAGGACAAAGAAGCACCAGGAGCAGTTAGCACCATAAGTCTGACCAACAGGGCATGGGGCGTCACTCCCTGGAGCTGCTGGTAGAAGTGGGGCCGCCACATGGGGACTGAGGATGGCCAGGGCCATGGTCCAGCGAGGGCGAGCAGTAACCAGGCCAGCCTCTGCTCTGACGGTGGCCTCTTACCAGTGCCTTCCTTGGACCATGGGGCCCTGGGCGCCATCACAGAGGGCAGAGCAGAGAGGAGGGAGATGGCTCCAAGGGCCAGGCATTGAGTACGGACAGATGCCAGGACCAGTGAGCCCCCTTAGCACAGCACCTCAGTACAGACACCCCCCGAACCACCCAGAGTCCTGAGACCAGGATCCGACCCAGATGATGCTGTGCAGTCAGCCGCCTCTGAAGATTCACACTGAAGTGTCACTTGCCACACACACTTCTAAATAGAGTTCTACCCCAAATTCATTGTCATTACTTTGGCTTCAAGCAGTCAGTTACCTTTTTAAAAGACTCCAAAAGTGAGAAGAAAATCTTTTCATTTACCCACAAACATATTTCCAGACTCATCTCCTCACAGACATCCGTATTTCCACTTAGTGTCATTTTCTTGCTGCCTACAAACTCCTTTAATATTTTCTAAAGGCAGGTCTACAGGTGATAAATTCTCTTCGATTTTTTTTTTTTAAATCTGCATTTGCTTTCACTTTTCAAAGATGTTTTTAAGAGGCTGCAGAACCCCTGGACACAGTGATTATTTTTTCATTCAGTTCAGACGCGGACGTCTTCCGCTGTGGCCTCTGACCAGGCCCGGACTCACCTTAGGTGTGTCTTGCTGCTTTCCCCTTGTTCTCAATCACTGGTTTTCATTATGATGCATAGTGGCGTGATTTTCTTTGTACATTCTGTTTTGGGGTTTTTCAGCTTCTTGAACATGTGGAGTTAAACCTTTCATTATACCTGAAAAGTTTTTAGCATTATTTATTGAAACATTTTATTTGCCTCTTCTATACATGCCTCTTCTATACATGCATTTTACTTGCCTCTTCTATACATGCATAATAGAATCCCTATTCTCTTTGTTTTTTATTTTCAGTCTTTTTTCCCTCTGTACATGCAATTGGACAGCTTTTATTCTTACTCCAAGTTCATTGATTTTTTTCCCCCTTCGATGTCTAATCTGTTTTTTATTTTGTTATTTTCAAATTTTCAGATACTGTTTTCATTCTAAGAAATTCTGCTTGGGCTTTAAAGAAGTGTAGTTTCCACTTCACGTTTCAACGAATTCATTTTCCCCTCTATATTAGTGATACTATTTGAACCTCCCTGTTTACAAATTCCAATCCTCCTATTGACTCACTTCCCCCTGGTTACAGGCCTTATTTTCCTGCTTCTCTGCATGTTGGGTAAGTTATGGGGTCCAGACATTGTGTTTCCAGAGAAGTTTTCAATCTAGGGTCCATCACTCATGACCAAGACATCCCACTTTGGGAATTCCGTTAAAGTCCGCGTTAGAGGCTGTGTCTACTCTGGCTGGTGGGATATGAGCTCCTCTGGGCCGAGCTGAGCCCCAGGACTGCTCAGCTACTGCTTGCAGCGCCACTTCCTGGACACGGGCCACACTTCCTGGATATATCCAGGAAACCCACACTTCGGTCAATCACTTCTAAGCCAAGATAATTGGGGACTCCTTTTAGTTTCCTGTAGCCCTTTCTTGGAAGTACCCTCCTTTTCAGTACTTTCCCCAGCAAATTCTAGCTACCTTGGCCTCCCCAGGTGCCAACTCAGCAATTCTCTTCAACTCAGCAGGACCAGGTAGTACTGCCTGTGAGCTGCAGGCTGGGGGCCCCACCAGGAGGAGCAAGGCAACCGTGGGCTCTTCTCACCATGTTTGTCCATCTTCTTGCAGGTAACGTGGACCTGTCACACCCAAACACCATCACTTCCCATGTGTGCACAGTTTCTGTTTAAGGCAAGGGTGTTAATCTAGGCCGTGTTATAGCACCAGGGCAGAAAGCAGACCCTGTCACATTTAAAAACATCTATCATTTAAAAGTGACTTTTTAAAAAAATTTATATATCATCATTTCTTTATGGGACGATTTCAACAAGATCATGCTTGTCAAATTCTCCAAGTTTTCAGCACTCCTCCTCAGAATGAAATCTCTATAATACTCAGGACTTCCTTTTTGCATCTTTATTGTACTGTGAGGTATCCTTTCTTGATGAAATCCTCCACTCACTTGTTACCAGAGTTCTCTTCCTGTTGAGGTCTTCTGCACATGAATGAACTGTAAGTTAGCTGAAAGGTCCTGTACTATCCTAGTACTGACGAGACTCCCACGCTGAGGAGTCATCGATGTGCAGGAAATTGTATTTCCTGGAAAAAGGTTTGCTTATATTGTCTTCTTTCTAAAAAACACTCTTCTCCTTTAAAAATTCTGTCTAGTGGACTCGTCTTACCACAAACAATTTGCAACTGTCAGCCACTCCACTGACAGGTCTTCTCTGCTGCACATGCCCTCAGAATGCCAGAGGGGATGACTGAGGGCACAGGCTGCCTGTGCCTGCACATACGGCACCTACGTATGCGTTCTCTGATGGGTCAGGAGCTGTGCTTTCCGGCTGAAGGCTGTCCCACATTTGGGGCACCCATAGTACCTATCTCCAGTGTGGATTCTTTGATGCCTCATAAGATGTGACTTTCTCGTGAAACACTTCCCACATTCACCACATTTGTAGGGTCTCTCTCCTGTGTGAATTCTCTGGTGTATGATGAGCTGTGCCTTCTCAAAGAAAGCTTTTGCACAATCACTGCATCCATAGGTCTTCTCCCCTGTGTGATTTCTCTGATGCTTAATGAGCTGCACTTTCTGAACAAATGCTTTCCCACACTCACTGCACTCGTAGGGCTTCTCTCCCGTGTGAATTCTCTGATGCCGAAGGAGCTGCGGTTTCCAGGCAAAAGCTTTCCTACATTCATCACACTCAAAGGGTTTTTCCCCAGTATGGGTTCTCTGGTGATGAATGAGACTTGACTTCTCACTGAAGGTCTTCCCACACTCACTGCACTCGTAGGGTTTCTCGCCTGTGTGTGTTCTCTGATGTGATATCAGGCTTGACTTCTGGGTGAAGGCTTTCCCACACTCACTGCATTCATACGGTTTCTCTCCAGTGTGTGTTCTCTGATGTGTTAGGAGCTGTGACTTCCCAAAGAAGGTTTTTCCACATTCAACACAGCCATAAGGTTTCTCACCTAAGTGAAGTTTTTGATGTCTAATGAGCTCTGACTTCTTATAAAAGCCTTCTTCGCATTCAGAGCACCGATAGTTCCTCTCTCCAGTGTGAAGCATTTGATGTTTAATGAGTTGTGGTTTTCTGATGAAGGCTTCACCACATTCGCCGCACCCATAGGGTTTCTCTCCAGTGTGGATCCTCTGGTGCCTAATGAGCAGTGAGTTCCTGCTGAAGGCTTTCCCACACTCGCTGCATGCATAAGGCTTCTTCCCTGTGTGCGTCCTCTGATGAGTAATAAGCTGGGACTTCCAAAAGAAGGCTTTTCCACAATCTCCACACTTGCAGGGTTTCTCGCCTGTATGTGCTCTCTGGTGAGTAATGAGCTTTAATTTCTGGGAGAAAGCTTTCCCACAGTCACTGCACTGAAAGGGTTTCTCTCTTGTGTGGGTTATCTGATGTCTTTTGAGCTGTGACTTCCTGCTGAAGGCTTTCCCACACTCGCTGCATCCATAGGGCTTCTCTCCCGTGTGAGTTCTCTGATGCAGAATGAGCGGTGACTTCCTGCTGAAAGCTTTTTGACATTCTCCACACTGATACGGTTTTTCTCCTGAATGAGTCCTTTGATGAATAGTGAGCAGTGACTTCTGGGAGAAGGCTTTCCCACACTCACTGCATCCATACGGCTTCTCGCCTGTGTGAGTTCTGTGATGTACGATGAGCTGTGACTTCTTGTTAAAGACTTTGCCACATTCGGGGCATGAACAGACTCCTGTGTGTGTTACGTGGTTTGTGAGGAGCCAGGACACTATCCCACCGACTTGTCTACATTTATTGCACTCACAATATTTTGTTCCACAGTGAGTTCTGTTAGGTTTGATATAAAATAGCGATTTATTATTGAGCTCATCAAGTTTCTTTCTTCCACAGTTATTTTTTGGAATAATAAAATTAAAAGGATGTTTCAAATATTTTTTGCCTGTGACACACTGAGGGGGTCTCGTTCCTACATGAACAAAGTTAATGCTTGAGTGAAATATTTTCCCAAAAATATCATATTCATGTTCTTTCTCCACACTTTTAAGCTTGTGTTGATTATCCTGGTGCCACATTTTGAGATCATTATCTAGGTAGACTTCTAAAAAGAAAAAAAATGATTCACATTGTGTAAATCACCTAATGATTATGCCTATTCAATAAAATTTCTGAAATGAAGCCCAGGATCCCATTATATTAAAAAAAAAATAAAAGAAAAGAATAAAAAACCCCTCAAATATAATGTGTATTTATTAAGTACAGAATATTTTAGCAAAAATGAAAACAGATTTTTAAATTACAAATATTTATAAACATGAACTTAAAAATAAGATGAAATGTACTCAAAGAACAGTGATCACGAGATAAAGGAGACTGAAGTGATTTCTCACTGATAACCGGATGACTGATTTAGCTACTCAGCAATCATCTATGGATTATCTACTACATATCCAGAACTTGTCAATGGCAGAAGATCATGTGCGCACCTGCTCTCAGTGGGTTTATGGTGCAGTGGAGACAGACAGTAACAAGTGCAGGAGAGCAAGATCAAAAACCACTGCATTCTATAGAGGAAGAAACACTGGATAGATGCAGAGAGCAGGCAGAGTATCAGCTTCACATCGGACAGATGAAAAACTTAAGTTTTTTCTACTATCGTTAACCTTTGTAAAACATTTTCATTCAAGAAGGTCACCTAAGAGCTACTTTGTAGAATTCTCAGCTGTAACATTTTTGTTTAGGTCTGTGGACATTACAATGGACTTTATAACCTATACACTGAATCTATACACAATGCTATCTATGGAAATTATCCCAAACTGCCATGTGGGTCAGCTCCCTGGCTGGGGATCGAACTCAGGCTGTTAACAGTGATAGCTCTGATACTTAACCCCTAGGCCACCAGGAAGGCCCCCTACTAATTGAATGTTTAAAGTGATTTTTTTCCCCAAAATTTATTTATTCATGCATACAAGAACTGGGGTACAGGCCAGGCGCGTGGGAGGGTGAGAGGATTCACCAGAGACAGAGCGGAGAGCAGAACAGGCAGACTGACTGAAATACACTTCTGAGGAGAGCAGCGGGCGAGACAGGAAAGGTCTGCTGCGCCATGTGGGATTCTCGCCGGCCGGCTGGGATCGAACCCGCGTTGCAGAGACTGCAGACAGCTTCATAGCACTGTGCTCAATCACCCGCACTGCCAGGGGAGGCCCTAAAGTGATCTTTTAAAAATTTATTTATTTTAAAAAGATTTATTTTCTTTATTTATGCACACAAGAGCTGGGGTATAGGCCAGAGGTGCAGGGGTGAGAGGACTCCCTAGAGACAGAGTGGGGAGCAAAACAGGCAGATCCACTGAAATCCACTGCTGAGGGGAGTAGAGGGGAGACAGGAAAGGTCTGCTGCATCCTGTGGGTCAGCTCCCTGGCCGGGGATGGAACTCAGGCCGCAGTGGCTGGCGATAGCTTGATAGTGCTGAGCCTTAACCCCTTGTGCCACCAGGGAGGCCCTCAAGGATTTATTTTATGATGATATCCTTTACTAGCAATCGTGAGTAACATTCCTAGGAAGTATTCCTTTATGAGATGAAAGAATTGGCATGATCTTAATATAAGGCAAGTACTTCTTTTCTGTGGAAAATTTTTTTTTTAGGGAAAAAAGTTTTATTAGGGAAAAAAAACTCAAACAGGGGCCCTGGTGGTGCAAGGAGTTAAGCATCACACTATGAAGCAATCCACAGCCTCTGTAGCATGAGTTCGATCCCTGGCCAGCCAGAGAGAAACCCACAGGGTGCAGCAGACCTCTCCTGTCTCCCTGCTGCTCCCCTCAGCAGCATGTTTCAGTCAGTCTGCCTGTTCTGCTCCCCACTCTGTCTCTGGTGAGTCCTCTCACCCACCTATCTCTGGCCTGTACCCCAGCTCTTATATACATAACTAAATAAATCTTTTTTTTTTTTTTTAAAAAAAAGGAAGAAAAACTCAAGCATATAAGAATTTCAGAGGAAGAACCAAGTAAGATCTTGATAAGGTGAGTGAGGGGTCTCTCTGGTGGCGCAAGGATTAAGTCTCAGTGTTATCACTCTATCGGCGGCCACTGTAGCATGAGTCCGATCCCTGGCCAGGGAGCTGACCCACAGGGCGCAGCAGATCTCTCCTGTCTCCCCACAGTCTGCCTATTCTGCTCCCCACTCTGTCTCTGGGGAGTCCTCTCACCGCCCCGCCATACCTCTGGCCTGCACCTCAGCTAAGGCAGGGAGGGAGGGAGGGAAGAAGGGAGGAAGGAAGGAAGGAAGGAAGGAAGGAAGGAAGGAAGGATTAGCCTTATCTGCCCCCACAACAATCAGTTCATGAAATACTTATTACACACTGTAGATTCCAGAGAGAACACACAAAAGCCGGAGTTACCTGCCATCTTTCCATGGCCTAACTGGCTAGGGAGTTCCAGATGATGACTGGCTAGACCGAGGTCCCTGGAGAGTCCAGAACACTCTGGCGTTAGGAATAATCGCTGGGGAGTCAGCTGCGAAAGGGATGGTTCTCACCAGGAGAGGACAGGCCTGGGGATGGGACTTATCCAAGTGCACTGACCATAATTTTGGCCACAGAATAAACTGGCAGGTACAAGGCCAGTAAGAGGCAGAGAAGAGGCCACTGTGAGGCTCTTCAACACAAATGGAGCTAAGATGACACAAGGCAAGAGATGGGGACTTGGCAGCCAGCAGGGGCACAGGGGAAGGCTTAGAGGCTGCAGGTGTGTACACCAGGAGGAACTCTGGGGGCAATGTCTTCAGGTGCATGGGCAGGGTCTGCCCCCACCGCATTTCAGGTGTTTGCTTCTAATTCTATACCCCGGACTCACCTTCTAGTTGACAGCTTTAGAACAGAAACCAGATAAGTTATAGCAAGAGAGGTAATAAAGGAAGCTCAGAGGTAATGAATATCACCTCAGATGAGAAAAAAATTTATGAATTCTTAAAGGAGGAAAGAGGCTGCTGCAGGTTGAGCTGGGGAGGAAGAAAAAGGAAGAGCCGCCTGACCTGGGAAGAAGGCCCGGAGGGAGGCCGTCTATCCCTGTGACCGCTGAGGGGCATTTCAGCATGAGCTTGCGGGGCGCAGTGGGGGTGTGTGGAGGGGGCAGGGCCAGAGCACAGTAAGAACCACAGACTGTCACAGTCTGGATGAACTTCAGATGCAGCTGACAGAGCACTTGGGGTGCCTGCCCATCAAACACCTGGGACCTCAACCTTCACCGAGAGCCTTCACTGAGAGCCACGCCCATCTCACCTGAAGCCTGGCCCGGAAGGGGGGCCTCGCCTCCCGCCCACGGCTCTCCCCTACACTCCCTGGAAACCGCGTCAGGCTTGCAAGCGCAACGGCCTGTTAATTGGAAACACAGAGGACGGCGGCTCAGCCGCTAGCTCCTCCACACGGAGAACATCTCCATAATGGCCATGGCATGAAGTGAGCAAATAAAGATCTTTCAATAAGAGAAATAATTTCTGACAAGTGCAACTCATGCAAACTCAGTACGCTTCCCGGAGGCGCCAGTCTCGGCACCAGCTACGGGACAGAGGAACACCTTACCCAAGGAGGCCAGGTTGCTGTAGTTCTCCAACATCACGTCCCTGTACAAGATCTTCTGAGTAGGATCAAGTAGCTGCCACTCCTCCAAGGTGAAATCCACAGCCACATCCTCAAATGATATCTACAAAAGCATAATCCCTGTTCAGTCTGGCAGTTCATAATCCCTGTTCAGTCACGCGTGCTGCCCAAGGACCGGTAGAGTCGACAGTGGCTGGACAAACAGGAACAGGGGAGACAAAAGCGGCTGTGGGCAGAGGCAGGGAGCTCGGGAAGGCGCAGCACCCACACAGAGCAGAGGCGGAGGCAGAACGGCAGGCGCCGCCTCTGCCACGCCGAGTGCCCCAGCAAACAGAACGAGAGACTCGCTGCGGGGAGCGCACAGGGAAACCCAGGACAAGCGGGGGGAGAAAAACAGGGATCACTGGTCAGAAGATCAGCAAGGGCATGGGTGCCCTGGACAGCGTCCCGGTCGGCCTGACCAGCTGGCATGTACAGAGCCAACAAAGCCGCGGGCAGGCGGACGGCGTTCTGTAAGGGGCCACGGAAAGTTCAAGTTAAAATCCCTCCCGTATCACAAAGCAAAACACAACAACTTGAAAAGAACAGAATCAAAGCACAGTCTTGGATAATAACATTAACTAAAAATACCTGGAAAATCCCCAAACGCTCGGAAATCAAACAAGCTACAGGTCACACGGGAAATCACAAAAATAGTCTAAACTGAATGAAAAGATACTTCATAAAACCAGTTAAAGCAGAACTACACAAGAAATGTAGAGGACAGATAGCTAAAAAAAAGGCCTGAAAGCAGTAACCCCACCTTTCACCTGCAGAAACTAAAGAGCAAGTTGACACTTACACATGCGGGAAGAAAGACTCACTGTCAGCGGAGCCACCGAGGAGACGAGCGAGCGGAAGAACAGAACTCGTGAGCCAGGAAGCTCCTTCCTCACCTCTAGCCCAGCTGGGAGAGACTGGCAAGGAGCAGAGCACCGAGGGCAGGTGGGAGCAGGGGACCCCAGTTCTGACCCACGCGGTCAGAGAAAGGGACACAGCAGCTCTCGCCCGCGAGGCCGGCCATTCAGGCAAAGCTGCCCAGATTCCTAGAAAAGGCTGAGCGGCTGGTGCTTCCTCGGGAGGAGCCGGTGACCCGACAGCCCCGTGTCTGCTAGATACACTCAGTTTGTGGTTAAAAATCTTCTAATAAAACTCCAGGTCCAGACGGTCTCACCAGTGAAACATTTATGAAAAAAGCACAAATTTAACAGAATCCCTTCCTGATATAACAAGAGCATTGCCCTGAAGCAAACACCAGTGACAGCGCGAGAAGAAAACCGCAGGCCAGGCGGGGCCTGTCACGTAACACACCCGCAACGACAGTCCCTGACAAAGCAGGAAGTGACCAGATCAGCAAAATAAGGGCCTCGCGCCACCATGAGGCTGCGCACCCCAGGGAGCCAGAGGCCCAGTGCTCACGGGATCAACGTAACTCACCGTGTTAACACCCGAGAGAACAAATACTGACCATCTCAACAGAGGAAACTTTTGAAGACATTGAACATCCATGCACGAGTGAAATAACCAACTGCTCACCACAGAGCGCCAGAGCAATCCCTGACTGCAGGAGGCGGCTCTGGACTCCGAGCTGGCCTCGCACAGCAGGAGGCGGCCGGGGGCCTTTCCCCAGCAACGGGGTCAAGGCACCAGCGCCCTCTGCCCACCCCTGCTCCAAGCGCACTGCCAGTCCTCGCTCGCTCCTGCCGTGCAGCAGAAACAGAAGTGGATGGTGAAATGAGACGGCGCCCAGGTAACAAATGGGTGGCTGAGGCGCCAAAGGACCTACCAGAAAACAGCAGGCTAGGGAGCCCACCAGCGGGACAGACGTGGGTGCGCACGGAGGCCAGTCAGCGCCCGACAACAGCTGGGGCCCAACAGGCATCAAGGCGCCTTCGCCACAGCGCCAGCAGGAGCAGCTGAAGGTGACAGAGGCGGTCACACCAGGGGCCTTCACGGAGTGCCAACGCCGATGATGGACATCGAAGATGGGACAGACGGGGAGAGCCAGCGCTCCCCCTGCTGCAGCCCTCCTGCCGCCACCCCAGAGCTCCCCGTCCTCACGAGTGGTCACAGGAATGCGCTCCCCGGGCGACCGGCCAGCCGGCTGCCGCCTCTCTCCTGGCTCCCACCACCGCGGGGGCCAGCCTGCAGCTCATGTCCAGCCAAGGGCCTCATTGCTCACGTGTCCACGTCCACCTTGAAAACCATAGCGACTCCAGAATCCACTGTGTCCCTCACGCCTCCCCGGGGCCTTCTCTGACTGTGAGTGATGTGCTCGCACCTCACCACTGGCTGCCATGCCTGGTGAGCCGTGACAGCTGCAAACGGGGGACAAAGGACTCACCTGTGTCCCCAGCATCTTCCCCACTCCTGGGGTGCGGTCTGGAGAGGCAGGCCACGCCCAGTCCCAAGGCCTCTTCCCTCCTATCTTGCTGGAGTCGTCTGGTTCCTGGGAGCCATGGCTGGGGTCAGGGGGGACCTGTGGGAAAGGGGAGGAGCCTCCGGGAGGACTCAGCGAGCAGGTCCCAGACGCCTGGCCCTGAAGTTGTGGCCCTCAAGCCCTGAGCAAGCCTGTGGGCTCAGCCCTGCACCCTCCCAAGGCACCCACCCTTCCCAGGACTGCATCCCCAGGAGGAGGCCGCTGGTGGGGGGGGCGCCACCCGGCCTCTGTGTGCCCCACGGGTGCCGCCTGGCGTGCGCCAGTCCAGCTTAGTTTTTATTCAGCAGTAGGACTTTTCCTTTCTCCTCCAGTTTGTGCAAAGGGTTTCTGGGTTGGCAGACTTTGGCTTTAATTATTTTCCAGTGAGCTCTGTGTCGAGACAACAGGGCACCACCACCGTTTCTGCCGCGCTCTCCAAGGCCCAGGCTTTAGGCAGCACCATCACCCTAGTGCTCTCTCTTGGTGCCAACACCCCAGATACACGCGGTGTCTCCGCTGCCCTGGCCGGGCCAAGGACGGACCAGTGAGCCCCACGGCGCGGGGTCCCCAGGGCGGCCTTTCCCCCCGGGATGACACAACACTCATGAATGTGACCGGTCGGAACAGAAAGCACGTCTGGGCCATGGTGCTGCCCCAGTGTCTGCCGCCCGCGGTCCTCCCTGTGGTGGGGCAGCCTGAGCAGGCAGCTCAACACATGGCACCCACAGGCTGGGCTGACAGGCGCGAGGAGGCTGGATGCCAGGGCCTGTGCTGCTCGGGAGGAGGCTGACCTCACTGCACAGCAGGCTTGGCCCACATGCCCGAGAGGCGGGTTCACCCAGGGCAGCCAACAGGTGGGACGGGATGTTGCCCCTCGAAGCCGTTGCTGCCCACATCAAGCTGGGCTGGAAGCAGAGCAGACTCTCTCCGACCCGTGTGAGGTGGCCAGGGGCTGGCTCCTGGCATCGCCTAGGGCATAAGGCCAGAGGCAGGACCAGGTCTATGAGGCCACGGGGTGTTAGGAGGCTGCCAAGAGCCAGTCAGTCTTGCAGGACGGGCTGCAATGTGAGCTGTGACCCCAAACAGCGGTGGTGGGCAGAGCAAGGGCCTCCTCCAGGGCAGGAAGAACCCTTGGGCAGGGTGTCTACGTTAGCAGCGGGCGCCTGCCTGTGCGTGCGCCCAGTGTGAAGAAGGAGGTCTGGAGCGTGGCTCTCCAGGGACCACTGGCCGAGGCCACAGGGACAGCACCTTGTCCCCAGGCCCCAGCATTGCGCCCAGCCGGGTGAACTGTGAGAGTGGCCCTGAGGGAAAGATGACACCCAGAGTCACTGCTACCCAGGTCTGGGGCCCCCGAGGTCCAGGTCCACCGGCCCCGGGAGTTCCCGCCAGGGTGGGCCCTCAGGCTGAGGCGCAGACCCTCTAGCAGCCTCAGGGACTAGTGGAGGTGCCCCGTGCAGGAGCCTCCCACGCCCCGCCAGCGCTCAGCCCTGCTCCGTGCACACGCCCTCAAACTCACAACCTTGAGGGCACGGGCTCACTTGGTCTCACCGGCTGGCCAGGGAGCAGCGCCACCCGGTCAGCCCTGTCTGGGCACATGGGCCAGCAGGTGGGACGGCGTCTCCCCGGAGCAGATGAACGAGAGTGCGCCAACTCCTTGGACTGTGTGAGAATGGCGGGGATGGCCTCCACGCAGGAGAGACCTCTGGGGGTGCTAGCTGGGCTCTGGACAGGAGACCAGCCCCAGGGGTGCAGGCTGGAGAGCAGATGGTGCAGGGAGGCTGACCATGGGGGATCAGGGGACAGGTGCCTCGCTCACCCCCAAGAACAGAAAGGGGGGATGGGTCTCTGTGCTAATGCGGGACCTGCAGCCTCCCCCCCATGGGCTCCCACAGGCTGACCAGCGCTGACGGAGATGACCTCCCCGTGGACCGCACAGGCCCTGATGAACCCAACCGCTCCACCCATGCACCACCCTCACCCCCCCCCAGGACCCCAGCCACCCACACCACACCCAAGAGCGCCCAGTGCCCAGGGCAGCAGCCCCACCACACTCCCACGGCTCCCCCAAGTGCCCCTCAATAAGCTCCACGGGCTGCCCGCTGGCCAGAAACTGACAGCCCCAGAATCCCGAAGGGCCCCCCAGAACTCCACTCACCCCCTCCTACAGGGCCATGAGGTCAACCAAGTCGGCGCCCCTCACTGCTCTCACTGAGCCTCACCTTGCCCTCTCACCACTGCCGGCCACCTAATCTCCCGGGCCCCCACCCCGCACCCCCACGACTCCCTGGCTCGCTCAGCACCGCAGCCGAGCCGCAGGTCCTCCCCAGCCGCACCTGCGAGGGCCGCCGGCTGGGCGCCGGCCCCCGCCCTCAGCGCCCGCTCACCAGCCCGCGGGCCCCGCCGCCGCCCGGCCCGAGGCAGGCCGAGGCCCCCAGCTCCAGGGCAGGCCGACGGCTCAGCGGGGACCCCCCGCGCCCCGGGAACCTGCCCAGGGAAGAACCGACGCGGACTCGGCGAGGAAAGCCTTTATTACCAAGGGCGGCTGCGACCGGGAGAACGCTGCCCCCCAGCCGGCAGTCTTCGCAAGCCGAAAGCGGGGTGAGCAGGGTCCGGCCGTCGGGGGGAGGCCCCGCAGGGCCCGGGACAGGGCGGCCGGCGGCGCCTCCTCCCCTCCGCGGGCGGGACCGGCCGCTCGGGGAGCGGCGGCGAGCGAGGGCGACCCCGCCGCCCGCCTCCCCGGGTCTGAGCCGGGCGACCCCCGCCGCCGCGCCGGCCCGCCCGACCCCACGGGGGCGGCCCGGGACCCCAGAACCCGCACGGATCCGCCACCCCGGCCGCCCGCCCCGCCGCCCCGGCCGCCCGGACCCCGCCGCCCCGCCCCCGCCGCCTCCGCACCTCCTCCACCGGCCGGGACGGCGCAAGCGCGGCCCGCTCGCCCGCCCTCCGCGCACCCCGCGCTGTCGGTGGCGCCCCGGGACGCCGGGCCGGCGGAGAGAGGCCGCCCCCCCGCCCCTCCGGGCCCGCCACGCCGCCGCCGCGCCCGCGCGGAACTACATTTCCCAGAGCCCCGCGCGCCCAGAACTACAGCTCCCGGAGGGCGCTGCGGCGCGCCGCGCCCGCTCTGCGCACGCTGGCGGGCGGCCCGGACGCGCCCCGGGAGCCGTCGCACAGCCGAGAGCGGGCCCGCCCCGCCCCGAGCGCCGGTGCGAGCCGTGGTGCGGGCCGCGGCGGCCGGGGCGCGCGCAGGCCCCCGGGAGAGGTAGTTCTCGCCGGCGTCGTCCCGGCCGCAACGGGCGGGTGACGCACTTCCGCGTGCGCCGTCGCTTGGCGCGCGCCTGCGGGGCCGCTTCCGGCTCGGCCTCGGGGGCCGGGCGGGGGGCCCGCGGGTCTGTGCGGCGGCCCGGGCGTCCTGCGCCGACCCGGGTCTTGGCCCGCCGAGCCCCGCGCCCCGGGCTGGACCGGACGGAGCCGCCCGACCCCCTCTGCGCGGCCCGGAGGCGCGGCCCGCGGACCCCTCGGCGTCCCCCGGCTCGGGCCTGCGCCCCCGCCCGCGGGCCCGCGCGGAGCGGCGCGGCATGGCCACGCGCTTGCGGGCGGCTTCGTGTTGGGTACGTGGCGACTCCCCCGGCGGCCGCGGCGGGCGCCTCCCCGCCGTCCCCGCGTCCGGAGTCGCGTCTTGGGGTCCAGGCCTTGAGGGCCTCGCCGGGAAGCGGCCCCTCGGCTCGCGCGTTCTGTGCGGGCGCTGGCGCGGGTGGCGGCGCGGGGTGGGTCGCGCCCTTCTCGGTCTGGAGGAGCGGGGGGCGGGAGCGGGGGCCGCGGGGCCGGTCTGCGGCGCGGCCGGGCCAGCGGGTCGCCGGCCTGTGTGAGTGCGCCTCGGGGTGACGGAGATCGCGAACGCCTGCCCTGGCCGGGACGTTCCCGGTCTGGGAAGAGGCGTCCAGGGAGGGCTGGCCGGGGAGTGTCGCATCTGCAGCGCCTGTCGTTGCGTCTGTACCTCGGCGGGTGTTTTCAATTGGAAATACACAAATTAAAGGTATCTAGGTTTTGGGGTGTTTTTTTTCAAAGATGTGTTTATGGGTATAAGGGCTGGGGTGCAGGCCAGCGGTGCGGGGGTGAGAGGACTCCCCAGAGACAGAGTGGGGCATAGAACAGGCAGATCCACACAAACACACTGCTGAGGGGAGCAGCGGGGAGATAGGAGAGTCTGCTGCACGCCGTGGGTCAGCTCCCTGGCGGGGTATGGAAGTCGGCTCGCAGCTGTGACAGCCTGAGACTTAACACCTAGACCCCCATGGAGGCCCAGGCTTTATGGTGCTTAGCAGAAGTGCTTAGCAGTCGTGCAATGTCCTGTTTCCCCTTCTGTTTATTTTAGATTTCATGGTGACGCATATTGATCAGCCATGTTCCTTGTATTAGCTGCGTTTTATACCCCACTAGCAAATGGGCACATTTGGTTGAGCCGTGTCTCCACTGCTGGGGATGTGTGTGTGGACTGACCACCCCATGTGCAGTGAGCAGCCCCCAGCGCGTCAGCACAGGCTCTCCACCCTTTCTCTTCAGCTGGGCCTCACAGCTTTTGAGCTGCTGAAACTTACTGTTCTTTATTTTTTTTTTTTTAAAAGATTTATTTATTTATTTATTTATTTATACAAGCACTGGGTACAGTCAGAAGCGCGGGAGGGTGAGAGAATTCACCAGAGTAGGGAGCAGAGCAGGCAGAAGGCCAAAGTACACTGCTGAGGGGAGCAGCGGGCGGCAGGAGAGGTCTGCGCGCCATGTGGGACCCTCCTCAGGTGGCCGGGGAGCAGCCGGGGATCAAACTGGCACTGCAGAGGCTGCGGGCAGCTTTGCAACCCAGCGCTCAACCGCTGCGCCACCGGGGAGGCCCTGAAACTTTCTGTTCTTTAATTCACAAATGTTTAAGTGTTTAAGGTAGCTGACCAAAACTACTTGTGGATTTCATAGGTGATGGGTGGAATTTCACTTAATTCATATTCAGGTGTGCTTCGTTCAATATTTAAATTTTTTTTTGTATGAGTGGCGCCATACCGTGTTTAATTGTTCTGCAGTTTGCAGGAAAGACTTAATGAAGGTGCTGTGTAATGCTTCAGCAGTTCTCTCATCGGCAGCAGGTTGGGTTGTTCAGCTTGTCCTTTTACATATTAGACAGTGAACAACAGCCCACATGTGTCTCCTGCTTCATCGTTGCTTATGACACAATTGATAACTTTGAATTCATTAGCTTAGTTCCCCGGGCCCCTTCTTGCCTCAGGAGTAACCAATTTGGTGTATGTTGTTCTAGGTATTTTTTTGTCCACGTATTTACATACAGTTGTCTGTATCCTTAAAACGTGTGTGAGTTGGCTTGTTAGGGTTTTTACATGAGTGGGTGTCATCTGTACAGCATTTACTTCTGTTTGTTTCCCATGCGTAGGTGCGTCCATGATTATTTTAGGTAGATATCCTTTTGTGGGTTATTTTGACTTTTACTTTTTGAGTTCTAATTTATATATAGCAAATCATGTGTATTAAGTGAATATTCATAAACACTGAGGACCAGATTATCCCAATCAAAATGTAGATTTTCCAGCATCGTGGCAGGGTCCCTGGGGCCCTGTGACCACAGCCACATCACAGGGCCACTACTTTCTCATTCTTGTCATGTTCAACGCAATAGTTATTTCCTGTTTTCTTAGTCCATGTAGTTTGTGAGCTCCTTCCAGGTTGTGTGATGCCCACTGTGTGAATGTCTCATATGTGCAATCGTGGCGGAGGATGCCGACATTTGGTTTGCTTCCAGCCACTGGTTACTTTGAATGACCATGCTCTGAGCGTCTTTACGCGTCTCACCTCTGTGAAACACTATGGGTTCAGTGATCTTTGTGGGGATCACAACCATGAGACAGCAGCACTGTGTCCTGGGGGGCAGGGTCCCCTGCCATGTGTCTGTCTACGTTGAGTGCGGGCTGCCCAGCCCCACCAGTGTGCTCTGCTCTGTCCCTTAAGCAGTGCAGGTGCCCTGCCCTTGTTTTGCAAATGTGCTGGTCATGTGGATTTGTTGGGCTTTGCTTTTATTTACAGTGTTTCTGCTTCTTTATTTCAAATGTTTCCTTGGTAAAAATTTCTAATTCTCTTTTTATCCACCTACACTTATTCCCCCTACATATGTTATTTTTTTTAAAAGATTTATTTATTTATACATAAAAGTACTGGGGTACAGGCCAGAGGTGTGGGGGTGTGTGAGAGAGGATTCACCAGAGACAGAGTCGGCAACAGAACAGGCAGATAGACTGAAGTACACTGCTGAGGGGAGCAGCAGGGAGACAGGAGAAGTCTGCTGCGCCATGTGGGTAGCTCCTTGGCCGGGGATCGAACCTGTGCTGCAGTGGCTGCAGCGAGCTTCATTGGTTTGCATCTTAACCCCTTGCGCCACCAGGGAGGCCCTCCCTCTACGTATTTTAAAGCCTTTGTGGTAGCTAGACATACGGTAGTTTCTGTGGTGTGCCTTGTCTCTAAGATTATCCAGACCCTCTGTGGGTCTGTCCACTTGTGCTCTGCCCTTGGTCGTGGTTTCTTTCTGAATTTCTCGCCGGGGTGTTTGTTTTAAGCCTGCATTGACATAAGAGGAGCCACCAGAGACTGTTACTCCTGCTGCTCCTGCTTCCCAGGGGAATGGGCCACTAAGCCTGACTCTCTGACTTTTTTCTGTGCCAACTTTGGTTATTTTATTTATAGATGTATTTATGCATGCAAGAGCTAGGGTATAGGCCAGAGGTGCAGGGAATGAGAGGATTTACCAGCGACAGAGTGGGGAGCAGAACAGGCAGATCTACTGAAATACACTGCTGAGGGGAGCAGTGGGGAGACAGGAGAGGTCTGCTGCGCCGTGTGGGTCAGCTCCCTGCATCCCCAGGGAGGCCCCTGTTGTTTTAATTTTAGTTTTACCGAAGTTGAAAAATAGTACGCGCTTTAAAGTAGAACAGAGAACAAGGCTCCTGGCTTGCCCCACTGGCTCTGCACCCTTCTCCCATCCTGCCCCCAGAATCGCAACTTCGGTCTGTTCATTTGTGGCCTCTGCCTTGAGCTTTCGCTCAGCAGCTCCAGTGACCTGGTCCCACGTACTGCTCCCTCTGGCTGGCAGGGGCTGAGAGGCCTGTCGTGCTCAGGCCTGACAGTGTGGCTTTGCCCACTTGGGCCCCAGCCCTCCCAGCCTGGCCTGGCGCTCACCCAGGGTGCTCTAGGCATCCTGGTCCTTCCTCTCCCTGGCTGCAGGCAGGGTTGGGGAGGGGGGGCTTGTTTCTTTCCTCCCACTCATTTCTTTTCCCCTCCTGTGGGGGCAGCTCCTGGGTTGGGGCGGGAGGTGGTGAGGGGGCTCTTGCTGTCCCCTTAATTTCCATGATCTCTCACTCTGCAGCTCCCCAGAGTGGGGCTCTTGTCCGCCCCTACCACCCGCTCCCTGCGGACCAGGCTACCAAGGGTGCCTCTGGTGTGGAGCCTCTGGCTTCACTCACTCCTGCCGACATTTCCTGGGATGAGGGATTTCTCCATGACCGCGACCCCTAAACTCGGGTCAGCCCCTCCTGACTGGGCTCGGAGTGCTCCAGGTGTCATGCGCCTCCTTCCTCCAGGGCAGGTGGCCACCCCACCTTGGGCCATCTGTGCTTTTATGGGCACCCTCCTCTTGAGGCCCCTTGGGGGCTCCTGCGCCGCTGCCATTGTCCCTCCTTGGCTCCGGCTGGGCCCGTGGCCTCCCCAGCGCCCTGCTCTCTGCCGTCTCTACTGGCTGTGTCGTCTCACGTTGCCCACAGCCTGCCCTGAGCAGCACCTGCTGGCTGTGGTGCCAGCATTGAGCACATGTTGTTGCAGGCGCTGCCATCGTTCAAGGACGTCGCCCTGGAGTTCGCCCGCGAAGAATGGCAGCTCCTGGATCCTGCACAGAAGCGCCTGTACAGGGACGTGACCCTGGAGAACTACCGCAACCTGCTGGCTGTGGGTGAGTGCCTCTGCCGGGTGCCCGGGCCTGGTCGGGTGGAGGACTCCGCTCCTGCAGGGGCCACACCCTCCTGCTTTCCCCTCCGCAGGGTATCATGGCACTATGCCTGAGCTCGTGTTCAAGCTGGAGCGAGGAGAGGAGCCGTGCGCCGGAGGGGCCAGCCAGAGCTGCATGGGTGGTGAGTGGGGTCCTGGGGGGCTCCGAGGGGCTGGGCATGGACTTGCTCAGGGGTCGGGCCCCTGCCCCCACTCACCTTCCTTTCTGGCCTATCCTGCCTCCACCTGTGTCCTGCCCTGCCCAGGCCACTTTGCCTTCAGCTTCAGCACGGCCTTCACGTCTCTCCGTGCTGGGACCACTGTGGGGAAGTCCGGGGCCTCCTGTCTTCCCACGGTGATCCCTGCTTCAGTGGGCACTTTTCCTGAGAGTTATGAGACAACCCAGTCTCGTTGTATGTGTGTGTGTGTGTGTTTATTTTATTTATTCATTTATTCATACAAGAGCTGGGGAGCAGGCTGTTGTGGGGGCGGGGGAGAGGACTCAACAGAGACAGAGTGGAGAGCAGAAGAGGCGAATCTACTGAAAACACTGCGGAGGGGAGCAGCGGGGTGGCAGGAGAGGTCTGCTGTGCAGTGTCGGTCAGCTCCCTGGCCGGGGATGGAACTCAGGCCTTAGGGGTGATAATGCCCTTACACTAGGCCACCAGGGAGGCCCCAAACTGACCTTTTAAAAGCCTGAGACAAATCAAGATCTTCTCTAATTAAAATTTTTTGGGTAAGATAAAAATGCTTTGTCATGATCTGGTATGATTGGGTTCCTGCCTATTTCTTTCCTTTGTTTTAATCAGCTTTTATTGGGGGTAATGTCAGTTTATGACAGCTTCAGGTGTGCAGCATTTCAATTCTGTCTGCAAACATCACATCCTGGCCACCATGAGAGTCCAATGTCCATTCATCACTGCACTGAGCCCCTTTCCATCTCAGCCACCCCCATCCCCACTTCCCCCAACCTGTTCTCTGTAGCTAAGTGTTTTTGGTTGTTTGGTCGTTTGATTTGTTTCCTTACATTCCGCGTTTAAGTCCCTCACCCAACTCAGCATGGCACTGTCACGACGGGGGCTTTTCTATTTCAAAACCATGTAGAGCTGGTTTTCCTTCTCAAGAACTTTGTTATTTCTTATGTTTGGGATGCTCCTGCCATTACTTATTTTTTTTTTTTTAGATTTCTTTATTTATACAAGCACTGGGCGCAGTCAGAAGCGCGGGAGGGTAAGAGAATTCGCCAGAGCGGGGAGCAGAACAGGCAGACTGACGAAGCAGACTGCTGAGGGGAGCAGCGGGCGGCAGGAGAGGTCTGCGCACCATGTGGGACCCTCGCCCAGCGGCCGGGGATCGAACCCACACTGCATAGGCTGCGGACAGCTTCGCAGCCCAGCACTCAACCGCTGCGCCACCGGGGAGGCCCTGCTGTTACTTTTTTTATGATTCACTCAACTCTCCTTTTTTTTTTTTTAAGATTTATTTATTTATACACGAACCGGGGTACAGGCCAGAGGCGCAGGAGGGTGAGAGGATTCACCAGAGACAGAGCGGGGAACAGAACAGGCAGACTGACGAAATACACTGTTGAGGGGAGCAGCAGGGAGACAGGAGCCGTCTGCTGCGCCATGTGGGACCCTCACTGGCAGGCCAGGATCAACCTGGCACTGCAGAGGCTACAGACAGCTTCACAGCGCTGCACTCAACTGCCTCCGCCACCAGGGGAGGCCCAACTCTTTTTTTTTTTCTTAAAGACTTTTTTTTTTTTTTAAAGCAGTGCGTTTTATTTTATTTTATTTTTTTGAAGTGGGGTACAGACCAGAGTTGGTTGGGGGTGAGAAGATTGACCAGAGAGAACAGGGAGCAGAACAGGCAGATGTACCAAAACACACTGCTGAGGGGAGCAGCGGAAAGACAGGAGAGGTCTGTTGCATCATGTGGGTTGCTCCCTGGCTGGTGGGGATTGAACTCGCACGGCAAAGCTGGCGGACAGCCTCACAGCGCTGCACTTGACCCCCTGCGCCACCAGGGAGGCCCCTCAACTCTCATTTTTAATGTTTTATTATATCCTAATTATTCTGTAAATTTAGTTTTTAAGTGAACCACAATAATAAAACATTTGGTCACTGGCGCCTCAGTACTGGCCAAAATTTTTTTTTTAATTGGCCAAATTTTTTAAACCTCTATTTTATTTGAATTAATTTTTAGTCAAAGAAATGTATGCATATGTAAGAAAAATCAAATGACTGTTAGCCTGGTAGTGAAAAAGAGCATTCCTCCCTGCCTTTTTGTTCTCCACCCCTGAGTTCTGGCCTCAGAGACTATCACTTTTTACCCTTCTTCTTGACCTCTCTTCAGAGTCTGATATGGGGCCTCCCTGGTGGCGCAGGGGTTAAAGACAAAACACTATCAAGCTATTGCCAGTCACTGTGGCCTGAGTTCATCCCTGCCAGGGAGCTCACCCACAGGGCGCAGCAGACCTCTCCTGTCTCCCTGCTGCTCCCCTCAGCGGTAGATTTCAGTGGATCCACCTGTTCTGCTCCCCACTGTTTCTGGTGAGTCCTATCACCCCCACGCCTCTGGCCTGCACCCCATTTCTTGTATGCATAAATAAATAAATCTTCTAAAAAAACCACATCCTGTTTTGATGATTGCTAAATCACTACCATTTGCCTAGTGGGACCTGCTTGCTTGGTTTGGGTCAGCCCCTGCTTAGGCACATGGCGCGTGCACCTGGCAGCACTTCTTTTGAACCAGTGTCACAGACCTTTTCCCAAAAGAAAAAGAGTGATTGCATGGCAGCCCTAAGACTTCAAATGTATCTGTTTGTTTCTAGAAGACTGGGGAGAATGGCAGCAGAAGAAGCCAGATGAACTGGAGAGCATTGAGAGAAGATACACTTGTAATGCATTCGGAAGACATCATCTGAGCAAAACCCACGCTTCCTCAAGACAAAGGTTGCAAAAGTGTAACAAACGTGGGAAAAGTTTGACACAAAACTCAGGTTCAATCAGAAACTATTTAAGAAAGCATCCTGATAAGTTTCGTGGATATGAAGAACCATATTTTCTAAAACATCAAAGAGCTTATAGTATAGAAAAAAACTGTGTGTGCAGTGAATGTGGGAAAGCTTTTCGCTGTAAATCACAGCTTATCGTACATCTCAGAATTCACACAGGAGAGAGACCATATGAATGTGCTAAATGCCAACGGGCCTTCAGTGCCAAGTCTAACCTCAACGCCCACCAGAGAGTGCACACGGGAGAAAAGCCCTACTCGTGCCGTGAGTGTGGGAAAGTCTTCTCCTTCAGGTCACAGCTCATCGTCCATCAGGAAGTTCACACGGGAGGGAAGCCTTACGGTTGTGGTGAGTGTGGGAAAGCCTACAGCTGGAAATCACAGCTTACATTACACCAGAGAAGTCACACAGGAGTAAAACCATATGAATGTGGTGAATGTGGGAAAGCCTTTAGTTTGAAGTCACCGTTCGTGGTGCACCAGAGGACTCATACCGGAGTGAAACCGCATAAGTGCAGTGAATGCGGAAAGGCCTTCCGGAGTAAGTCATACCTCCTTGTTCACATCCGAATGCACACAGGAGAGAAGCCCTATCAGTGCGGTGACTGTGGAAAAGCCTTCAATATGAAGACACAGCTTGTTGTACATCAGGGAATTCACACAGGAAATAACCCTTATCAATGTAGCGAATGTGGGAAAGCCTTCGGCAGGAAGGAACAGCTCACTGCACACCTCAGAGCTCACGCGGGAGAGAAACCCTATGGGTGCAGTGAGTGTGGAAAGGCCTTCAGCAGCAAGTCTTACCTCGTCATACACAGGAGAACACACACAGGAGAGAGACCCTATGAATGTAGTTTTTGTGAGAGAGCCTTTTGTGGAAAATCGCAGCTCATCATACATCAGAGAACTCATTCAACAGAGAAGCCCTACGAGTGCACCGAGTGTGAGAAGGCCTATCCCCGGAAGGCGTCACTTCAGATACACCAGAAAACTCACTCAGGAGAGAAGCCTTTTAAATGCAGTGAGTGTGGAAAGGCCTTCACTCAGAAGTCGTCTCTCAGCGAACATCAGAGAGTTCATACAGGAGAGAAGCCATGGAAGTGCTCCGAATGTGGGAAGTCCTTCTGTTGGAATTCAGGGCTTCGTATACATCGGAAAACTCACAAGTGAGAAGTCAGATCCCGAAGCATTCTCATGGACGTTGGTCCTCAGGAGGTTTCATGTGACGACGTGGAGACAATGAGCATGAAAATGCACTCATCAAGTAAGGCGCCTAAGAGGCAGACCAATCATTGGAGTGGGTGCATGAGCTCTCAGAAGAGTCACACAGATCTGTGCGGGCCGGAGAAGAGTGGATGATGGAGGACAGAACCTGTACCAAATAGTGTCGTTAGGAAGGTTCAATTCAGAACCTGTATTTATCCTTTTACTAAACCCATAGCAAAATGTGTTCTGTGGAGAGTCACATTCCAGATTTGAAACTGTTCCAGAGTGAAGAAAGTGTCAGTTGTAAGCAGTAGCCTTTTTCATGGTGGAGTGTGAAGTTTCTCTTGATGCGTAGATAAGTGGAATGGAACGCATTCTGAGGGTTATATTTGGTGTGACTTTCCTGAGTAACACTAAACAGCATTTTTAAAAATTTGGTATTTTATTTTTAATATAAATTACACATTTATTTGATAGTTTGTGGAATAACAGTCCCTGGTATTCTCCATGTTAAGTGGCAGTGCTGTCCCTCTGTCCCAGCAATCTCAGTGAAACAACATGACTTTTAGCAAATGAAAGGATGGCGTTCTCATTCTTTCCCTTGGCCTCCGCTGGCGTTTATTACAGACCTGCCCCGCAAGGGTCTGTGTAGCCGTCCAGGTCCTCGCTGATGGGTGACCGCCCGCCTCTGGCTCTCAGCATGTGTCCTGGGCCTTTCAGCTTGTTCTGTCCACAGACGCAGGTGAGTATCATGCCCACTCGGGTGCGGGCAACCTCTTTTCCCGGATCCTGAGCCTGTCATTCAGTCTAACGTCTGTCCCGGGATTGTGCTGAGTCTACCAGGTAGTACCTGCTGTCGTGGGTTCCTGAGATGCTGATACCGCTGCTTCGTGAGCCTGGTTTTCTGGCCTTATATGTGCTTCCTCACCTTTTCAGTAAAATACCTTTTCTGCTAATGTTAAGAAGTTTCTATTTCTTATAATCAGAAGGCTTTCATTGAAAAATTGTTTCTCGGAGCAGTGTGTAGGCAACAGACAGAGTAGGGTCTGAGACGAGAAGCAATAGCTTCTTATTCATATAGTAGCATGGGAGCTTTTTTTGTCCACGGTACAAAACAGCTTTTGTTCACCAAAGCCTTGTGGGCCCTGGTAAGATTCTGGGAGTGCTGACACACTATTGCCATAGCAGAATTTCAGATTTATGAGGAACGTGGGGCAGGAGACAGGACGGTTACTTCTGATCCTTTCGGCTCTTAGACACGACAATAGACTGAAGCCCTGAAATCTCAGCTGAAAGCAGAGTATTAAACTTAGCGGTGATCTCGGCATCACAGAAATAACTGGTAGCTGTAGTGTGGAGATAGTGGGACCCAAACAGTATATCTGACTTGCTTAAATTAAAAGTCATCCACCTCAGATACCCAGTAACCACGTATGCAGACAGGCCGTGAGGTGGAAAAAGCTGTTACTTCATAATTCAAGCAAGGCTGTCTGAGAGAATGATAAGCCTAACAAGTTCGGAAGTGGTGTGGTCTTCACTCTGCGTGTCAGCCATCGACAGACCACCACCCGAGGCAGCCTACAGCCTCTATTTATAAATCTTTTTTACATTTGTAAGAAGTTTTTACATTTTTAAGAAGTTGAAAATGGCCAAAACTATTTCATTGAAATTAGTTAAAAAAATGATCCTGAGCCTGTCATTCAGTCTAACGTGAATCAAGGGAAATGTGGCAACTCATTGACTCCTGTCCCGGGATTGTGCTGAGTCTACCAGGGAGTACCTGCTGTCGTGGGTTCCTGAGATGCCGATGTCATTGTCCACTTTTGTACAATATTTTATTTCTCCCCTTGGGTGTAGTCCCTACAGTTCCCCCACCACCACCACATCACCAGTGAACCAGCTCCATAGTCCCTTGCGCTCTTTGCTCCCATTTTAATCTCTCCCCTCCCCTGCTGTATGCCTCAGATCTATAGTTGAGTTTTGGTGGTCATGCTAGAGTTTTAATGGAACCCAGCCAGCTGTAACGGTTTCTCTGCTGTTTAGCTGCTTGTGCACTACAGTGGTGATAAGCTGGTGTGTGAACACTGTTACCCACGAGACCTCCCAACTCCGGGTCTGGAGCCTCTTCCCAAGTGGGTCAGGCCTGGAGGAGGACAATTCTGCTGCTACCCTCCACCTCACCTTTGCTGATTTATGACTGCAGAGAAATCCTCATGAGAACACTGAGGATTAGTAAGATATAAAAACTTCTGACACTTAGAAAGATGACTTTTAAGGGTGGTCAGTCAATGACAGTCTACTTACTTTGCTAGCACCAGAAGCAGTTACTGTTATAGAAGTTAGCGCACTGGCTGATGCAAGATTAGAGAGTGCTGACCCATGACACAGGAAGGGCAGGAGTCAGACTGTGGTGCGCAGAAGGAAGGCCTTGAGTGCTTTGTGACGCCAGCCGACCTGGATCTGTGGCGTGTTCCCAAAACCGAACCCCTTCCACACAGTGCAGAGAAGTGTTAGTGAAGTTAGCAGCTGTTCTTCCCAGACTGGAAATGTGAGCAGAAGCAGCTGTACTGCATATCCATCACCTGTGTGCTTGGAGACTGCTGTTTAGTCACAAGACTGGTCACAAGATTGGCCTTTAACTAGACTGGGTTGGTTTGGTTAACACTCGGAAACCAGGGTTGATTTGGTGATCAGGCCTCCAATCAATTTATAGATGCAAGCTCTTTTAGAATGAATTCACCCCATTAAAGATTTCATATGTATTTATTTAAAAAAAATTATACAAGAACAGGGGTACAGGCCAGATGTGCGGGAGGGTGAGCAGATTCATCAGAAACAGCGGGGAACAGAACAGACAGACTGGCTGAAATATACTGCTGAGAGGAGCAGCGGATGAGACAGGAGAGATCTGCCATGCCATGTGGGTTTCTCCCCGGCCGGCCCGGATTGAACCTGCACTGCAGAGGCTGCGGACAGCTGCTCAGCGCTGCGGTCAACCACCTGCACCATCAGGGAGGCCCTTCATATGTATTTGAAACCAAAAATCTGATGCAATAGGAACTGAGTCATGGCCCCATGTACTGCAAATAAAGTGTTCTTCGAATTAACTTCAGGCCCTAACCTGTCACCTTGAGGGTGACTGAGAACAAACCCCTCGTGGCTGAGGAACACTGCCTCTGACCCTGTCATGGTCAGGTACTGCTGCTGTGGCGCGAAGGACCTCAGTGGCGTGGCGATCCAAGGCCAGCTCATGAGTCTTGAGGGCTCTGGAATCTCATGTCTTTATTTCACACACATGGCTAGTACAGCAGCACCTTGCCAGTCTGTACCCGCCTCAGTGCAGAGCCCACTAACCCTCAGAGGGCAAGACCTATCATGTCCAGGGATACTTAGTTTGCAGACCACACTTGAGGTAGCTGTGGTCTTCCCCTTAAGCTGTAACTGAAGGGGAAGTGTGGGAAGGCAGGAGGAAGGACAAGGAAAAAAGTATTCAAAGAAGCATGGCTGAAAACTTACGAATTTAATTACAAGCTTCTGTCTACACATTGAAGCAGCTCAGTGGACTCCAAAGAGACCCACTGACAAAAGCATCCCATAAAAATGCTGAAATGCAAAGACCAGGAGAAAATTTTGAGGACGAAAACAAGAACAGGCCTGCGAAAGCCTCCACATTAGCAGCTGAGCTCATCAGAAACAGTGGCCCATCAAGCAGTGGAGGAACCTACTCCTGGGGGGAAAAAGTAAACCAGAAGTCCTCTGGCAAAGCTTTGTTTTAATGTGGGTGAAATAAAAAGCATTTCCACATGAAAAGTGAGACTTTGTTGCTAATAGACCTGCCTCTCAAGGAGACCAGGAAGTTCTTCATGCAGAGGGAGTAACCCCTAGTGGTAACTTGATTTTTATGGGAAGGAAAGAAGTACCAGTAAAGCTAATTATAATGACACAAATACATCATTGCCTTTTTTAAGTGATTTAAAAGGCAATTATATAAAATAATGCATTGTTTGGTCTGTGACATGTAGAAATGGAACACTTGCCAACAGTACAATGAAGGCATAGCTTGGGAGCAAAACTGCTAGGCTAAGGAGAAGACCACCCAGGGCTGCTGGGAGCCACAGAAACCAGAGAGCCAAAGTGGGAAATAGGTTGGTATAATAAAATCTATAAAAATATACTTCCTCCCTGGGCCTCCCCTGGTGGTGCAGCCATTGAGCGCTGGGCTGCGGGGCTGCCCGCAGCCTCTGCAGCACAGGTTCGTTCCCCGGCCCCCGGCTAGGGTCCCACCAAAAAAAAAAAAAAAAAAAAAAACAAAACAAACTTCCTCCCAGGGCCTCCCCTGCTGACGTAGGCAGTTAAGCGCTGTGCTGTGAAGCTGTCCACGGCCTCTGCAGCGCCAGTTCAATCCCGGCTGGCCGGCAAGGGTCCCACGTGGCACAGCAGATCTGTCACGCCTGCTGCTCCCCTCAGCAGTGTATTTCCTCACTCTGCCTGTTCTGTTTCTTGCTCTGTCTCTGGTGGTTCCCCTCATCCTCCCGCGCATCTAGCCTGTACCCCAGTTCTTGTATAAATAAATAAATCTTAAAAAAAAAATACACTTTCTCCCAGTTCTCTCAGTGAAACTAACTCTGTACTCTTGGGCTTGTGACAGGTGTGATACATGTGTGAGTGGTTTTGTGCTGTGGGGTTGTGGTCACATGTAAGTGTGGTAAGCTCTACAGCACCACTAAGGAAGTAGCAATTCACCTCACAACTGGTGGTGAGTGCACCCTGTGGTCTCACCAGACAACCATGGGCTGTTAACAATGATCAACCACTACAAAGAAATGTTAATTATGTAACTAGTAAGTGCTAATCGCTACAGTGGCAACTGTTTTAATATATAAATGGATACATTTAACCTGTACAAGTCAAATTTCAGTTATATTTCAACTTTTAAAGTGGTGAAAAAACTAAAAAAACCAAAATGCTATGTTAGAAAGTACTCACGGCAGAAAGTGGCAGTAAAGCAGGACTATAGAAACCAAAAATATAAGACAGAAGAAACCAGGAAAACAGCAGGTGTAAACCCAGCTATGTCAGTGGAGTGTGCATGCCCTGACCCCTCACAAAGACTAATCCTAGTGGGCCAGGGCCCCAGGCTTATGACCTCAGTTACCCTAATTTTCTTGGATCCCACATCTTCATATACAGCCAGACTAAAGGTTAGTACTTTGTCACGAATTTGGGGGAGACAGACATTGAGTCCATAGCATGAGAAGTGGCCATAAAAAAAATGCAGTAGAAAAAAACTTGCCTTAATGTTAGCAATAGGGACGCCAAGCTACTTAGGAATACATCTACACTGCTGAATATAAAATGAGGACGATCTAAGGATGCATCTTTCAAAGACATTAAGCTAAGGATTTACTAATAAAATGGCAATGCAATGAAAGTTCATAAAATGAAAAGATACGCAATATTGGAGTAAATAAAATAGCTTACAAAATATAAATTTAATACAATTCCAATCAAAACAATTTTTTCTTGCAGTGTGACATTCTATCATACATGAAAGCGTACAGGTCTCAAACTATCAAAGGGGAAGAAAAAAACCCTCTACGGCCTGAGTTCTATCCCCCGCCGGGGAGCTGACCCATGGGGTGCAGCAGACCTGTCTTCCGCTGCTCCCCTCAGCAGTATGTTTCAGTGAATCTGCCTGTTCTTCTCCCCACTCTGGTAAATCCTCTCATCCCCCACACATCTGGCCTATACCCCAGTTCTTGTAGCATAAATAAAAAAAAAAAATCTTTCTAAAAAAAGATCGAGGCACAACCCAAAGTGAGCACGGACAGCAGCTATCCCGTAGGGAGGGGATGACCCTAATGACCAGAGATGGAAGAGACACTGACGTGATGATCCCAGTGCTGGAAGTTGGGGGGGGGGGCGGGCAGCTGAGATAGGACAAGTTCAGTTGTCAGTTAAACAGCAGCCTCTTTGCAGAGACCGGTAGACGCGCCAAAGGCAAGGACAATAGGACCCTGGCTGCGCTGAGAGGCGCACGGAGTCGAACGGGTCCTGATACGAGGCCTCCGAGCCTGCATAAATGCTGGCACCAGCGCGAGGAGACTCGAGGTGGTTGTGGGCTTCATGCCCTAAACCCCCAAGCTGCCTCCAGAGTTGGTGAGAGCGACCAGGAGGAGCCCAGCTCTGGGGCTGCAGCTCGCCCCGGACATCGGCCCCAGGGGTCTCCCGGCTGGAAGCAGTTCCTCCCCTTACCCTGTTTTATTATCGACTGGTGCGCTCACCCCGATCCCCCAGTCCCAGGAGATCCCGCACACCGGGCGGCAGGAGCTGAGAGGAAGCCTCCGAGGCTGGGTTTGTCCCGAGGCCTTGCAGGCGGCCCTCAGGGGCCGCAGAGCCCAAGGGCCGGGAGTCCGGCCGACTTCACCCGGGCCGCGAGCCACGTGCGGGGGGCCCCCCTGCGGGGAAACGCTGCGGCTGTGCATTTGGCCCGAGTCCCAGGCGCACTCCCCGACTTCAGCTCCCACGCCAGTGCGGGTTCAGCACACCTGGGGTTCGGGAATGTTTCCCCGCAGGGAACCACTCGGCACCCCTGCGCGGACACAGCCCGCTCCAGACGGACGGAGCCGCTCGCGTCAGGACAAAACGCCAGGGCCAGACGACAGCGACCCTTGGCGACGCCGGGAGGGCGGGTTTCTCCACAGGCCCCCCGGGAGGAAGCGCGCGGGGCTCGGGCGAGCTCCACCCCGCGAGCCCCGCACAGGGGCGGACCCCGGAAGCCGGGCGCGACGCGGGACCTGGCGCGCGGGAACCGGCGGCGCAGAGACCTCCGCCGCGCGCCGCCCCGCGCCCGCGTCTCCAAGCCGGTGCGCGTTCACCCCCGGGCGCTCCTGCGCCGTCAGGCGGCGGCTGGGGGGGCGGCGGCCGGGAGGGGGGAGAGGGGCGGCGGGGGCGCGGGGCGCGCGGGCCTGTCCCGGCGGCCCGCCCCCGCGGTCAAGCCCCCGCCGCGCTGGCGCGAGCGCGGCCCTCGGGCCGGTGGGACGCGACGAGCCCGCCCCGCCGCGGCCCCAGCTCCCGGCCGGGAACGCCTGTAGCCGGCTCCGCGCGGCCCGGTCCGGTTCGCGCTGCTGGGCGGGCCCGGCGGGTGCGTGGACACGACCCCGCCCGCGCCCGCCCCGCCCCGCCCCGCCGAGCGCGCCCCGCGCTCCCGCTTCCGGCGGCGACGCCGACGCGCCGCGGGGCCTCCTGGGACACGTAGTGCGGCGGCGCCTCCCGCGCACGCGCGCTGGCGCGGCCGCCGCCGCGGCTCTTTGTCCTTCGCCGCCACGTGCCGTGCGCGCAGCCCGCCCGGAGGCCAAGGCGGGCGGCTCACGTGGCCGCGGTCCGGTGCGTCCGACGGCGAAGCCGCGGGGTCGGTGGCGCGCTGATGGCGGCCGGCGGCGCGGGCGCGCGGACCCCGGGGGCGTCCGGGGCGAGGCGGGGCGGGGGGCGTCTCGCGGGGGCGGGGCGGGCGTCTCGCGGGGGCGGGGCGTCTCCGCGGGGGCGGGGCGGGGCGGGGGGCGTCTCCGCGGGGGCGGGGCGGGGCGTCTCGCGGGGGCGGGGCGGGGCGGGGCTGCGCGAGCGCCTGGGCCCGGACCCTGCCCGGCCTCCCCGCTGGCTTCGCCGCGGCCCCGCGGCCTCCTCCAGGACCCGTCCCGGCGTCTCCCCGGGGCGAGCCCCGCCCTTCCCGGGGCGCCCGCGCCGCCGCCGCGCGCTCAGGGCCGGGCCGGGCCGGGCCGGGTGGGCCGAGGGCCGGGCCCCCGCGCAGCCCGGGCGGCCGGCCCGCGGCTCTTTCCCTGGGGCGGCCGTGCCCGTCGCCGCGGGGTCGGCGCCCGGGACCCACCTCGCGACGCCCGCCGGGAAGAGTCGCGGCCGCGGCGCCCCGCCGCCCGGGACGCGCCTTCCGGGCCCGCGGTCGACGCGGCTCCGGTGCCGGTGGCGCCTGCGGGCCGCTCCGGGCGAACAGTCCTTCTTCCTTCGCGCCGTCTCCGGCCGCGGGCGGGCGGCGGGCGCGGGGCCGCCCTCGCCGTCGCGGCGCCGGCGGGCGCAGCCCGGGCCGCGGCGCCTCGCGACGTCTCTCCAGACCCGCCCGTGCGGGGCCGTCGGGGCGTGTCCTCACCGGCCGAGCGGGAGCCCCACACCCGCCGGCCCGGGCCCTGACCTCTCGCGAGTCGCGCCTGGTCGGCCTGGGCCTGGTTCCGCCCGCGCGACACCCTCGGCCCGGGGGCTGCGCGGAGGCCGTGCCGGCCCCAGAGCCGGGGTCGCGGGCGCGCGGGGCCGGCCGGGGCGGGCCGGGGCGGGCGGGGGGCGGGGGGCGGGGCGGGGGCCGAGCCGCGCGAGCGCGCGCAGCTGCTCCTCCTCCCGACCCGTCTCCTAAACTTTTCAGACGCGGACGCGGGCGGCAGCCACGGGGCGGTGCCGACGGCTCCCCTTCTTTTTGACGGTAAGTGGCGGGGTGACAGGATTAGGCCACCGCGCTAGGCTGGAAGCGACGAGCTGAAAACATGCCGGAGGCTGCGCAGGCCGAGGGGGGCGCGGGCTCCGCCGCAGCCGCCCCAGGGCCCTGCCCGAGCGCCGGGCGCAGAGCGGGGCCTCGTCTGCGCCGTCCGCGGCCAGCCTCGGCGGCGAGAGGCGCTGGCCCTCGCCCGGGGTCTCGCCCGCTGCGCTCCGGCCCGTGGCCTCAGATGCTCGCTGAGCCCCGCCTCGGGCCGCCGAGCGACCCATCGCGAAAGTGTCTGCACAGGGAAGTGGTTTGAATGATAAATGAAGTTTTATCCTTCATTTTCTTGAGTTTTTATTATGGGAATGTCTGTTGAAGGCACTTTTCAGAATCGCAGCCTGTGCGCGCCTGTTGCTGTCAACTGTTGTTGTAGTTGATTTTTTTTTAACCAAAGAGGTTTGCGTTAAAAATTGTTACATTTGTTATGTGTAGGGAAATTTTCCCCCAAATTATATGAATACTCATTTGCATTTTCTATAGCCATTATTGTGTTTTGTTTCTTATTTAATTTGTTTTTTTTAAAAATTTATTTATTTATTAACATAAGCACTGGGTACAGTCAGAAGCACGGGAGGGTGAGAGAATCCACCAGAGGCAGAGTGAGGAGCTGAACAGGCAGACTGACGAAATACACTGCTGAGGGGATCAGCGGGAGCTGCAGGAGAGGTCTGCGCGCCATGTGGGACCCTCGCCCTGCGGCTGGGGATCGAATTGGCTTTGCAGAGGAGGCGGGCAGCTTCGCAGCCCAGCACTCAACCGCTGCACCACCGGAGGCCCTTGTTTCTTACTTAATTTGAATTCATCTGGATAATTTGTGGTAATGTGTGAAGTAAATGAATAGCTTTATTTTTTTCCCCAAATGTTAATCATTTCTATTCATTAAGTAATAATGGCCACCAGTTTTGCTCTGATCTTGGAAATGCCATATTTATTCCATTCTGAATTCTCAGGTATCAGACCATTATACTTTATTCATTTCTGTGCCATTTAGATCTGTTCTTAAGTATTTTTTGATTATTGTAATTTTCTGACACATTGGTGTTTTGTGGACCTATTCACTTCTTGTTTTGTGTTACTAAAGTGTCCAGGATGTTCCCGAACCTTTTTTCCCCCCAGTGAACTTGAGAATTGCTTGTTAAAGAAGAACTTTGAGATTATGGTTGGAATTGACTAAATATATGAATCCTTTGGGGCTAAATTGCTTTTACGGTGTAAACTCTTCCTATTCTAGAACAAGGGCTGGCTAGGCATGTGTGGAGTTGTTGGGTTTTTTTGTTTTTTTTTTTAAGATTTATTTATTTATGCGTGTGGGTGAGCTCCCTGGCTGGCGGGGAATCCAACTCGTGCTGCAGTGGCTGGTGAGAGCTTGACGGGGCTGTCTTTAACCCTGTGCCACCACGGAGGCCCAATGTAGAGTCTATTTTATGCGCCTCATTGGTGGTTTTACTTTCTTTCATATGGGTCTTGTATATTTTTTATCAAACGTATTCTTGCACATTTTATGTATATCTCCCTTTTTTTTTTTTTTGACTCACCGCCACATATATCTTCCTTTTTTAAGATTTTGTCTTTTGAATGTTTGGTGTTTTTTTTTTTTTAAAGATTTATTTATTGAGCCTCCCTGTGGTGCAGCGGTTGAGTGCTGAATTGCGGGGCTGCCCGCAGCCTCTGCAGTGCCGGTTCGATCCCCGGCTGCTCCCCGGCCTCCCAGGAGGGTCCCACGTGGCGCGCAGACCTCTCCTGCCGCCCGCTGCTCCCCTCAGCAGTGTACTTCGGTCCTTCTGCCTGCTCTGCTCCCCGCTCTGGCTCTGGTGAATTTTCTCACCCTCCCGCGCTTTTTTTTTTTTTTTTTAAATAGAGGCATGTTTTATTTATTTATTTGTTTGGTTGGTTGGTTTATACATGCACTGGGTACAGTCAGAAGCGCGGGAGGAGGAGAGGTCTGCGCGCCATGTGGGACCCTCCTCTGGTGGCCCAGGAGCAGCCGGGGATCGAACCGGCGCCGCAGAGGCTGTGGGCAGCTTCGCAACCCAGCGCTCAACCGCTGCACCACCGGGGAGGCCCTCCCGCGCATCTGACTGTACCCAGTGCTTGTATAAATAAATAAATAAATCTTAAAAAAAAATTATCTTATACAAGAACTGGAGTGCAGGTCAGAAGCGCTGGAGGGTGAGAGAATTCACCAGAGTCAGAGTGGGGAGCAGAACAGGCAGACCGAGTGAAGATACTGCTAAGGGGAGCAGCGAGCAAGACAGGAAAGGTCTGCAGTGCTGTGTGGGAATCTCCCTGGCTGGCCGGGAATCAAACCGGCACTGCAGAGGCTGCGGACAGCTTCACAGCGCTGCGCTCAACCCACTGTGCCACCAGGGAGGTCCGTTTTTAAATATTTTGTGTAAGAAAGCTGTTGATATTATAGGACTATGCTTATTGCCTTGGGAAGATGGTCTGTACATAGTGAGGAAAAAGCAAACAGTTTTTAAATGTGAACATGTGCTTAATTTTTGTTAAAATTCTCAAATAGTTTCCACCATTTTTAAACATGATTATCTGTGGTGTGATGATGTCATAGGTAGTAATAGTTTCTTACTTGAATATGTTTATGAAATTTGCCTTCATATTTTAGTTTTGTAGTAAAAACTTGGCTAATTTTTGTTTTGTGCTGACATACGTCACACAGTTCTCCAAAATTATATCTGCCTAAAATGGAAACACACCTTATGGAGCCTGTTAGAGTATTTTCCACACTTCAGACCAACAGGGAGCACTGTTTGGATCCCAGAATCCCTGAACATCTGACAGTTTCCACCTGTTTGCAGAGCCTGCCCTCTGCTCTTGGTTTAGGCTGGGTCCTGCCTGCCCCTCACAGCTCCTTTTCAGTTTTAGGGAAAACATTCTCAGGCCTTGGGTGATCGTGTACTCCTGGTTCCTAGAAAGAGAGGGAAGGATTTACGTGTAATGTGAACAAACCCGTTGACGTGTGTCTGTTAAGTCTGCAGATCCTCGATCCCACAAGTAAACCTGCTTATGTGACGTAAGAAAGGGGTTTCTGGAGCCAGATACTCATTCTCGGTGTGAAAGGCCTGGCCAAGACCCTCGGGGCCGAGGAAGAGCGCAGGGTAGAGCAGATCTCAGATGTTACAACCGTCTTGAACAGGCAACAGAAAATGATGGCATCACAGGTGAGTCAGCAGCTTATTCGTCGTTGCTTAGCCAGCAGGTTGGAGAGGGGGTGAGACTCGCTGAGAAGGAAAAGTGTAAATAGTTTAGCAATTGGGAAAACAGCCTTAGAATAGAAGATAGGAATTGGGATGAAATTGCAGCAGTGATGTATCAGCTACAGGGCTTTGAGAAGTTCTTAGGGCTGGTTTTGAAGACGTGGTGTCCTATATCATCACTGACGTTGGGTTGCCAGCTTGGTTCTTGGAGCCATAGGAAAAAGCCAGCTCGTTGCTTAGAGGTGTGACTGTTTCCTGCTTGGTAGGTACTTGTTCTTTTCTTTGGTGAAGACTTTAAGTAAATTGTATAGGGGGTAATGTCCTCAGGAGAAATGTAATAAATACTAGACCTTCTGGCTATTGTTCACAGTATTCTTCAGAGAGACCCAAGGGAAAGTGTCAGAGCAGAGCTGTGTGACCAGGATTGCTAAATGTGTTTATCTCTGTGATTGTGAAGCGTAATTCACATCCAGAAAAGTGCGTAAAATGCTTTGGGTACTTTTTTAAAGACTTTTTTTTTTTTTTTTTTTTGCATACAAGAACTGGGGTGCAGGCTAGAGGTGCAGTGCGGGGAGGGTAAGAAGATTCAGTGGAGACAGAGTGGGGAGCAGAACAGGCAGATCCACTGAAAACCACTGCTGAGGGGAGCAGCGGGGAGACAGGAGAGGCCTGCTGCACCGTGTGGGCTGCTTCTGGCCGGGGGTTGTTGAACTTGTGCTGCAGAGGCTGCCGATAGCTTTGTTAGGGGAACAGGATGTCCCGAGCGAACTCCATACAGGCTTTGTGGACTGCACCCCCACTCCATCAAGACACTGGGAATTACAAATCCTGTGATACCCAAAGGGAGGTTGTGAGGACCTGAGGGTGGAGTTAAGCAGCTAGGTTCTCTGTTTGAGTATTTAACTGGCCGTGTGGCGGGGGCCGCCCTCTTAGCCACGAGGCGTGCTTGGTTTTTTGCCAGCTCGGCGGGTCATTGGGATTCCAGGTCAGCGGAACGGGTAGGACACATTTCGAACTTTTTCCCTCTTTTCTCCCTGAATTATTCATTTCTCCAGTTCCCCTTCCCTCGTAAATAAGCCTTTTATCAACCTCTTGTGTGTGTCTGCAGTTTAGCATTGATAAGTTCCCTTTAAGCACGCGGGTGAGGCCCCACAGTCAGGCAACCGTTTTATATCAGGGTTGCCCTGTAACAGCTTCACAGTGCTGAGACTAACCCCTACACCACCAGGAAGGCCCTGAAATCTAGATGTTTTTTAAAATCTTAAACATGCTTTTTTAGAAGCTCTTTGCTCTTTCTGCTGTGGACAGTTCCTGCTGAGCGGGTGCTCCCCCCAGATGCGCTTCGGCGTGTCTGTCAGGATGGTTGTGTTTCTATCTGTTAGCGCAGCGACTGGCCCTGGTTTAAGAAAGTGTCTGTCAGACCAGCCTCAGGTGTCCAGGGTACCCACCAGCCTGACCTTGCCCTGGTTTCTCCTCTTGACATTGCTCAGCCTGGTTTGAAGACGTTGCTTAGGGTTTCAGGTGACCCTGGCGTTCCCTGTCTTGGGACGTCCTTGTTGGGTTCACTGTCCTGATCACGCCAAGCTCGGGCTGTATTCTTGCCTCTGGTATCTGGTCAGGATTTACCAGGAGATACTGCGTAATAAGTGTTTACAGAATCAGTTGGTAAAGCCGATTTTTGGTGGGATCTCAGCTTAGGGAACCAGCGTTCCCCGAGGACGAGTGCGCGGTGTTCGGAGTCCTTCGTGGGTAAAGGCCATCAGCGGTGCAGCTGCAGAGACCAGCCCCGCAAGTGTCCTCAGCGCCCCCGCCGCCTGCGTGGAGTAAGGAAGGGCGCCTGGCTGGGTCTGACTCTGCTGTCCCGGGCCCTTCGGCCTCGCCGAGTGTGCTCGCTCGCTGGGGCTGCTCCCACGCAGCTTGGGCAGGAGGTGGCCTCGGGGTGTCCTTGCTCCAGGCTGCTCTACCTGGCACACGGCTCTGGCGGCAGCTCCCACGCTGAGCACAACGCCAGGCGCAGGGACCTGGTCCCCAGGCACCGCCAGCGGCCCCCGGGCTGCCCGCCGGTGTCCTCTCCTCGTGCTGGGACGGCTCCCGGCAGGGCTGTGGGCGTCGGCGTCCCTTCGAGACGTGCGACGTGGCTCTTCCGTGTGTCTCCAGCGTCTGGTCGCAGCCCCTCCCGCTGCCGGGGTCACTGTGGCCGCGTGTGCACCTCCTGCCCCCGCTTCTCAAGACTCTGCTGCCCCGTGGCCTTTCCCTCCCCAGGCTCTCAGGTCATGCCCTGGCCTTGCCCACGGTGTCCTGCGCGTCCCCCGATCGAGAGGCCTCTCCCTCTGCTGCACAGGCTGCGGCTGTGAACGGCGACCCCGGGGTCTGTTCCTCACTGGGCCTCCCTCAGGCCTGCGCAGGGGCTGTGCATTCCCCTTGTCTTGGGAGACGGGCCAGAGCTCCTCGTGCTCTCACGTCCCGAAGCCTCTGAACCGAGTCTGGCTGCGTCATTCCCGGCGTGACAGCGTGCGCGGCGGCTCCCCCCACCCTGTGTTTCTTCTGACTGAAGCGTCTGCACTGTTTGGGCCCTAGAATGTCTTGGTGCCCTTTTGTGAACGGAAATTTCCATTTCCTCAGCCTGGCGGCCTGGTGGGCGCTGAGGCCTCTGCGGGGCGCGTGCGCCTTCCCCGGTGTCGCCCGAGGCTCCGAGCGGGTCTTTGGTGACTCTGGGGTCTTGCAGCCACGCCCCATCACTTGCATCAGGCCTCAGGCTCAGGTGCCTGCCCTGTGGCTTTTGTCCCAGTCGTTGGTTGGGGGCTCGGCGGTCGGGGGGCTCGGGCGGTCAGGGGCGGCGGCTGGGGAGCTCAGCTCAGGGCTCTGCGTCCAGCAGCAGTGCCAGGCCCACGAGGCTCGTGCTCCTGCAGGCGTCCTTCACGTTTGAGGACTTGGCTGTGGACTTCACGGCGGAGGAGTGGCGGCTGCTGGGCCAGCGCCAGAAGGACCTTTACCGGGATGTTATGCTGGAGACCTACGGCAGCCTGGTGTCGCTTGGTAAGCACGGCTGCGCGCGCTGGGCCCAGGGTATCGCGTTTTGTCCTCAGCTGCAGGGGACTGTGCGGCTTCTGGATGCGCTAATGACCTTCAGCCTGACCTAAGGTGGTCACAGCTCTGGCCGTGACATGGCTTTGCCCCAAGGTGCAGCCTGTCGGCCTGCAGCCCCCAGCCCGGCCTTCACACAGATTTGTGGCCTGCAGGGACTTCTGTGTGGAAATTGAGGCAAAAAGAAATGAGTTTCCCAAGGATTGGCAGGTGGCAGGAGCTGGATTTGAGTCCCGTGGACGGACTCCCGAGTGTCTGAGCTGTGTGACCGTTTGGGACTTGACTCGTAGAAGCAAAGATCCCCAGACTCTGCTGGCTGCAGGGAGCCGTGGTTGTTCCTTGGAGAATTACCGACCGGCTTAGAACCCAAGGGGCAACTCTGATACAAAATCTGCTTGTTTCTCAGAGGCCCTGAGGCCCATGTGTCTGGGGCCAAGGCCTTGTGCTTTCCCCTGACCAGGGTACGAGGCGGTGAAGCCGGATGTCATCTCCAGGCTGGAGCAGGGAGCGGAGCCATGGGCAGGAGCTGGAGAAATGCCGGGGTCAGGCCCCTCTGGTGAGTTCAGGGGAGCCAGGGAAGTGGGGCAGTCCGAATTCCGTGTCCGCGGTCCGTGGGGTTGGCCTCTTTGAAGTGTGCATTGAGAGCTCTTTCCAGAACTTCTTAGCCTTCTTAGCCTTGGGTGGTGACTCTGGGATGGCCATGAGCTTTTCAGGTGAGGCGCAGACTGGCTCCTTCCTGGCTCTCTCCTGGCTTACTCCCTGCTCCCTCCCGGCTTGGGGGAGCATTGCAGGGGTGGGGCTGGAGCCCAGGGATTCTGCCTGTCTCACCAGGGTGGTAGCTTTTCCTTTGGTGTCTTGTCCTGAAAGCCCCCCCCTCTGATGGTCCAAGACTCCTCTGCTCGAGCCATCAGGAGGTTTGTTCTCTGCTCAGTTTGGGGTCGCCGCGACCCCCTGGTTTGGTCTCAGGAGGTGGCGCCCTCCCCTGTGCGGCAGCCATTTCTTAGGGTTTTGGCTCTCTGGAATGACTTGGCGGGCCTCCCCCTTGGGCGCCACTCAGGACTGTCTGGATCTGAGTCTTGCACCTGCTTCCCGGATTGCCAGTCCCGGGAGCCACCGTGAGTGTCGCCCTGACTCGCGGTGCCCACGTCCTGTCAACCTGCCGTGGTGGTGACTGAGCTCGGGTTCCCCAAGCAGGACGGAGGTCACTGCTCAGGTGTGGCGTGACAGAGGGGTGGGGTCAGGCGGGGCTGCGGGCAGTGCCGGGAAGGGTAGGCTGGGTGCCTCAGAGGCAGAGGCGGCTGCAGCCCTCATCCCCATCGCTCAGTGGAGACCAGGGAGTCCCGGGACAGCCCGGTTTCCCTGTTCCCAGGCCTCGCCAGAGCCCAAGAGCCACGTAGGGGGTGGGGGACCCTGCGGCTGCAGGTGTCCTCAGTGTCATCCGGGGTCTCGGCTGCATCTGCTACGGGCTTTGCTTTCTTCAGGGGCCTCCACGCTGGGGCCTGTGTGGCCTATTATTTGCTTTCCCCCCGAAGGTCGTGGTCACTTTCGTGTGAACGTTCCTTAGTATTTTCTCTGCATCTGATCTTCCGGTTGGGCTGCGATTTCTTCATCTAGAAATCTTGCTCCTTTCTGCACAAACTGCTCTCACTGTGGTCAAGTCCACAGAATGACCCCGCACTGCCCCAGCCTCTCTCCTCTTCCTGGGGCTCCATCCAGACCTCACCCGCGCTTTGAACGTTTCTCAGTTGCAGGCTCGCTGAGCCTGTCCGCGCGCTCCCGCGGTGTCTTCGCCTCGGTGGTGGCTGTCAGCACCTCTGCAGGCGCCGCCCGCGCAGGGTTCCAGCCGGGTGTGCCTGGTGGCTTGGGGCAGACTCCTGGGCCATCACCCCCTAACTCGGGAGGCGCCTGCGCGTGGGGTTGAGGTGTGGTTGCTCAAACTGGTGTTGTAATCGGAGAGATCACTCGCGACTTTCATTCTCCTTTATCAGTCAAACGCCAGCCACTTGCGTTTGGTGTTTCGTTCCCTGACGGATTGCTCCCCTCCCCTCCCCTGCGGGCAAGACGCCTCTGCTGTGCATTCAAAAATTTTTATTTTTCCCTCCATTTGGGTGTGTTATCCAGAGTGTGGCCCCGTGAAACCCAATTAAAAGTGACCTAAAAAGTAAGAGACCTAGAAAACGTCTCCGGGAGCCGGGTCTCAGGCAGGGCGGTGAGGCTTTCGCATCACATTGTTCTTCGTTCAGCGAAGTGGCCAGTGCTGTGCGGGGGCCCCCGGGGTACCCGCTGCACTTAAAGGGGGATGGCAGGACTGGGGGACACGGAACACACCTGTGCTAAGGGTTGTCACGGGGATGTGGACACGGCTGCATCCTGGGGCGCCCAGGCAGGTCTGGGGGGTCCGTGTGCAGGCTCCTTCCTTGAGGCCCACACAGAGCTGACTTTCCCAGCAGCAGAGGGACAGTGATGTGTGGGCTGTGTCTGCCCAGCGTGCCCAGCAGAGGCTCTGTGCCCGGGGCTTCACTGGGGCTGGTCACACTAGCACCTCTGCCCAGTGCCCACCGGCATCTCAGACGCGGGGAGCCCGGAGTGCCGCACACTCAGGGAGGGCGGGGTGGGACATTCCAAAGCCCAGGTTTCTGCATGACTGCGGGGTCACCCCGACAGCTGCCTTCCCTGTGCAGAGCAGTCTCAGGTCTTGTGCACACGCGTGTCTGGACAGATCGCTTTAACGCATCACAGAAAGTTACAGACTGGTTCCGTGTGCCTTTCGGATACTATGTTGGGTGCGCATTTTTCACAACAGTGAAAATTAGGGATGCATTACGTGTCTGCATAATGCTTTATTCTAGTTGGAGAATAAAAATGAACAAGTTAGCAAATAACCAAGATAAAATCTGGACCCTGACTGTACTGGTACAAACAAAATAGGTGGGATCTGACAGTTCCTTACCCAGCCTGCTGTGGTGACAGACTCTCCACCACAGACACGTCTCACAGTCCTGGAGGCAGGAAGGCCAGGATTAGGGAGTAGGCATGCGTGGGGCCTACAGTTCGCTCTTGCTGGTCGTTGGCCTCGGTGCCCTCTAGCTTTGCGTGGCCTCTCTCGCTTGTGCCTGCGTGGAGCATTGGGGGGCCCTTTGGTGTTTTCTTACAGCTGCATGAATTCTGTTGGAGTGGCCCTCAGCTGGGTGACTTGACTTACCCTGAGAGCCCATCTTCAAATCCCGCCACAAGGGCTCAGGGCTTCCACCTGTGAATGGAGGTGGGGAGATATATTCAGTCTGTAAGAATAACCTGAAGAAGCCAATCTTAAACATGGGGACTGAAATGAGCAAACTATGTGAAGAGCTGGGGGAAAGTTTCCTCCAAAGGAGTGCAAATAAGGATGGGCCAAGCCAGGAAAGTCTTTTTAACTTTGAGAAATAAAAAGGAAGCCTCTGTGTGCGGAGGCCATAGTGCCAAGGAGGGGAGCTGTCGGAGGGGGTGTGGGCCTGACTCACGGGCAACCTGTCAGCAGCTGGGTGGGGTTTCAGTTCAAACAGAGTGCTCCTCGTTCTTTAAGCTCCTCGTTCTTTAAGCAGCTTTAACCAGCTGCTCTGTCAGTTGGTAATTTTCTGTCCGAACCTGGTGATTTTCCTCATAATACTTACCGTGGTACACATCTGTACATTTGTATTTTGTGACATTTTTTATCTTTTCTACTAGAATGTAAGTTTAATAACGGCAGGGGCTTTTTTTCTTGTGTCTCTAACACCTCAGACTCTCTGGAACACTATTGAAGAGGTGTAGTGCTTCTTCCAACTTCTTTTCTTTGCTCCTCAATGCTCTTCTTGTTTTTTCACATTCTCTTCCCAATTCATAAATGTATTTTTAAATTTTATTGATGCTATAAGAACTGGGGTACAGGCCAGAGGTGCGGGGGTGAGAGGATTCAGCAGAGATAGAGCGGGGAACAGAACAGGTGGATTGACTGAAATACACTGCTGAGGGGAGCACTGGGGAGACAGGAGAGGTCTGCTGCGCCATGTGGGTAGCTCCCTGGCCAGCCGGTGGTCAAACTCAGGCCACAGTGGCTGCCGATAGCTTCATAGTGCTGAGACTTAACCCCTTGTGCCACCAGGGAGGTCCTATAAATGTATTTTTGTTAAAAACCAAAGGTGGCTTAATCTGTCATTTACCTGTTCCCCATTTCCAGCATCTATTCTTTTAGTATTTAGAGGATAGACATTTGGGACTTACTTCATATTCAGAAATTAATCGTTAGAAAAGCATTTATTTTCTCAAATAGCATTTCTAGTTTTTATTGTTTGCATAACCACAGGATTTACAAGTTTTTTTTTTCCTTTATAGAAGAAGCCTGGCAAGTAGATGGTCACATGATCTTGCACCAAGATGACCAAGAGATGCTTAAAAATATGAAAGGAGATCACGTGTGTGATGATTTTAGAAAAAGTTTCAATCCGAACCTGAGCTTTGTTCCTTTAAGGAAATCAAACAATGACAGTGATGTCGAAGGATTAATTTTAAAGCATCATTTAGATTTACTTACTCCAAAGGCAGATTATGGGAAAACAGAACCAGATAACTTGAATGTATTTGAAAAATTGTTTCTCCATGCCAAGCCTGAAGAAAGTGATACTTGGTTGAAATACTATAAGTGTGTTAAGTATGATACTGTTAGCTATAAGAAGTCACAGATCATCATATATCATCGAACTCGTCTAGGGGAGAAACTCCATGAATGCAGTGAATGTAGGAAATGCTTTAGTAAGAAATCAAGTCTCGTTAAGCATCAGAGCAAACATATAAGAGAGCTAGCCTATGGCTGTGGTAAATGTGGCAAAACCTTTCCCCAGAAGTCACAGTTTATTACACATCACAGAACTCATACAGGAGAGAAACCTTATGACTGCAACCAGTGTGGGAAGGCCTTCTCCCAAAAGTCACAACTCACATCCCATCAGAGGACACACACAGGAGAGAAACCCTATGAATGTGGTGAGTGTGGGAAAACCTTCTCCCGGAAGTCACATCTCATATCACATTGGAGGACACACACAGGAGAAAAGCCATATGGCTGTAATGAATGTGGGAGGGCCTTTAGTGAAAAGTCAAATCTCATTAACCACCAGAGAATCCATACAGGAGAGAAGCCTTTTGAATGCAGGGAATGTGGGAAAGCCTTCAGCAGGAAGTCACAGCTTGTTACACATCACAGGACTCACACAGGAACGAAACCGTATGGATGTAGTGATTGTAGAAAAGCCTTCTTTGAGAAGTCAGAGCTTATTAGACATCAGACAATTCATACTGGGGAAAAACCCTATGAATGCAGTGAGTGCAGGAAAGCCTTCAGAGAGAGGTCAAGCCTCATTAACCATCAGAGGACGCACACAGGGGAGAAACCACACGGATGCATTCAGTGCGGGAAAGCCTTCTCCCAGAAGTCACACCTCATATCGCATCAGATGACACACACCGGAGAGAAACCCTTTGTGTGCAGCAAATGTGGGAAGGCCTTCAGTAGAAAATCCCAGCTCGTTAGACATCAGAGAACTCATACAGGTGAAAAGCCCTATGAATGCAGTGAGTGTGGGAAAGCCTTCAGTGAGAAACTAAGCCTTACTAATCATCAGAGAATTCATACGGGAGAAAAACCCTACGTGTGCAGTGAGTGTGGGAAAGCCTTTTGTCAGAAGTCACATCTCATATCACATCAAAGGACACACACGGGAGAGAAACCCTATGAATGCAGTGCATGTGGGAAAGCCTTTGGTGAGAAATCAAGCCTTGCAACTCATCAGAGAACTCATACGGGAGAAAAACCCTATGAATGCAGAGACTGTGAAAAAGCCTTCTCCCAGAAGTCACAGCTCAATACTCACCAGAGAATTCACACAGGAGAGAAACCCTATGAATGCAGTCTTTGTAGGAAAGCCTTCTTCGAGAAGTCAGAGCTTGTTAGACATCAGAGAACTCATACGGGAGAAAAGCCTTATGAGTGCAGTGAGTGTAGAAAAGCCTTCCGGGAGAAGTCAAGTCTCATTAATCATCAGAGAATACATACAGGAGAGAGGCCGTTTGAATGTGGTCAGTGTGGCAAAGCCTTCTCTCGGAAATCACACCTCATACCACATCAGAGGACACACACAGGCGAGAAGCCCTATGCGTGCAGTGAATGTAGGAAGGCCTTCTCTCAGAAGTCACAGCTTGTTAATCATCAGAGGATTCACACAGGAGAGAAACCATATAAGTGCAACGAGTGTGGGAAAGCCTTCTCCCAGAAGTCACAGCTCATTAACCATCAGCGAACTCATGTGGTAAAGAAGTCCTTAGAAATGAAGTTAACATAAGTCTGTGATAGAGATTTTATTGTACTTCAGGATGTTGTGTTTGTGGTAAGTCTTTGAGAGAATAGTAACATCTGAGTAATCTGAGTAGTACTTTAGGGTAGGGCTCTCAATGAAGCTATATAGGGAACATTTTCAGCAGATAACGTGTTTATATAGCAGAGTCGAATGAGGCTTTGATCCACTGGTTTAAAAAAAGCCTTTCACACCATTGTTAGATCTTACTCTGTTTAAAGATAACAGCAAAGACAATACTGTGGATATCAGAATATCTCTCAGAGGTCAGATCTCATTAGCTCTTGGATAAACTAGCCCAGTGAGGGAGGGAGGGCAAACTCCTTGAATGCAACAAGTGAGGTCATATTTTCGTGAAGAAAGGGAAGCGCTGCACATATGAAAATCCCTTCAGGAATGAAATTCTATAAAAATACTTAATGGAGCAGTTTCAGCAAGTGATCTTCCCATGCTGTATTTTGGAGTATTCCCATTTGTGGACAAGTCCAACTGTAAAAATGTTGGATATATGTGCCCCTAGAAATAGCACCATAAAGGGGAGCCATATCCTTACAGATATGGGCACCAAAAATACCCAATTCCAAAAGGTTGACAGATTCACTTTGAAGTATGGACGTTTTTAGAAAGTGGGAATAAATTGAATCCCTGAAACATCTAAGTAAGAACGTTCTCAGTGGTGTTTATGGCTCCTTTTCTTGTACCACATTGTTTTCTATTTTGTAATTTCATGTGATAATTGGGAGCATGACATGCACATGCCTTACAGTGCCTCTGATGTCTGTCAGCATGCAACTCGTCACTGGTTTTCATTCTAACGCTGCTATACAAATGGTAACTGAAGCCAGATCTCCTTGCTAATTTAGTAACTTAGCTCCTAACACCACGTCTCTTTTTCCCTCATGGTTTGTTGGCATCTTAAAGGGTCTGTTTTTTACTGGCCTTTATCTTGAGTAACAGAACACAATATATAAAGTCTTCTGTGTCCTTGGAGCCCAAGAAATGGGTTATGTAAAACCCCGTCCATAGGTATTCAAAGAGAGGAACCATAGAGTAGTGATTCATGAGGCAAGTGAGCAAAAGGTTTGGAAGTGCGAACCCTTACCCAGCACTCGAGTGAAGTGTCAGTGGTGCGTGTCTCGGTGGGTGCCTCCCTGTCTAAGTGTCAGTGTGCGCGTATGAAGTGCTGCATGACGCACGTACAGCCTACCTCTTCATTTATTATGATGCGATATGGGTGCTGTGTGCTGCTGTTATGGTTTTGACATTTCATAAAATATCTTGTAAAAAATTACATGGAGAAATAAATTATTTAAATTACCATAGAAAATATAAAATACAGGGGGCCTCCCTGGTGGTGCAAGGGGTTAGGCTCCGCACTGTGAAGCAATCCACAGCCTCTGCCATGCGAGTTCGATTCCCGGCCGGCCAGGGAGCAATCCGCATGGCCCGTCAGACCTCTCCTGTCTTGCCTACTGCTCCCCTCAGCAGTGGATTTCAGTCAGTCTGCCTGTTCTGCTCCCCATTCTGCCTCTGGTGAATCCTCTCCCACATCTCTGGCCTGTACTCCAGCTCTCGTATGCATGAATAGATAAATCTTTAAAAAAAAAATGTAAAATACAGAAATTTTGTGGTGAGAAATACATTTTTGATGTATCCCAGGAAGCTTGTTTTGCCTTCATGAATTTCTGTGTTGACTACACCGGTATTAGGAGACAATATCTTTTTTTTTTTTTAAATATTTATTTACTTATTTGTTTATTTATTTGTGCAAGCACTGGGTACAGTCAGAGCCGCGTGAGGGTGAGAGGATTCACCAGAGCCAGAGCGGGGAGCAGAACAGGCAGACTGACAAAGTACACTGCTGAGGGGAGCAGTGGGCACAACCGGAGAAGTCTGCACGCCATGTGGGACCCTCACTGGTGGCCGGGGATCAAACCAGCGCTGCGGGAGCTTCACAGCCCAGCGCTCAACCGCTGCGCCACCAGGGGAGGCCCATACAATATCTTCTTTTGTCATGTAAAATATATTTCCATGTGGGAGTAGTCCCGTTGTGAACTTAGTATTTTGTAGTTATGTTTCCCTTTGGAAGTGCATGCCTGCCCCTACCCCGCCAAACGGGCACCTTGTAGTGAGCTCTCTGGTGAAGTCAACAGTATTTTTTGTATGATGAACGTCAGAAAAGTTTAAGATTAATCTTCTTTCTAAACTAGGAAAAGTCAAGACTTTTCTCATACACAAGCTGTCTTACCCGTGTGGTGTGTTTCACCTTTGATTCTGACAGCATTTTTTCTTCTACCCATTTTACATTATTATTGAGCAATTGGAACTTAAATATGAGTAAATTTACAAGCCAGTGCACCAGAATTTCAACAGCCAACTAATCCTGAATTTTCACATGATAATTAAGAGTTCAGTTTCCTGATGTTTTATATATACTCAAGATTTATATCCTGCTTAATACCTGAAAGTCATTTTACCAGACAAGGGAAAAAGACCTTTGTTAATGAGTTCATAGTTAGTGTAGTTCTAATCTGTGGTTTCCCCCCTTCCATATGTCATGATTCGCTGGCGGCCAGGGAACGAACCGGCGCTGCAGAGGCTGCGCGCAGCCTCCCGGCCAAGTGCTCAACCGCTGCGCCACCAGGAGAGGCCCTGTCATGATTCTCTTTTCTATTCCCAGAGATTAATCTGTTAAATTTTGAACTATGAAGTGTGTTTTGTAACAATTTTGTAATTTTGCTCACTTCTAGTTTATTCTGTTAATGCAGCTAAACCTTGTATTTCCTTCACTAGGTAATGGAGCCTCAGCACTAGTCTGTTGGTTGAACATTCCAGAGGTGGTGGGGGGGGGGAGTTATTTTCGTGTCAGTTTTTAAATTACCTTGGTAAACAAAAACATTTCTCCTCTAGCCTTGCTGGTGGCCCAGGGGTTACTCTCGGTGCTATCGCTGCTGCGGCCTGAGTTCAATCCCTGGCCAGGGAGTTGACTCACATGGCACAGCAGACCTCTCCTGTTGGGCCTGCTGCTCCCCCTCAGCATTGGGTTTCAGTGGATCCACCTGTTCTGCTCCCCACTCTCTGGTGAGTCCTCTCACTCCCCACCTCTGGCCTGCACCCCAGTTCTACGCAAATATTAAAAAATAAATTTAACTGAAAAAAAACCCACAACATTTCCCCTCATTGATTCCTTCCACAAACCCCAAATCAAGAAGAAAGCAGGTTCTAAAGTTACACTGCTTTGCTGTGCTTGCTTGGAGTACAGTCACGCTGAGCTAGGCTGTTGAAAGAGCCTTTTTTTTTTTTTTTTTTTAAAGATTTATATAAGAACTGGGGTACAGGCCAAATGCAGGGGAGGGTGAGAGGATTCACCAGAGACAGAGTGGGGAGCAGAACAGGCAGACTGACTGAAATACACTACTGAGGGGAGCAGCGGGCGCGAGAGGTGAGGTCTGCCCCACCATGTGGGTTGCTTTCCGGCCGGCTGGAATCGAACCAGCACTGCAGAGGCTACAGACAGCTTCACAGCGCAGCGCTCAATCACCTGCGCCACCAGGGAGACCCAAGAGCCTCTTTTTTTTTTTTTTTAAGATTTATTTACTTATACAAGAACTGGTGTACAGTCAGGGGTGCGGGAGGGTGAGAGAATTCACCACCAGAGACAGAGTGGGGAGCAGAACAGGCAGACTGACCGAAGACACTGCTGAGGGGAGCAGTGGGGAGACAGGAGAGGTCTGATGCACCATGTAGGTTGCTCCCAGTCAGGAATTGAACTGGTGCTGCAGAGGCTGCAGACAGCTTCACAGCGCAACGCTCAACCTGCTGCACCACAGGGGTGGCCCCCCCTTTTTTTTTTTTTAAAGATTTATGCACACAAGAGATTCAGTGCAGGCCAGAGGTGCGGGAGTGAGAGGACTCCCCAGACAGAGCAGGGAGCAGAACAGGCAGATCCACTGAAACCCACTGCCGAGAGGAGCAGCGGGAAGACAGGAGAGGTCTTCGGCACACTATGGGTAGCTCCCTGGCTGGGGTTGCACTCAGGCTGCAGATCACAGCACTGAGTCTCAATCCTTGCGCCACCAGGGAGGCCCCAAGAACCTTCTCTTATCTCACTGTGAGGCTCGTGCTCTGGCCTTGGACTCCAGCAGGTTCTGCAGTCACAGTTCCACCCACGGAAACGTGGGTTTTTGGAGGCTTGTCCTGACTTTGGGGCCTGTCCCGGGGGTGATGTGGAGCTTTTCATTGTGGGCCGTGAGGCCTCCTGACCAGCCTCTCTGCAGAGACCTGGATGGAGCTCTCATGCTTTGGGTCCGAGGACATCTCTGGAGAACCCTGAGCAGATCTCTGACTGCACCCGTGGGAGGAATACCACCCTGCAGGCACCTGGATGGACCCAGGCCTCGCTGGGTCATCCACCCCAGCATCCAAGCTCTGGCTGCTCGTTGCAGCATTGTGGCTGGCACCCAGCATCCCGCCCTGGCCCAACTGCTGCTCCGGAACCTCCCCGTTTCTCTGCAACCGCGTGCCTGCCTCTGCACCTGTCAAGCGCACTCTCTAAGTCAGTTTTTTACACTTGCAGTGTTTAAGAGGAGATTCTGATTACACCGTTGGTGGAGAACTGGTTCGCTGTGGGTTCAAGAAATAACGCGTGTGTGGACTTTGCACAAGTGCACGTGTCTCCATCAGCTTTGAACACTTCGCTCCGCAGTGTGGTGGTGGTGAACTACTTGCAGTAGTGAACTACTTGAATGTTGGTGAACTACTTGAATTTCCCACCACCTTTTGTCATCCAAGCTTTCCTGAGTCTGACCCTGAAATGCCTGTGTTCTGACTCGTGTCTGCCCGGCTGCCTCCGCCAGCGCTGGTTTGTCACCGTGGGCATGTGACCCCTGTGGGCTTTCGCTTCTCTGCCGGCTCCTGGCAGTGGCTCGTTTATATGATTCTAGCAGCTCGGGCTGTTACATCTGGCCACGGGGGCGCTTGGGGGCTGCGCTGCTGCCACGTCGAGTTGCCTGTGATGCAGGTCAAAGGGGTTAAGGAGGGTGAAGAATTAATTGCAAGGAAATAAAATATTTGGAGATATAAGCAAGACGAAGGGCAAACAACCCAGCCCTGCCTCTGGACGTCCAGGGTAGCCCTGCCCTTCCTATGGCCCCTTGTCAGGCCTGTGAGCGGCCCGCGTACCCCAATAAACGCCCGTGTTTGCCTCCACTGCTGCAGGTTGTGTTTGTCGCGGAATATTCCTCACAGGATGTCAGTCTGCGTCCTGAGCTGGAGGCAGATCCTGAGGTGAGAGTGGCGGGGACAGAACCAGGATCCCTGGAGGCGCGAGGCTGCATTTTAAGATGCGGCGCGGCCGCCCCCTCCCCAGCCTAGGCCTCCAGCGCTTGCCCTCCGGGGACCTCGCCCAGTCCGCGCTCGCCTGGGCCGCCGCTGGCCCGGGGCTCGCTGCTGGGGCATCGGGGACGTTTGCCTCTGGCCCCACCGAGCTCCCTGGGGCCGCCCGACTCCAGTTTAGGTCCCCGGGGCCTCGACGGTGGCGGCGACCGGTCGTTCCTCGGGTGAGCCCGTCCCCACGTCCTTCTCGGGCCATCGCAGTTGGACAGGGAACCCCTGAGCGCCGGGGCTGGGGGGCGGGTCCCTGAATCCACCCAGTGCCGACCAGCCCCGCCCGAGGGCAGCAGCTCTGAGGCGAGCAGGCGGAGGGACGGGCCGGGGGCAGCCAGCGGAGGACGGGCCTGCGCGCGGCCTTCTGGGAGCTGTAGTCGTGTGAGGCCCGCGGCGTGTGCGCGCGGCCTTCTGGGAGCTGTAGTCGTGTGAGGCACGCGGCGTGTGCGCGCGGCCTTCTGGGAGCTGTAGTCGCGTGAGGACGGCGGCGCCTCCGAGAGGCCTTCTGGGAGCTGTAGTCGTGTGAGGTCGGCGGCCTGGGCGCGAGGCCTTCTGGGAGCTGTAGTTGCGTGAGGCCCGCGGCGTGTGCGCGCGGCCTTCTGGGAGCTGTAGTCGTGGTAGGCCCGCGGCGTGTGCGCGCGGCCTTCTGGGAAGTGTAGTCGCGTGAGGACGGCGGCGCCTGCGCGCGGCCTTCTGGGAGCTGTAGTTGCGTGATGTCGGCAGCCTGGGCGCGAGGCCTTCTGGGAGCTGTAGTCCCTGAGGCGTGGGTCTGGGCGCGCGGCCTTCTGGGAGCTGTAGTCCGTGAGGCCGGGGTCTGGGCGCGCGGCCTTCTGGGAGGTGTAGTCGCGTGAGGACGGCGGCGCCTGCGCGAAGCCTTCTGGGAGCTGTAGTCGTGTGATGTCGGCGGCCTGGGCGCGAGGCCTTCTGGGAGGTGTAGTCGCCTGAGGCGGGGGGGGGGGGTGGTCTGGGCGCACGTCCTTCTGGGAGCTGTAGTCCGTGAGGCCGGGGTCTGGGCGCGAAGCCTTCTGGGAGGTGTAGTCGCGTGAGGTCGGCGGCGCCTGCGAGAGGCCTTCTGGGAGGTGTAGTCGCGTGAGTCTCGCGGAGCGTGCGCGCGGCCTTCTGGGAGCTGTAGTCGTGAGGCCCGCGGCGTGTGCGCGCGGCCTTCTGGGAGGTGTAGTCGCGTGAGGATGGCGGCACCCGCGAGAGGCCTTCTGGGAGGTGAGGCCCGCGGTGTGTGCGCGCGGCCTTGTGGGAGCTGTAGTCCGTGAGGCCGGGGTCTGGGCGCGCGGCCTTCCGGGAGGTGTAGTGTGTGGGGGCGTTTCCACCGCGCGCGGAGGCCGGGGGAGCGTCGTTCCAGGGCGCGCGGCCTGCTCGGGCCGGGGCGGGCGCCGCGCGAGCCGCGGGGTCCGGCGGCAGAGCCGAGGCGGCGGCGGCGGCCCGCGGGCGCCATGGCCCAGGTGAGGCGGGGGCGGGGGCGGGGGCCCCGGGCGGCGGCGGGCGCGGGGACGCGCGGGAGGGCCCGGCCCCCCCCCCGCGGCCGTGTCCGGGCGGCCGCGGGCCCGGGCCTGCCCCGCGCGCCCCTGGCCGGCCGGGGGCCCCGCCGCGCTCACGCGTGTCCCCGCAGGGCGCGCTGACCTTCGGGGACGTGGCCGTGGACTTCTCGCCGGAGGAGTGGGCGCGCCTGCGGCCCGCGCAGCGCGAGCTGTACCGGCGCGTGACGCTGGAGACCTACGGGCACCTGGTGGCCCTGGGTGAGCGCGGGCGCGGGCGGCGGGCGGGCGGGCCCCGGGGCGCCGCAGCCGCCTGAGTCTCTCTCCGCGCAGGTCTCGGCGCCGCCAAGCCGGACGTGGTGTCGCTGCTGGAGCAGGGCCGGGAGCCCTGGCGCGGGCGCGGCGCGGGCGCCGGTGCAGGTGAGCGGGCGGGGGGGCCGCGGGGGCGCCCCGGGAGGCCGCGGGCCGGGTCCCTCAGGGCGGGGCGCGATGCTGCCCCGCGGGCCCGTGGGGAGGACGGCGGCACCGGCCTTCAGCGCAGGCTGCTGGATCCTTCCTTTTCCTGGCCCGTCTCCTGCTCTGGACAGAGCCCGCGCTCTCACACGGGCTTGATGGTGAATATTGAAGGGTTTGCCTTACTGACACATGCGTGCAAGAGCTGGGGTGCAGGCCGGAGGTGGGGGGTGAGGGCTCCCCGAGACAGGGGCGCGGCAGGGCGGGTCCAGGAAACCCCCTGCGGAGGGCGGCGGGGGACACAGACACGGGCGGGCGGCTCCCTGGCCGGGAGCGAACTCAGCGGGGCTGCGGGCCGCGACCTCCCCAGCGCTGAGCCTCCACCCGGCGCCCCAGGAGGATCCCAGATGTGACCAGTTTCCGGCGTTTGCCTCTTCCTGTTCTTCCTTGCGGAGCGTCTTGGCATGTCTCTGCGCGCGTTTACCGTCACGGGTGAAGCGCGGGGACGTCTTGTGCGTGGTTGACGCATCACCCCGCGACGTGCGTTTGGTTAAAGCGCCTCTCCCCGCGCCGTCCGTGCACTCGGGCTCCGGGACCGTGGAGTGGAGCTGCGTGGCCGTCTCCTTGCCGGATGATGACACGTTCCTGTTTCCTGTAACGGCCTGTCGTTTGGGTTGTAACTTACTCGTTTTCGTTGTACTTTAGGGCTCCGGGCCTTGCTTAGTGCCCGGCGAGATGTTGACTATTTCAGAGACCGTCGCTGCGGAGCGGCCGGGCTGGGAGCTGGAGCCCGTCTCCTGGGTCACCGGCTGCCGTGACGGTTCCGTTTCCAGAGCCCGCCGGGGTCTGCTGGGCTGGGCGTGCACTTTCCCTCCTTCCGGCCTCCCTGGTTCCTCCGAGGTCCAGTCCGCGGGCTTTCAGCTGTTTCGGGTCGGGTTCACAGCCAGGGAGGCATCAGCGTCCCCTACGCCCCGGGGCTGCCTTCTTGAGCTGCTTCCCGGTTTGCCTCGCCTCCTGTTGACTCTCGGGTCCCGCTGTGAGGTCTGCTGGGTCGCGAGCCGGGCCCGGGTTTCCCGCGGCTCCGAGTCACGTCATAAAGGCACAGAGAGAGAAAGAAAATGGCATTTACCTTTCTGCTCTGGGGACCATAGAGTGTTTGTTTCGAGAGGTTTCCCCCGTCGTGGCTGTGCCCGCCCGTGCGGGGAAGGCGCAAGCGGAAGACCAGGCGCTTCTGCCCCGGGTCACCGCTCTGCCCCGCTCCTCCCTCAGGAGGTGGCTTCTGCCGAGCTCTCCCTCCTCGGGCCTGCCGGGCGGTGTTTGCTTGCACGGCACGCTGCTCTGGAGTTTGGTGCGCCCTGGAGAGCCTGCAAGGGGATGAGAACCCAAGAAGCGGGGCTCCAGCGGGGAGCCACTCTGCGTGGCGGCTTCCCTCCCGGTCGTGTGGTGCCGTGTGCTCCTCGCGAGCTCGCGTGCCTGCTCGTGCCTTTCGTCCGCTGCTTTCTTTTTTCTTCTGCAAAATGACAGTCAGCTTGATGGGGAGGTGGAGGCGGGAAGCGAGGCCCCCGCAGAGCCTCCGGTGGGCGCGGGGGCACCAGGCTCCGTCTTCCTTGCTGTCGGCGAGAGGCAGGTTGGCCGGAGCCTCGGGAGTGTTGACTCCGTCCTTGCGGGGCCGGAACCATTCGTCGTTTACAAAGGGGAACAAGGTGTGGAGCGAGCCACTAGTAAGATGAAATCCTGAGCTTCGCTCTGGACTGAGCAGGAGTGTAACGAGCAGGGAGGAAATTGGCGGGAGGCGCGGGCGGCTCAGGACGGCACCGGCCCTGCCAGATCGCCAGGAGGCTCGGGAGTCCGCTCTGGGCAGCGGGCAGTGCCCAAAGGGTCTCAGGAGCGAGGCCGTGCTGGCTCAGGTGGAGGCGGATTGTGTGGAAGCAGGCGCGGTGGGTCTTGCTCTGTCGGTCTTGCTCGCTGGCTGGGTAACAAAGGATGTGGACTCGGGCCTGAGGATGCGAAGACAGACACCAGGCTGGAGTCGCAGCTGACAAGCTCTTTGTTCTTTTTTTGTGGTATCAACATTTTATAACAGCTGCAGTTGACGAGCCTGCTTGACGGATCAGACTCCCCCCAGGGCGTTCTGCCTGTCTGTTTACACTTGTCCTCTGCTCTTACCGCTGGCTGCTTTTCCCATTAAAGTTCAAGGATTTTTTTTTTTTTAGAACTGCTATGGCATTTGATCTTTCTCAATTAAGTGTTTACAATGTTATTGTTTTTTTCTTTTTTTAATTTAAATTTTATTTTTATATTCCCCATACAATTGCAACCCCCTGATTTTGACTCCAATCCCTCCTTTCCCCGCCTCCAAACCCCCATAGAGTGTCTCTGGTTCGTAGTTGATTTGGTATTTTCTTTCTTATAGTTGTTCATTTTCCGGGTCCCTTATTTAGGTTTTCTAGATTCCTGCTATGAGTGAGACCATCCGGTATTTTTCTTTTTCTTTCTGGCTTATTTCCTGAGCATGATCCCTTCCAGCGCCATCCATGTTGCTGCAACTTGCATGTGTTTATCTTTTTTGAATGCTGAGTAATATTCCATGGTGTGTATGGACCACATCTTCTTGATCCAGTCATCTATTTTCGGGCATTTGGGTTGTTTCCAGAGCTTAGCTATTGTAAACAGTGCTGCTATAAACATAGGGGTGCAGGTGCTCTTTGGAATGGATGTTTCTGTGTCCTTTGGGTAAATACCTAGGAGTGGAATTGCTGGATCCTATGGAAGCTCCATCTTTAGCAGGTTACGGAATCTCCACACAGCTCTCCATCGTGGTTGGACCACCAAGGAATTTTTTTTAAAGGATTTTTTTTTTTTAATATTTATTTGTGCATACAAGAGCTGGGTAGTGTAAGCCAGAGGTGTGGGGGGGGGGGCGGGTGAGGGAATTCACCAGGAACAGAGTGAGGAGCAGCACAGGCAGATCCACTGAAATCCACCACCGAGGGGAGCAATGTGGAGACAGATGGGGTCTGCTGCACCATGTGGGTCACTTCCCTGGCTGGACTCATGTCACAGTGCTAGCGATAGCTTGATAGCTCTGCGTCTTTAACCCCTGTGCCTCCAGAGAGGCTCCCCCTCCCTCCGCCCAGGCATTTTAATCATAGCTTCTTAGGGGCCTCCCTGGTGGCACAGGGGTTAAAGACAGAGCTGTCAGGCTATCACCAGCCATTGCAGCACGAGTTTGATCCCCAGCCCCCAGCCACTGCGGAGCAACCCACATGGCGCAGACCTCGCCTGTCTCCCCGCTGCTCCCCACTCTGTCTCTGGTGAGTCCTCTCACCCCCTCATACCTCTGTCCTGTACCCAAGCTTTGTATGCATAAATAAATAAATCTTTTTTAAAAACCATAGTTTTTTAAAAATTACTGATAATTCTAACATTTGTGCCACACCTAACTGTGGTTCTGACGTTTACTTGATCTCTTCATATTTTTTTTTTCTTTTAGTGTGACCTGTCATTTTTTTCTGAAAGATGGACCTGATACTCTAGGTAAAGGGAGGTGCAGTGAACAGGCCTTTGTTGAGGGGGCGGCTCTGGAGGAGGAGGGGGGAATGTGGTCTGTGCCCTTGAAGCGTGAGCTGCAGCATTTCTTTTCCCGCCTGGGGGGCAGCGGGTGGTGAGGGGGCCTGGAGCTGAGCGTGTCCCTTCTCCCAAGGATGTTAGGCCTCCCAGTGAAGTAGTTTCTTCCACAGGCAGACTTGTGAACACTTCCCTCACGTAGCTCCTTCTCTCCCCTGCTGAAAGCATGAGGGGGGTTTCTCGGGGCGCTCACGGTGACGACGGGACAGCACCAGCCGCGCTGGGGCCCTCCTCGAGGTTTTCCCTCGCAGACTCGTTCCCGCTCAGTTCAGGGCTCCGCAGGCTTTGATTTCCACAGGTTTCCGTTCTAGTAGATGGTGATCCCCTAAACTCACTGTGTCTCCAATTTGGGGGGCGTTGGTTTGCTCTGGGGCCTCACGTCTCTTGCAGATATAAGAGTGACTGACTTTTCGGTTCACATTTTACTTGTTAGGATTGAGTGGTGACTTGCAAGAGTCTCTGCGGGACCAAAGCCAGAGAAGTCTTCTTCAGTGAGCTTTCAAAATTGATTTTCTGGTTTCCACAGTACTTTAAATAATTCTTTAATGATCTTAAATAATACTGACAATAGAATAGTCATTTCCCACAGGGAAGAGTAAATACATCTAAACATTTTGCTTTGAGCATTTTATGCCAATTTAGCATAAGACTCCTTTGTTAGGGGCCTCCCTGGTGGCGCAGGGGGTTAAGCACAGCACTATGAAGCCGTCCGCAGCCTCTGCAGCACAAATTCGATCCCTGGTCGGCCAGGGAGCAACCCACATGGTGCGGCAGACCTCTCCTGCCTCCCCGCTGCTCCCCGCAGCAGTGTACTTCGGTCAGTCTGCCTGTTCTGTCCCCCACTCTGTCTCTGATGAGTCCTCTTACCCCCACACCTCTGGCCTGTACCCCTGTTCTTGTATGCAAAAATAAATAAATCTTAAAAAAACAAAGAAGAGGCAGGAAAGGAATTTATGATTTTTTTTTGAAGATTGATTTATTTGTGCATATAAGAACTGGGGTACAGGCCAGAGGTGCGAGGGGTGAGAGGATTCACCAGACACAGAGTGGGGAACAGAACATGTGGATCTACTGAAATCCACTGCTGAGGGGAGCAGCAGGGAGACAGGAGGCGTCTGCTGCTCCCTGTGGGTTGCTCCCTGGCCAGCCAGGGATGGAACTCGTGCTGCAGAGGCTGTGGTTTGCCTCATAGTGCAGTGCTTAACCCCTTGTGCCACCAGGGAGGCTCAGGAATTTAAGATTTTCTTTTTTAATTGAGATCATCATTTTCTTAACAGCTATTTCACTGCTTTCCCTATCTTAAGCTTTTAATTTTTGTCCCTACTAAATAAGTATAGCTCTTGGCTCATGATTTAGATAGGTATTAAAAAAAATATGGTCTGTTTACTTGTCACTAGGAGCCTACAGTCAGTGATAATAAAAGATAGTGTTCTCCCTAAACAAGACCAGTGTCAAAGTGTAAACACACTTTGAGTGTAAACACACTTTTTAGAGAGAAATGAATTTCCTTGTATGTTATTTGGAAATGATCTTAAACTTTTAGGAAAGTTGCAAGAATAGTTCAAAGAATACCCATATGCCCTTTACTCACATCCATATATTGCTGACATTTGAGAATAACATAATAAGCCTTTGAGAATAAGTTATGTAGATTATGGCCTTTTGCCTCTACATACGTAAGTATACTTCTCCTAAGAGTGAGGATATGAGGGGGCCTCCCTGGCGGCTCAGGGGTTAAAGTCTCAGCGCTATCAACTTGTTGGCAGCCACTGTGGCCTGAGTTCGGTCCCCAGCCAGGGAGCTGCCCACGGGGCGCAGCAGACCCCTCCTGTCTCCCCGCTGCTCCCCTCAGCAGTGTGTCTCAGTGGATCTGCCTGCTCTGCTCCCCACCCTGTCTCCAGTGAACCCTCTCACCCCTGCACCTCTGGCCTGCACTCCAGTTCTTGTATGTATAAATAAATAAAAATAAATCTTTAAAAATATGTTAAAGAAAAAAGAATAAGGCTGTGAGAGTTAAATAATTCTAGTAGTCTCTCCCTTAAAACAGTTTTGCTTTCCACAGTTTCAGTTATCCATGTTCCAAAAGTATTTTGTACAATAAGATATTTTGAGGGAGAGTGAAAGACAGCTATCCTCTTCATATAACTTTTTTGCAGTGTATTGTTATAAATGTTCTATTTTATTATGTTATTGTTGCTAATCTAACTGATTTATCAAGTGTGTCATGTATAGGTATGTAAAGGGAACGAGAAAAGGTAGATACGTTTTGGTACTATGGCAATTTTAGGAATCCACCTGGGGCCTTGGAACATATCCCTGTGGATAAGGGGTGCTGGTAGTTATAAAGTTTGTTTAAAAACAGAAAGTCCCTTCCTATAATGAAGTGTGCGGAAAGCCAGAGCTTATGTTTATCTGTCAGGACCATCTGATAAAAAGATGGTTATGGGGCCTCCCCAGTGGCGCAGCGGTTGAGCACTGGGTTGCGAAGCTGCCCGCAGCCTCTGAGGCGCCGGTTCAATCCCCAGCTGCTCCCCGGCCACCGGAGGAGGGTCCCCCATGGCGCGCAGACCTCTCCTGCCGCCCGCTGCTCCCCTCAGCAGTGTCCTTCGGTCCTTCTGCCTGCTCTGTTCCCCGCTCTGGCTCTGGTGAATTCTCTCACCCTCCTGCGCTTCTGACTGTACCCAGTGCATGTATGTATGAATAAATAAATAAATAAATAAATAAATAAATAAATCTTTAAAAAAAAAAAGACGGTTATGCTGAAATTGAGCTTCAGATATTAGTTTGGAGAGTCGAGGTAAGTAAGGATCATGGAAGCTTTTTTTTTTTCTTTTTGAGAAACTTTTTTTTTAAATATTTTTTTTTTATAGAGGCATGTTTTATTTTTTATTTATTTACTTGTTTATTTGTTTGTTTATACATGCACTGGGTTCAGTCAGAAGCGCGGGAGGGTGAGAGAATTCACCAGAGCCAGAGCGGGGAGCAGAGCAGGCAGAAGGACCAAAGTACACGGCTGAGGGGAGCAGCGGGCAGCAGGAGAGGTCTGCGCACCATGGGGGACCCTCCTCTGGTGGCCGGGAAGCAGCCGGGGATCGAACCGGTGCCGCAGAGGCCACGGGCAGCTTCGCAACCCAGCGCTCAACCGCTGCGCCACCTGGGAGACCCCGAAACTTTTTTTTTTTTAAAGATTTGTTTATGCACACAAGAACTGGGGTACAGGCCAGAGGGGTGGGGAATGACAGGATTCACCAGAGACAGAGCAGGGAGCAGAATAGGCAGAGCCACTGAAACACACTGCTGAGGGGAGCAGCAGGAGGCGGGAGAGGTCTGCTGCGCCATGTGGGTCAGCTCCTTGGCCGGGATCGAACTCATGCTGCAACTTAACCCCTTGCATTACCAGGGAGTTCCCACTTTTCATTTAGTACTGTAATATTTCCCAAAGATGCTAAGTTAATGTACTCTGATATCTTTGTGGTACCTGAGGAACACCTGTAGGTAACCAGCAAATTACGAAATTGCCTTTTTCAAGCAATTCTGATAGCAAATTAAATTTAAATGGAGGCCAGGAAGTCTAACAGGCTATCCTTCCCAATTATCTTCTTGATACTTCTGTTTCGCCCTGACTTTCATTTACTGATATTTTTTTCTCTTTATTTTCCCCTCTCTCTCCGCTGATGTCTTCTGAATTTCTGGATAACGACTCAGATTCCAAGACCGCATATGACAACTATGAAAATGATGTGATGCTAAGATTTTTTCCCAATTTAATTCTTACTGAAAAGGGGGGAGGTGGCTTTCATTTTACTCAAGGCAAAGATTAAAAAATAGAAACACATGCTTTATTTCAGTTTCAGAGTCAGATGAAGAGGTCAAAGCGTTTCCTCCAAGTGATGTCCTGTATGAAGGTGACTCATCCCCGTATCTGTTGATGGAAGGAATCCTAAGCCGAGACCCCGAGTATTCTGGTTTTACAGTCGGCTGGAAATGCGAGGATGATCCAGAGCTGCTTCAAGGAAGTCAGGGATGTATCGGGCAAGTGACGGTTCCCCATCAAGCCCTGTCGCAACATCTGAGCATCAGTACTGTGGAGAGGCCCTATGGATGCCATGAGTGTGGAAAGACATTTAGTCGGCGCTTTTCCCTCGTGTTGCACCAGAGGACTCACACCGGAGAGAAACCGTATGTGTGTAAGGAATGTGGCAAGACCTTTAGCCAGATCTCAAACCTTGTGAAACATCAGATGATACATACTGAGAAGAAACCCCACGAGTGTAAGGACTGCAACAAAACATTCAGTTACCCTTCCTTCCTCATTGAACACCAGAGGACACACACTGGGGAGAAACCCTACGAATGTACTGAGTGTGGAAAGGCCTTTAGCCGTGCCTCGAACCTCACTCGACATCAGAGAATTCACATAGGAGAGAAACAGTACCTGTGTAGGAAATGTGGGAAAGCCTTCAGCCGTGGCTCAGAGCTCATTCGCCATCAGGTTACACATACCGGAGAGAAACCTTATGAGTGCATCGAGTGTGGGAAGGCCTTCCGACGTTCTTCACACCTTACCCGGCACCAGAGCATTCATACCGCCAGAACCCCCTATGAATGCAGCGAATGCAGGAAAGCCTTCCGCTGCCACTCGTTCCTCATCAAACATCAGAGAATTCACGCTGGAGAGAAGCTCTATGAATGTGACGAATGTGGCAAGGTTTTCACATGGCACGCATCGCTCACGCAACATAGGAAAATTCACGCCGGTGAGAAACCCTACGCTTGCGCCGAGTGCGACAAAACCTTCAGTCGGAGCTTTTCCCTTATTCTCCATCAGGTCACTCACACGGGGGAGAAACCCTACGTGTGTAAGGTGTGCGGCAAACCCTTCAGCTGCAGCTCGAATCTGGCTAAACATCAGAGAACACATGCCCTGGAGGGCCCCTTCGGCTGGGGCGGCCCCTTTAGCTGCCATGCGGTCCTCGCCGAGCACCGGGGGTCCGCACCGTAGAGAAGACCTAAGGGTGCGCGCGTTTCCGTTTTTGAAGCAGCTCATGCCTTACTTTGACTTCAGAGGACTCTTGAAAAGCAAGAAGCCTTTGTGGAAGTGACGAGACGTGGTTCATACTTCACTCAGTGTCCCGGGAGCAGATCCCGGGAGGATGTGCGGAAAGCCATTAATGACTGCTCGTTCTCTTTGTAGTACCCGAAGTTGAAATCAGTCAGTGTTTAGAGGACTGCCTGGTAGGATTCTCTTGATCTACAGTTGTAAAATTTACCAGGAAGGGGCACATATCCAATGTGATAAAGCTTTAAATTAGAAATTAGACCACATTTTGCATTTGTAAGTTCAGTCAGGATAGAATGCACTGGCGAGGGTGCATTTTTTCCTGGACATCAGAAAATTCGTACTGAAGTAAAGACATACAATGATTAGGGAATGCTTTCATGTACCTTGCAATATTTATTAAAATTTTAAATGCTTTTACATATGTTCCTGGGAGAAAAAACAATGCCGCAAATAAATGGAGTAAGGGGTGACATTGCAGTATTTCAGACCTGCAGAATTATACTTGTTAGACGCTAACATTGTAATGGGTGTGGCAAAAAAGGTCTGAGAAGTCATACTGGAGGGCGGCTGTGTGGGGGAAACTTTTTGAGGTGGGGTGTTTTGCTTTTGTCTAAGGTAAATTCACAGAAGATAGCTATGAATAAATCTTTTGGTTTATAGTAAGCTAATCTGGTACTTGCTGAGTTTCCCCCCACAGCATGTGTGAGTCTCAAAATACAGCTACTACCAATATTGACATCAATAATGAGGTGACGTGTGCTTTTGTAGAAATATTCAAACGCAATTATAGAAACATTTTTATGTATCTTAGGAGTTTACCTTTAAGATAGTTTGTGTTTTAGGTTTTGCTAGCTCATGTTATCCTTGAATCTGATGAGACAATTCTTAGTCTGAAATAAATGGACAGAAGGCACATCACAGGAAAATGCCAAGGCGTTTCCCCCTACTGTTCCATTTACAGTGAGAACACTTCTCTTGCAAGCACATATTTAAAATTACTCTGGGGTTAGCTGCCTGACAAAGCTTGTGCCGTCAGGGTGAGTTTGCTTAGATCCTGAAGGTAAGCAATTTTGTAGAAAGAGAAATAGGTAATATGGGTAAGAGCTACTTTATTGTATCATCTACTATATTGTAGATGCTACTTTGAGGGCATATTTGAGGAAGGTGGTTTTAGGTAAATAGCTCCTATTGTATTTTTTTTTAAAAAAGATTTATTTTTATTTTATTTATACAAGAACCGGGGTGCAGGCCATATGTGCTGGAGGGTGAGAGGTTTCACCAGAGACAGAGCGGGGAACAGAACAGGCAGACTGACCGAAATACACTGCTGAGGGGAGCAGCGGGTGAGACAGGAGAGGTCTGCTGCACCACATGGATTGCTCTGTGGCTGATGGGGATTGAACAGGCACTGCAGAGACTGCAGACAGCTTCACAGCGCTGTGCTCAACCGCCTGCGCCACCAGGGAGACCCTATTTCATTTTTTTTTTTTTTAAAGATTCATTTACTTATGCATACAAGAACTGGGGTACAGGCCAGAGGTGTGGAAGGTGAGAGGACTCACCAGAGACAGAGTGGGGAACAGAACAGGCATATCGACTGAAACACACTGCTGAGGGGAGCAGCAGGGAGACAGGAGAGGTCTGCTGCACCATGTGGGTAGCTCCCAGGCCGGGGATCGAACTTGTGCTGCATTGGCTGCTGATAGCCTCACAGGTTGTGTTTTAACTCCTTGCGCCACCAGGGAGGCCCCCTATTTCATTTTGAAAGGTGGAATTTATAAGAGTTTTCGTCTCAACGAGCCTTACCTACATGTGCCAGAGGTCTAATGTTTTGTTGCAAGGGCTGTAATTTCTCAAACCGGCCTTCAGGTGTGATGTTTACTCACCTGTTTTGAAGCTTCCAGCTTTCCCTAAGAGTGGCTGAGGCGGTTGATCTGAGAACAGCCTGCAGCCTGGCTGAGGCGCTGAGAAGTGTGCCATCTTCCACATGGGCCTCAGTCTCTGGCTTGGTTTTCTAGCGTGACAGTGGTTTACACAGGGGTGAAAATGTTACTCTGTGCTGTCAGCAGCATTAGGGAGAACATGGACATCTCCTGACCCTAAATGTCTGTTTTCTGGTGTACTAGGTGTCATCACCTTACGTACCAGACCCACACGCCACCCTGCGCTCACAGGTTGCCTGTGTGTGCAGCAGCAGAGGTTGTCATATATTTGTACTATTTTTTATACAAACATCGTCATGCGCAATTGTAAATAAAAAATCAATATATTAAACACCTCCCGACATGTCAATAAACATAATTACATTTTAGTGGCACCATTTTTTTTAAAGATTTTATTGAATTTATACAAGAGCTGGGGTACAGGCCAGAGGTGCCAGAGGGTGAGAGGATTCACCAGAGACAGAGTGGGGAGCAGAACAGGCAGACTGACTGAAACACACTGCTGAGGGGAGCAGCAAGCGAGACAGGGGAGGTCTACTGTGCCATGTGGGTAGCTCCCTGGCCGGCCAGGAAACAAACCTGCGCTGCAGAGGCTGTGGACAGCTTCACAGCACTGCGCTCAACACGCTGCGCCACCCGGGAGGTACCTAGTGATGCCATTTTATGGATATAATTTAAAGCCAATTAACTGTAATTGGAATTTTCCATGGTTTGCATCAGGGAAAGTGGCAGTAAAGTCCAGGTGAGGTGCAGAGAGAGACTGCCCGAGTCTGCTGCCATCTGTGTCCCAAGATTTTAATGGGCTGAAACTAAGTGCATCTATCCTACTCCCCAGCCACGTGGAGCACAGCTCCTGTCGGAGTCCACTTATGATGCCCTCATGCCAGCACCACATGCACTGGGTCATGTTGAACTGCTGCTTGTTCCCGCGGCACACTTAGGGCGACTATAACGAAACACATACTTCCCCAGCCTGACTGCCGGGCTCTCCTGTCTAACCTGCATGTGAGTCCTTGAACCCTATTACACCTAAGTAGCTGTCATCTTTTCAGAGCCTTGTAGGAGTTAATCTTGTTTTTTTCCCTCGCTGCGGTCACATCTGAGCCCCAACTCTGGTCTCGCGTCCCCTAACTGCCGCCATCATGGCAGTCCTCTGTGTTCCTGGTGCCTGGCCGCATAATCCAAGCACACCTGTCCTGGACGTGGTTTCCCCGTGCCCTCTGAGATTCCTGGGGAATTAGAAACTCCTTCATGTCCTCAACAACATCCCTAAACATTCCCTCCTTTCCTGTGCATTAACATAGTTGGCTGTCCCCTGAAAGAAATGTATTCAATATAATCACATCATAGGCCGTTGGATCTCCCCCGTGGCCTAGGGGGTTAAGTAGATCTCAGCATGTCGCAGCAACAGCCTGAGTTCTATCCCTGGCCAGGGAGCTGGCCCACAGAGCGCAGCAGACCTCTCCTGTCTCCCCGCTGCTCCCCTCAGCAGTGGATTTCAGTGGATCCGCTTGCTCTGCTCCCTGCTCTGTCTCTGGTGAATCCTCTTACCCCTGCACCTCCGGCTTATACCCCAGTTCGACGCAAAAACAAAACTGGGTTCTTTCAGTATGAGGAAACGTGTATTAGATTAGCAACTATCAGTGTCTCGGTAATAGCATAGTAAAACCAACCAAGGATGTGGTGGAAGTACCCCTTCTTATAGCAAATATCAGTCCTTCTAGCTGTTCTCTTGACACCTACATCCCTGTCTCAGGGACTTCATGGATTGGTCTATCCTCCTTGTGCCTGTACGTGTAATCTGTCCATACTGGATGTCACGCAAGGATTTCCATGTCCTATTTTCTTGTATTCCCCTTGACCAACTTTCTAGCTGCTAACCTCTCTTTTTTTTTTTTTAAGATTTATTTATTTATTTCTACAAGCACTGGGTACAGTCAGAAGCGCAGGAGGGTGAGAGGATTCACCAGAGCCAGAGCGGGGAGCAGAGCAGGCAGAAGGACCGAAGTACACTGCTGAGGGGAGCAGCGGGCGGCAGGAGAGGTCTGCACGCCATGCGGGACCCTCCTCTGGTGGCCGGGGAGCAGTCGGGGATCGAACCGGCGCTGCAGAGGCTGCGGGCAGCTTCGCAACCCAGCGCTCAACCACTGTGCCACCAGGGAGGCCCTGCTAACCTCTCTTTCTCATCCCAGTCAGATGCCTTTCACGCCATCCTTTCCCCATGTACAATCTTAGTCAATGTATTGATGTTGCTCCATCTTTTCTCTCTGGTTCCACCACCTCGAGCTGCACTTCACCTGTCCACAGGGGCACCTCCAACTGCGATGTTTGCGTGGCTGTAACTACAGCCGTTGCCTCTTGCCATCACAAGCAGCACCTTTCAGTTTTAGTTTCTCAGTAAGTGAGAAGTAATCTGGTCAGTATCTGTAATACCAAGTAGCAAAATCCTAAAGGCTTCATTCAGCACGTAAAACTGACAACTTAAGAAACTACATTTCCAGTGCAGAAATGTTGGGTTTTCCTTCTTATCAATGCCCTTAGCTCCACCTCTAGCCTAACCACAAACATCCCGTCTACACTTTTTTCTTTTTCTATGTTCCTATTCAGATTTGCACATCCAACATAGAACATTTAACTCTACATGCCTCAGAATATTACACATACACACACAGTTGCTTTATTGACTAAATTAATATACTGCTTTAACAAACATCTCCAGATATTAGCACGGTGCCAGCAGAGCTATTTAAAGATGTCTTTGGGGAACCAGGATTACTTTCTTCTACACCATCTCTCGGCCATGCTGTCAGTTGTAGGAATTGTAAATTAAAAAGGCAGAAAGGCAAAGTGCAGAAGGCAAAAAGGGGAAAAAGTTTGTCTCCAGGGATATTGCCTATCTTTGATTATTCAGGAATGACAGATACAGCTACACTTTTGAGAAGGTTTTTGTAACTAGTCATAATGGTTTTGTGAACTGCAATAGCGTTGTAAACAGGGAGGACTTACCTGGATATTCAGTGGCTACTCTGTCACACAAGGCCAGAAAGTAACTGTAAAGAAAGCACCAATGAAGTAGTAAACTGCAGTCCAGATACTCTGATTGTAAGGTAGATAAATCAACAGTAAGAGATGGAAAATCTTACATTAAAAACTCATCATTCGGGCCTCCCTGGTGGTGCGAGGGGTTAAGGTGCAACCTGTAAAACTGTCTGCAGTCACTGCAGCTCGAGTTCCATCCCTGGCCACGGAGCTGGCCCACGTGGCGCAGCAGACCTCTCCTGTCTCCCCGCTGCTCCCCTCAGCGGTGGATTTCAGTCATTTCTCCTGTTCTGTTCCCTGCTCTGTCTCTGGTGGATCCTCTTACCCCCCGCACCTCTAGCCTGTACCCCAGTTCTTGTGTGTATAAATAAATAACCCTTTAAAAAAAACTCATCATTCGAAATAGTTATGGGTCAAAAGTGTCATAATGATCAAATCTTAGCAAAGAGAGACAAAGACGAAAGGTGCTGTGTAGCTAGAAGGGTGTTGGAAGGACTAGTTATCGTAAATGCTTATTTTTGAGAACAAAGGCTGACTGATGAGGCTGGCGTCCACCTTGAGACAATGAATGTGGCACGTCCACATTTAGCACTTACAGGGTTTCTTTCCCATTGTGCATTCTCTTGTGTATAGTCAGTGAAGAGCTCTGACTAAAGGCTTTTCCGCACTGAATACATTCATAGGGTTTCTCCCCACTGTGAGTTCTCACATGTCTCCTGAGGGAAGAGGAAACACTGAAGGTTTTCCTACATTCCTCACATTCATAGGGTTTCTCCCCTGTGTGAGTTCTCACATGCATTCTAAGGGAAGAAATACCACTAAATACTTTCCCACAATCGCTGCATTCATACAGATTCTCTCCAGTGTGTATTTTCTTGTGAACTTTAAGGTGAGAGCTTGTGTTGAAGGCTTTTCCACAGTCACTGCATTCATAGAGTTTCTCCCCAGTGTGTATTCGCTTGTGTACTGTAAGATAAGAGCTTGTGCCAAATGACTTTCCACACTGGCTACACTCATAAGATTTCTCTCCAGTGTGAGTGCTCACGTGAGCCTTAAGTGATGTTTTCTGACTGAAGGCTTTTCTGCATTGATTGCATTCATAGGGTTTCTCCCCGGTGTGAGTTCGTGTATGTCTCCTTAGGGTTGAGGAATCACGGAGGACTTTCCCACATTCTTTACATTCATATTGTTTCTCACCCACATGACTTCTCTTGTGTAAAATAAGATTAGAAATCCTTTCGAAGGGTTTCCCACAAAGACTGCGTGCATAATGTTGCTCTCCAGTTGGAGATTGCTCCCGTTGCTTAAGGGGTGAATGAGGACAGGAGGTTTTGTTTTTATTATATACACAGGAATTCTCCACCGTATGAAAACTGTTGCGTATAGAAAGCATGTCATGATGTGCAGTGTGTATGGAGCCCGTGCTTTATTTCTGTGTTTGATTTTTTTCAGGATGCTATAGCGCTCCATCATATCCCTGCCTTTCACAGAGGTTCTCACTTAAAGAATTTTTCTTGTAATTGTCTAGGATTGGATTATGTTTCAAACATTCAGTATCTTAGTAACACTTGCAGGAATGTTCATGGGTAGAAACTCTCTGAAAAAACAGTATTTGACCTAAATGGAGAGCTTTCCTCTAATCCCTGACAGGCAGAGAGTCTCTCCGAGATGCTCTTTTCTTGTGGGTAGATGTCACTTGCCTCCTGTTTCCCTCTGGCTCTCATGCTGCTTTCTGATCTTTTGGCATTCCAGTCTTCTCTCACTGCGGAGGACGTATCATCCTTTCTTGTTAGTTTCACCCCACTGAATGATTTTTCCCAAAAGATATTCTGCTTAGGAGTTGGTTCTTCAGCTTTAGGTTGACTCTTCCCCTCTGGACAAATGTCTTGGGGAATTCTTATCACAGTTCTTACCTCTTCTTGACCCGACGGAGAGGTCATGCCAGGGCTGCATAAATGATATTCCACTGAGGTGAGATTTAGGTAGTTTTCCAGCATCCACTTCTGCACATACTTCTTCTTCTATTTTTTTTTAAGATTTATTTATTTATACAAGCACCGGGTACAGTCAGAAGCGCGGGAGGGTGAGAGGATTCACCAGAGCCAGAGCAGGGAGCAGAGCAGGCAGAAGGTCCGAAGGACACTGCTGAGGGGAGCAGCGGGCGGCAGGAGAGGTCTGCGCGCCATGCGGGACCCTCCTCCAGTGGCCAGGGAGCAGCCGGGGATCGAACCAGCGCTGCAGAGGCTGCGGGCAGCTTCGCAACCCAGTGCTCAACCGCTGCGCCCCCGGGGAGGCCCTGCACATACTTCTTTAGCGGAGTCCATCATCATCCATTCCTCTTGGGTAAATTCCACAGCCACCTCTTTGAAGGACACTGGTCCCTGTAACCAGGATGCTGAAAGTTCCAGCACCATCCTTTCCACCTCAGTGTTTCTCGCAGAGAAACAGGCAGAGTTCAGAAGGGACTGTATTAACGGCTGCCATCTTATGAGTCTGAAAATGACATCTGTGTGCACAAAAGGGTAGAGATTGGGATGTTTCTTTTCTTGTTTCTCGGATCCAGTCAGCAGGGGTGCATTTCATTGCATGTTCTTCCTGTTGCCGAAGAGATGAGTTTAGGTAAGAGAGGTGCAAGCAGGGTCCCATTGGAGGCAAAGTTAAAAAAAAAATTGCAGCCCTTTCCCCCATTCCTGTAAGGTGTGACTAGCTTAGCGTCTTGACTGGCGCTTCTGCTGACATGCAATATAGTCATCCTTGGACCGCTTGCAGAACTGTCATCCTGGTATTTGTAAATGGCTTCTCTGCAGAATACTGCTCAGTCCTGGGTGAAAGGCGCATGCATTATTGGTACAAAAACACACAAAAAAACTAAAGCTAAAGAGAACTGGTCAAAAAGGCATGGTTGTTTAAGTAAATTTCAGGCAAACTTTGTTACTTTTTTAGTTAACTTGGAAATGGAAAATTTTCCCACTAAACATAACTGTTTTAGGTAAATTTATTCTTTCTAGATATAACTTGGTGTTTACCTCAGTAACCTTACCTATGATTAATAGGGCTGATCATTTGGCTGTTTCTCTACTTAAGAATTTTATGGTAGTTGTTAAAGGTAGACCTGTGACTTTGAAACAAATATTCATTTGATTATCTCCAATCTGATCTATCGATATCTCCCCAAGGACTATATTTTCTCATGATCATTTATTCTATGTGGAACTTGAAATCAACCTAGGAAGTTGCATGGCCTATGTTCAAGCTTTGGAAGCCTTAATACTGTTAAAAATATTAGATCATATAGTACTTCATTGAAGAGATTTTATAATGTCCTTACTTTATAACAAAATAATATATAGTATGAATACAATAGATGAATGCCTGAATTTTTTTAAAAAAGATTTAATTTTTTTTTATTTATACAAGAGCTGGGGTACAGGTCAGATGCACGGGAGGGTGAGAGGATTCACCAGAGACAAAGCAGGGAACAGAACAGGCAGACTGACCAAAACACACTGCTGAGGGGAGTGGTGGGCGAGACAGCAGAGGTCTGCTTCTCCATGTGGGCTTCTCCCTGGCCGGCCGGGATCAAACCAGCACTGCAGAGGCTGTGAGGCTGCGGACAGCTTCACGGTGCAGCGCTCAACTGCCTGCACCTCCAAGGAGGCCCTGAATGCCTGAATATTTTAAGGACCAGTATTTTGGCATTTTTATTTAGACAAAAATCTCTGGCATGCAGATTCAACCAACAATGTGTATAAATCTGCCACTTTAGGGTAAATATAGAGAAAGAGGTTTTTGTCTTGTTTGTTCATTGCTATATTCTGAGAAATTAGAATATTTCCCAGCACATGACCGACATGCATGAAATATTCACTGAATAAACTAAGTCCCCTATGACAAGGTTTTGTGGGGAAGGTATTTTTTTACTTCTAGACCCTTCTTTCAGAAGTAAAAGTCAGAAAGTTAGGCTTCCTCTCAAAAAAAGGAAGTAAGTTTGCCTTAACTTAAAATAGTTAAGCTAAGAATTGTACTCTGGGATCATTCTTTGATTCACCATAGTTTTCTTTCTTTTCTAGTTACAGTACTAATTTCAAAATCTATACAATGTTACTAAGTAGGAAAAAATATCTGACTAAATGGAGAGATTCACCATGCTCACGGATGTAAGACTCAATATTAATATTTCCATTTTTCTCAAAGTAGAATTATATCGGGACTTTTACTAATCAGTGATTTCATGAAATGTGAAAATCTGATTTTGAAAGATTTATAGAGAAATGAAGGTATCTGAACAAGGCAATTAGTAAAATAATTCTGTGCCGTACTCTATTTGAAAAAATGCATTTATAAATCCCTAGTAACTTAAAATTTATGTTTTACGTATACCTTAGTGTTAAAATTTATTTGTTCTATATATAACCAGTGTTTACCTGAATAACCTCACTGAAGATTTGGCTGTTACCCTACTTAGAAATTATACTGGTGCTTTTTTCAAAAAGATGTATTTTTTTTATGCATACAAGAGCTGGGGTACAGGCCAGATGTACGGGAGGGTGAGAGGATTCACCAGAGACATAGTGGGGAACAGGACAGGCAGACTGACTGAAATACACTGCTGGGGGGAGCAGCAGGGGAGTCAGGAGAGGTCTGCTGCGCCATGTGGGTAGCTCCCTGGCCGGGGATTGAACTCATGCTGCAGTGGCTGCGGACAGCTTCATAGGTTGCGTCTTAACCCCTTGCGCCACCAGGGAGGCCCAATTTTACTGGTGTTCTTAAAGGTAGATTTGAAATAAAAAGTCAGAATGATAGTTGGGCAATAATGGGAAATAGAACATCTCAGAAACAGGTTCATGTGTAGCTAGACATCTAGTACATAGTAAAGGCAGCACTTTATTTTTTTATTTTATTGTTTTTGAAAAATCATGGATAGTATCTTTATTACATTGTTGGCTGATTCAAATACACTTGTTTTTTGCCTGGAATCAACTACCTTGATCTTCCAATATTGCTTTAACCACCTCTTGGTGTCTCAGCTAAGAATGCCTGTCTCAGTTCTGCCTGGAAATCCACCACAGGTACTTGCTGCAGCTGTGATCGCCTTGGGTACAGCTGACACTCTTGGTTGCTCAGAGAGGCGGTCCTTCTGCGTTTGACTTGGACTTCCACCTCTGGTACGTGCTGTTCAGTTGTCCGTCTCAGGTGTAAGCGGTCTCTGGCCTGCTCCATCGCGCCGCTGGCTGCTCCTCAGAAAAGCGCGTCAGGCATCTCCCGCGGGCACTGGCATCTAGCACTTTATTTTTGTTTTCCCTTTTATTTAAAAATTTTTTACATTGATGTTCATTTTGTACAGTTTTTGATTTCTCCCCTCAGGTATAGTCCCTGTAAATACCCACCACAGCCTTATGAGCCATCACCGGTCCCATGTGCTCTTTCCCATTTTCATCCCTTTTCCTCCTCCTTCCCAGCGTGTACCCTCAGATCTATAGTGCCTATGGGTTCTGTCTTTTTTTTTTTTTGACCCTTTGTTCATTTTCCCTATATTCCTCCTATTATAAGTGATAACACCTGATATTTTTCTTTTTCTAAAGGCAGCACTTTGTAAATCAGTGAGAGAAAGGAGCTAATCATTAAGTGGTATATGGGCAAATGACTAACAGGGAAAGCCATAGATCCCACCTCATACATTCAGAAATTTCAGATGGACCAAAGACATAAATATGAATCCAATAGGAATTCCAGAAGACAAGGTCAGAAGTAGAAAAGAAGCAATGTTAGAGATAGTGGTTATTTTTATCCTACGCTGAAGTTAAGATCCTTGATCTGCAAGTATATATACCATAAGCCATACTGAATACATTTTAAAAATTCATGGGAAACACTGAATAAAAACTGTAGACTATCAGAGATAGTAAAATTTAGTTAGTAGGAAGAAATGCAAATTACCTTCAAGGGAAACCAATTATACTGACTTGAGACTTCTCAGCTGCAGAGATAGTGGCCAGAAGATCACACAATAATATCTTCAGGGTATTAAAGGAAAGTGCTGGCAAACCAAAATTCATTGGTATGCTAATATAAAAGACAGTGACATATTTCTAAGCATCAATAGCATCCTCATAAGAGAAATAAAAAGATACTGAATCAATATTGATTCCTTTAAGGCACACCTTAAAGGAGACAAATGTATGAAACTTAGTTGTAATGTAAGTCAAAGTTTTAGAAAAGAATTTTTGAGACAAAAATTTGAGCATTGCCTATATATTTGACATTAAGGAATTATTAATGCTAATTTTATAGGTATGACAATATCCTGATTATGATTTTCTAAAGGAACCCTTATTCAGAGAGGATTCTGAAGTACAAGCAACATGTCATGTTTAAGATCTACTTCAAAGTGCAGTAATAGGCACAAGGATGTTCACATTTTTTGTATATATTCGATAATTTCTAAATTTTTCAGCTAGTTCATTCATAAAATAGAATGTTACACGTTTAAAAAACACAGTAATGTCTTCATAAGTTAAGTTGCAAAAACAAAAAATTCAGAGGGCAAGCCTCCCACCCAGATGAATTACACGATCAATTCAAAGGCCCGGCGCCCCGCGGCTCACATCCCGGCAGCGGCAGAAACGGGGGGCCGGAAGGCACGCGCCTGGAAGCGGGCGGCCCCCGGACAGCCGGGCCACACCCGCGGGGCCCGTCCGCGGGGGCGCGGCGGAGGCTCCCGGGGCCGGGGGGTCGGCGCCGAGCGGGGTGCGGGGCGCGGGGCCGAGTCCGCCAGGGCATCAGAGGCCGCGCGCGCGGAAACGGCGCCGGGGGGGAGGGGGAGCCGAGCGCGCGCGGCCCGCGGACCGGGAGAGGCCGGCGCCGCCTCGCAGACCCGGGCCGGGGAAGGCAGCACGCCTGCGCGCGCCCGTCCGGACTACATCTCCCAGGAGACCCCGCGCGCCGCGCCCGGCAGGGCCTCGGCAGGCGTCACGGCCGCGGCGCCCGGCGGAGGGGCGGTGGCGGCCCCAGGGCGCGTGCGCGCTGCCGGCCTGCGTGCCTGCGTGCCTCGTGCGTGGGGCGGGGCGGCGAGGCGACGGCGTGGGCGCGTCGCCCCGGGAGCCCGGCGGGAGCAGCCGGCGGAGGCCCGGCCCTGGGCGCCCGCGCCGGCCGCAGGTGGGTGTGCGGCGGGTCTGCGCGTGCGCGCCCGGCCCTCGGCGTCGGCGCGCGTGTCCGCCTGGGCCTGGGGCGGCCGCCGGGCCCGGAGCCGCGGCCCGCGCGCGGGGCTCCCGGCGGGGACGCGGCCGGCGCGCGCCGGTGCCGGGGGCGTGGGCGGCGCTGCGGCATCTGCGCGGCTCCCCGGGCCCGCGACGTCGCGGGGCTGCGCCCACCCGGCCCGGCCTCCGCGCCCGGAGCGCCCGGTGAGGACGCGCCGCGCGCCGGGCCGGAGGCGGAGCCCCGCCGGCGGCCCGGCCCCGGGGTGGGCGGCGACGACCGTCCGCCGCGCGCCGCTGAGGAGCCGCGCGCGGGCCTTTCCGGGCCTGCCGACTTGCGTCCCGGGAGCCGCCGCGCCAGAGGCGGGGGCGACGCGGCGCCCAGAGACGGAGCGGGGCGCGGAGCGGGCGGCGGCCGAGGACTCCGCTGAGGGGAGCCCCGCCGCGGGGGTCCGCCGCGCCCTCGGGCCTCTCCCGGCCGGGGCCGAGCCCGCGCGGAGGCCGCGGACGACTTCGCCTGCTCCGCGCGGCGCCCGCCGCTGCGCCCCGGGAGCCCCCGGTCGCTGTCGGGCGCCTGGGCCTGGCCTGTCAGCCGGAGCCGGTGCTCGCCCGGTGGTGGTGTCTTTTGTTGCCGCGCTGGAGGTGGACGGCGCGCAACCCGGCGTGAAATGCCCGGGATGAAAGTACTTTCGTGTCGTCTTCACAGACGCGCAGCGGTTGCGTTTTGTGACTTGACGCGTATCTTTCTGTCTCCGCTGACCCCAGAGCTCCAACTCTGACTGCTGAGACCTTTTGCTGGTCATTCCTGCCCACTGCACGTGTGAAATACGATGAACTTCTTGCCCAGAATTTGGGGACAACGGTTCTGTTTTATCAAGAAGCGCGGGTCCCTGGCTCTGCGCCTCACACAAGACTCTTCAAATGGGGACTTGAGGGCACTATGGGAAAGAGACAAGTTATCGTGGGGGGTTGACAGATGCCGGAGTGAATATGAAGTATAAAGTAGAAATGTGTTTGCCCCCCCAAAAAAACAAAATAGAATGTGGTTATCATCTCAGTTCCGCAGAGGCTCGTCATCTCCCGAGGGAGGGGGGTGGTAAGTATGATGCTGTCAGGTAGTGTTGGGGGCTGGAAGGATGGGCAGGGCGTCCATGAAAGACGGGAGCCTTTCCGTCGAGGGGGCCGCCAGATGAGGCTGGGCGAGCCTGGGAGAAGCGCAGTGAGAACCAGGGTGGAAAGGCGGCTGTCCAGGCTCAGAGTGTAGGTGGTCACGGAGCCGGGTGCGTGCTGCCTGGATGGGGCTGCGCTGTGGACCTCTTGTGCCTCGCACAGCGCCTTGCCTCATCCTTACCTGCTAGACCGGACCTGCTTTGGGCCTGTTTCTGCCCCGGGAGCACGCGGAGCAGTGGCTCCTGAAAGATACCCTCTCCCCAGTCCTCAGCCTGGGGGTGACTTACCCTGTGTGGCCAGAGGCGCTGGGCGCATGTGATTCAACCACTGACCTTAGAGGCGGAGGCCACCTGGAATGTTCGGGTGCACCCATGTAACTGCAGAGGCCCTTCATAGTGGCCTAGGGAGCAAAGGCGAGAGCTGGGAAGATAGGACCATGGAAGAGGGGGTTCGGGCTAGCGTCCTCCTCAACTGATGCCCATCTGGGCTTTTGAGCGCATCTGTCCCTGACTTGTCTCTTGTTCCAGTTCCTCATCTGTTACTGCATCCCTCTCAGCTCTGCTCCACTTCCGGGCCCTTTGGTTTCTTCATCCTCTCATTTCTTCTCTCTCCGCCGGTGCCTTGTCCATTACTTCTGCTCTCAGCTCATCTCCCTTCCCCTTGTCTGTTCTTCCTGGCTTTTCTTTCTCCTGTCTTGTCCTTACTTTATTCTTCTCAGCATCCACACCCTCTAACACTCTCCAGTGTGACCCCAGCGCTTTTCTAGCTCACCCCTTTTTTCTTTGCCTCCAGATGTTGATACCCTCATAAGATGTTTTCTGTTCTCACCATTCTGTGGAAACTGTTCTCCCCAGATTAGCAGTTAACCTTTATCTAGTCAGCCCAGAATAACTTCATCCTTATTTTATCTGCTCTTTTAATCCTCACTGCCAGGGCATCTTCAGTTTCTGGTGTGCCTCTCTTCTGACTCCTCTCATTTTTTAGTTGGTCGTTGTCTCCTGTTGGGCTTCTTTTCCCTGTATTTGCTTCCTAAGTGGTGATTTCCCCTACGGCGTATTTTGCTAATCCGGGTCCTGCCATTTATGTCACTCTTGCAGTTACATACTCTTGCAGCTTGGTTGATACTGACGTCTTACGCTGCCGCGGTTTCATGTGATACCTTCCTCTAGCGCCCTCACATCTTACTGTTTTTTAGTGGGCTTCCGAGGAGTCTTGTCATAGGGTGTTGACAGAAAATCCTGTCCCACCAGTCTTCTCTGTCCCTCCGTGTTCACCTGCATCACACAGCAGGAGCCTGCAGTCACACTCACCCTGGCACCCACGGCCATCCCCGCCTCTTTGGCTGTCCTGTCGGGAGAGTAGCTGAGCAGCTTAGGTAGCAGAAGAGCAAATGGAGGCAGATGGCACAGCCTCAGACCTCAGCATTGGCTCTGCAGTGACCTCTGCCCAGGCACTATGTCCCACACCAATCCTACTGATACATGATTGTCCATTCGGTCACCCAGAAACTGGGACGTCATCTTGAACCCCTGATCTGTTGTCACGTCCACTGCCAATTTCCAGCACGTAGCAGTCTCCCAAATCTGCCTGCTCCACATTCCTCCTCTTACAGCCCTAATCTGTGTCCCTCTTCTGGATTACTGTGTTAGCGTCCTGCTGGCTCTTTGCAGCTGTGTCTTTTTATACCACACAAGAAGGCTTTTTTTTAAAAAGATTTATTTATTTGTGCATACAAGAACTGGGGTGTAGACCAGAGGTGCGGGGGGTGAGGAGATTCACCAGAGACAGTGGGGGAGCAGAACAGGTGGACTGACTGAAATACACTGCTGAGGGGAGCAGTGGGGAGACAGGAGAGGTCTGTGGATTGAACTCGTGCAGAGGCGGTGGAGAGCTTAACCCCTTGCGCCACAAGGGAGGCCCACATTTGTTTTCTTGTTTGTGAAATGAAGATGTTAGATCAGGCCAGACTTGATTTTTTTTAATAATTCTTTTTTTAAAATTATTTATTTTTATACAAGAGCCAGGGTGCAGGCCAGATGCGTGGGAGGGTGAGAGAATTCACCAGAGACAGAGCGGGGAGCAGAACAGGCAGACAGAAGAAACACACTGCTGAGGGGAGCAGCGGGGAGACAGGAGAGGTCTGCTGCGCCCTGTGGGAATCTCCTCAGCCACCCAGGATCAAACATGCACTCCAGAGCTGCGGACAGCTTCACAGCGCTGCGTTCAACCCGCTGTGCCACCGGAGAGGCCCCAGCCTTTGTTTTTTTTTTTTTTTTCCAACCTCAAAAAACAGGATTTGTAGTTGTAGAGCCATTTAATTCCAAAGGAAATTTAACTTGGAACTCTGGAGATTACGGTGAAAAAGGCAACCCGTGAGGCTCTTCCCTTCCTCCTGGGTCTCAGGTGCTGCCAGTGTCCTGGAGTGTCTTTCTTGCTCCACTTTGTTAGGGTGCGGGGTGGGGGCGTGCAAGTTTGTGTGTCACACCCAGCGGCGCTGCTGTTCCTGCTGCTTTCCAGTCACAGCACATTCTCCTCATGTTTGTTTCCTTTCTCCAGTGCCACCTGCCCTGGGCTTTCCCACTCCTCACGGAAGCACCAGTGCACCCGCTGTGGGCATGGCCGATCTGCTGACCGCCCCATCCCCAGTAAGTGGAGCTGCCTTGTTCTCCGTTTTCCAAATGGGAATCTCGCGTTGCCTGAGTTCTAAAGTTCCTTTGCTTGGAATTTGTACTCCTCAAGTACTCGAGGAGGCCGGCGGTCTCTTGTCTGCAGTTGCGGCTTTAGTTCCTCTTCTGCAGAAGCAGCATCTGGTGGTGACGGTGAGGTCGGGGGCGTTGGGATAAGTTCTGTGATTACCAGAGATGGACATGCAGAGCCAGGAATTGGGGGGGGGGTGCTCTGGGAGCCTCAGGATTGAGACTGGGATCCAGGCGCCTCTTTCAGCTTCTTTCCTTAGAGGATCCCTCCTGCAGGTCTGGACAGGTGGTCTGGGGCACAGGTGAGAGTGGGCTGAACTCGCCGGGTGCTCTGCGCAGGGCTCCATGCCCACGTGTGCTGGGGAGGGGTGTGTTTTGTGCAGGTAACACAAGGAGGTTTAAACAGCTGAGGGGCTCAGGTGAAAACTTGTTGAAATAACAGTTATGCCAAGACGTTAAGGATGACTTGTGACTGTCCAGGTAACTGAGAGGTAATGGACTAGCACAGGCCAGGTTGGGGGGCATGGCCTGCTGGAGGAATTAAAAGCAGCCCAAACACAGAACCCAGGGGTGTGGGGCAGAGCTTGACCTGTTGCCTGACTGTGAGGCAGATTCCAGCACCGTACCCAGGAAGCGGGCACGGTGGCAGCAGGCTAGATAGTGGGAGACGGTGGGCAAGAGGCTGGCAGAGCAAGTGTGGGTGAGCTTGCTGAGGAGACGGAGGACCTTCTGGGAGGGGAGAGCTGAAGGCAGGCATGAGCACAGGTGTCCGTGAGCACACAGGCGTGAAGTGCCAATGGAGCCAGGCTCCCCACTGAGCACAGGCCATTGTGGTCCTCACCAGGCTCTGGTGCAGACACCTCAGGGTAGAGCACACCGCCCCAGGTCGGAGGGCCCGGGACACTGCACAAGGGGATGAAGTGAAGAAGCAGACAGTGATGAGAACAGGTGGCAGCTGTCGCGTGGCACAGAGCTGAGCATGTGGGAGCCCCTGAAACAAGAGAGGCCCCAGTGTGTGCTGCTCTCGGGAGGTGAAGGAGCAGAGCTGAGAGGAAGGGAGGGTCTGAAGACTCTCAGCAAGGGAAGGTGCCAGTGTGTCACGGATGAAGCCATGACTGTGATGCAGCAATGGCCGGGTGACAACATTAGGACAGATGAGCAGTTCTTGCTAATTAAGTTTCAGAAACAAATGCAAGCGGTATGATTTACAGCTACTTCAGGTGAGGGAAAACCATGAAAAACAACGACTAAGGAACAATTCAAAAGGCTCATTTCCAACAGCACATTGGGGCACACGAGAGGCCCCCAGCCACTGTGGGGCGCTGATGCCTGGGGTCTGCGTCCTGTCCTGGGGTGGCAGCTTTGCTCCAGGGATCTCACTCTTGGTGTTGAAAATGTCGGGGCTCACCCAGCCCAAGTGCTACTTCCCAGTCCCTCTCACACCTTCCTGCTTCTGGTCTCTGCGTGACCTGCACTGTCTGGGAAGGTGCTGGCAGTGCCCTGAGAGTGCACCGGGAGCTCCAGCCAGAAGCCAGTTGCCAATTAATGGTGGGCAGCTTTCTGAGAGAAATGCACCAGATGGCCAGGCCAGGACTTGGTGGGAGCAGCAGGACAGAAGCTGAGTGATCCTGGACGGGGTGGGGAAGAGTGCATCGTCTCCGAGTCCCAGGGGCAGGTGAACCCTTCAGGATGAGTGCTGCTCATGCCAGGGGTGAGTCCTGCCCATGCCCTGGCCTGCCTCGAGCTCTGCCCCTTCTTCCTTGTAGGAGTCAGGGATGGGAGGGGCTTACGCACATGTGCTTGCTATTGCAGACACTGGTGACCTTCAAGGATGTCCTTGTGAGCTTTTCCAGGGAGGAGTGGCAGCTGCTGGACACTACCCAGCAGACCCTGTACAAGGATGTGACCCTGGAGAACTATAGGAACCTGGTTTCCTTGGGTAAGACTCACTCTGCTAGGAGACGCACTTGTTATGTGGATTTGGTTCTGGGCCTTTGGCCCGAAGGCGGGAGGCCTGGCGCCTCCTCCAGAGTGGGGGCTGCTGGTTAGGGCCTTCATTGTCTTCGGGCACAGCATGATGTTTTCACCCTGCTTTTGTCATAAGCGGGCTTGGTTTGTTGAATGTTTAAAAATGTTTATTTTGCTGCTGCAACCTCACTAGAGGGGAGTCTTGGCGCTTCCCGGTGCCTTGCCCTCACCCAGTGTTTTCTGTTTCCCTGTGAACAGGGCTTCAGCTTCCCAAGCCAGAGGTGATCCTGCGGTTAGAGAAAGGGGGAGAGCCATGGCTGGTGGAGAGAGGGGTTCCCCGCAGGATTCATCCAGGTGAGCATGGTGAGGCATGGCAGGTGCCAGTTAGGGGTAGCACCCCCCCTAGAGGGTGGACACTAGTGATCCCAATGTGCTGTTGGAAATGAGCCTTTTGAATTGTTCCTTAGTTGTTGTTTTTCATGGTTTTCCCTCACCTGAAGTAGCTGTAAATCATACCACTTGCATTTGTTTCTGAAACTTGATTAGCAAGAACCGCTCATCTGTCCTGATGTTGTCACCCGGCCTACTTCTGAGGAGCCTGAGTCACCTGTCTCCTGTGCCTCTTTGCCAGTGCCTCTTTGCCAGTGCTTCTTGCCCACTGGTCTCGGAGACAGGATCTGCTGCTTTATTTCAGACTGACTTTTTGTTGACATTCATGTTTCCAACACTGTTTCTGGTGCTTTTCTGATGATCCTCACTCCCTTATGCTCTGTTCTCTCATTTTCTCGAACCATTGTTTGTAAGCTTTCCCTTTCACGTGTTCCCTTCCCACAGCCTCAGTTTTGTTCTTTGTTGAGGCTGCAGCAACCACTCAGTGCTGCCCACTCAGCGCACCATAGTCACAAGCCTTAACTGAGCCCAGCAGAGTCAACAGCCCCAGACGCCCCGCTGCCTTGGCATGGCAGTGGGTGGGGCCTCCACACAGGGAGTTTGGCCTTGAGCAGCTGGTGTGGGAGGCCAGAGAGGACGCCACTGTACATCGCGTGCTCTGTCAGTACCAGGGGGCAATGAACAGTGGCTGCCAGAGAATCCAGAAGAGCAGGATGCAGAGGAACGTGTCTCGAACTAAAGAGCAAGACAAACTCCCAGAAAAACTTAAATAGGGCCTCCCCTGGTGGCGCAGCGGTTGAGTGCTGGGCTGTGAGGCTGCCTGCAGCCTCTGCAGTGCCGGTTCGATCCCCGGCCACTGGCGAGGGTCCCACAAAAAACAAAAAAAGAAACTTCTTAAATAGATGAGCAAATTATCTGATTAAGAGTTCAAGTTCATGGTTACAAAAATGCTCACGGAACTTTGGGAGATGATGGGGTGCACTAGGAAATTAAAAAAGTTACACAGCTGAATACAGTAGAACTGGGAAGCCCAATACAAGGATCCGCAGCCGACTGGACCGGCAAAGGAGCAGGTCCCTGAAATGACAAGGCCGCAAACTGAGGTAAGGATGAAAGTGTGAACGCCCCTTAGGAGACACTGGGGACATCAAGAGAAGCGATGCTGGTAACTGGGGTCCCAGAAGGAGAGGAGTGAGAGAAGGGCCCTGGATACCTGTGTAAGGAAATAAAGCCCAAAAACGTCCCTAACCTGGGCAAGGAAGCCAAATCCAAACAAAGGAGGCCCAGAGGGCTCCAGGGGGAACTGAGGGGGGACCTGAGGAGGCACTTCCCCGTCCCCCCCAGGAGAAGCTGGAGATGGGGCTCACGCAGCAAGAGGAGAAAGTCTTACCAGTTAAAGGGAAACTGTGAGACTGTCAGGACCTTTTCAACAGAAACTGTAGAGAACAGCAGAGAATGGCATGAAAGGAAGCACTTCTGACCAAGTGTTCTGCGTCCAGCAAGTTAATGTTCAGAATCGAAGGAGAGACGAAGAGCACCCAGACACGCAGAAGCTGACGGGAGTCACCACCACTAAACTGGGCTTGTGAGAAATAGGACAGGGACTTTTCTAAACTGAAAAGAAACACAATTAACGTCAAGAAAACACATTACCGGGCCTCCCCTGGTGGGAGCACAGCCTCCGCAGTGCTCGTTGGATCCCGGCTAGCTGGCGAGGGTCCCGCATGGCGCGGCAGACCTCTCCTGTCGCGCCCACTGCTCCCCTCAGCAGTGTACTTCGTCACTCTGCCTGTTCTGCTCCCCGCTCTGTCTCTGGTGAATCCTCTCACCCTCCCACGCATCTGAACTGTACCCCGGTTCTTGTATAAATAAATAAATAAATCTTTTAAAAAAAGCCACATTACAGGAAAAAATAATATCACTGAAAAAAGTAACTACTGTAAAAGTATTGGCTCAGTAACTTACGATGATGTAGCTGAGACAAAAGTATAAAGGGACGGAGGGAAAAATATGAAGTTTTAGAATGGGCGCAAATTTAAATATGTCAATCCAAAACAATGTCATACACATAGAAAGTTATCTCTGAATCTCATGGCAACCATAAAGCAAAAACTTAAATATACGGAACAAGATGAAAAAGGAAATTAAACATACCAATAAAGAAAACCATCAAACCTCAAGGAAAGAGAGAAAGGAAGGAATAGAGGGGAAATGTAAAATAAGCCAGAAAACAACAAAATGGCAATAAGGAAATATCAACAATCAGGCTTGAAAAGGCAGGAAATTCTGCAGTAATCTACAGCTGACCAAATCTTGAGAACATTCTGCTAAACGAAGAAGCCAGTCACAAGACGACAAATCCTTTACAAGTACAATTTAGTGAGGCACTTGCAGTCATCGGAATTATAAAAATCATAAAAACAAAGTATAACAGTAGAGATTTAATGTCACAGTTGTAGAGGCCAAATGTCTGGGATCAGAGTGTCGTCAGGCCTTGCTCCCTCCACAGACTAGAAGATTTTGCCTGTCCCGTCCAGCTTCTGGTGCTCCAGGCGTTACTTGGCACATAGATGGCTGGCTCCAGTCTTGTCCCTTCCTCTGTGTGTGTGTGTGTGTGTGTGTGTGTGTGTGCATGTGCACATGTGTGTGCTGCTCCTTAGAAAGACGCTGGTCATCGTGGAGCAGGGCCTGCCCTACCCCAGCACTACTTCACCTTAACTGAGGGCATCTGCAGTAACCCCATTTCCAGATCACATCCTGATACATTGGGGCCAGTGCTCCCGCAGAACTCTGGGCAGGGGAGGGGGCAGAGGGTGCAACCCATAACATCCCACTTATGTAGGAAGAGGTGGTATTGTGTAAGCAGTACTTTTTTCTAGGTTCAGAACCAAATATTTCACCTGAAGGCACAGAAAACAGGTTATTATGTGGGGAACATAATCTTCAGTAACAGGTAGGTATGCCTAAGCTGAGAGCAAGTGTCCAGGAGAACCTGCGTTTGGGTCCCATCTGTGTCAGTACACTGAGGTTTTCTTCCTGTTAGTGGTTATGTCTTAACGTCTCAGAACAGAGGAGTCAAAGTGGAAGGGAGGAGTGGAGACTGCCAGCAGTGGTGTGCTGTGGCCATAATGATGCAGCTCTCGTTGAGCATGTGGCTCGCGTGGGCTGATCTCACTCACACAGGCAGGTGCAGCCATTCTTGGATCGAGTTAAGCAGAGTGATTTTTGAAAAGGTGAGCGACTTGTCTAAATTAATCACTAGCAGTGATAAAGTTTAGATGACGTCTGTCCCTGGGAAACTTCTGTGCAGCTGCTCATCTAGTCTGTCTTGTGTCCTTTCTGAGAGACATGGGCCTCTGTGACCTGCGCATCAGACTGGAGACCTGGATAAAAGGCATTGCCTGATGTGGCTGTTTTCATGGTTTAGGAATCTTGAGTTGGCAGTAGTGTGACACGTGCACGTCTGGGTAAGGGCTGGTCTAAATAGATGCAATAGGTCATCAATCGTTGGATTAGTTGTTGGAAGTGTCACCCTTCGAGTGTGGCTTCATTGCCACCCCCACCACTGAGTGTCCTGATTGCAGGCATCACACCCAGCCACATGGCTTCTCCTTACTGTCCTTGTTCCTCTTGTGTACTATCTGCATCATGCATACCCTGTTTACAGGAAAGTAGTTCTACGCAACATACTTTATATCCACATACCGTCCACCCTCCCCACTAACTAATACTGTATTTAGTTATGTGAAGCTTTCTCATTTCTTTCAGACTCCGGAAGTACAGTTGACATTAAGTCTTCAGTTTTCAGCAAGAGCATTTCTAAAGGTAAACAACCTGATGGCATTAAAATGGAAGAAACGGCAAAGGATGATCTCTGGCATTTGTCATCTGAAGAAGCCTGGAGGTGTGACGACCTGCTGGACACGCACCAGGAGAGGCATTCAAGGCGAGTGTTATTAACCCAAAAGAAAGTACATATTCAGGAGAGAGTCTGTGGACATGGAAAATATGAGGAAAATTGTCTTCTTCCTGCTCAGCTAGTACTGAGAGAGTATTTCCAGAAACATGACTCACACACAAAAAATCTAAAACATGATTTAGTTTTCGGTGGTCATCAGGAGAGCTGTGCCAGCAGCAGTAATGAATGTGCTCAAACCTTCTGTCCAAGCATTCACCTTATTCAGTTTGCAAGAGCTCAAGCAGGAGATAAATCCTTCAGGTGCCCTGATAACAGTAACTCCCTTACTCATGGTACATCTGTCAGTATATCGAGGGGTGTACATAGAGAGAAACCCTACGAATGTAAAGAATGTGGAAAATTCTTCAGCTGGCGCTCTAATCTTACCAGGCACCGACTCATTCATACAGGAGAAAAGCCCTATGAATGTAAAGAGTGTGGGAAATCCTTCAGCCGGAGTTCTCACCTTATTGGACACCAGAAGACTCACACCGGTGAGGAGCCCTATGAATGTAAAGAGTGTGGCAAATCCTTCAGCTGGTTCTCTCACCTGGTCACCCATCAGAGGACTCACACCGGGGACAAACTGTACACGTGTAATCAGTGTGGGAAGTCCTTTGTCCATAGTTCCAGGCTTATTAGGCACCAGCGGACTCATACTGGAGAGAAACCTTACGAATGCCCTGAATGTGGGAAATCTTTCAGACAGAGCACACACCTCATTCTGCATCAGAGAACTCATGTCCGAGTTAGGCCCTATGAATGCACTGAGTGTGGGAAGTCTTACAGCCAGCGGTCTCACCTTGTCGTGCATCACAGAACACACACCGGGCTGAAGCCTTTTGAGTGTAAAGATTGTGGAAAATGCTTTAGTCGAAGTTCTCATCTTTTCTCTCATCAGAGAACCCATACTGGGGAGAAACCATATGAATGTCATGATTGTGGGAAATCCTTCAGCCAGAGTTCTGCCCTCATCGTGCATCAGAGAATTCATACGGGGGAGAAACCATATGAATGTTGTCAGTGTGGGAAAGCCTTCATCCGAAAGAATGACCTCATTAAGCATCAGAGAATCCATATTGGAGAAGAGACCTATAAATGTAATCAGTGTGGAATTTTCTTCAGCCAGAATTCTCCATTTATAGTACATCAGATAGCTCATACAGGTGAGCAGTTCTTAACTTGTAATCAGTGTGGGTCGGCGCTAGTCAGTAGTTCCAACCTTATTAGATACCAGACAAATCACATTAGCGAAAAGCCTTACTAATGTAATGGACGTGGGAAATTCCTCAGTAAGAGCAGTAACTCTCACTGGAGAGCTCCTTTTGGAGAGGTGTATGGATGGGATCTCTGGAGATGCCTCAAATCCTGTTACGGCCCTATAATGCACTACAGAATTGGTCCTGATGACGGGAGAACCCACAAATTACATTCCAGTTGATCTTGGTGCATTTTGATCAAGTTCAGTGTTAAAATCCGAGAAGGAACCATAAAGTAAGTGACTAGTTAAGGGAGAATGCTACTTCAAAAAGATAAACAATAGTTAACTGCTGAGAAGAATAAAAAGTCGATAAAATTATTGTGACAAACATGGAAAATAATATTTCATTGAATTAATATGCCATTTTTTTTATTTGATTGTCCTCTGGGACACTTCGTAGTGCTTAGTCTGTGTTATGTGTCAATATAACATACATTTTGGTTAACCACAGGGGAAATATTTACAGTGTAAAGCAGAGAAAGAACAACACATTTACATTACTAGTAGTGCCCATTTTTGAACACATTTGCATGTGGGCAGGAAATGGAAGGGTGTAGAAAAGGAACAAAATTGATTTGCTAGGTAATGGGTTTATGAATAAGTTTCATCATCTATTCAGTGTTACTGTAACAATTACTTAAAGACATTTTTAATACAGAATAAAAGAAGCTCCAGTTTCTCCGTTTGTCATCAAGGAAACTTGATAACCATAAGCCACTCAGCCTTCCCGTTAACTGTAAGATGTTTGGGGCTATAGAGTTCTGTTCTTTGAGACTGGGTGCTGAAGGCCCCTAGAATCTTAAAAACAGTGATTTTGTGGACACCAGTATATAGAGAAACACTCGACATTGGACATGTCAGGAGGGGCCTGCATTTGAAAGGAACAGTTACCTGTGTGATGCTCAGAGCAATTACGCTGTGAGACAAACAGCACTGCCCAAAGCCGCCTTCTCTCCAGGGTAATCTTTTCTCTTTATGATGAGGGCGTGAGCTGAAGCTCAGCTGCCCATTTGAAATCTTGCCTCTGCCCTTAACTCGCTGGGTGACCTTAGTCATGCAACCTAACTTCTTTGTGCCTAATTTATAGACACCTTCCTCTGTAAGTTAGGGGTAGTGCTGCTCACCTCATAGGGTGTGGTAGTTATTAAATGAGGAAACATATCAACAACTTAGCACTAGTGCCTGACCAACATAAGTGCTTGATAACTGTCAGCTGTGGCTTTAATGTTGCCCCTTTTTATTTTTTTAAGATTTATTTATTCATACAAGAACAGGCATACAGGCCAGAGATGTGGGAGGGCGAGAGAACCCACCAAAGACAGAGCGGGGAGCAGAACAGGCAGACAGACTGAAAACATTCCTGAGACAGGAGAGGTCTGCCACGCCATGTGGGCATCTCCCTGGCCGGCCGGGAATTGAACCTGCGATGCAGAGGCTGCGGACAGCTTCACAGAGCGGCGTTCAACCCGCTGCGCCACCAGGGAGGCCCATAATGTTGCTCTTACTAACACTGTCCCGGCATCTGTCTTTTAGTTTAGACTTGCTTGAGTGCTAATAGCTCATCAAGGCTTGCTTCCCACCAGCTGCATGCTCTTCCCTTTTCCCCATCTCAAGACTTACCCTTGGGATATCAGTTGGTACAGGATTATTTCTCAATATCAGTAACCAACTTGTAATATTGTATATGTGAGATCATTCTGTGTGTACAGAGGTTTCCCTTCTAGGGGGAAGGCCATAACCTTCAGGTGCTCTGGTAAGTGCATAACCCAAAAAATATTTACCAAAAGAATATTTTAATTTGTGTTTCATAAAACAATTTTATGTTTCAATCTATAATGGATCTCCAGTGTGTAGGGACTACTTGCCCTTTTCTAGAAAACTGTACATTAGATGCTCACTGATTTTTTTTTTAAAGATTTATTTATTTATACAAGAACTGGGGTACAGGCCAGAGGCACGGGAGGGTGAGAGAATTCACCAGAGATAAAGCGGGGAGCAGAACAGGCAGACAGACTGAAAACACCACTGAGGGGAGCAGTGGGTGAGACAAGAGAGGTCTGCCATGCCATAAGGGCATCTCCTGGGCCGGCCGGCAATTGAACCTGCGCTGAAGAGGCTGCAGGCAGCTTCACAGCACTGCGCTCAACACACTGTGCCACCAGGGAGGTCCACTGGTTTGATTCTTGAATGATAAAAAATTTTTGTTGAGAACAGCAGGACAGATTTTGATGTCTCTCCCAGGAAAAGTCTAGAAATGATTGTTAGACTCACAAGACTTGAGACTACTGCATCCTCTTCATTGTACAGTTGCCATGAAGTGAGTTGGCCCCGGTCAGTGGTCAGACCCAGAGCTCCATCCCAGGGCCTGAATGACTGCTGTTCTCAGTGCTTACATGCTGTTCACATGCGTAATATGCTCTCTTTAGGAATAGTTTTCATTATGAGAAGTAGTGCTTTGTGGGAGTAGAAAAGAAGGCCCTTAATGGGGCCTCTCGCAATTTCTGATTTGACCTGTGGTCCAAGTTTCCTCAGCTGTAAAATGGAGACACCACTACTATCTACCTCAGAGGGATGTTGTGTAAGATTAAAGGAGATGAGGTTTGTAAAGTATTCAGAACAATGTGTGCACATAGTAAGTACTGTATGTTCCTGTTAATAATGATACTACTACGTTTAGCACCCAAAGGAAAGAATAGAGTGAGTGATTGTATGAATGATCTCTGAATCTTTAAAGTGGTACAAATTTTGCATAATGGCTATAGCGTGTCATAGAACGTTAAACAGACATTAAAGTTGTGAACACAAAAGGTTTGGTAACAGGGAAAATGTTGATGCTGTCCAGTGTTATAAAAAAACCATGATAAATGTTAATATGGCGTATACTCAAATATGTAAAAATAAATGAATTTAAAACACAAATGAATCTTGCTCAAAACTCTAAGGAAATTTGGCAGATTAATAGCTCCTCATGTTCAAATTGGGAGAACAGGCATCTGCTTTTGTATGTTTTTGTACTTTCCAAAGTTCCTTCAAACAGTATATATTTTAGCATCAGCAAACCAGTCTCTTCAATGATGGAATCTTTTCTTTTGAAAAATTCACATCTACAAATAAACTTCTAGAACCGTAATGAAGGAATTTGGCAGGGCCACAGGAGACACAATCAATATATAAAAAACGGGTTTCACACCTCTGTACCAGCAGTCAATAATTTGAAAGTGAAATCAGAAAAGCCATGATCAGGATGGGAAAACTCAGTATTGTTAAGATGGCAGTTCTTTACAAATTAATCTTTATATTCAGAGACATTTGTGGAGAAATGGACAAGCTAATGAAAAATGTACATAGAAATGCAGGAGACCTAGTAAATAAGACCAAAGCCTCATGTGTTTATTAAGTACCATTGTTTTACATGCTTATTAGTATTTTGACAGTATATGGTCAGCTTTCAGGGGTTGCTTTTAAAGTTGTCTTTATCTGACCCTTTGTTTGGTTTCTCTGTTCCACACATGTGACACCATCTGGTATTTACCTTTCTCCTTTTGCCTGATTTTGCTTAGCATAATGCCATCCAGCTCCATCCATGTTGCTGCAAATAACCAGAGTTTATCTTTTTTTGTTCCAGTACTGTGCTGTCTGAATTATGACTATATAGTATAGTTTGAAGTCTGGAATTGTAATCCCACCATTTCCTCCTATTTTCTTCAGGAGAGCTTTGGCTGTTTGGGGTCTTTCATGGTACCAGGTGAATTTCAGTTAATATCTGCTCCATTTCTTTGAAGAATGCCATTGGGATTTTTATTGGGATTGCATTGAATCTGTAAATTGCTTTGGGTAGGATGGCCTTTTTGACAATGTTGATTCCTCCAACCCATGAGCAGGGAATATCCTAAAGCTGTTGTTAAAAAAGAATGGTAGAGGGCCTCCCCGGTGGCGCAGCAGTTGAGCGCCGGGTTGCGAAGCTGCCCGCAGCCTCTGCTGCACGGTTTGATCCCCGGCTGCTCCCCGGCCACCAGAGGAGGGTCCCACATGGCGTGCAGACCTCTCCTGCCGCCCGCTACTTCCTTCAGCAGTGTGCTTTGGTCCTTCTGCCTGCTCTGCTCCCCGCTCTGGTGAATTCTCTCACCCTCCTGCGCTTCTGACTGTACCCAGTGCTTGTATAAATAAATAAATAAGAATAAATCTTTAAAAAAAAGAATGGTAGAGGGTTTTCACCCTCCACCAAAAGTAACTTCAAAGCTTACAGTAGAACTACACTGATAAAATGTTCACATGAAGGCAGACAAACATCAGAAAAATAGGCTATGGAATCCAGAAGTGAGCTTAAATAAACATTTAATTTTCACACAAGTACCTAAATAATTCAGCATGATAAGGAGTATTTTTAAATGAATGGGGGTATAACTTACTGGATATCTGTAAGATAAAAAACATTCAGAAATTACCTCAAGGGGCCTCCGTGGCACGCGGGGGTTATGTCTATGAAGCTCTCGCCAGCCACTGTGACCTGGTTCGATCCCCGGCCAGGGAGCTGGCCAGGGAGAGGCCGGCACAGCAGGCCTCTCTGCCTCGCCCACTGCTACCCTCAGCAGTGTATTTCAGTGGATACATCTGTTCTGCTCCCCTCTCTGTCTCTGGTGAATCCTATCATCCCACTACACCTGCGGCCTACACCCCAGTTCTTGTATGCATAAATAAATTAAAAAAATGAACTCAAAATGTATCACAAACTTAAATGCTGAAGTGTTTAAAACAAGAGAAAATGTTTCACCCTGGACTTAGCAAAATATTTCCTACAGCACAAAAAGCATGAATAAAAAGAAATTGCACTTCATCAAAATAAACTTCAGCTCTTCTGAAAACACCATTAAGAACATAAGAACGGGCCTCCCTGGTTGCACAAGGGGTTAAGTTATCAAGCTATTGGCAACCACTGCAGCGGAGTTTGAACCCCAGACAGGGAGCAACCCACATGGCACAGAAGACCCCTCCTGTCTCCCTGCTGCTCCCCTGAGCAGTGTATCTCAGTGGACCCACCTGTTCTGCTCCCCACTGTCTCCAGTGAATCCTCTCACCCACTGCATCTCTAACCTACACCCCAGTTCTTGTATGCATAAATACATAAATCTTAAAAAAAAAAAAAAACAGCAAGCAACAGACTAGTGTATGTTCATAGCTCCTGTTCCCAACAGACACTTGTGCATTGGACATTCCTGATCTGTTTGAGTCTGTTAGAGGTTAGAGTCTCGGTTGCTGCAGTCAGCAGTGGTCCAAAAACACAATAAATAGTAAGAGATTTTGAGATGGTGGTTCCTCTTTAACCCTCAGTTGTGTTATACCCACATTTGTACAGCTTTTGGCCACAGGCCATTAAAAAAAAAGAAAATTTGGGGCCTCCCCGGTGGTGCAGCGGTTGAGCGCTGGGTTGCAAAGCTGCCCGCAGCCTCTGCAGCGCTGGTTCATTCCCCTCCTGCTCCCCGGCCACCAGAGGAGGGTCCCGCATGGCGCGCAGACCTCTCCTGCCGCCCGCTGCTCCCCTCAGCAGTGTCTTCGGTCCTTCTGCCTGTTCTGCTCCCCGCTCTGGCTCTGGTGTATTCTCTCACCCTCCCGCGCTTCTGACTGTACCCAGTGCTTGTATAAATTAAAAAAAAATAATTTGTGAGAGCACATTCATGTAAGTTTCACGATATATTGTTAAAATTGTTTTATAATTGTTAACATGTCCTGTGCTTGTGTTACCAACTAAACTATCAGGTGTGTATATGTAAGGGAAAAAATAGTATACATAGGACGTGTACTCTACATGTAATGTCGGGCATCCATTGGGGGTCGTGGAACATGTCCCTCACAGAGAAGAGGGGATTACTATATCTGGAATACAAAGAACCCTTATAACTCAAATGTTAAGACAAACCAATAAAAAGTAGAAGAGGTTTAACAGATGCTTCAGTAAGTAATACAGGAGTGGCCGGTGAACCCATGGGAAGGGGCTCAACATCACTCGTTATTAGGGAAATGAGCATTAAAACCACAGGGACACGCTACTTCAGGAAGGCTAACTTGTTAGTGAGGATTGGGACCCTTGTATATTGCAGGTGGGATTACAAAACATTACAGCCGCTTTGGGAAATAATTTGGCATGTCTTCATGCCCACGCGGTAACACCCATCAATTAATTCCACGCCTACGCATATGCCCAGGAGAATTGAACACACGTCCGCGCAGAAACCTGTGCGCATACAGGAATGTTAAGCATCACAGTGATCCAAAGCTGGACCAAATTTAATAACCACAGCCGATGTCCGACAAGTCAGAGTGGACAACCGGCTGCGATGCAGCTCTGTAATGGGGCGCCAGGCCGCACCCCCAGGCATGGGCCTCTCAGGCATTCCCGTACAAGGTCAGACGGAAGGCGCACGCTGCACAACTCCGCTTACAAGGTTCTAGAACGTGGTCTCTGACAGGCAAGGCCGGGGTGGGGGCTGTGGTTCGGGGCGGGCGCCGGGAGGGATCTGTCCACACTGGTGCTTACTGGGCCGGGTTCACTCGTGAAGCTCCTGGCGCCGCTCACCGGGCGGTGCGCCGCCCCGGGAGGCAGGGGGATGGCTGCTGGGAGGCGCCCGCGTCCTCGCCCAGCCCTCTCGAGGCACAGGGCGCGGGTCTGCTCCGGAGCCCCAGGGTCCCGCGGCGCGCGAGTGCCGCTGCCCGGCTCCGGAGACAGGACCGGCCTCTGGAAAGGCCGCGGCCTGGCTCGGCCGGGGGTGCGCGTGACCTCCGGCCGCCACGCCGCCCGAGCGCGCTGCCGGCCCTCGCTCGGGCACAGGCGGCGCCCGCCGGCGGGTTCCGTCCGCAGCGACCCGGCCGGGCTGCGCGGGGGCCCGCCGGTCTCCCCGGTCCGGGCACGAGCTCCTGCGGGGCCGCGAGGGCAGCTGACGGGGCGCCGGCGCGTCCCGCGGCCTCGCCCGCGCTGGCTGCCGGGGCGGGGGCGCCGGAGACCTGCCGGCCGCCGCGGGCCGCTCCGCGCGGGCGGGGGGGTCACCGGCGGGGCGCGGGCCCGTCTCGGCGCGTCGGGCGGCGGCCCGGCAGCCCCGGGGGAGGCGCCCCGGCGGGGCGCGCGAGACTGGACCCGCACGGCGGCGCGGGCGCGTCCCTCGTCGGGGGAGCCGCCCAGGAGGGGCGCGCCCGCGAAGGCGGGGTCCGCGCCGCGAGGCCTCGGCCCCCCGAGACCGCAGCTCCGCGCCGACGCGCGCGCCCCCAGCCGGAAGGGCGGCCCCGCGCGGCCTGCCGGGAGTCGTAGTTCGCGCGGCGCGGGCCGGTGACGCGCTTCCGGTGCGCCCGCAGGGCCGCCCTCGGCGCGCCCGGGTGCCGTCCGCCGGGGTGCGCGGCGCCCCCACCGGTCCCGGACGGCTGGGTCTCCTCGGCCCGACTCCCCGCCGGGCGCGCGGGCATGGCCTCCAGGGTCCGCACGGCGGCCGTCTGGGTGAGTCGGGCCCGTCCGCGCTGCGTCCCGACCGCGAGGGCGACCACCCGCGCCGCCCTGTCCCGGAGCGGGCGGGCTTGGGCCGGGTGTTGCGTTTCTTCAGAAAAGGCGGCGGCGCTTTGGGGGGCCGAGGCGCCTTCCCGTGCGGGGGCCTTTCCCGTTCTTCTCCATGGGGTGTCCCCGGGGCTGGGCCCTGCGGGAGCGGGACGCGGGACCCGGCGTCGGGAAACGGGCGCCGCCCCACCCCCCTCAGGGCCTCCTTCGGGCGTGCGGGGCGCGGGCGCTGTTCTCCGGCTCTCCCGCCTCCGTGTCGCCTGACTGAGTGCGGCGGGTGTGCGCGGAGACGAGCCGGCGAGGCGGGAGGCGAGGGCGCGCGGGCTTCCCCGAAACGAGTAGAGCGCAGAGAAGGTGACTTGCTGGGCTGAAGCTACCAAGAGATTCATAAGCGGTCTAAAGAGGTGACTGAGGTGAGCAGAGGGCTGAAGGTCATCCTAGGAAAAGGAAGCAGCATGTGGACTCGAGAGACTTGTATTTCCTTGTTAAAATTATATTGTTACCAGGCAGGGTGAGGGACACCCCGGGACCCCCAAACCTGTGTGCTCTAAGTGGGTTCTGCCATCGGCCCCATCAAGACAAAACATACTCTAGTGCATAAGCCCTTCATTAGAAAAAGAACTTTAATACAAATGGGGTGCATAGAGAGCAGAAAGAATATAGTTTCCAATCAAGCACCCCAAATTACCCATCCCCTCCTGGCTAAACGTCCAGCCCAACAGGATGAGCCCAGAGCAGGGCCACTGAGGCCCGAGAGCCCCCCCAGTCTCAGGCCCGTCCTGGGGGACACACAGAAAAGGGCAGAGGGGGCCAGGCGGGTCTGGGAGGAAAAGACTCAAAACCCAAGTCCAGATAAAGGCTGCCACGGTCACCTCCCCATGGGGCCCTCGCCCACGTCTCTGTGTCTTCCAGGTGTCCCTTCCGGTCCCCCAAGTCCCAGGTGCAGGTCCAGGGCCGAGAAGCCATCGTGGCTTCTTACATGTCTTTCTGCTCCTTGTGCCTCGGTGCCTTCTCTCCTGTCTCCCCTCGCTGCTGGGCTCCTCCCTTCCTTATGGTGGGGCAGACAACCTGGAAACTCACTGTGTCTGAGCATCACACTGGTGCAGTTTCTGAAATAGCTCTCCTTTGGGCCCTTCCCTCCTGCTATCCAGTAATAGCTTTCCTGCTCATGCCCTTCTTTGGGGAGGAGATTCACAGCCTGAATCTTTTTTTTTTTTTTTTTTCTATTCCTGGTCTCTTATTTTTAGCAGCTTTCCTTAAGTGAAGGTCAGTGCTTAGGGAAGGAAGCACAGGCCAATCATTCCTCAGGCCCTGGAGACCTTAGGTGACCATGGCATTGTCACTTGTCACCTGCAGGCCTGTGCCGTGCCGTACAGGCTCAGGCCCCACTCCAGGGGTGCTCTCCTGGTGGGGAGGCACATTTGTTGGTGGCTTTGGAGCCCTGCAGTATAAGGCCCAGCAGCAGCCCCCTCGCTCCCCTATTTCCGTGACTGAGAACTGCCCTGGCAGTCAGGTCATATCTGTGTGGCCTGAAGTTTGTGACAAGACCTTGTCTCCTAGTTTTTTGTGCGCTGGCTTGTAGGTTCCTGTGGGCCTTGTCCTTTATATTCTGGTAAGTCTCATTTGTTCTCATGGGGAGTTTTTTGGAGATTAAAAAACTATGCTCCCAACCCGGTCTCATCCTTCTTTCAATGTTTTAACAACAACAAAAAGACTCAGAGCAGCTAAGGGACATGTTCCTGGGCATCTAAATGGTGAGAGCTGGAGCACAGCCTTTCATGCATTCAGAAGTCTCATAATACCTGCGTTCTCCCCCAAAGCAGGTTGTTGAATCTCTAGCATCTGGTATGATTTCTGTGTAATGGCTGCCTGAAGGTTTTTAAATCTCAGGGTGGTGGTTGCAGTCTTGGGATTCTTGCAGGCCTGCACCTGTGCAGGAGGGCATGGTATGAGGGTGCTGCTTCTCCATTTTCACTTTGTCTCACCTCTGCCCTGCAGCCACACTGACACTGACTGCTCACAGCCCAACCTACCTCATGGAGTCACTAATGTAAGTTTGCTCTTGAGTCTGCAGGTCCCACCTGTCCAGGAGCAACACAGTTCTGGTGGCAGGATCAGGAATCTTCCAGGTCAGGAACCCATCCTGGGTCAAGGGACCCCCGACCAGAGGCCTCTCCCTGGAGGACCTCAGCAAAGGCACAAGGGCCGCTGGACAAAGCAGGTCCTAGAGTGGCTGCTCACGTCACAGGCGCAGCCGAGAACCACTGAGCCCCAGGTAAGTTGCAGGCTCATTCCCATTTCTTTTACTTATTATTTTTTTTCTTTTTGGCAAGGAGAGGACTGGAGGGGGGGTGTCCTTCGGTTCAAGAGGTAATATCTCCCGTTTGTGATCTATTTATCATCACTGGTTTGTGTGAAGTTCTGCTTATCCTTCTTCCTAACCCTAACCCTTGTTTTCTCGTATTTCACTACCCACCCCCATATGTTGTGTTTTATGGGTGTCCTTGTGTTTACATGTGTTTACAAAATGTGCATTGTTATTGCTCTGTGTGTATTTTTAATATATGTTTTTGGTATGTGCACATATGTATCTTGCTACATTGATTACATATTTTGTTAAGCTCCCAGGCTCTTGTACATCATTTTCTCCAACCATCACCAGTGTTTGAGTGTTCCATTTGCTTCACATCCTTAGCCAACACTATTGTTAATCTTTTTACCTTGAACCATCTTGGTGTTTGTATGGTGATATGTCAGTATGAGTTTAGTTTGCATTTCCTATTGGTTAAAGAGGATGAGTAACTTTGTTGTGCTTACTTGTCATTTTGTAACCTTTTTGTCACCATGACTTTAATTTTCCTGTTTTCTTTTTCTTCTTGATTTAAAGAAATACATTATATTCTGAAAGCTTGTTAGAAATGCAGACTCTGGGCCACCCTGGTGGCATAGGCAGTTGAGTGCAGCACTGTGAAGCTGTCTGCAGCCTCTGCAGTGCCGGTTCAACCCCGACCAGCCAGGGAGATACCCACATGACGCAGCAGACCCCTCCTATCTCGCCCACTGCTCCCCTCAGCAGTGTATTTCGGTCCTTCTGCCTGTTCTGTTCCCCACTCTATCTCTAGTGAATCCTCTGACTGTCCCGTACATTTCGCCTGTACCCCAGTTCCTGTATGCATGAATAAATAAATCTTTAAAAAAAAATGCAGACTCTTAAGGTCCCACTTCAGTCCTGTTATATCAGACTCTTATTTTTAACAAGATGCAGTCACTCTTGGATGTTAAAGTTTAAAACAAACTTGATAACCAATCCACATCAGAATTTACCTTGGGTGTTTCTTTTACTCCAACTTGTATTGGGAAAATTTTCAAACATAGGAAAACATTGAATTACAGTAAACATCTGTGCAGCCATTACCTAGAATTTTTCCATACACATTTTATTGTACAGGTGATCCTTGAGCAACATAGGCTTGAACTGAATGGGTTCCACCTATACACAGACTTTCTTCGTATTTGAAATTTTTTTTTTATTTGCTACAGTTTGAGAAAACTTACAGATGAACCATGTATACTAGAAATATTGAAAAAATTAAGGTAAAGGTAGGTCATGAGTACATAAAATACATGTAGGTAATAGTCTAATTGGTCACTAGCATAAAGCACACACAAATTTATTATAAAAAGGTAGTATTTATCAAGTCACACAAACACAGATGGTACACGGTCCCATTCACAAGAGTAAGAAACATAAACAAAGATGCAGCATTAAATCATAGCAGAACTCACTGTAGTGCATACTGTGTTGCTTTAATAACTTCATAGCCGCCACCTGCTGCTGTTGAGGTGCTCTCAGGTTTTAAGAACTTATGCCTGTGGTGCCGGGCATTTGTGTGAGCAGGTGGCTCCAGTAAATTGTGTATGACAGTCGTTTAGTGCACCGCCAGAAACCCGAAGTGACACGGGACCCATCTGAGGTGCTCCCAGTGATGCTGGAAGTGCTCCCAAGAAAAAGAAGAGTCATACTGGAAGAAAAGTCAAGTTGCTTGGTACACACCAGAGACTGAAGTCTATAACCGTGTGGCCTGTCATGACCAACGAATCGAGCATGAGGCCATTGTAAAAATAGAAAGAGAAATTCAAAAAGCTGTTACTGTAGCAGTGCCAGCAAGCACGAAAACCTTACGCTTTTTGTGAAAAAGTTTTTTTTCCCTTTTTTCTTTTATTATTTTCCCACCACCACTGTCACTGTGTCCCCTTTTTCCTTGCCCTCCCCCTTTCTTAACCTCAGAAACATCAGGGTGTTTGTTGACATCCACTGGTTTTTCAGGTGTTTTATGTTGAATTGTCTGTCCGATGTTTATTTTTATCCTTCTGACTTTTCTGCATGTAATTTTTTCAAATTCCCTCCTTTTTGTTGAAAATGGCTGCGTGTTGGGCCTCCCCTGGTCGCACAGCAGTTGAGCGCTGGGCTGTGAGGCTGCCCGGAGCCTCTGCAGCCCAATTCATTCCCCGGCCGCCGGCGAGGGTGCCACCAAAAAAAAAAAAAAGAAAGAAAGAAAATGGCTGTGTTTCATCTTCCTTGTAGCTGTGTAATACTTCATGGTTTGTATTTACCACATCTTTTTGATCCATTTGTTCTTTAAAAATTTAGATTGCTTCTGTGTCCCATTGTATGATGCAGGCTTTATTTTTTTGTTGATCATTGCATACTCTATACGTGAATATAGGCCCAAGGGTGGTCAGTGTTTCTATTTTTAACTTTTTTAAGATTTGTTAATTTATTTATACAAGAACCGGGGTACAGGCGAGATGCGTGGGAGGGTGAGAGGATTCATCAGAGACAGAGTGGGGACCAGAACAGGCAGAGTGACCAAAACACACTGCTGAGGGGAGCAGCGGGGAGACAGGAGAGGTCTGCCGCGCCATATGGGACCCTCGCCGGTCGGCTGGGATCGAACCGAGGCTGCGGACAGCTCCACAGCGAGGCGCTCAACCACCTGTGCCACCAGGGGGAGGCCCAAGATTCAATATTTTAATTCAATTTCTTTGGAAAATACTGCTGGGATTTAGTTAAATTTGTGTATCATTTTAGGCAAGATCACCATTTTGATTCTCTTGGTTCTCCCCATCCATCTCCTAATGTTATCTCAGTCGTTTAATAATAGCTTGAAGCTCTCATTGTGCACGTCTTCTACCTCCTTTGTTAGCTTGATTCTGAGATTTAATTGTTTTTAAATCCGTTATAAATGGAGTGAACTTAAGAAGAATGCGTATGCTACTGTTGGGTAGAATGTTCTAGATATGTTAGATCTAGTTGGTTCATTTATTTTTTTTTACCTTATAGTCTTTTCGGTGTTTTCCATTATTGAGTATTAGATAACAGTTGACAACTGTTATAAAACTACTTCACTTCTGTCACAGTTTACTTTGTATATTTTGCTGATCCGTTATTAGTTGTCTCACTCTTTAGAGTTGCTATATAATCTGTGTTGGACTTTAAATAATAGGTAATATTCTTTATCTTCTATATCCTCTTTTGTTTTGCAGTCTTGTCGTATTAGCTCAGCCATACATGCTCTCTTTGGGCTGTATTTAGATGGAGTATCTTTAACCATCCTTTTTCTTTCAGTCTTTTTGTCTCTTTGGATCTTGAGTCTCTTGTAAGACAGCACATTGTTGAATTGTGTTTTTATCCATTTTGCTAGTCTCTGTTTTTGTTTTTTAAATATTTTACTTTTGTTTTGTTTATGCATCCAAGAACAGGGTTATAGGCCAGAGGTGTGGGGGGTGAGAGGATTCACCAGAGACAGAGTGAGGAGCAGAACAGGCAGATTGCCTGAAATACACTGCTGAGGGGAGCAGTGGAGAGACAGGAGGGGTCTGCTGCGCAATGTGGGTCAGCTACCTGGCTGGGGATTGAACTGGTGCTGCAGTGGCTGCCAGTAGCTTCATTGTGCTGAGATTTAACCCCTTGCACCACCAGGGAGGCCCTTAAAGATTTTATTGTTATTTATTTATGCATACAAGAGCTGGGGTGTAGGTCAGAGATGGGGGGGTTGAGAGAATTCAGCAGAGACAGAGTGTGAGAAGCAGAACAGGCAAATTGCCTGAAACCCACTGCTGAGGGGAGCAGCAGGTGAGACAGGAGAGGTCTGCTGTGCCTTGTGGGTCAGCTCCCTGGGGATCAAATTCAGGCTGTAGTGTTGATAGGCTGAGAAATAACCCCTAGACCACCAGAGAGGGCCTAGTCTCTGTCTTTTTTTTTTTTTAAAAAAGATTTATTTATTTATGCATACAAGAGCTGGGGTACAGGCCAGAGGTGAGGGGGGTGAGAGGATTCACCAGAGACAGAGTGGGGAGCAGAACAGGCAGACTGACGGAAATCCACTGCTGAGGGGAGCAGCAGGAGAGACAGGAGAGGTCTGCTCTGCCATTTGGGTTGCTCCCTGGCCGACCGGGGATCGAACTCGTGCTGCAGAGGCTGCAAATTGTTTCATAGTGCGGTGCTTAATCCCTTGCACCACCAGGGAGGCCCCTAGTCTCTGTCTTTTGATTGGAGATTTCAATTCATTTTACACTAAAATTAATTACTGATGAGGGACTATTGTTGTTATTTTGCTGTTGTTTTGTGAATACTTAACAGCTTGTTTCTCTTTTACTGCATTACTATGTTGGTTTAACCAATTCTTTGAGTGAAATGTTTTTCTCATTTCTTTTGTACTTTCATCTCAGTTTCTTTGATTTCCCATTACATTTGCATGTGTCTGATTTTGCTTCCTTTTGCAATGTTGGATGCTGCTTGTGGGCATGATTGTTACCCATTTTTATATGTGTCGAATGAAAACGTGACTGATTTAATGCACATTTATGGGATGTTTTCAAAATGTTTTTACTTTTTACACACAAAGAATATACTAGACATCATTTGCTGCCCATTGTTTTCCACAAACCCAGTAAAATAATTGGAGATTGAATGGGCATATGCTTTTTCAGGGACCGTTGTCCTTCATGGATGTGTTTGTGGACTTTACTTGGGAAGAGTGGTGCCTGCTGGACTCCGCCCAGAAGCACCTGTACCGGAATGTGATGTTGGAGAACTATGGCAACCTGATATCCCTGGGTAAGTGCCACCGCCCTGAAAGGAGTGTGTGAATTCTGCAGGCTTCCTGTTCTTGACTGCTGAAGGTGGGGTGGCTTCTATGAAACATTTTAGAGGTCAGAGTTTCCTGTTCTCCCTTTGGCATTTGAATATAACAATGAAACCATCTACTTCACAGCTTTATCAGGCAGTCACTGATCTGAATCCCCCCCATTCTTTTTTTTTAATAGTTATTTATGCATACAACAACTGGGGTACAGGCCAGAGATGGGGGTGGTGAGAGGATTCACCAGCGACAGAGTGGGGAACAGAACAGGCAGTGAAGTACACTGCTAAAGTGAGCAGCGGGGAAACAGGAGAGGTCTACTGCGCCATGTGGGACAGCTCCCTACCTGGAGATTGAACTTGTGCTGCAGTGCCTGCGGACAGCTTCACAGGTTGCATCTTAACCCCTTGCGCCACTGGGCAGGCCCCCCCATACTTTAGAGATCCCGAATCTAAGCACTTGAGTCTGTGATTTTCCATTCACAGGGTATCAATGCACCAAGCCCAATATCATCTTCAAACTGGAACAAGGGGGCGAACTGTGGATGATGCAGACACAAATCCCAAGTCAGGGCAATCCAGGTAAGTGACGAAGACATTGGATCCCTTCCTCCTCCTTCGGAGTAGGTATAAACTCTCATGTGATGTTCCTTTCCTTCTTAGTTAACCTCTCAGCCAGTCTCGGCTTCCTTCTTTCCTTCCCTAGGAAGACTCATTTTATTAGGCACTTGAGCAAGCTTTCCTTTTTACCTCATTTAGTGGAACTTTTATAACCCCTGTAGTGTCTTTCTATTGTTTTTTAAAATTATATGTGTAAATGCTTTATAATCAACCTGACTTCCTTCCTTCTTAAAACCCATCAGGAGATTCTATCTCTTCTAGAGTGTCCCATCACTTTGATGTTGTCAGCATGTGCACTTTAATGCACTGTCCTTTCTAAGTGCATTCTTGCATCATTTCCTGATCAGTTACTTTGTGTGAAGCCTCCGCCACTTAGACCTTCCCCACCCCTTATTCAGGTGACACCCCACTGAACCCACTCTCACCCTGTATGATGAAATGCTTATCCCTGTATGATGAAATGCTTATCCTCATGCTTGACCAGTCTTCTGTTGCTCTTCCTCTGCATCCAGAGGAGTCTCTCTTATCCTCCACTTTCCTTTTGTGTTGTAAATCAAGAACTGGGGTAAAGGTTAGGGGGTGAGAGGACTCACCAGAGTCAAAGTAGGGAGCAGAACAGGCAGATTGACTGAAATCCACTGCTGAGGGGAGCAGCGGGGAGACAGGAAAGGTCTGCTGTGCCATGTGGGTATCTCCCTGCCTGGGGATCAAACTCAGGCCACAGTGGTAATAGCACTGAGACTTACTCCCTAGGCCACCAGGGAGGCCCTGCATGTTGTAACTTTTGTAAAACTTCTGGTATGTTAGTATTTGTGTTTTTAAAATAAGTCTTTTTGGGGGCCTCCCTGTTGGTGCAAGGGGTTAAGTGTCCATTGCAGTCTGCAGCCCCTGCAGCGTGAGTTTAATCCCCAGCCAGGGAGCTCACCCACATGGTGCAGCAGACACCTCCTGTCTCCCCGCTGCTCCCCACTCTGTCTCTAGTGAGTCTTTTCATCCCCCGCACCTCTGGCCTACACTCCAGCTCTTAACATGCATAAATAAATAAATCTTCAAAAAAAATAAAGTAAGGGCCTCCCCGGTGGTGCAGCGGTTGAACGCTGGGTTGCAAAGCTGCCTGCGGCCTCTGCGGCACCGGTTCGATCCCCGGCTGCTCCCCGGCCACGGTGCGCAGACCTCTCCTGCCACCCGCTGCTCCCCTCAGCAGTGTGCTTCGGTCCTTCTGCCTGCTCTGCTCCCCGCTCTGCCTCTATTTAAAAAAAAATAAAAATAAAAAAAATAAAGTAAGTCTTTTAAGGTTCTTCTTATCTTAATTTTCATCTGAAACAGGACAATCTTATCTCATTTTTGAATCATTCTATTTACTACCCAGTTTTGTTTCTTTTACTCTTTCTGTAATAGTTTATTGTGATGTTGCTATCAGATAGGTTATTCTGAGCATAAAATTATTCATGACAAGCATGGCAGGATAAATCAGTGGTCTTTGTATCATTAAGATTGTTTCAGCTGCAATTTTTGAATAATCCTAAATCAAACTCTAAGCAGAAGTGATTTATTTATCCCAAAAATTCCTGAAGTAGGGGATCCTTAGGGTTGACTAAGTGATTGACTCAGTAAGTCACCAGAAGTCCATTTCTACCCTGACATTCTAAGTATGCCAGCATTTTGCTCTCGTCACCTCCCTTCATGGTCTCAGACGGCTGTCACACCCAGCTGGCACACAGAGGTACCAGTGATGTACTAGGACATGACTGTTTCTTCCCGCATAATTTTTTAAAGATTAATTTATTTATGCATACAAGATCTGGGGTACAGGCCAAAGGTGCAGGGAGGGGGCTGGTGGTGGTGAGAGGATTCCCCAGAGACAGCAGGGAACAGAACAGGCAGACTGACTGAAACACACTGTTGAGGGGAGCAGTGGGTGAGTCAGGAGAGGTCTGCTGTGCCATATGGGGTAGCTCCCTGGCCAGGGATCGATCTCGTGCTGCAGTGGCTGCGGACAACTTCATAGGTTGCATCTTACCCCTTGCGCCACCAGGGAGGCCCCATAATTTTTTTTTTTAATCAGGCCTTTCCCAGGAAGCCATAGCAGATTTACCATGTTCATATGCTAGATTGTTACCCACATCCCTGTCAGAAGACTCCAATAAGGGAAATTGGGGCCGTCATTGTTTGTTCAGATAAATTGGTTGGTTCATGTTTCATCTTCTAGGATTTAAGGTTAGGGTGGGGGTGCAGGTGGATTCCCATTTTCCTTACTAAAGCTCATGACCTTAAAGATGGGTTGGGGGGGAATACCAGGTTTGTGCTCACCAGGGAAAGGGCATAAGAACCACCAGGTAGGTAGCATTATTAAACTGCAGCTACCTCTGGTTAGGCAGCACCCAGTCACTCTCCCATCTGTCCATCTTTCAGAATACTCTGCTTGGACCTCTCTGTGGCCTAGAGGTCAGTTGAGTGTCAGCCCTATCATCTCTGCAGCCTGAGTCCATCCCCGGCCAGGGAGCTGACCCATACAGCGCAGCAGACCTCTCCTATCTCGCCCGCTGCTCCCCTTAGCAGTGGATTTCAGTAGATCCACCTGTTCTGCTCCCCACTCTGTCTCTGGTGAATCCTCTCACCCTCCCGTGCTAGCTTCATTCTGGGAGTGTACCGGCAGTGCACCCAGGGAGATCGCAGCTTGCAGTTCAGTGACACATTGGGTGGGTAGCTTTGCCAGGACTTACATGGCCGTGGTCTGTTGACTTGTTGACTGTGTTCTCTGAGCATGATTTCCTTTTCCATTGTCTTCTGTGGCTAAACTCGACATGCCCATTGGAGAGAATGTTTTCTGTAGATTCAGAATATCAGAATATTGTATTTAATATAAAATTTGATTATGTTTACTCTTTACACTTAACAACTCATGTCTCCTAGCCAATGGCTTTGATACTTTTTCCTAGTATTTTGAATTTGATTAAACCCTTGAGATGCCAAGGGATCTTAATTTCTGTCACTTCCTTATTTTCTATCATTACTGGAAAGAGAAAGCTTAGCAGAAAATGCATTATATTTCTTGGGAAACCAAATGATGGAAGCCACAGATAAGGAAACCTAGCAAATAAGCATGGGTATGAACAGCAACAGAAGACTTGGAAGAATGAAATACAGGAATTATTAGAACAGCTTTAGTGTCTATGAATCCTGAGAGCCTATAGGGCACAGTACGACAACCAAACACATAAGTAAATCAGATTCTAGGATTCTAGGACAAAGATTAACTTATTAGCTGACCTGTTTTCTTCTTGATGGAAATGTTTCTGATTCGGACCATGTCATTGGCTAGTCACACTCTCCCCATTTGTGATAGTCAGAAGTTCCCATACTCATTTTTCAGTGCATTCAGCAGGAATTGTTGGGGAAAATAGAAGATTGTTTCAAAAGAATAAGGGTCAAATTACATAAATCTTTTTTTTTTTAAAAAGTTATTTTGGCTTCTCTAAAAGATTACTAGCAGTTTCTGGTCCTCTGTTCCAAAATATGATGTTTCATGTGAATTTCTTTTCTTTTTTTTTTTGAGTTTTTTTTTTTTAATTTATGCATACAAGAACTGGGGTGCAGGCCAGAGGTGCAGGGGTGAGAGGATTCACCAGAGACAGAGTGGGGAACAGAACAGGCAGACTGACTGAAATACACTGCTGAGGGGAGCAGTGGGAGAGACAGGAGAGGTCTGCTGCACCCTGCGGATCAGCTCCCTGGCCGGGTATCAAACTCATGCCACAGCGGCTGGCAATGGCTTGATAGCTCTGAGAAGTTTAACCCCTGCACCACCAGGGAGGTCCATGCGAGTTATTTTCATTTATTTGTGTGAGTGCTCAGTGTAATTTTATCACCAGGAGGAGTGGAAACTAATCTGTGATGTTTACTGCTCTTTCTCCAGAGCTCTGGTGTGCTTGTACATAATAGATGTTCAATAATTATTTCTTGAATGAATCTAATGCTTAGAGTCTTTCCTACCTTTTTATATTTTGCTCATTTTCCCTTGTACCTGCTTTGTTATCTTTATTATGCAACAATTTTATTTTATTTTTGTAAAGATTTATTTATTTATGCATACAAGAAATGGGGTACAAGCCAGAAGTGTGGGCGGTGAGAGGATTCCCCAGAGACAAGAGTGGGGAACAGAACAGGCAGAGTGACTGAAACACACTGCTGAGGGGAGCAGCGGGCGAGACAGGAGAGGACTGCTACGCTATGTGGGTATCTCCCTGGCTGGCTGGGGATCAACTTGTGCTGCAGAGGCTGGGGAATAGCTTCACAGTGCTGTGCTTAACCCCTTGGCCACCAGGGAGGCCCTATTATGCAGCAGTTTTAAACTCAGAACGTATTCATTGTCAGTTTCTAATAGCTGTCCTCTTTTTTTTTTTTTTTTTAATAAAAGGGCAGGTTTATTATAAAAAGGGAAGTCAGGGATGCTTGTCCAGACACAAGTGGGCAGAAAGAGCTGCCTCTGAAAGGGTTTGTTCGAAGAGAGGCCTATATCGTCACAGGTGGGCAGTCTTGGAGGAGAGCTGCCTATGCTGCCTTGCAAAGGAAGAAGGTTGGTGAAGGGAAACACATCTGCATAGTCACAGGCAGGCAGGAGAGCTGCTACCTGTCTTCACTTTTTGTTTAGCTTTGTGTTTGCCTGTGCCCCACAATTTGGGTATATTTACTCTTTTACTTATAATCAGACTTGGTATCAGCAAATAAAATAATCTCATGAGATGACGTTTTTAAGTGAATTTTACGCTATGCCTGCATCATATTGTTGTTTATTTACAACATGGTTAATTCTTTTCATTTCTAGACAAAGTCTGGGAAATTGATCATATGGAATGGTATCAGGAAAATCAAGGCAAGCTGGAAAGTATGGCAAAAGGCTATGAATTTACAACATTTGGAAAATTGTGTCTTCTTAGTACAAATCATGTTTCTTCAAGACAAAAGTTTTATACAGGTGGCACACGTGGAAAGAGTTTGAAATATATGGAATGCACTAGTTATGCTGAAAAGAATCCTAATGGGTTTAATATGCATAGAGAACCATTCTTCCATTCTAAACATGAGCAGACTGTTACTGGAACAAAATACTCTGAAGGTGAAGAGTCTGGAAAAACCTTCGATAGGCAGTCACAGTTAATGTGCCAACAGTTGTGTATGGAAGGACAACCCTTTGAATGCAGTTACTGTGGGAAGACCTTCAGCAGCAAGCCATATCTTGAAGTGCATCAGCAGACTCATGCCAGAGAGCAGCCTGACGCATGTAATGGATGTGGGGGAGACTTCAGCAGCAAGTCCTACCTCAGTGCACATCAGAAAACTCATGCGGGAGAGGGACTACATGAATGCTGTGAATGTGGAAAACTCTTTAGTAGAAAAGACCAGCTTGTTTCACACCAAAGAACTCATTCCAGACAAAAACCCTATGGATGTAATGAATGTGGGAAAGCCTTTGGCTTGAAATCACAGCTCATTATACATCAAAGAATTCATACGGGAGAGAAACCCTTTGAGTGTAGTAAATGTAGCAAAGCCTTTAACACAAAGTCAAATCTTATGGTACATCAGAGAACTCATACAGGAGAGAAACCCTATGGTTGCAGTGAATGTGGGAAAGCCTTTACTTTCAAGTCACAGCTCATTGTACATCAAGGCGTTCACACAGGAGTCAAACCGTTTGGGTGCACTCAATGTGGGAAAGCTTTCAGTTTGAAGTCACAACTCATCGTTCATCAGAGAAGTCACACGGGTATGAAACCTTATGTATGTGATGAATGTGGGAAAGCTTTCAGGAGCAAATCGTACCTTATTATCCACATGAGGACTCATACAGGAGAGAAACTCCATGAATGCAGTGAATGTGGGAAAGCCTTCAGTTTTAACTCACAACTCACCATACATCAGAGGATCCACACAGGAGAGAGTCCATATGAGTGCCGTGAATGTGAGAAAACCTTCAGTCGGAAGTATCAGCTCATTTCACACCAGAGGATTCATGCTGGGGAGAAGCCCTATCAATGCAGTGACTGTGGAAAAACTTTTGGTTTGAAATCACAGCTCATCATACACCAGAGAACTCATACAGGAGAGAAACCCTTTGAATGCAGTGAATGCAGCAAAGCCTTTAATACGAAGTCAAACCTTATTGTACATCAGCGAACTCATACAGGAGAGAAACCCTATGGTTGCAGTGAGTGTGGGAAAGCCTTTACTTTTAAGTCACAGCTCATCGTACATCATGGAGCTCACACTGGGATAAAACCCTATGGATGTAGTCAGTGTGGGAAAGCCTTCAGTTTAAAGTCACAGCTCATTGTACATCAGAGAAGTCACACAGGAGAGAAGCCCTATGAATGCAGTGAATGTGGGAAAGCTTTCAGGAGCAAATCATACCTCATTATCCATATGAGAACTCACACAGGAGAGAAACCACATGAATGCAGAGAATGTGGGAAAGCCTTCAGTTTCAACTCACAACTCATTGTACATCAAAGAATCCACACAGGAGAAAATCCCTATGAATGCACTGGTTGTGGAAAAGCCTTCAACAGGAAAGATCAACTCATTTCACATCAGAGAACTCATGGAGGGGAAAAACCTTATGGGTGTAGTGAGTGTGGGAAATCCTTTAGTAGCAAGTCATACCTCATTATCCATCTGAGAGCTCATTCAGGAGAGAAACCACATGAATGCAGTGAATGTGGGAAAGCCTTCATTTGGAAGTCACTGCTAGTTGTACATGAACGCACTCATGCAGGGGGACGCCCTTACAAATGCGGTCAATGTGAGAAATCCTTCAGTGGAAAGGTACATCTTATTGTGCATCAGAGAATGCACACAAGAGAGAGACCCTATGAATGCAGTGAATGTGAAAAAGCCTTCATTAGGAAGTCTCAGCTCGTTGTACACCAGAGAATTCATTCAGGGGAGAAGCCCTATGGATGCAGTGAATGTGGAAAAGCTTTCTCTCAGAAGTCAATTCTCAGCGCACATCAGAGGACCCATACAGGAGAGAAACCCTGTAAATGTACTGAGTGTGGGAAAGCCTTTTGTTGGAAGTCACAGCTCATCATGCATCAGAGAACACATGCAAATGAAAGATGTGATGAATTAAATATGGGAAACTTCCTCTCAAAAGCAAGTTCACAAAGAATGCCAGCAACTTCATATAGAAAAGAAACTCTCTAAAGGGGATTATCTCTTACACCAGAAAACTCCTACGCAATAGAAACGTAATGAATACATACCATGTGAAAAGTCATCCACAGATAGGCGTGGTTTTTTACACATAAACATATAAAACGCTCAGTAGAAACTGTAAATTCAGAAAGCCCTTAAAGGTTTTCAGCAGCAAGTCACACTTTTTAAAATGCATATATAGGTGAGGAATCATGAATGAAGTGAATGTTGGAAATTAATTGTACCAATGTAGCATTCATCAAACCAACCAAACCAAACGTAAAATACACTGTTGGACATTGGGAGTTTCATCTTATTGAATGTATTTTAATGAGTGAAAATAGAGAACCAAATGAATGGCCAAATTATTAAAATTACAAACACCTTAGGTATCAGAAGCCCATACCTTGGCAAAACCATGCTGTTACTTAGGGAAATTTTTCATTTAGAAAATGACAAGCCTCTAGCAAAATAATCCAAGTGATGACCTGTGACTGTCCAAATGGAGTAATGTCTCAGCTGGAAAGTTCGCTTCAGTATTTTTACTAGTTTTGAGTAATTCCCCTAAAAGCTATCCTAAAGGAAGTTTTGTTCCAGATATTTAAAACTCTGAGGAAAACCTTAGAGAAAGTATCAACTAACGTGGTAAGCGCGTTCATAACAGACTAGATACTCCTTTTTAGTGTGTAAATAATTGTAATTATCAGGGCAAGATGTAAATTAAATCCTTACCTAAAGTCTTTGGTAGGTTTTTAGTAACTGATAGTAAGAAAAATGGTATATAATGAAATCAGGTTCTTAAATAATGTTAATTCTTTCAGTGTTCACTGTGATCCTTTCTCAGTGTTACTGTGAACGATGTTGAATAAGGCAACCTTATTCAAGGACTTGCTACACTTTGTAGGACTTACCTTCATGTCTAGAGCTATCTTGCTCCATCAACTGTATGGCGTTTCTGTGCTCTAGCATTTTAATTATGAATGCCATATATGGTAGATAAATTAGGTGCCACACCATTTGTTAGGTATTTCTCCTTTGTAACAACATTCTCAACTAGCACGTTTTTTTAAAGATTTATTTATTTATGCATTCAAGAGCTGGGGTGCAGGCCAGAGGTGTGGGGGGTGAGAGGATTCACCAGAGACAGTGGGGAATGGAACAGGCAGACTCACTGAAATACACTGCTGAAGGGAGCAGCGGGCGAATGAGGAGAGGTCTGCTATGCCATGTGGTGGCCCTCTGGCTGGGGATCGAACTCATGCTGCACTGGCTGCAGGACAGCCTCATAGGTTGTGTCTCAACCACTAGTGCCACCAGAGGCCTTAACTCGCACATTTTGTTACTAGAATAACATCATTAAACATATTAACACATTTCAATATGACAAACCTCTTATTTTCTGTCTTTTGTAACTTGGCCAGGCAGCTATCTCTTTAGTTACATAGATCAACATTCTACACACTTACCTTTGTGTGCCAAGAACTGCTCATGTTCTTACTGGCTAGGATAGCCTGATACCCTTTAAGAGCAGTACTCCTTCACCATGTGTGCTGTCACGACTGGATCTTTCAGGTGTCCCAGGAAGTCAGTTGCATGTTCATCAAAGTAGGTTTTAGATGTTTGATATAGTCTTTTTTTTTTTTTTAGAGGCATGCTTTATTTATTTATTTTGTTTGTTTGTTTTGTTTATATAAGCACTGGGTACAGTCAGAAGCGCGGGAGGGTGAGAGAATCCACCAGAGCCAGAGCGGGGAGCAGAGCAGGCAGAAGGACGGAAGTACACTGCTGAGGGGAGCAGCAGGCGGCAGGAGAGGTCTGCACACCATGTGGGACTCTTCTCCGGAGGCCGGGGAGCAGCCGGGGATCGAACCGGCACTGCAGAGGCTGCAGGCAGCTTCGCAACCCAGCGCTTAACCGCTGCGCCACCTGGGAGGCCCCTGATATAGTCTTAAGTACAGCAAAGCAAACTGAGCTTGTATTTTCAGGAAGGATCTTGATGCACTTATTAGTTCCTTCACTTTACATTACCTAAGAAGATTTTGTTGTTTTCAGCCTTTATTCTAGTTCACTTTTTCTCTAATTTGAGCTACCTGGTATCCTTTGAAAAAACTTTAGTGATACATTTAAGTGATACTGCTGGAATGTGCATGTATAGCTGGAAAGTCAGTGTTTTGAAGTTTTCTGCCAGGTGCTTGCCTACAAAGTTTTTCTTCACGGTCTCACCAACATCTCTATGTGAATGAACACTCACCTGGAGCGTGGGGCCTTTGCAAATACATCAGGGCTATCTTGGGGGAGTATGAGGATTCACAACTGAAAATAATTCTGAAGGATTCTCCACTTTGTATTATTGAGGGGATCTCATTTCTTACCCAGAGAAGATGTTTGTTTCTCGAAGGGTTTATGTAATTTGTCTAGTAGTAATTGTGTTCAGCTCATTGAACAGGGTCAGTATTCTCACAGACACCTGAGGTGAATGATGGTTCACAGAAGAGGTTTATCTAAAGAGGGAGTTTCAGATATTTGCTGAAGTATGTCCCCTAATCGGGAAAAGATCCGTAGTATGTGTTCTGTCATTGACGTTCCAACTAAAGAGCCCGTGTAATGAACAAATGTAAGGGAAGTCTGTGCTCAGTTTGTACACTGCTGCCCTGGCACACCTAGGCTGTCGTGGCTGTGTCCCATGATGCAGCGTTCACCCGCCGTCTTGCTCAGAAGAAGGCTTGGCTTTGCAAGTAACTTCCATGGATTCTCTGGTGTAAATTTTGATTTTTTTTTAAATATTGCACCAAAATACTATCTATCTTGATGATTGAGTTTTTGATGCCTCGCCCAGCCTACTCCCTGCCTTTAAAGAAGACACCCGTGTACAGCTTGGGCCTCGCGGATCGGGGTGGCAGGGACTGGGCCCCGCCTGCTGCCCTGTGAGGTGACGTTGGAGCCCTGGTGATGGTGGGCACGGTGTGGGCACTGCTGGGCCCTGGCCCCCTGGGGACGGGTGGAGAAGCTTGTCCAGCTCTCGAGTAGGGCCGCCATCGGAGCTGCCCCAGGAGGAAAGGAGCCACTCCCTGGGCCCCTACTACCCCGTGTGTTTGCTGGCGTCGGGGCGAGGGTGCCATGGCCTGTCTTCCGCACCCGTCTGCTCAGCCCGCCGGGCGGGCAAAGACCAGCTGCCAAATCCGCAAGCTCTTGCTGACCGTCCGTCCCTCCCTCGGTGCCGCCCTTGAAGAGGTTCTGGAAACCCACTGGCCCGAACGCCGCCTCCCACAGCGATAGCTCCGCCCTGGGGCGCAGGTGGACCCTCGGCCAACCCCGCATCTCCGCGGAGGGCCTGACCGCGGCCCGGGGCCGTCCTGACCGGGCGGGAGCGAGCCCGCCTGCCGGCTGCTGAGAGGAGCGCAGCGGGGAGCGGGGCTGCCGCGGCCGAGGCCTCTGACACCGGGGCCTCCCTGGGGCGCGGGGGCCGGGACAGCCCGGGAAGGCCCCGCGGGCCCTGCGGCCCCAGGTCAGCCCCGGCGGGCAGCGGCCCACGGGCGCCCCCGGCCTCTCCTGGCCGCGCCCCCCCGCCCCCGGCAGCGGGCTCCCGTGGACCCGCCCGCTCTGCGCGCGCTGCGGCTCTGGCGGAGCCTCTCACCCCGCGCGTCTGGCCCGCACCCCAGTGCGTGTGCCCGAATCTCGGAAAAATGAAAAATCAATCTTGGAAGAAAGACAGAAGCGCCTTGGCGTGTTCACGGCACGGAGCTGGCGTGAGGATGCGGCTGCCAAGGCCTGAGGACGGCCCTGGGGGCGCGGGGGGCGGGGGCCCTTGGAGCTGCGGTGCCCGCGCGCGAGCAGCCCCCGGCTCGTCTGAGGGAGGGACGGGCACGACCAGGGCTCCCCGGCCCGCAGCGGCGCGTTCCGGAGCGGGGGGGGGGGGGCGGGGGGGGGGGATAGAACCTTGAAAGCAGAAAACCGTAAAGTTCATTTTATGAAAATCGAGAAAACATGAGTGAACAAAACGTGAATTCGAATAATTGGAAAAACCCCCGGGGGCGCGTCGCCCTGCGCTGCGCTCTGGAGACCGCGGGGCGCCCCCGGGCCGGGCATCGAGAAGCCGCACGTGCCTCCCCCGGGGCCGCCGCGCCCCGCCCCGAGCGGCGCCTCCGCGGGCCGGGCCGGGCCTGGGGGGCGCGGGGGGCCGCTGCGCAGCACGACCCCTGGCCCGCCTCGGGCCCCCCGCGCCCCGCCTCCGCCGGAACCCGCGCGCCGGCAGCCAAGGCGGGGCGGGGCGGGGGCGGGCGCGGGGGCCCATTGGCCGCGGGTGGACACTTTGTAGCGCCCCGCGGGCGCAGGGGCGGGGGGCGGAGCGCGGGGGCGCGGGGCGGCGGCGGGGAGCGGCGCGGCGGTGAGTGGGGCTGGGGCGTCGGGGCTGGGGGGCGGGGGGCGCGGGCGGGCGCGGAAAGCCCTGGAAGCCGCGGCCGGGAGCGCGCGGAGCCCCCTCGGCGGACGCGGAGGTGTCGGCGGGCGGGTCTGCGGCGCGGGCGCCCCGGGGGTCCCCGCCTCCTCTCGGGCCCCGCGGGCCCCGCCGGCCGGCGCAGGGGCGGGCGGGGCGTCCGCGTCGAGGGGGCCTGGGGCGCGGGGGCCGCCTGCTGGGCCCGCCCGCGGGTCACCTCCCCTCGCCGCCCGCCGGGCTCACTGGCCGGGTCCTCTCCCGCCGGCGGCAGCGGGCGAGCGTCGTCCGCGTTCCTCGAAGGTTTGGCTTTTCCCGAAGTCAAGGGCGTTAAACCCGCGGTTGTGCCCCGCCCGGCTTTGGCTGCCCAGCCCCGCCCCAGGTGCCCTCCAGCCGCGCGCAGGGGCCGTGAGGGCCCCCCCGGCGCTGCCCCCAGCCCCCCACGCGAGAGCCGCCGCGGCGGGCGCCCGGGAGGAGAGAGCCCCGCCCAGCGCTGCCTTGGCTTGGGAGGCGACGGCCGGGGCCACCGCCGGCCCCTGACCGCGCGCCGTTGGCCGCAGGCCCGCGAGCATGCAGAGCTTCCTGACCCTCCTGCGGGCGGGCGGCGGCGCAGGCCCGCCCCTGGCCGAGCTGGCGGCCCTGGCCGGCCGGCTGTGTCGGGACATGCAGGACGACCCGGCCCAGGTGCAGCCCTTGGTCACCGCCGTGCTGGACAGCCAGCTGCGCCTGCAGCTCCTGGACAACGTGGACGTGGCCCTGGCGTGTGCGCGTGCGCTCGCGCGGCAGGAGCAGCACCAGGCCGCCTGCCGGCTGCTGGAGGTAGGCCTGGGCCCCGGGTGCTCAGGGAGGTGTGCGCGGACCCGGCCAGGACGTCGGCCACCCCGCTAGAAACTAACCGCGAGGGTCAGGCTGCCCTGCCCAGAATCCTCCACTGACCAAATCTGAGCCGGGGGTGCTCTGCTCCGGGAGCTGGCGGCCGGCAGGAACAGGAGCTCTGCGGGGGACTGGGGGTGGCCAGGCAGAGCCCAGAAGCCAGGGGATCTCTGTCAGCTGGGGGTCACTGGAGCCTGCGCTCACTGGACACCAAAGACTGGCTACATGGGCGTGTGCCCACCTGCGGTCTTCAGCCCACGCGAGGTGCGTCCAGGCCGGGGCTGAAAGGCAGGCTCTAGCCCAGCTGCTCTGGGGCGGCCATCACGTCCTGTGCTGCTACCTCCAGCAGTGGGGGGCTCTGGTCCTCCCGCAGGCCCAGAGGCTCCCAGTCAGGGCTGGGCCTCCCTCCTGACTGTGGCACAGTCCTGGACAGTTCATGGGGAGCCCACCTTCAAGATGCTCCCTCATTCCAGCTCTGTTTCTACTTCTCCCCAACCCCATGAGGTGACTCCTGCCCACTCTCGGGCAGCGCCCAGAAGCAGGAGCTGCACAGGCGTGGGGGGCAGCCAGCGCCTATAGGGCGGCCCAGCTCCAGGCCCTGCCCGACGTGCTCCAGCTGCATCTGACCTCCTTGATGCTTCCTCTGCCTCAGGGCCTTTGCACGTGCCACTCCCCTTGCCCACTGGCGCCGCCGCCTGCTGACCCGCGGTGTCTGGAAGCTGTGGCCGGTGCAGGGGCAGACTTGGACACACAGCAGGGCCGGCGCCCCCTGGCTATGCTGGCCCCCAGGGTACTGCATGCCCCCCAGCCTCTGGGTCCTCCGCAGTCCGACTGTGTCTCCGAGTGTGGGTCCCGTGCTCTCCCCGGGCGAGACCAGGCCTCCCTCCCACTAGTCCGCAAGCGGGGGCAGCAAGGGGGCCGCCCTGGGGGGGAGGCGCTGCCCCCCTCCCCGACTGGGGCGCGCCTGGCCCTCCGCTTCCCGGGCAGCGCGGACAGGCTTGCTGGGGCCGGTGGTGGCAGCTGGGGACCAGGGCGCGCGAGTGGTGGGGGTGGCGGCCAAGGGTTCGCAGCCTCGGGGCGCGGGGGCGGGACTCAGCAGGCCTCTCTCGCAGGGCTGCCGGGCGCCCGGGGGCAGCCAGGAGCTGGTGCAGCTCTGGCACGACATCCACTACCTGCTGGCCGCGCGGAGGCTGGGCGTGCCCACCCTGACGCCCGTGCAGCGGTTCCGCTGCCGCAAGAGGTAGGTGGGGCGGCGGGGGCGGGCGGGGGGCGCGGGGCGGGCTGGGGCGGGGGGGGGCGGCCGCGTCTGCCTACGTGAAGGGGGGCCGCCGGGAGCCTGAGCCCCGGAGGCCGAGCGAGCCGGCCGCCCACCCCGTCCTCCAGGTGCTGGCGGTGCCGGGCGGCGCCCCGTGGTCGGCGGCTCTCGGGGTGCGGGGCAGCTCAGCAGGGCCAGGGCGCTGCGCCCGTAGGCGGCTCCGGGGGGCTCAGGGGGGCGGGCGTGCTCGGCGGGGGCGGGCCGCTGCGGGCCGGCGGTCGGGGGGCCGGGGTGGGGGCGCCGAGGCCGCAGTTCTGGGGTCTGGCGGGAAGGCCCCGGCGCTGTCGGGGAGAAGCGGCGAAGCTGGCCGGGGCCGGGCGGGGCGGGCCGCGGGCTGTCCTGGCGTCGGGCCGCAGGTCCTGCGCGGGAGGTGCCGGCTCGCGGCTCGCCTCTGACGGCAAAACCCAAACGCGGGCGAGACCGCGCGACCCAGGGGCCCCTCGCGCCCCGCAGGAACCCCCCGCCGCCCGCGCTCTGCCCCGACGGCCCGCGGAGCCGCACCTTCCCCAGGGAGGTGCGCCAGAAGCTGCAGGACTTCGCGGCGGGCGTGAGCGCCAACCCCGGCAAGGCGGAGCGGGTAGGAGCGCGCCCCGGCCCGGCCCGGCCCCGGCCTGCCCCTCGGCCCCACGCTCCCCGGCCCCGCCCGCCCCGGGCCCCACGCTCCCCGCCCTCCCGCCAGCCCAGGGGCACCCCCGCCGCGTCCCTGGGGCGCGCCCCCGACCCGGGCCGCCCCAGCCCCGGACGGGCGCCGCCGCCCCCAGCTTCCCGCCGGCCGCGAGCAGGGACGCCCCCCCCGCGGTGGCTTGGGGGTCCCAGCGCCCCTGGGGCGGGGCGGGCGGGGCGGGCGGGGTTCGCGGCAGCGGGCTGTGCCCGGGCAGGAGCGGCTGGCGCGGGAGACGGGCCTGCGCGCCGAGCAGGTGTCCAACTGGTTCGCCAACTTCCGGCGGCGCCGGCGCGCGCGGGTGCGGAGCTCGGAGGCCCCCGCGCCGGACCCCGGCGGTGGAGAGCGGGGCGCGGCGCCCCTGCAGCCCCAGGCGCCCCCCGCGCCGGCCCCGGGGGCGCGGACCGGCCTCAGTGGTCAGGTGAGTGGCCCCCGCCTCTGAGAGCTGCTCCCCGAGAGCCCTTGGGGTGTCCTGCGTCCGGCCCAGCTCCCCGCACCCCGCGCGCAGCCGAGACCCGCCCCCGGAGGCCGCGCTGCGCTGGCGGGTGTGGCCGGCTGCGGCCCGGGCTGGCGGCCGCCGTCGCTGCTGGGGCCTGAGACCGGCCTCGGGGCGCATGGCCGGGCGGCCCCGCTGCCCCCTCGGTCCCGCCGCGGCCGCGCTCGCGGCGGGGGCCGGGCGGCTCCTCGGCCCCATCTCACCTGCTTCCCGCAGGGCGCGAGGAGAGCGGACCCGCGCCCGCCGCGGAGCGCCCCGGAGGGTCGTGGGAGCTGCGGCCGCCGGCCCCGGCCTTCCCTGGAGCCGAGACGCTGCCGGCGCCGCCGGCCAGGTGCTGCCCCGGGAGGGGGCGCGGCCCGGAGCCGAGGGAGGGGGCGCGGCGGGGCCGGCGTGGGGGCGGGCGCTGCGGGGGGGGGGGGGCCGGGGAAGCGCGGGCGGGGCTCACCCCAGGGCCGGGCACCTCCCGCGACCGGCTTAGCGCGGCGGGGCCGGAGATGCCAGCCCCGGTCCCCCCCCCCCCCCCCCCGGCCCGGAGGCTGAGGGAAGGGGCGGGGGGCTGCGGCGGGCAGGGCGCCAGCAGAGGCTGGACACAGCCCTGGGGCTGCGAGAGCCGCGGCCACTTTCCCGCTGGCCTCCAGGGCCGGTCCTGCCGTCCAGGGCGTCCCCACCGCCGAGCACTTCACCGGACACAACCGCCCCGAGTCTGCGGGAGCAGCGTAGATGGGGCCTCTCTGGGGCCACGCAGGACGGCCGTGGGGCGTGCACGGTGCCCACTGCGGGGGGGCTGAGTCTGAACCCGGATTCCCTCGCCGGGCTGGAGTCTTCTCCAGGCCTCAGGCCCGCCCAGGGGACCTCGCTAACCCCCGCGTCCTGTGTCCCCAGGCTGTACCACGAGGCCCCTGGCCATGAGCCGGCTGCTCTCCCTCCGGTCTGCCCTGGCCCGGGCCTCTGCCCTCTGGCTGCCGGCGGTGACCTGCTGGGGCCCCCTCTGGCTGCCCCTGAGTCGTGGCTGATGCCTCTTGCTCTGGCGTCCTGCACAGAAGTCTCCCCAGCGCTGGTCCCCGGCCCTGTGTGGCCTGCGGACACCACTGCCGCCATGGCCACAGTTGCCCGGAGCCAGCTGGGCACCACAGGTGGGTCCACACAGAGGAGCTCACGAGTGCCCCAGCGGCTGTGACCACCACGGTCGATTGAGGCCGCTTGGCTGGGCCCAAGGAGGGGGTTCACCCACACACACCCCAGGCGTCCTTCATTTAATTTATTTTGCAAATTAAAGCTTGCCAGCAGCAGACTAGGGGAGGGAGGGGCGGAGCGGGGTGCTCTGCAGCGGCTGCCCAGGCGCCCCCTCCCCATCTCTCCACCCAGGGGGGCCCTGACGTCAGTCTGGAGGACACCTGTGCAGAGCGCCCGTGGGTGCAGGCCCCCCCGGGGGCTCTCTGATATCCCTTCGAGGGGAGGGCTGGGCCTGCCCCCTCACTACCCAGAGGGCTCCGTCCTGTGCCCTGTGCGGGATTTCCAGGCGTCTCTAGTTGCCCTGCTGGAGAGTCAGCTTTGCAAGGTCACCCTGGGGTCCCTGCCTGTCCTGAATTTGCCGTTGATGCCTGTGCTGTTCAGCCGTGGAGACAGAATCTGGGTCTGGAGGCGCATCCTTGCGCTGGGGGCTGATCTGGTCCTGTGCAGCTTCCTTTGGGGCTCACCTGGCCCCCTTCTTTGGGGCTTTTTCTCCTTAAAGCCTGCCGCTCTGAAATTTCACAAGTCGGTCCTAGGTCGGAAGCTTGGTAACCCGCCCAGCCGTCAGTCACTTACAGAACAACTTTAAGAAAAACAGAGCAGCCCCCACCCAGACCATTACGTGCTGGCGTGTCCCAATCCCTGGGCCAATCCCAAAATGTTAGCATTTTCTTTCACGCCTGCGTTTCGTAACTCTCCTGTCTCCCTGCGTCCCCCTACCACGGCGGACTGTGCCAGCTCTTTGGAGACAGCTCCATGCTGAGGGCCCGGCATCCTGCCCGAATCTGCAGGCGCCCACTGGGCCCCGTTCTGTGATTTTTCGCTCCAGTGGGAAGAAGGCGGGGGCCGGGACCAGGACTGGACCTGCTGTCCCGAGGCTCCCATGGGCACAGGCTCACGTCTGCCCTGCTGGCGGCCAGCCCACCCGGCACCGGGGTCCCGCACGTGTGGGGTGATGTTCTCTGAAGCCTAGGCCGCCCCCCAGGGTCCTGCCCTCTGCCCCCATGGTCTCCACCCTGGGGCTGCACTAAGGCCTCTGCTGACCTGTGGCCTCCCCTCACCAGGGCTTGGGCCTCTTTCTTCTGTCCTGGGGGCATGGAGAACCCTTCACCCACCCTGTGAGTGGGGATGCTCAGGGAGCGCAGGGGCTGTTTGTCAGGCAGTGTCCTTGATGTCTGGAGGGGTGCAGCTGGCGGGCGCCTGGATGCCCCAGGGCAGAGGTCGGGGGGCCTGAGGTCTGGGCAGTCGGCCTGGGGCTGCGGATAGGGTTGGGGGGTCACTCTGGCAGAGAAAGGGTGGACAGGGCACCCTGACCGCCTTTGGCTTTGGGCAGAGGTCGGTGGCTCCGGCCTGTCTTGCAGGGAGACCTGGGGCAGACCCGGGCGCGGGGAGGGGAGGGGGCGGCTGCGCGAGCATCTTGAGGGGGGGCAGAGATGGCAGCTGGGTGAAGGGAGAAACCCCAAGGCTAGTGGCCTGGCCCCAGGGCGGGGTGTGACCGTGGGCCGGAAACCGGGTGGCCAGGCTGCACGGGCGCGGTGTGCGGCCCCTGGGTCGGGGGACAGGAGGCCGCTGCAGTCCGGGAGGGCCCTGGACGACCGAGCCCCGCGGGGGCGGCGGGATGGGGCCGCGCTCTGCCCGCGCCCCCGCCCCGCCGGGCACCCAGGCGTGCGCTCGTCCCGTGCAGGAGCCGCGGACCCGCCGGGTGGTGGCCGCCCCGGGGCCGAGACGGGGGCCTTCCTGGGGGCGCCTGGACCCGCCCCCGGCCCGAGGTGAGCCCCGCGGTTTCCGGCTTGGCGCCGCGGGGGGCGGCCTTCCCGGTTGTGGGGGGAGCGCGGCCCCCGGGGCGCCGGGGGGGGGCGGGGGGCGGCAGCCGGGGGCGCGGCTCACCTGCGCACGCCCCGGGCGGGAGACCCGAGTGCCCGACGCTCAGGCCCCGGCGGCCCGGCGGCCCCGCCGTCCTGCGCCCGAGGCGGCTTCGGTGCTGGGGCGCCCGGCCGCCCGCGCTCTCCGGTGGAGGCTCCTGGGCGCGGCTCCGCCCTCCGGCCCCGCCGCCGCCCGAGCCTCGCTGCCCGCGCGACGGGCCCCGAGTGTGGCCGCAGCGCCGCAGGCTGAGGGCGCCCGGGCTCGTGGGGTGGGCGGCGGGCCTGTCCCCACCCGGCCCTTCTCCAGCCCCGCAGCGCTGGCCCCGGCCGCGCCCGCCCCCCGCCGCCCCGAGTCTGCCGCGGAGCCGACCCCGCCCGCCCGCCCCAGGTGAGCCCCGCCGCCCAGGTGAGCCCCGCCGCGCCCGCCCGTGGGGGGAGCGACCCGCGCGGGCCCGGGCAGGCCGGCTGCGGGCGCCCCACGGACTCGTCCCCGCAGGTGCGGTGGCCCGAGGGCCAGGCCTCCAGCGACGCCTTCTGGGGCGCCAGCATGCTGCTCGCGCTCGCGGGGGGCGGCCTGGACTGAGCCGCCCCGCTCCCGCCTCGGCTCAAGTTTGCTTTCGGCCCCGCTGTTGGGGGAGCCCTTGACAGACGCTGGGGGGGCCGGGGCCGAGCTCACACTCCGGCCCTGCGCTTCTGGGGGCGCGCGGGCCCCCGACGGGGTCTCCCCCGGGCTCCAGCGTTGTTTGTGACGCGATGTTCTGCTTGATTAAAGTCCATGTTGCCAGCGCCCCGCCTTCTCCTGCGCCCCTCCTGGCGGGACGGCCCGGCTTTGGGGTTTGCGGGGACAGGGGTGGGCGCCCCGCCGGGAGAGGGGGACGCCCCAGCCTGGGGGAGCCTGCCACCCCCGCGGTGTCCGTGGGCAGCGGGGGCGAGCCCGGCCTGGCCCGCGGGGCCCAGGGGCAGTGGCGGGGCGCCCCCTCCCGCGCTGGCCTCCCCCGCGCCGCCCGGAGCCCCAGTTCCCCGCGGGCAGGACCCGGAGCCCCAGTTCCCCGCGGGCGGGCGCTGGGCCCTGCGGCTGGACCCGAGAGGAGGGCCCGGCGGGGAGGACGGAGCTTGGCCTGTCCCGCCGGTGGGGTGAGGCCGAGGGGCCCAGCAGGGGCGGTGGCCCTGTGGGGGCTCCTGCCCTGGGTGCACCCGGCACCGGCCTGCAGCGGGCGGCCACCAGCCGTTCCTGGCCACAGCGCGACTGTGGATGAGGCCTGTTGCCCTCCCCACCCCCTGCTGCAGTCATTGAGCAGATTTGGGTGCCACGAGGCCCACGGTTCGGTTGCGCCGCGCCTGCCTGCCCCCCTGGCGGGCCTGCAGGGCTGGGGTGGGGGCAGCCCTGGTCTGGAGGCCACGGGGTCCTGGTGGCCAGAGGTGGTCAAGCAGCACCTGGTGCCTCTTCCCAGCCTCCGGCAGCCAGTGCTCTTGACACGGTGTGCGTGGCGCCCGCCTCAGGGGCACCTGCCAGACCCTCAGGTCCACTGAGGCGGTGGGGAGGGCACAGCCAGGTAGGTGCATGACCCCAGGCTGCCCCCGTCCCTGGCCAGAGGCCTCCCCCTGCCCCGGTGGTGGCCCTGCAGGCCCCCTGGGGGGACACGGAGGCTTCATGATTTTTCCTTTATTTAATGAATCCGAGCAAGGTCCAGCCCGGCCTCCTGGATCCTGGCGCTGCAGGCAGGGCCTGGCCGCCCGCGCCCGGGCAGAGTCCTGGTGTGGTCTCGGCCTTGCCTGTCCTCTGGGCCAGCAGTGGGTCCCACGGACCCGCCTGGGCTCTAGTGCAGGTCAAAGCCGGACTCTAAAGAAAGAAAAGAACGAAGACAAAGATGGGCTTTCCTTTGAACCCCTGGGGACCTGGTTGCCGACTGAGGCCCCTCAATTCTGCTGCGCCTCGTGCTTCCTCCGGGCTCCGCTGGATTCCCCGCCGGGGCCAGTTCGAGGCCTTCTGCCTCCTGCTGCTTCACTCTCCGCAGCCTCCCTCCGGGGTCTCTCTCCTCCTGCTGGGGCCACCCTCCCCTTGCCCTGGGGATCCCTCCTGCAGCATGGTTTGGAAACATTTTTGGGAAGTTTACAAGTTCATTTAGGAAGGAAGCTGGCCCAGCGCTGGCTTCTTATTACTGTTGTTTTCAGATGTTGGCAGCAGTTGGCGATCCCCTCATAAAAAATCAGCCAAGTCGTTTTGGGTAATTTTCAGACCTGTGGCGCTATGGGGAAGGGACCTTTTCCTTTAAAAATCACACCGCGCTGGGCCTGCCTGGTGGTGCAGCTGGTTGAGCGCAGGGCTGTGGAGCTGTCCGCGGCCTCGGCAGTGCCGGTTCCATCCCCGCTGGCCGCGGAGCTACTCACAGGGCGCAGCAGACTCTCCTGTCCGGCCCGCTGCTCCCCTCAGCAGTGGATTTCAGTCCGTCTGCCTGTTCTGCTCCCCGCTCTGTCTCTGGTGGATCCTCACCCTCCTGCACATCTGGCCTGTACCCCGGTTCTTGAATAAATAAATCTTGAAAAAAAATAAATAAAAATCACACTGAGCTGACCAATGCTGTTTGGGGGTAGCGAGGCAGGAAGCAAGGAATTGGATCCAGGAGGTCAGGAGCAGGGTGCCCCAGCCCCCAAGTCCACTTCTCTGCCTGATTGAGAAACGCTGGGCTGGAACCAGGAGGGTGCCCTTACTGGCCCCCCAACCCCACTGACCACCCCCCAACCCTAGGTCACTTAATAGTCTGGAGGGTCCAGGCAGCAACACTGTGGCACTGCGCTGGCATGGGAAAGGCTGCTTTCAGGAAGGCTGGCCAGGTCGTGTGGGTACTCTCAGTGGGCCTGGGTAGCCCAGGAGAACCCCACAGAGGACATGAGGGCTGAGACAGAGAAAGGGGAGCAGAAGAGGACCATGCAGTGGGCAGCAGCTGAAACCACAGTAGGGGGATGTAGGGCGCGCAGGGGGCTGGGAGTGCAGAGGGCCCGCCTCTGCGCAGGCGGCCAGCCCCACTCCGGGGGCCCCAGCGGCTGGGGTTCACTCTAAACCCCTTGCCCTGCGGCTGGGGCGCCCCTGGGCAGATGGCTGGCCCGCCTGGAGGGGCCCCCAGTTGGCCGAGGTTCGCCCTGGGGGTCTGACCAACACTTCTGGCAGCGTCAGTTTGTGTCCCCGCCGGCGCCTGCCCACGGGTGGGGGGTCTGCAGCACCTGGGGCTGCACCTGGCGGCTTCTCAGCTCTGCTCCGTCAGGTGCGGCCTGTTCCCCATGACAGGTGCCGGCGGCCCGTGCCTCTCTCGGAGTGGGGGTGTCTGGAGGGGATTTGAATTTCCTGGCAGCGGGCGCGGTCACGTCGGGCTGCTGCCCACGGTGTCTTCGGGGCTCACGCTGCTCCTGGAGGTGAGTGTGCGCGGAGGGTGCGGGTGACGCCCGCGTTGGACACACGCTGTGCAGGTACGTTTTTCGATTCTGGGGGTTGCCTTATGGGTTTTTGGGGTTTTTTTCAAGGTTTATTTATTTATGCATACAAGAGAAGCCCCGGCCCGGGGTGGGTCTCAGGCAGGCAGGCAGCCACTGCCCACGGAGGGGGAGCTGGTGGACAGGAGGACGCTGCCTTGAGTTTGTTCTCTGCATCATGATTCCAATGGCAGCGACATCTCTCATGCAGCTCAGGCTGTGCTCAGCTTCCTGACAAGAATCTGGTGACCATTTCAAGTGTCTCCCATGGGCTTCCCTGGGACGCAAGGGTTAAACACAGCACCGTCAAGCTGTCACCAGCACGAGTTCCACCTCTCCTCCGCGCCCCCCCACTCCCCCACCCCAGGAGCAGCCCACAGGGCGCAGCAGACCTGGCTGGGCATCGAACTTACGCGCCCGCAGTGGCTGCTGCTACGCTGAACCCCTGCGCCACCAGGGAGGTCCAGGCTGACTTTGGGCCTTTTTTTTTTTTTTTTTAAGATCTATTTATTTATTTATTTACACAAGCACTGGGTACAGTCAGAAGCGCAGGAGGGTGAGAGAATTCACCAGAGCCAGAGCGGGGAGCGGAGCAGGCAGAAGGACCAAAGTCCACTGCTGAGGGGAGCAGCGGGCGGCAGGAGAGGTCTGCGCGCCATGGGGGACCCTCCTCTGGTGGCCGGGGAGCAGCCGGGGATCGAAAGGGCGCTGCAGAGGCTGCGGGCAGCTTCGCAACCCAGCGCTCAACCGCTGCGCCACCGGGGAGGCCCCTGACTTTGGGCTTTTTGACTGTGATCTCTGCCTAAGTGGGGGGTTGCAAGCCAACAATGGAACAACAGCATTTAGAATAGCAAATGTCTGTCTGGCTGCAAGGTCAAAGAGCCTTCAGAGTCACTGGGAACTGCTGGCAGCACTAATAATGCATACTTGGAGATAACCTGGGTTTTTGCAAGGTCTGGATCAGAAAAATAGACTTTGTCTGCATTTGCAATGATTTGCTGTTGGTAAATTGTGGCTACATCATTTGTTTGGGCACGTTTTCCATTCCAGTTCTGGATCTGGTTGATTGCTGGTCTAAGATTCCAAGGGGGACTCCCTGGTGGCCTAGGGGTGGAGTCTCACCAATACCAACCAGCAGGCCTGATTTCTATCCTGGCCAGGGAGCTGACCCACAAGGCACAGCAGACCTCTCCTGTCTCCCCGCTGCTCCCCTCAGCAGTGGATCTCAGTGGGCCTGCCTGTTCTGCTCCCCGCTCTGTCTCTGGGGAGTCCTCTCACCCCCACCTCTGGCCTGCATCCCAGCTCTTATATGCATAAATAGATCTTTTAAAAATGATTAAATATTGTTGTTGCTGCTGTTTTCTAATACTTATGACAAATCTTCCCAACAATCTAAAGCATAATTTGGTAGTCTGTCGCTTGGTTGATCAGAGGGGATTTTGTGAAACCTCAGTAGAGCTCCTGAGACAATTGAAAGAGGTTCCCCCTTTCCTCCTGGGAAAGGCATTAGATAAATTTGTCCTATTTGGTTTACCTGGTAAAGTAAAACTAAAAGGCAAGCATTTGGTTTTCTGAAACGTGTATAAAATCTTTCAGTACCTGATCTGTATACAAATTGTCAATTTTGAGTGTTGTCCTGCAATAGTATATACTTCATGGTTTAATAGCTGGAAAAATTGTTTCTTAAAGAAATAGTTTCTAGGGTGGCACAGTTGAGCGCAGCACTGTGAGGCTGTCTGCAGCCTCTGCAGCGCGTGTTCAATCCCCGCCAGCCTGGGGAGATACCTGCATGGCACAGCAGACCTCTCCTGTCTCGCCCGCTGCTCCCCTCAGCAGTGTATTTCAGTCAGTCTGCCTGTTCTGCTCCCCGCTCTGTCTCTAACCCTCCCTCAATTCTGGCCTGTGGCCCAGGTTCTTGTATGAATAAATAAATCTTAAAAAAAAAAAGTTTCTATAAGGAGACCTCAATTGAGTCCACTTGATAGACCTTTGACAAAGAAAATTTCCTGCAAGGGACTAAATAGAGATAAACCTGATTTTGACACATTTTCCTTGACATAATACAGGTGATTTTTTTTTTTTGCATTTTGTCTTGACTTAAAGTTTCCTTGTTTTAAC